GACTTTGGGGTGGATTCAGTCGACTTTAACAATGTAACTTTTTTCGTCTTTTGGAGCTTTCAAACTTGTGAAGAATGAGATTTAAGGTTTCTCGAAAATGTTTAGTGTTGCAAGGTCGAGAGGATAAAAAAAGAGAAACTGCTTTGTATCCAGTCATGACAGGTGGCAATTTCTTTGCAAGGTTAATAACTAACTGGGCCGTTTAGATAGGAGTGAAAGGAACTTGACATTAAAGAAGGTTATCACAGGTAACGTTCGGATTCACATTTTTAGTCTTTGTCATTTTACAGACAGACAGTCAGCCAGACAGCATTGGAAAAGTACTTGTCTCTATTTTTATAGAAATTCTCACGAAAACAATTTTTTACTAACGCGTGGCAAATGATAACGCGTGGTGTGGTAATCCATAACGTGCATTTATCTTTGAAGCTGCCAAATTGTATCAATCTGGAAGTGACGTGAGAAAGGAAAAGTGCAATCGGGGGGATTTGCATATCTCCCTTGCAAAATCCAGTATGCAGACTTCAATCAAACGGTACCGTCGTGATGTGGTGAGGGGTCCTTGTTGCGGTGACTTGGTTCGGTTTCAACAGTCAGTCGATCATAACCTTCAAGGACGCGTGAACTACTTGCATCATTAACTTTCCAAGTCCAGCGTTGGGGAGGAACAGCAGGAGCGGTGCAAAGTACGGACATACAAAAGTGATCCAAAGAATACGGGCATTGTGAAATCTGCCTTCGCAGAATTGTTATGCAGTGGAGGAAAGCTAATCATTGCAGCCTGATGTTGACACTTTCTTCATGTGGTCGCACTTTGAGGGTCATTTGAATCCTTATTTCTTGGCTCAAAAAGGAAAGACGTAAATTATGACGCTTAATAATGCCGTTTCTCGATCAATATTTAGATATTCTTCGCTTAATTTCCAGTGAAAATTGGGACACCTAACCAATTTTTTATTCGTACCATAGTATTTGGACGACTCTCTAGAAACGTGGTAACCTTATTATTTCACGCTTGTTCATTAAATAAACAGTTATTCTAGCAAAAAAAAATGTCCAGATCCATCAAGTGAAAGTGAAAGGAGGAAGTCACCGAAATACATTATTTTTATACGACGTTTCCATATACGTACGTAGTTTGTGTAGCAATCGATTTGCCCAGAAGAATCTTATCATCTTTGAAAATGCTATTCCCACCAGAGTTTCGTATTCTTCATGTGTAGTTCGATTCGTTAGATCGTGTTAGACCGGGGCTGAAGGGGGGACCAAGATCAACTCATCAAAAGTAGACTAGGCCGTGCGGAAAATAATGATTGACCAATTTGGAAAGAATATGAAGTACCACACATTCATCGTGTCAGATTTATTTGAAGGTTGTTATTTAAGAGAGGGAATCCTTCTTGTGTGAGTTCAGTAGGACAGATTAACAACTCCAACCAGATTACGGGAGCTGCCTCTACTATAGGGCAATAGGCATGAGGGAAATGGTGATCACTTTGCGGCCCCTGTGCAACTACCTACGAGTGCACTTTAACTTTACAAGCTTAATGCCAACGTCAGAGAAGTTGACTTGTTCGCTGTAGGATTACATAATGTCAAGTGCGAGCCTGAGCCTGGAAACCGTCACCATGAGCTTATTCGGCATGATTGTCATCTTCACGTCCCTTCAGAACTCTTACCTCACCGTTGTGGCACATCATTTCTCCAGTAAAAGTTTACTTAAGTCCCTATAACTTAAAAATGACAGGGAAACAGAAAGCCAATCAGACAGAGGAGAAATTGTCAGCATGCACATACCTACATTTATTTCCTAAAATTTCCACTTATACGGATCAAGAAATTACTTAGGAGAACAATTGTTCCAGGATTTGATTCCCAGTTGAAGAGGTTTATCCACGCATCATATATACAGAAATTTGCTTCATATTAAAAAAATCCGGAGCGGAGGCTGGTCGTGAAGAGCCATTTGGCTCTAGGTACAAGGTCTGTCTGTTACGAAATGTTCTCCTTTTTTCTTATAAGACCCCGCCGCACTCATCCCCATTTTATACCGAGAACACGACTGAATACGATCCCCACTTGGAATTTGTTTCATTAAATGTTCTCCGCCAAGGAGGAGTAATAACAAACCAACAGCGAGCACACCTACACACGGTCGAGGAGACAATTACTTCACAATCATTTCCAATCAGCATGTAGCGCCTGGATGGTAAAGCTTTACGCTACGTGCGTGTCAAACCCAATCAACAGATTTTACCTAACAAAGCCTAAAATCAGGCAAAACTTGGAAGCCTGAGATTTGATTGACTAATAGATAAGAGGAAAATATGAAACGTGGCAGGCTACATATACACGTAGTCAACATATTTAGGATCACATTGCTTACTTTGAGTGGGTGGTGGTCATAGAAATGTATGAAAATGACGCGTGTTAACGTTGGAACGTGGAGAGGACGGATAAGTGTGACGCTTTGTCATATCTGTTGTGCAATGTTGGGTCGGTGGAGCTACAAGTGTCCAATTTACGTGATGAGGAGGGGCACATTTAATGAAAGAAAGCGAGAGAACCATGCATGGCATACCTACTTTGCTATTACTTTTCCACCTCACGTGAAGTGAATGGACTTGCATCATGTTATGGGTTGCGACAATTTTATGGTGCATCAATTGGTAGTAAAAGAGAGGAGCGTGGTGGATGGATACGTTGGTTGGTGGACCCATTATTATTATTGTTGACAGGGATGAAGTGGATGGAAAGAGGAGAAGATGGGTGAAAGTAGACCCACCACCACCACCACTACAGATTGATTGTTTGGATATGAAATTAAACCGAAAAGCGGACATTATTGGGTGCTTGATGACGTGCCAGTAAAAGTTGATTGCGGAGGCTGAAGTAATAATTTACTTGTCAGGCTGACCCAACTTTATATAATCCAGCTCATATTTTACCCCTGATCTGACGGCCTTCCTTCCATCACAGGGGAAGTATCACAGTGGTGGGCACGGAATTATTGGCCGAATCACTTAATAATAAATTAAACAGATACACGAGGAGTTAGTGCGTGTTTCGCTAGTCGAATTACACTGGGTTCGTTAATCAATTAATGTAATTAGCAAAAGTTTAATAATATCGATTTTGGAGCATAAACTGGCGGGATATATAATTATTTTCGCAACGAGATACGGGGTATGGACAGGTTTTGGAACAACAATTACTTTACAAAACGATATAAAATTGGACTGTGCGTCAGTGAATGAAATGAAGGTACCTAGCTTTGTTTGACGTGTACTTTGACATAATTATTTAATTTGTTCTATTTTTGATTTATTCTTGTGCTGTAAGTTTCAGAGAAAAACAACTCGTGTACAAAAAACGTAGAAAAAATATTGTCCTTCAGATAGGACAGGATACATAAAATGCATGATATGGTTAGTACGGGATACATAATTTGCATGCACGAGTGAGCCACGAGACAGCATTATTTTCACTCCTTTAAGCCTGGATCACTTTGATGTGCTTATTACTTGTTTATTATTTTTCAAAAGGGTTTGATCCAACGGAGACTGAATTTAATTAGAATTTTTAACATGTCTGTTTTTCATACCTGATTCCATCGTTTTCTTCCCCTTGATTTACTCTAAAGTGATAAATACAATCTCCGAGTAAACAGATCTCACACGAGGCATTATACTCATTCAGTTTCTCAGATCTTTGTCATTTGAGACAGACAGGATTTCCTCGAATTATAAGGAAATCTTAATTTCACGACATTTTCAATGAGACACCACGGCGGCACATAAACCCACTTCTGTACCGGTTTAATGTCGAACTGTTCTAATTAAGGCTCATTCTAAAAGCGGTGTCCGTCCCATGTCCTTCAAAACTTGTCCCACGTGCCCATTCAAAACAAATGAAGTCCACCTTGAAGTGACAGCCATTGTTTTTCCTTATTCGGCCAGCGATAGAAGGATGTACACAAACCTCAACAAAAGATGCATAACAACTTTCTCCTCAAAGCCGCGTATTGCAAAGACTTGTAATTATCCGTCTAATAATGAGTAACTTCAAACTCTCAGAAAGCAACAAAACGACAGCCCATCCACCTTGGAGGAGAAAGGGTAAGGGTAAAAGATGCCAGAGTCGATGAAGGCCTCGAGGGAGTACAACTTTTCGTATTAATCCTGACTTGTTCGTTTGGTATGCTGAAAATGGGCTGAGCGTTGGGTCTTAATTTTCGACTTGTGGCTGCTTAGACGTAAGCATTTGATGACAACAAGAGAAACAAAGCAGTGGGAATTCTTGTTTTTCTCTCTCTTAGACGCCACCGTAAATTTACTCATCGACTTGTTTTCGCTAGATCTGACAATAGAGTTAATAACGACTATTAGGGAACTGTCACCTCGTGCAGATGAATAATAATTGCATCCACCACCACCGCCACCACGAGACACAAAACATCGTCGTCATCAGTCCCATTATCGCGGCACATGTTGATAAGATAGTTGAGAAAGAGAAATACAAAAAATGAGGTGGAATTCTGGTTTGTATTTTTTTGCGAACCATGTAACTTTCACTTAGGAAAATGTCTACCGTATGGTTTTCAGTTACGAAACATCTTCTATTACGGCACCCACTAAAATAACCTAAGTACTTCAAGTACCAATCTCAATTACGTGAGCCAACACGACTTTCACCATCCATCATCACGTAAAGAGAAAGAGACAAAGCTTGTATTCGCAAATGTTGACCAAAGAATTAAAAATTTGGCCTTTAAAAACTTTCACCTGGTCTTTCGTCTTCTTCCAAGAAAAATGTGCAGTAATTTTTATACTTTTCACTTTAACACCTACTCGACTAGAATTTATGTCTGCCTGTAGGTGTTTGAGACCACTCATTTTTTTGACATACGTATCTCTCGCTGGCATCATCATTGGGAAATGTCAGCGCCTGGCAAAGCTTTTATGTATATTTACGTCGAAGCCTTGTTGTGTTTTTTATAGATGGGTGACATGGACACAGATCCGGAATGGGTTCTCACAGCAGGAGAACTCAATCGAAGCACTTTCTCCAACTGGACAAGCACCATCACACCCGGCTTTGGAGATCTGGACTTCAATTGCACGGAAATTAATGACCCCAACGTCATTTGTTGGAAAAATCCAGAGGAAATGTTGAACCCGGCCAAGAGAAATCCGATATTCTATCACATTGTCATCACTCACGCGGTCACCTTCATCGTAGGTAAGCGAATCGAATGCGAGAAACAAGGCTGCAAGGATTATGCAAGAGTCTCAAGAATTAATGTGTTTGTACTCGCAGGGATCGTGGGCAATCTCATCGTCGTGTTTGTCATGATTGGGGACGGAAAGAGCAGAAATGCAACGAACCTCTTTCTAGTCAGGTGAGATTTCTCATCCATAATTTTCCAGAATAAACAAGTAGCAGAGGGAAAAAACACCTTGTCCCGAGACAAATAGCGTTCGTTCCCAAGCAAACAAATGAACACAAAACCATGCACACTCGTACGTACACAACACAATATATTCGGCCCCGGGAAGCACTTTGTGAAAGAAAGATGAATGTGAGAGAGCTTCATGTCTAACAGGCCAAGTTGTTTGTTGAGACACAAAGTTCAACCTTCCATTCACTTGTAAATACTTTCTCCGTCGTCGTGAGTATCACCAACCACACAGAAAACCAGACGATGTGGAATGTCCACAATGTTATGGTGGTGAATGAATGAACGAACTGCATCAACAAAAAAAAGTTGTGCACTTTTGTCAGACAAATCTCTACCCAGTTCTATTGTCTTTGCTTAATTACTTGCAATAATATCGCATTGTGCAACATATGTACAAGTAGAACACTAGATGAAGCAATAACTTGCATTAAAGTACATAGTGCTAGGATTAAAATAGACATACCAACCAATATTACATCAGAGAAATATTTCCCATCTCTCATTTTATGAAATGCACGTACGTTATGGTTATTCACAGTTTGGCCGTGGCGGACTTGCTTCTCCTCTTGCTTTGCGTACCGTTGGAAATGCTGCAGTACTTTCTCCAGTTTGATGGGAATGGATTCATTTGCAAAACGACGAAATACGTCCTCCTGCTTTCTGCATCGGCATCTGTGCTGAATTTATGCGCTGTTAGTTTGGAGAGGTAAGTACCTCCGAGGTTTCATGGACCATTAAGACGACTGCACACTTCCATCCATCCATCCGTGTGCATGCGGACGTGGAAAGACTTTCTTTTTCAGTTCGAATGATGGTGGTTGCAAATCTGAGAGATGACGGCTACATGCTTATTTCACCGTGAGGATGTAGTGACCGTGATAACTGAGAAGCTCATTTCATTCAACAGGTTCATCGTGATTGTATTTCCTATGCGATCTCGTTCCCTCTGTACTCTGAGTAATTGCAGAAAAGCGATCCTTTTCGTCTGGCTTTCTGCCACGATCCTTTCCATGCCCGTGATGCTGATCAAGGTGAGCCATTTGACACTCTCGATGAGGCGTCAGGTTTCCCAAAAGTAGCCTCCACGAGGAAACAATAAAAATTTCCAAGCCTTTACACCCCTGCTTATTGCTTGTCTCTCTTACTCTCTCCCATGAGCTGCCACACTGTCTGCTCTGATAAGGCAGCAGTAGACGACGCGTCACCCCACACGGGTGCATTTCTAATCAAAATTATTTCTGAAACTTCATTATTGCGTCAGCAGATTAAAACGTGATGTCGAGTTTTACCTATACGTATAGTTGAACTTTACAAAGATATTATTAAAATGGGACAGGATCTCGTTCTCGCTCCATGAGGTCGCCATTCCCGCAGAGGAGACCACTTTCCCAAATAACTGCATGTTTCCATTGCATCGTTAGGCACTTTTGTGCATTGCTTTCCTCCCTCTTGGCAGATTGGATGTATATTAGAATTAATCTAACCCACCCACTATACGTTTCCCTTGCAGGATGGCTACAGCATGGTCTACACCAACAACATCATCTCGGTGAAGGTCTACTATTGTGAAAATGCGGATGAAAATCTTGTCTTTGCGATCTATCAGTTCGTGATCCTCTTCGTGGCACCTGGACTCGTCATGATGGTCTGTTACGTTTATGTCATTCGGGAACTGTGGAGGAGCACTCGGAACATAAATATCCTGACGAATTCGAGAAGGTCAGTTGTAATTAAGTTCCATGTGACGCACTGTATGAGAGATGATGAGCATTTTTTTGTTCGCAAATCAAACTTAATCATATTATTTTTTTCGGATTGATCAACTTCAAATGAATCGAGTAATTCGAATCAGTGGGACAACAAGCATTTTCAATTCAAGTTTCATCATCTCATGATTTTGATTATTCTCGCAGTCGCATGACTGAGGATGACGTGTATTGCTCAGGATAATGATAAAGATAGGATATACATACGTAAATATATATATCATTTTCATGTGATGTGCCATCGTCAAATTTAGAACTTATCCCGAGATGAGTGTCATACTGCCCAATGCTGTGTCGGAGTTGTCAAATTATGATTTTCATGCAGTCTGCTCTGAGAGGGAGACTTATCGAGAGAATTGCGTCTTCATCTCCTTCTGCTGGAACTCATTCTCTCTTTAATTCATAATCCGATGATGAGTCCTTATTCTCCTCCTTTCAACTCGTCACATTATGATGATGATGACAGATCACAAAATACGAAAGCCACATGTTGCTTGGTTTCAAATTGCGACATGGGCGTAGAAAATTTCATATTTTTCAAAGTTAAAGTATGGAGTAATTTCGTGATCAAAGTTGAAAATTTATGAACGAACAAGGAGCTAAATTTTGAAACGGGAACATGAATTTGGCTCAATTTCCAAAATACATTTCATATTAACAATTGTTGCTTATTGCGTAGACGGAAGCGATTAAATATTGATTGGTTGAAGAGTAATTCCAGTTCAAGTCCAGAGTGTTATGACAAAAAGTCAACGTTCCAGTTCCATCCTTGAAATAGAATCAAGCAAGTAATAATTCCACTCCATTCAATCAGCAATAATAATGTCGACTCTCGACGACGACGAGGACAAGTTGGGCGGTGCTGCGGATGAATAAATCCAATCTGACAGTAGCATTCTATCCCCCTATCTGCTTTCCCTGACGACGACGACGACTACGTATGATGCCTACGCGTGCATCCGACTTAATTACTAAAACTCTTCGTATGACGAGGACAGACACTTGTCAGCAGCATCATGAATGTTAGAAAATGGGGGTGGGTGCCGTCGTGTCGTGTCTCTTTCAAATAATGCAACAAGACAGCAGGCGAGACGACTTCTGGCTGCTTTCTTGTACTCAAATTTGTCATGGGTTTTGGTATTCGGGATCTCATCTCCTGCTCCTCCGATGAAGATGGAAATGCAAGTTATGCAACTCACAGACTTTGTCGCAGTCAGTGTGTCAAATAAAGTAGCAAATAGAGTCTCGAGTAATATGCTATACGTACCTCATGGGAGAGGGTCATCGTCTATGCTGGATTTATATTGTGCAAGTAAATGGATAATTGTAGTATGGGATGTTGTGATGTCATGTTTCTCCGAGTATACGCAGCAGCATTTTCATGGAATAGACCGACTATTGGAGAAAGTCTGGTTTATTATGTATTTCTACTTCTGCTCTAGTTCGACTACGTACGTGCATGGCGAATAAATTCCTATGAAAGAACTGTTTATTGAATTTTCCACCTTTCACTCCAATCACAGAAATCTCTATTCTTGTCCCTGAAACCGACAGTTTGCTCCTCCAGATATTTTGACGTTTATCCGTTGAAACTGGAGTTAAGACGTCATCTTTTTGGTGTAGATGGCTATATGCATTGCTTAGTAATCATTTTTCTCAAAATGTCTTGCAAAAAGTTTCCAAAAATTAGCACATGTTTAGTACCTATCATAACATGTCCTGTACTCGAATGCCTGTTGACGACACCTGCGACGATCGTGTCACGTGGTTGGTATTCATTATGATGACAAAAGTCAGGCTTGATGCTCTAGATGGAAATTAGTTTTTGAAAATTACTTATATTTATGCAAATTGAATATACTTTAAGAATGCCAAATAATAAGTAATCATCCGATTCAATTTTTGATTAACTGACGCCACATTTTTAATGCTCATACTTTAAAAACTACTTTAGCATGGCGGACCGTCGACCAACCACAAAACGGACATCTGAAGAGCGAGAAGAACAATCCACTTGCGGCAGTACTTCCCGTTTCTTGCGGGATAAACGACCCGGACCGAAAGCGGCGGATTCTGAATATAAGAACACAAAATATCTTGGATCTGAAAAACCTACAGCCACCCTGGCACATGGCGCAGCACGACGTTCCGCAAACCATATGCGAGCCAACCGAGGAGACGATGTTAAGAAAGCCCGTAAACAAGTAAGTAAACAAGTAGGGAAAGGAAATAGTACGCTATAAATTGGAACAATTTTATGAAAAAGTCATCAAATTATATAGAATTAGCTCGATAATAGAGCACTCATCGCATCATCCCATCATTTGAATGAAATTAATCCCTTCCTTGTAATTTCCAGGTCATCAAGATGCTAATCTTAGTAATTCTCCTGTTTCTGCTGTGCTGGGGACCGAAACTGATATTAACAATCACTCTGAAACTCGCAGAAACCTTTGGGCTTGAGGTGTACACTCAAGTGAGTATGAATAGTTGATTAGCCCAAATTAATCGCATATCACTTTCTCCTGCATCTGTATTGACCTCTAATGCTAATGTTATGTTTCCGTATTTTTTCCCCTTCAGCAAATGTACAACACAAGGGTCATATTCAGCTTAATACCATTTATCCACTCGAGGTAGGTATTCATCAGGGGTTAAATTACTCAAAATAATGACGAATTAGACACACATGCCTGCTCCCAAATAATTCTTCTTACTTCTAATTTTTTTTAGCTTCAATCCACTCATTTATTCCTTCATGTCGAAGAACTTTCGTCGGTCAATGAGTCGGCAGTTGGCCAGGTTGAGCGCTCTGTGTGGCTGCAGCTGCTTCAAAGCCGTTCCCCTCAATCCCAGAAATGATATCCCACTGAGGTCAGCCATCAACCGGGCACGCAGCAAGCAACCATACCGACCGGACTCTACTTTCTCCAGCAACTACTACTCGGAGGCTGTGAGCACTCGAAATACGGAAGTGCACGGGATTTCCACCATTTAATCTTTGTCCTCGTGGCTGAAGGACGAGGAATGAATCAATCTTGTCCAGATTATCCAATGCCAACACCGCATAGGCAAACAATCAGTGATGATGGAACGATTCCATTATTACACAACTTTCAATGCATCCCAATTTAGAGAAGAATCTTAGCCGTGTTTCTGATCCTGATTTATTGCAGTAGTTTCATTTCAATGTGCATGCATTTCCAAAAGCTGACTAAAAATATCATGTCACCCAGATTAAGTAGTTCGTGCACCTTTTCACCTATGTATGAATATGGCGACGATGTAGGACTTTTTCACTCAAGAAGTTGTTGGTCTTTCTCATGTATGTAGCTCATTCCGTACTTGTCGTCGCGTTTCTCTAGTAATCTTCCGTGAATTGTTGTTCCCTCATAAGTAATTCCTGATGTTGCTGATTTCGATCCGGTTTGCAGATTCTTGTAGCCTTTTCATTCATTGTTGTGATGCAAACTGTAGATCGTGTCAATTATATGTAGAGTCACTCAAATGTTGTACGTATGTATGAATTCCTCTCTGGATATGATCTGCGTGTCTGGCATAAGTTATCTCATGTGTACCGTGAATAAGTATAAGGATTCATTCATTGTTAGTCTAGCAACGTAACTCATGATCGTCGTGATACATTACTTATAAATAAATATTATATCGTTCTCCGTTCGTTGGTGCATCAAGTACAAGTGAAAATGATGCCACCATTTTTGACTCTCTTTTCAAGTGTGATTCTAATTTGCATATTATATATGTTTCATACCAAGATGAAGATAATGCAGATTTTTATGGAAGTGGATGATGGGATGGAACATGAGGCTGGGAAAAAGGCTGCACAGTGGTTCTGCCATTGTTGAATCAAATACATACAAAATTAAATTTCAAAAACCTCTACATGGATTTTGAAATGTTTATTTTAATACAAAATTTCATCAACAATTCTACAGTCTATGGAGTTCTACCTTTATTTTTGTCCCTAGAAAAAAAATTCTAGTTTTAGTAAAATGATAAATGTTAATTGTTACATGTACGTATTTATATATATATATTTAATGTATGTAGAAGATGTATCAGAATTGCATGTTATTGACTACACGGTAATTATATTTAAATGTGTGTTACATATTTTCAAATTATAACGATGTCCGAGGTGGTGCAAAAATTAGATTTATGTATGTACCAAGCTTGTCGGCAAGCTCATGATGATCGGCATAATGGAAAACAAACAAATATTTGTGTGTCAAACAACACTTGAAATTTATGTACGTAACCAATTTAGAGTTGTTCTATATGAATAAATAATAACGTAATCACTGTTTACACGTATATGCTTATTAATACTTTATACTTAACCAACGAGCAGTGCAGAGCATCATGTATGAAAAAAGTAAGAAAAAGATTCATCAAGTTAGAGATGATCATGAAAAATTGGTAAGTTAGTTGCCCCCTCGAGAATGTGTGCTGGAGTTTTGAGAGTTGGGATACGGAATGAGAATCCGTCTCCCTCCTGCCGACAACCGATCGTACACACTTCTAAAGATTACTTCCGGCGATGTGGGGAAGGACGAGGTGGATGACGTTGTGGAATGTGTGTGAGAGTGGATTGTTCGAGGGTCATAGTCACCCCCGCCAAGTTTCTCCCAGTGTCGTTGCTTTGACCTGTAGAACACCCAAAATGCACCAATTAGCCCCAACTGGAGCAACAACACGGTCAAAATGGCCCCCACGACGCTCCCCTTCGTGCTGCAAACATATCCATCGTAGGTGGCAGGTCCGGCTGGAAATGCAAAAAAAATAGTATTGCTCGAAAATTTGTCAAAATTCGTCAAAAATAGATGAATTCTTACACGACGGCACGGCAGACGAGTACTGTCTACTTTCATTAATTCTACGGCGGAAGGCAAGGTCAAGCTCGTCGCTGTTGGGCATATTTTCATCCTCTTTTGCTTTCACCACGAGCTGTAAACAAACCAAGTTAACAATGTAATAATGATGAAAATGCATCGTTTCGTCTCATTAAAACTTTTTTTGCTATTGTACCCTCGAGTGAATGGGAAGTGCACCGGGCAACTCTGACATTGGCTTTTTGGTAGAACTTTCCACATTATCTTGCTTCATGATTATATGTGGGTCCTCATTACTCGGTGGGTTTAAGGTGTTTGGAACGGAGGTGGTGAGCTGCCTAATTATCTGGCTGGGTCGGGCTCCTTCAGACTCAATGATGTGCGGAGATTGGTGGAACGGCGAATATTTATAGCCACGCTCTATTGTCGGAGTTCCTGCGGTGGAGACGGGCTTCAGAGGAACTGAAATATCAATCAAAACGTGAACCACATGAATAATTATCAAGGTAAGATTTTAAAGAGAAATTGTGAAATATCCGTCTGCTAATCATTGTGATTGTGAAATTGTCTGGCTCGTGCTTCGATTGCGATATGCAAATGTACCTTGTGTGTCTGAAGAAGTTGGTTTCGGTGTTACTGGTTGCTGGTGTGGGAACAAGTTGTACGGTTGCATATTTTGATGAATTGTGCTATTTGTGGGGGCGTGGGAGGTGGTGGCTAATGTTGGAGATGGGATCGTCATGCTGAATTGATGAAGAATAGGTTCCGATGTATCGTTCGAAGTTATGGATCGTCTTCGTCGTCCAAACGATTCCAATCCAGCTTGACATCTCACCTGGAGCAATAATTTTAAAGTTAAGTAAAGTAGTGCTAATGGAATTGTCATTTATTAATTAATTTACGATGATTACTTACCGGTTGGCAAGCATCCTGACAGAATTGTACAGTCGCGACAAAGTTCACGGTAGCGGTGGATGGGAATCTGAAAGCTTTGAAATCTGCAAACAAGTTTCTTGTTCCTCGCTCTATTTCCAGACCGGGGAACACGTTAGGGTCTCGAGGACATCTGCAAGTTAAAATGAGACTCGATGGTTGCTACAAGTCGTTTCTGTGAAGATTAATTCATCTTTTTATGTATCACAATTACCCAATGTTATCAATAAGAGTGAGCAATTCTCCGTATTCCGTCCTAGCTTCCAAATTCCTGGCAAATATTCCAAAGGCACTGGATGGATCAATTTCTACTTTCAACTGAAGTTCTTCACCCAATCCGACTACGGAGGCATCTTGTCCATTTCTCATGACAATTCGCATCCGGACGTTCGGCGTGGGTGCGGTGTTTGTGTAAATATTGGTTCCCGTAGGTTTAAAGGGGACCCTGTTATAAGTCAATTCATTTTTTGAGTCGTATCAAATTGGTAAGTTAAAGTAAATTTATATGCGGCACTCACGTTACAGAAAGTCCATTGTTAGCTGCGTCGGGATATTCTCTTGATCCAGATACACCGGCAGGTGCGTAAGATACGGTTTGGTCATTGGCATCAAAGGAACACTCGACTCGAATTGTTTTGTCCGACTCTTGCATAATTACTGGGTTCTGTTGGATTACGACGTGATTGACATATCGACCTCGTCCCTACAAGTATAATATTCAATAAGATTTTACTATGAAGCTGAAATTTATATGAAAAATATTACAACTTAACATTGTATTTAGCTTTGTATGTATGTACCTGTTGCAATGTTCCGCACTGTGTTCCCAAAGATATTCTCAATACAAGTTGGCTCCTGTCTCCACCCATTTCGAAACAAGATTGAGGATTTCCTGTGGCAAATACCCTGCCAGCAAATGGGTTTCCAAAATTGATGGTGACCATCATGTCGGACGGAGTACAGTCAACTTTAACTAATATTTACGAAAAAAGTAAGGTTTCCTTCATAATGTGACAACAATTTCTTCATATAAATCCACGTATGCAAAGATTTATCACCATTATTGCAAGTTCCACGTTCTCCATAAAAGAAGTCTTGATCGGATACGAGAGCTGTTCCACTTGAGTGCGTATCATCCGAACTGAGGAGACACTCCCGTCGATAAGCATGAAAACTGAAGGCACGACATTGGAATTCTGGCTCAGTGTCGCAACTTCGTCGACAATCCTCATGTGTGTAGACTCGAGGAATGAATTTATCTGCAACAGGCAAGTATCTTCCGGGGGAATCGGTATATTCGCAGTGAGGAGGAGCTGAATTATGGAAAAAGAACACAAATTAATCACCACTACAAAGCATTTATACCTTTACATAAGATAAGGAGTTATCAACTTACTTGGAGCACACTCATTTTCCATGTAGTCAATGTCAGGCCCAGCTTTTCGAAAACTTTCTGGTCGAGTTCTTCTCGTCTCACTGCTCAACTTGCAGAGACGTTCTCGATTATAGTAGGTGACGGATCTGAAGGACAAGGGAGTTACGTATTTCTTCATATTTATATTGATCATGAATAGAAGCGAAGGACGACGACTAACCTGCAAGGACCTCTCGGTGCTCGAAGACACTCATCTTGACATTGCCTTCTGTTGTAAATGTTTCTGATTTCGAGATCACCTGGTCCAACCAACTCATGCTCTGGAACTCGGGTGAATGTCCACATTTTACCACAACTTCGTTCTAAATTGAGATGCATAAAATTAGCACGAATATTAAATCATAAAAGTGGTCATATTAATCATGTCACCTCTCAGACATATTTTTTCGTAATGAGTCAATTCCACGGATGGATGGAGTAAGGAAGCGTCCGCCTCGGATGACCGATCGAGTGCAAAACACCTCTTTCCAGCTCCACGGACAGGTTCCAAACTCACTGCTAAACATCTATCACGAAGTTGATCGCATTCTTTCAAACATTCTCCAGTTATCCCAAAATCGGACCGGGTTGGTATCAATTCCCTTTAAATGAGATATTCATATACTCAATTCATACATGTATTTTCATTTACATGAATTTTCCACTTACTTTCTTGCTCCGTTGTAGGTGTGTCCTAAAACCTTTTCATAAGTCACAGTGTATCGACACCTGTACGGAGAGAGTTCTGGGTCCAAGTAATTTCCTGGGTCGGCAGTTCCTCCTGGTGGATATCCAGAAGACGGGTACGGGTCCCGGAGACTGTTGTACCCATCACGATCTCGGCCTGGAGGGTACCTGTTGTAATACGGGTCCCTGCTTGGGTAAGGTTCTCGCCCATAGTTGTCTCGGTCTCTGAGGGGATAATAATCCCTCGTGGGATAAGGGTCCCGACTTGTGGCTGGGAATCGACTGGTAGAAAAGGGGTCCTTTGAACTTGTTGGGTAAGCGGAAAAGGGTTGAGACGGGTATGGGTCCAGCCTGTTTGGGGAGAAGGGGTCACGACCTGCAGGTGGGTAAGGTCTTGGGTCAGAGAGGAAGGGGTCAGACGAAGGTGGATATGGTGGTCTGAGTGCCTCTCGTTGGAATTCTCCACCAGGAATGCTCCTGGGGTCGCATTCTTTCTCGTTATAAGTGGCTCCTGGCTGGACTTGGAATGCGTTGGGGGCTGCTGTTTCCGCCGTGTCTCCACTCAAAAGGCACACACTTGGCGCAGGGGTTGCTGCTCCGACCTAGAAATAAGAGATAGTTTATATCACACTGGAATAAATAGCACTTATTTTCTAGTTTTTGGAATAGTTTCTTACAGTGGCCAAGAAAGAGTATGATCGGCAATTAAAGTCTCGTTCTTTGTCACAAGCTCGTTGGCACATTCCGTCATGTTGCGCTGGCTCTGCTTTGTCCACATAAATCAAATATCGATCCTTTTGTGCCGTTTTATAGTTGCATTTTCTGGGCTCTGTAGAAAAATATGTAATAAAATATGATATGAGATGTAGTTTTGATTAATGCAAGAGATTATTTAAGTATTTATGCAAAAACTTATGCGTACGCGGAGCACACTGATTTTCCAAGTAGTCCGTTTCCGCCGATGGGATAAAGCCTCTCGCTTGTGTGAAACGGTCCTCAGTACTCAAGCGACATTCGCGTTTTTTCCAGTCGTAAGTTGCAGATCTACAAATAAATCTTCGTTCCTCCAAACAGCGATCTTCACACTGAGTTTTCCCAACATCTCGGACAACTTCACGCTCAAAGCCTCGAAGCTGGAAGTTGGGAATTCTTTCAAATGTCCACAAAAGTCCACAGCCACCACCTTAATCAATCAAATACAATTTAATTAGACTAAATAAACTGACACTCCACTCAATAACTTACCTCGTAGACAAATCCCTTCAAAGTAGGCTACCCCAGAAGATCTACGGAGGTCATATCGGACCTCATCATTAGCAAACTCCAGTGCGGAACATTCATTTCTGTTATAATCCAAGTTGAAGGCGTGACATCTGATATCGCTTTGACATCTTTTAGCACATCTATCCGAAATCCCTCTGGCTGCATCTCGGTACAAGAGGTAGCTGTGACCCCGGTCCAACTCGTAGCCCGAAACTTTCTCGTATGTCATCCGCCCAAAGGCGCATCTTCCAACTACAAGCACAAATGCTTTATTTAGTGAAAAATACATTTTACTTAATACACAAAATGACTGAATAAAACCCACTTTGATGGTCAGTGATGCCTTGTCGTGGTCTGTCATCAATAGAATTTCCAAACGGTCCTCCGCTAAATGGGCGCTCCGGTATTCCTGACACGCTTGAAATTGCAGGTGGCAATGGGCCGAGAGGGGTCCCCTTGCAATTCCTCTCGTAATACGTGGTTCCAGGTCGTTTCTGTATCGCTTCTTCGAGTGCGGAAGCTAAGTTTATAGAAAAATGCTTGTTATTGGCATCATATCCGAAGAATAATACGTAATAAAATTTGTCATAGTAAAAAGATAACCTTTGTCATCTCCTGAGATGAAACATTGGGAAGCTGCAGCGTAGAAAGAGTACGATCGACACACAAAGTCTCGATGAGTGTTACACCTTCCTTGACAATCTTGTTCGCTGGTCACACCATTTACCACCGTGTCCAAGTAACGTGGATGAGATTCGGCCACAGTGGTGAACGGACACCGACGGTCGGCTGTGTATACAAAGAATTGTTAAAATACTCCATAAAATTCTTCTGAGCTCATTTTATCTAAATTGATGTATGCAACTCACGTTCGATACACTGGTTTTCCAAGTACTCAATTTGCATCGGGGCCTCAACAAAATCCGTAGGTCTTGTCCTTCTATCCTCGCGACTGAGTCTGCACTCGGTCGTCTGTTAACAAATAATTATAATTTATTTTAACTTTTAGGAATGCTACTTAAATTAAATTTCCAATTAATGTTAAATTCTCGCCTCTGTATGATATTCCGCAGAACGACAAACAAATCGTGTTTCGTCCAAACATTTTTCTTCACAACTTCGACGACTTGGGACCCGTTGGATGACGAGATCATCATGACCTCTCAATTCCCTCCCAGGTCGACGTTCAAATGCCCACGCCCTACCTCGGCATCCTCGTGTATTGCCTTTTAAGAGAAAGTAAAAATCTTGTAAGTATCGTAAAATGTCATCATAACTTGAAATCCATACCTCTAAGACAAATCTTTTCAAAATAATTTTGCCCATCTCGTTTAGTCAGCTCTTCTCCACGTCCTTGAGTATTTCGATCCAATTTGAAACATCGCATGGCAGAGTGATCCACAACAAAAGCGGGACAATCCGCCCCCGCATCTCGACAACGTTCCACACACTCCAAAGTTACTCCGGGAGCAGCATTTTGCAAACTGATTGGTTCCTGTTTTGCCGTTCGGAGAAAGTGACCAGTGACTTTCTCAAAGGTGAATAATCCATCTTCGCAGTTATCTGTGTTCAGAACGATAAGAACGCATGATAAGAACAGTAAGAACATTAAGCACAAAAATGAAGAAGTTTATCGTACTAATGTAGCATTGCTTTTCTGAGAACACGGCTCCACGCTTGTGCGGAAGTGTGGCACCCATCAAGCTAATCGCATCATCGGCACTAAGGTAGCATCGGTTATCTTCGCTGGAGTAGGATGTCGATCGACACGTAAACCCACGAGCCTTTAGTCATTAAATAGAACAGGGTTAGCTAGTTCATGGGACAAATTGAAATTAAATGAGATAAATAAATTACATGGTCGCAAAGAGATTGACAATCCTCTCGAGACGCTGCGAATTGCAATTCGTCCATCGATATTACTGAGACATCTTGCCGAGTTGTGTACCGACAGTCGGGAAGTTCTATTAAGAAGGAAATATTATTATGTAAAAATAAAATTTTGACTGCAAAATATGCTATTTTATTCATACGTTTAACGCATTGATTTTCCAAATAATCCACCGAAATTCTGGGCTGTCGTCGAAACGCGCTTGGCTGAGTTCGCCTGTCCTCTCTACTCAGTCGACAAACTTTCAACGTTTCGTCATATTCGGCAGACCTTGAGATTGGAGAAAATGTTAATTAATGAGATCTACATTAGGACAACTTTATAGTTAGTAATTTATGCATGATTTATGCACGTATGTATTTTATATTTACCTGCATACAAAATCCGTTTCCAGCAAACAAAGCCTTTCGCAATCCGTTTTTGACTGGATAGCTCTTTCTTCCTTGTCGTCAAATCCTTCCAAAAATGCGCCCACAACTCTTTCGAAAGCCCACAATCGATCATTGCAGACTTGTTGAGTCACTACGTGTCAACAAAGAGTACAAATTAGTCCAAGGTTGAGAATCCATCTCAATGTCATTCGTACAAATATGTAGTAACAAATTGCATACCTCCTTTGTAACAAATTTTTTCGAAAAAGTTACTCCTCGGGTCTTCTCTCAGCTTGTCTCTCCTGCTGACGGAGTCGACCTCGTAAGAGTCACATCGGGACTTGTCATAATCTAAGGAATGAAAGTAGTTAGTGAAATATGGTTAAAAAATATGGAAGGGATTTTTAGAAAATGGAGTTACACCCACCAACGGTGAAGGCTTTGCAGGTTGTACTCTGCCTACATACAGCTGTAACAAAGGAATGCATACTTTATTGAAACCAAATCAAGAGTAATGTAAATATTTTAAAACCACTTATGCATAAAGGATAGGCGCAGAACATAAAAGGTGACATTTTCTCCCAATATTTACAGTTATCAACTATATGATAGTCCTATTTCACAATTAAGAGAGTCAAATTGACCGCACACTTGATACTTAACAACCTGAATTACTAATTATAAGTTTCTTATGACACGTCGAAACCTTCCAGCTCAATTTGATAGAAGGGGTCAAGAGAAAACAAAAAACTTTGATATTTAACTGCAGCAATAAAAACGAGATGGACGACCAATTTTCATTATGCCAATAAATATGATGTTCTTAACCCTCCTGAGGAAGGTGATAAGCAGTACCTGCAAAATGTATACACATTCTCATGTGGTCATTCTCCGACTATTACTTTCCAGCTCAATGATAGCATTACTTTGATGTATACATTTTTTTGTGCTTGATATGATTTCATCTTTAACTAAGATTTCTGGTGTCTTGCCCTTTTTATGCACACCTTCGAATTTTAACCAAGGTCGTCTTTTCTTACCGGTACAGTCTCTCGTTACTGCGGCTCCTGGCTGGTGAAGCAATCCTTGGGGGTCGCCCTCAGTCAAAGCCATTCCAGTCGTCTTCTCATACGTTTCGTACCCACCAAAACATTCACCTGGCGCATATTTAAACAACAGCAGGTTAATAGTTACATACTTTAGGGTGCCTTGAAGGACATTGCATTAATTAGTACGTTATTCATTACCTTGTGCGTATGTGGGGAGGACAATGGTTAAAATTAGGAACAGACATTTGCAAGCCATCCCTGGAGGAGGGTAACCCAAAGGCCGCGCCTAGATTAAGATTAAATCAAATTCATTAGTTGGCATTATTTTCCTGCGAGCAAAAACAATTACAAGGCCACAACTTGAAATCGTATGCATATGAACGCTGGAAGAGTAGCGGAAAATGCACTTCCTTTTCATTTCCTATTTTATAGAGATTTGATGGTCAACTTTGCTTTTACCATTTTTTTAAGGTGTAACCACCGAGTGGGATGACTGCACTAAGATTTATTGCTGATTTTTAGCTTAATTAGTTTCAATTCATGAAAGGAATGTGCTCTCTCAATTAAAAAATTATGACAGTATTTGCCTCATGAAAGTAAAATTATACACTTTCATGCATTTTTGTACTAAATTTGGGACAATTTTGGGACATTTCCAGCATTACGACATATTTGTGAATCGTCGTTTTAATAAATTGAAATAATAAATTACATCCAATATTTCACTATTACGAAACCATCTAATTTAAATTATGGTGAAATACCATTATGTCTGAAACGAAATGTCCAGTGACGCGAACAAAGGAGTCGAATGGAAAAAAGTGTGACACAAAAAGGGGCCGAATGACACTGATGAGACTGGAAATAGGGGTGCGCCTGAGTAAACATGACTCGATATCTTTATTCCTCATTGTGGTGGAGTGCTGGACGTGGACGTGGACGTCGAGGGAGAGAGACGCCACACACAACCAACCTCATCAACTTCCGGTTCCACCAGTTTAATGCTGCCCTTTCCGTTCGTAGCCCTTAATTTTTCCACCATAATCTAATTAATGTGGTGGTGACTCTCCCCCAACTCGGCTCACTATCGCATAATACAGTTTTAATAATAACTTGGTTTCATGACAATGAGTAAAAAAAAAAATAGAAGGCCATTGACTGCTCATCATACGTTGATAATTTGAGCATGTGGTTGCTTTAGTACATGTGTATTTCCAGTGCAGAGTGGGTATGGATTTTGAACAAACAATAAAGCCGTCAACAATGAATAGGGTTCGTGGTGTCTGCAAAATTCCACTCTTTGGTTAAAAACGTGCCCAAATATATCGTGTCATAGTATCCGTAACAAACTTTGTTAAATTGAGCTATTCATTAAATATGCACATTCATTATCTTCCGTTCCATGATGCGCTTTTGCTCTTTTTGTTTTCTGGAATGAGATGCAGACACCGATTTAAATTCCACGAGAGACGAGCAGCGTGGTGTGACTAATCTGTTTAACAAATTGATGTCCAAACCTCCACGCCTGATTAGCGACTTTTACAAGTTTAGATTTATGGATATTTTAGATATTGAAAATATTCTGAGGACCATGACATATTTTTTTGGATGTCTGATTTAAAATTAAAATTTTGTACTGATTGCATTTAAAGAGATTGAACCCCTTTTCCATTTTTCGTTTTATGATTTCCAGAGAATTTGAGTTGAAAGGGTTAAAATCACGTTTCATGAGTCATGAGATGTTAAAAATTTCATTCAGAGAATACTTTTGATGAGGAAAAGAGATCGCGAGCGAGATAAGTTTAGAAAATGGAAATGCTTCAGCTAAGCATCAACAATGGGGTCGGATGGTGGTGATAATCCGTCGTCAACTTCCTGGACGACCATTTATTATTATTATTATTGTGTTTATTGGAACATCCACCTGAAACATGAAAATTACACCTTCACGACCAAAGGGAAATCCCTACGGTATTTCTTGACCAGAGTCCACTCCACTTTCACTACGCCTTCAGATTGGAAAGGTGAAAGTAAGGGTTTTCATTAAAATTTTGAATCTGAGAGATCCAAATTTTCGAAATTTCGAAATATATACATGACAAATTCAAAATCTATAAAAGCTGTGAATTCTCCTCCGCCATTAATTTGAGTTGGACTCCATCCATCCATTATTGACCAGTGGAGTGGAACGATGACTTTATTTAATACAGACAACGCCACCACTCACTCACGCTATGCTTGCTACCCTTCCACTCATTATTATTTGCAACGTCAATTTACCGTTGCTCGCTTTCATCCGAGAATGGGCACAACTGGAATGATGATAATTATGAGGTTGCCATCATCATGCACTCCTTTCTATAAAAAAACCCCGAGCTAAATTTATGTCGACGATTTGCACGACATCGTCCAGCGTTGTTTACGAGGGAGTGCAATGCCTCGAGTTTTTCATCGTGTCGAAAAAAAATGAATTATTATTATTATGCCCATTCAGCCAATTACATTTACGTAACTTGATGCAGAGATTTATCCATGATTCGATGCAATTATTGGGCAAACGTGACTTGAAATTAATAAAAACTTATCCTTCGTTCCGTATTGGGCTGTATTTTTTATCATTAAAAATATAAATTGAAAGAAAATGCAAATTATGTGTATGCAAATTATGTATGCCAAAAAAGTGGTGGAGAAAGTCAAGCAACAAGAAATCTCAGTGTCTCTCACCTTCTTCTTTTGTCTCATTCCAAATTTCTGCTCCAATCCAGAAGTAGGAACTAACACCACCATAAGCAGGTTCTACTACACGCTGCTTGCAGTACAACGAAATATCCGATCCACACTTTGTCCGATATCCAAGTGCTCTTTTGAACTGAATTCCGGGCACACACAACTTTCTCCACTCGGAAAGAAAGAACCACAACTTTCAAAGTTTTCAATCCACCGAAAACAAGTTTTGAATTGATTATTATTTGAAGATGAAAGCGAACCAGTTTGCTGCACGAGCTGGAGCTGAAATGGTTGTGAATTATTTGAGATCAAAGAGCACACTGGCGTGGGATTGCAATGATAAGGACTGGATATCAGGGCTAGAGTGTAGTTTTTCGCAGTGATTGTCTGACGGACCCTGATCAACGGAAGTGACCATTTCATGCTCTGAATTGTGGTTCTATTGATGGCAACTCTATTGTTCCGAGTCTCCTCATTTCCTGTCTCGACTACTCCAGCACTAAATCAGCAGCCACTAAATCAACAACTATCGCATACCTGTTGCACAGACGTATTTACGAATACGTATGAACGCTACTGGAATGCACGTTTCGTGTGGGGCCGCTTCCTCCTTTGTTGCTGATCTATTTCCACGACACAACATGACTCTCTCGCCCATTGTTGTTCCTTGCCAATAAAATTCAAAAATTTCTCTTCCTACAACAACCTATAACCACATGCATGCACAATCAGCGATGTTGGTTGGCCAAAGGCCTTTAACCCAGGTTTTTAACTAAAATCGACCATTTTTGAGTCAGCATATTTTTATGGGCTCGGCAGCATACGTATTGTATCAATGTGCGAGACATTGTTGAACAATTTTTGGATGGGACAATGTTTCAAAACTTGGGGACAGAAATATGTAAATTTTAACAATTTAACGTCATTTTCCATGCTCAAAATGAATCTCTTATTATGAAGATGTCTAGATTACTTGTTGGCTTCATGTTTACATATCGGACGTGGATGATAGTCACGAGTAAAGAAAAAGACATTCCAATCCACCTCATTCATAAAGTTTGATAATTGCCCAAGATAATTGACACTTGAGTCAACCTGTGTTTCAAAATATCTCCATCATTATCTGGACCGGATGTAATTTTTGGTTTGTAACATTACACAGCGGCAAATAAATGACCATGCAATGACTCGTTCACTTAAAACCACAACGTTTACTGTCCAGTTAGCTGTCATTTAACTGTGCACTGCATTTTTCACTATTCCGTTGACATATGTCCCAATTGCGTATGCTGCTTGTAACCATCATTTCGTCGATCCGTCACGCCCAGCAGCCAGCAGGACAGTCTGCGAAGGATAATAAGAGTCACGAATAACGGGATCCAGGACTAAAATGACCGCTGATAATTCGTCCCCAAGAAAAAAATAGCAAGAGTTCATGTCATTCTTGCCCATGAAAAATGGTCGTCGGCCGGTGTTGATGGCCGCTGGATTTTATGTTACGAGGTTGTAAATATCTTTATAATCTCTTTGATGAACGTTATAATTACCATTTTATTTTTCGTATTCAGTGATCTTTATTGTATTGTGGTGAACGCGTAATAATAACGACATTAGTAAAATATTTATATTTGTACGAATGCTACGAATCTACGTTTTCATGATGTCTCATTTTTATTGGATAAAGTTCAATGGTTTCATCCGCATTGTCGGTTTTAATCTCTTTTTGGAGACAACGGAAGCTGGGGAATTGAGCTCTCTTGGCTTTGTTCTGGTTCATAGAAATGGTTGACAAATCACGCCAAAAGTATATAAAACAGCCAATGACCACCAAATTTCGTTGCGATGATATAAGTAAACAATGTTTGTATGTACATCCACTCTGCGGAATTCCTTTATTGTTTCAGATTTTTACTATGATTTTATTGTCACCGTGTAAATTTGACGGTGAAATAACGTGTTTGAGAGTTCAGACAAAAGCCGAAAAGTGTATTGTACACAGTTTTAAAAAATGAAGCTTTATGAACTTTTATATGAAAGCTAGAATGATTTTGTATGAGTTTTTGAAGTATTTTTTTTGTGAATTTCAGAAACTTTTCTAAAATTCTGAAAATCAATAAATAAACCTCAGCAACCGGTTGAAAATCTATTCTAACACTTGGGTCGCGCATTCAGCAGTAAAAGTAGAAATCAATACGTACATATATACGCAATCGATAGAAAATTGTGTGTTCGTGACTTGGTATTGCTCGGCTGATGATTGATGACGAGATGAAAGGCAAAGTTCAACATTGGAAGCAATATATTGCAAGACCTTCACCCAGTGGAGAAGATTTGTCGTCGCCAAGAAAAATCCAGTCATTAATAAAGAAAGAAATGTGCACATTAAACTATTTTGGTCTAGTACAGATTCGCATCGAGAGTTTTACTACACCGATATTTCTGCTACTACCACATTTCCCTAGCTAAATTTACGTAATGCATGTAGCATCTTTGCACTGCAGATAAAATGGAACGCGGAATAATCGTCTCTTAATAAACAAATCATGGTATTTCCTTTTAAATTACATCAGAGGTCTTACCTTTCCCTCATCAATCTCTAAAGACGCGTGTCTACAAGGGTCAAGATAATGATAATTATTACAGAAAACCGCACATGTTTCCACGACAAGGATGCATAATCCCATCCAGCAACAAAGCAAGGTACACATTAGTCATGTACAAACATGACAAATTGATTGCATAAAACTGTACCCACATCATCACGACAAACACATATTTGTAAGTCATCCGTACCTCCTGCATAAAACGGCATGCACAAACTTTTATTAGTACCCGAACACAGACAACGAATAAATCTTGGTCGTCATACTAAATACTTTATCGCGTCTCTAAATCTGGTAAATAATTCAGTGGAAATTACTCAATCGCAAGAAATAGAAGTAAATCAATACTGCAGACGATTGAATATAGCAGTGAAATCAATCCCAAGTGAGACCTCGGGAGTGATATTTTATTTCAACCCTTATTCTTCTTGGCTAGGGCATAAAATGTGAGGCGGATTGATGAAAACCAGAGTGTGATGATGTGACAAAAGCACCGTGTAAAGCGTATACTTATGTCCAACTTGCATGAGAGATAGACCATAATTCTACTCCGTGTGTAATACTACATAAGTCGAGTTTGATTTGTGTGCTACAACACACTTGATGTTGAATCAAGTAGGAGTTAACTTTTTAAAAAGTCAAGTTTATACTTAATAATAAGTAGTCTGCTACTTACGCGTACTCACAATTGGTGGCTATCAGCATAAATAATAGTGTTGTAATAGAAGAAATTAATAATTTCCTGGGTACATGTAGGTTTAAAGTTGCGGAATTATTGTAAGTCGCTTAGTTGTTAAATAATAATGAGGAATATTATGTGTCTTCTTGTTGAATATTGATTTGTCCTACTTGACACGACACGGCCTTTTCTGATTGTTGATTGTGGGACGTATGTATAAATTTTATAGGATACGACTCCTCTTAATAATTCCTCGTTGTATTCTAAATTGAGAAATCAACCTTGTTCCAAAGCTTTAATAGTGAGACTGAATTTATTTTGATACGGGTGATTAAACCAAATTTTTGATGGTTTAAAGGAATCATTAAATAGTTAGGATTTCTGTACATTCTCCGATAAGGCAAATTTACGACACATTCCTCCGTTAAGAGTGTAATATATTATTGAGTGAGCATTCCAGTTCCATAAAAAAAATATTGGGTAGTAATTTCATTCTTAGTTGGTGAAAAATCTGTCAAAGTTTAAGTTGGGTTTAGGAAGTAGAGTGTATGGTAGTTAGCTAAATAGGATATTAGATAGATGAACCTTGCCGAGGTATGGGAATAAGAAATGACGGTGGATTTCAGTGATCACTTCTGGGTACGTATGAGACAAATGAGTACTAAATTAGTAACAATTTCAAGGAATGACACCGTGTTTATAAAATGAAATTGCAGGGCGAGGGTCCAAAGAATAGTGGGGTCGATGTATTATTTCAAAACTTAAAGTATGGAGTTACAACTTCCAGAGATGTGGGTGACTTTCTTCGTGAAAGGTGCGTAATAATGCTCTTCCGGTTGAAATATGCTGGAATTTTATCAAATTTATTAAAAATTATGAAGAAAAGGCACATTTTAAAATGTAAATGTCAAATGAAGGTCCACCCTGGAAGAGTCTCATTCCCGAGCGTTGGGCAAATTGGCAAAAACTGCATCAAATGGCTGTTCCCAAGGGTCCTTCTCTCCACTTTGGCAGTTCCTTAAAACTTCTTCTGAGAAATTGGCAAGTGCTCACGTCCAAATGGCGCAGAAAGTGGACGAGCTGATGAAAGAGCTTAGCAAGTATGCGGATGAGTTACAAAAGAAACACAAATCCGTAAAAGAAGACGAAGCTTCCACAATTGAAGCAGGTATTCATAGTTTGGATTTTAAAAATACAGACTAATTATGCTGATGAGGGTGGCAAGGGTATAATATAAACTTGCATTTTATGTCCACAGTTCAAATGTACCAAAATTCCAAAAGCATGGTTTCAAAAACGAAAGCAATTTATATGCAACGATTCGTCGAGTTTGAGAAATGTCAGAAAGACAACATGTCACAAAAGGAAACTGAGAAGGCTGACGTCAAGATGAGGAAAGCTCACGAAGAGTACAAGTCCTGGGTGGAAAAATATCAAATTTGTACAGAAGACTACCTCGTAAAGTTCTCTAAAGCGTGCCAAGTATGCATTAAAATGATGATTGACTACTTATAGCCTCAGATAATAAAATGACAAATTTCGTTATTTCAGAGATTTCAAAATCTTGAAGCAATATATTTGAAGCAGATGAAAGACTTTTTAAATAGTTATGCTACTTTGATGGAAAACAATCACGAAGTTATTGGACAAGTACATACGTATACAATTTACCTACAAAAATTTATGAAAATTTTGCCGTAAACCATGACATTTGCATGCAGATTCATGTCGAATTCCGAGAAATGTGCTCTCAACTAAGCGTAGAAGAATTACTGTTAAAATTTGTGACTCACAAAGCCACAGGAAAAGACAGACCAAGTACGTGAAAATATAGCTCCTTTAATTACGGGGTCTACAAATTATACCCAAAATCACTCTCTTGTAGGTGCTTTGGATATCGCCGAAGATGTTCTCCCCACTGCGGATGCAATAAGCCAACGAAGTGGGAGTTCGGAAGACAAATCTTCCATTGACAGAGCTCCAATTCCGAGTGAGAAGAAACGGGAAGGTAATTCTGATAAATTTGTCTCTTCTGACGACTTCTTTCAATTTAAAAGAGGATCTCGCAGAACAACTTCACTCTTAAGTCAACTTAATCTCTTCATTCCTCAGTCTCAGCAGGGTATGTCAGGGCTCTAATAATCTTAGCTCTTTATACTCACACCCATCCACCAACAATTAATTAATTACCAACGCACATACAAACTATTCAAAGTCCTGTAAAACAACCTACTTCCAAGGACAAGAACAATATGTCATGTAAAGCGTATGGATTTTATGGTATTCAGAAGGAATTTTCCATGTTTTTGTAGGCTATAAAGGCACTAATTCAAATCCAAGTAGGGGAATCGATTTCCCCAACTTGGAATTGTCCAGTGTTTCCGGACAAGTGAAGAGCAACTCTAAACCGTCCTCCACCACTGCAAGATCCCCACCACGGGGGTCAAAATGTATGATCAGGGTCTAATAATTGAGCAGCACATAAATAATGTTCTAGCACATTTTCTGATCGCAGTTACTTTTTTAATTTGGAGACTGACTAACTAACCATACTGACAACAAACCAATTGATGCGAATGTTTCGTTGGTTGCTTTTCGCACTCGCAAATTTATTTATTCTTGGTTTATAAATATACAGCACTGAATTTGATTATAAGAGGAGAGCGATATGAATTTTTTCTGCACTGCTGCTGTACAAATATCTTTGTCGCCGTTGTTGTCCTCGTCGAATATTTAACGCACATCACACATACAGCCATTGAGATCAATGTGCAAGTTGTTGTTGTGTGTTGTATTTTGGTTATGAAATTTATCGCTTCGATTATTTTATTTTGTTAAATATTCACAAATATCTGAGACTAACTTGGCATTGTCTAATATGAAATGCATGCTTATTCGCAGGGTTTCTTCGAGGCAGAAATAAGGGAAAGAAAAAAGACAAGAAAAATGAGCAAAGTGAAAAAGACGACAAATCTGATGGGTACGAAAATCTAAATTATGTGTACTTTCCAAAAAATCATGGATACTAGCTTATTGCAATTTTGACAACAATTCAGTGATGACAAGGAAGTGAATCACAAACCTGCAGCCGCAGAGGAAGTAGACGACGAGGGGTACAGCGTTCGACCTCAACAATTGGGATGGGAGACGGAAAAAAATAATTTCTACTCCAGCTCAGATACTGACTCAGGTTGGAAATTAGAATTAATCCGTTTTACAATAGATTACTAATGTGGAAATGGTGTGATAATTAGATGAAGAACCGGAACGGCGTCTGCATGTAGAAATCAAGCCGTTAACGAATGGAACTGCTCCATTGAGTGCAAGTGTGGATGAACTGCGGACAACGATTGAGAACATTACACTTTCCCCAATGGGACTTAACGTAAATACATTTAGGAAATTATTTAAAAAATAATTACAAATTAATAACTCACCTTTGAAAATAAGTTTATGTAGTTTTGCAAAAAGTTTTCTAAATAAAAAGGAAATACTTCATTAAGGTGAAATAATAATGGAAAAATGCATTTTCAGGGCCGGAGGATGAATATCGAAGTCGAAAATAAAATGAAACGGTCACAATCCGTTTCGCAACAAATTGGAGGACCATCATCACCATCGACACATCCTTACACACCTCTCAGCCCTCCAATTGTACCAACTTCCACAAATCAAAATAATAACACAACGTCTCGCTATGCAGGTTCGAAAGCCACTTTTTCGGACACATTTTTAACATGAACATGAACAATTATAATCCCATAATTTTCAGATTTGGGCGATTTATTTGCCGAAGTGGGAGAGATACAGCCTTCTTCAGTCTTCACAAATGCTACCACAAGGACCAGAAGCACGCCTACTCCGAGTGGAACGGCGATTCCACGTCCTTCTTCACGTCCACAAATGTCACAGGTATTATAAAATTGTAGATATTTCCACATCGACACATAATCAACCTGTTTGGAGGGTCAGAATTAACATGGCTTATTAATTTATCTAGATGTTAAACCAACGCAATATTAACACTCCGTCTCCCAGCATCGTGTCACGGGCGGACAGCGTGAGCAGCATAGATTCACGAAACATTGGTCACTTTACAGGGTCTCGTGGTCCCTCGCCTTTAACACTGGGCATGCATGATGCCACTCCATTAGCCGTTGCATTCCACGAAATCATCCATGCGTACTTCAAAGGGAATGATGAGACAAAGTGCGTCCACAATTAGTCAACATTCAATCCTGACATTTTAGCTAACATTTTCTGAAATTATTTTGTCCAGGTGCCAAATAAAAATGACGGGTGATATGATGGTAAGCTGTTTATTTTCATATTCATTAAACTTTACATTGGCTATAAATATAATTTTTTTATACGACAGGTGTCTTTTCCGGCCGGGATTATCCAAGTTTTTGCAAATAATCCTTCGCCAGCTCAGTTGAAATTCAAAGTTAGGAGTAAACAGCTTTTAAAAAATTTGGAGTCAAAACCGGATTTGGTTCAAGTGTAAGGAAAAATTTTGACCGTGTGAGAATTGTGTGTTGTTGTTGCACTTTGATGCATGATGTGTGTAAATTTTTAATTTTTAGGGAGTCGGATGGGAACGAATTGACCTTTGAGTTTAAAATGAGTGCCTTGATTAGTATATTAAAATCACAGGCGGAGAAAAATCCTTCCGCTTCATATTTCAACGTAGACATTTTCAAATACCAAGTTAGTCTTGTTTTACAATTGCTGTGCAATGTGTGTCCATGTGGAAAATATTTTGATTATATTAATGAATTAATGTTCTTGCAGATTCAACCTAAACCTGGCGCTGCATCGTGTCCTCTTCATTTAGTAGCGTTCTGGAAATGTGAGGAGAAACAGACAGACCTCAGAATTGACTACAAGTACAACAGCCATGCGACAGAAATCATTTCATCGGAAACATTGCCCAATCTAAAAGGTGACTCTGCGGGGGCTACTTTGCTTCAGGTGTGCATCGCAGCCCCTGTTGACGGTGGGGTTAAATCGTTACAGTCAAAACCTACGGGACAATGGTGAGCAGGGTTTCAGACCAAATTCCTCTTGCTAAATAAATAATTATTAACAATTGTGTGTCCTTGCTAGGTATCCTACTTCAAATCGAGCATGTTGGAAAATTCCGTCTTTGTCATCCACTTCAGAAAACTTGGGAGTTGGGTCTTTACGGGCCCGGTTTGAAATAACTAGCGGGCCAAGCTCTCGTGTAAGTTGGAATAACGCTATTGCAAATATGTAAATATGTGTCATGCAAAAAATGTAACGAAAAAATATTCAACTTTTTTTGTTCAGGGAACAATCGCAGCTCAATTTAGTTGTGAAAGTTGTACATTATCCGGGAGCGATTTTGAACTAATGACCCCTGCCTACAGAGTGTCCCTGGTTAAGAAGCGCTTTGTTTCCGGTAATTACACATGCACCTCATTAAACAAAGGATTGAAAATATTTGGGAAATGTGAATGTTACTAATGAATTTAATTAATAATTAATCAGGTAAATACATATGTGACGCGGAGGATACTTCACATCGGTACTCCACTCTACCACCGGACTCTCCATCCTTTCAAGCCTGATGATAAATGATCGGCCTGAATCCAATGTTATGACGTTGGTAGTTATTATTTTACTTATTTTGATACCCAAGATATGACAATTTTGTGATAAAGTGTTTGATACGAGCCGCAAACCAAAATAAACTGTTTCAAATTTATATATTGTACGCACGTCTGGTGGTTTCATTTGAAAGGGGGGAAATATAATGCAATCGCAAGAATTAATGTTTGCCACTATTAATTTTGTTACACTCTTCATGCCTAAAATTGAATAAATGTAGCGACAAAAGCAATCCAACGGCATTAATTTATTACCTTGTGATAAAAGCATACGCAAATTTACTACTTATTTTTGTCTGAGTGCGACTTTTTATTATACGTGTTCTGGAATAAAGTCCTTCATTGTTTGTCCCGATATAAATTCACTGAGCAAAGTTCAATACTTTACTCTTGACTTGATACATGTATAATTATATTTCCTCGATTTATAGATACCATGACCATGCCCTTCTTTTCCACGATTTATAAATAACATTTCTCATGCTTTTGAATATATGAGCAGTGTTTCATCCTTGGACGGAAAAGAAGGTTGTAAATCAGTAAAAAATTTCGTCTCTTTATACTTTCGTCTCTTTTACTTTATACAATTACATACATCAGAGTATGCATTGTGCATTAAAAGTAGTTATAAATAAGTGCCTGCAATTTTCCTAAAGGCAATTTCCTAAAACTCTTCAATCTAAACAAAACAAACATGATGCGACATGAATTATCTGATTGTGAGTCAACATGCCACACTTACTTTTAAAACTGTCATCAACGAAAGAGAAAATATTGCGTTGCGTTTTGTGGTGCGCTATGAAAAATGGAATATGGAAAGTGTTTACTATTTATTTATTATTAGTATTCTCAATCTGACACTTGCACAGCGTTGCCAGTAATATAAGCCTCTTATACACATTACGTACTTGATTACAATTTAATCTCTCTCTGAACCACCGCCTGTCCAAAATTAAGCAATATCCATCCATCCCCATCCTAAGCACATATTATTAACATCATGATTCTGCAAATATACATTTAATATGGACCCATTGCAATATAATCTCTGTTGGAAATTGGATTGACTACGCAATATGACGTTCTATTATCTACAAGAGGTAATCCAATCCCCCAAAGGGACATGCTAAATCTGAACATAATTTAATCCCATCGTAAAAAACGCACCCCATCTCAGGTAACGCCGGGGAGCAGAGCTTGATTATTGTTATGAATGGGATATGAAAATATCAAGTTTAGTCCGACTCAATTACTAAAACGGAGCGGTTCCGTATGCGAATAATAATATAATTCCGACTTTGTTAAATAATACCAAAAACGCTTCAGTCCACTCATTTCTGTCGAGTTTATCGTGCCGTGCGTACTTTTTTTTTTACACAGTGTTGTTGTTAACATACTTAACACATTTTGTATTCTTTGCTGCTCTGTTTTCCTTTGTGATGATAAAATAAAATAAAAAAAAGTAAGTAAGTAACGGAACGGATCGAGATAAAAAGTACCCAAGTTGCGTGGCGTTCATCATATTTTTCTCAAGCCATGTGCCTCACTAACCTCACTTCCATATAACTTCTAGGACAATTCGTGTGCTTGTTCTTGTTAATAAATAAAGTGTTAGAATTCACAAGCAAACTCGACGCCCGGTTTGATTCTTATCTCCGACTGTGATTGTGACCTCTTCTTCGTCGTCGCATTCTGTCGCAGAAGGTATGCGTTTAAAACTAAACAAAACACGCTTACTCATCATCATACACACTCTCATCTCATTCATTTTGATTATTCATCCGATGAGTAAGAGCTACTTACTTATTTTCTGATATGAGGAGAGAATGCGTTAGTGTTTTTGGCATATGACGCGAACTGCAATGTCGACCAAAAGGCATTGTTCTCTCCCATGTCGGGCGAGGAGTGGGTGCATAATAAGCTCAGAAGAATGGTACAGTGCAAACTTCCACCAAACAAAAGTCAGCATTATAATATTCGTGCTATTCGTATTATTATGACGACGACGTATAGTTTGCGATGATGATAAAACTGAGGCACGACTCTTCGGTCATGTAACACAACGCAACCCACCTTATTAAATGCTCTTTACACATACATCGTCGTTCAATACGTTGCACGTTGTTGGTAGATCACTCCTCTTCTCTGTTGTTAAACCTACCTGAGAATACCTGATGATGAAAAATACCTGTGTTGTGTTGATGCTATTCAGTTCTTTTTGTATGTAGATGTGGGGCTAGTGTTTTCTCTCAGCTGCAGCTTATACGAGTGAGCAGTAAGGTATCCAACTAAAGGTGATCAGATAGTGCAATAGCAATAGCGATAAATTCATTCGAATCTGTCATACTTGCAGCGATTGCCTTGAAGGAAATGGTCCTGTTAGTTTTTCTCAGTCACTTGTCATCATTGGCTGTTGGTGCTACGGCTTGAGAATTTTTACTGTTAAGCACATTATGATTTTGCATTGTGTTGAATTGAATGTGCCAACAAGGTTCCAAGACGAATTAACATTTAGCAAGGTGCACACCAATTATTGACAATTCGTATCTTTTTTCCTCTCTCGTGCTTCCCCTCAAAAGTGAGTTCTCTGAGTTTTGAGTGAGATAATCAAAAATTGACCGAGGATTTTGAGACTATTTTAACAAGTGGTGGTAAAATATTATTGGATTTGTTCGACCTTCCGCTGTGATTTTTATCTACAGGTGACAGTCATATTTTGCTGGTATGTACATAAGGAAGGATGTGGTGTTAAAAATATGTGAACAAATTTGTACTTGATTAGTAGTAAGTAGCAGTGCAAATACAAGTGTAGAAAGAGGATTTTCACATAGGAAACTGACCCATTTTGGAATTTTAGAGTCAAAATTTAGACTGGAAAGAGCATTTTGTTGATGCTGCGTGTCACAAATGTGCCTGCTCTATTTTTAAGTTTTAACCGAGACTGGACGGATTACAATAATTATTATTAGCTTTAATTTTACATGGTTTTATTTCGTTTTGACGTGGTTGTTTTGTTACGCGTCATATTTAAATTAGTCAATTACTCTTTCTGCACTTATTTGGGATCGCTTAAGTGACAGTGTTTCTTTTTCTGCTCATTATTAGACAAGACGAGTAGCGAGAGAGAAGCCACAACATTTCTTCATCTTTTAGGAAGTGATGCGACATCATTTTTGTCTCAACTGTGTTTCTTGCCTTGAGAATATATAGTACGCGTCGGTGACAATAACGCTGTATGAGTACGAGATCGTTTGATAAATAAAATAGTACACTATTAAATCAAGATGTGGACCCCGACACATGTCCAAGTCACGGGTACGCATATAAATATATAATCCAAGTAAAAATACAAAAGACAATAATGTAGAATTGTGTGTTTTACAGTGCAAAGGGCACGTGGTTTACTTCAAAAGGGGAAAAATGGTAAGCAACTTTTTTTTAACTTTTCTAGAAACTAAAACAAAACTATGTGAATGTTTCGTGGAAGTGGAAGTGTATTTGCTAAAAATAGGTTAACTTTTTCAGGGACAAACGATGCATTTGTTACCATTGCCTTGGGCAAGGAAAAGTTTCAGACTTCAGTCAAGGACAAGGCGGAAGACCCCGTGGAATGGCATGAAGAATGTGAATTGTAGGTTTTCATGATGATTGAATATTTTGAAGGGACAAATTGAAAGTTTTTGGAAAAGGGTCGACTAATGAGAAAATCTTAATGCTTTACAGACAAATTCCCCGACAAGGAAATAAGGCTGACATTGTTCTAACCGTATTGCATAGAAATTTCATTGGGGACGAATTTTTAGGACAAATTTCCATCCCACTTGCAGAGTTTGACGTGTATGACAAACCAAAAAATAAGTGGTACGAGTTGAAAAGTAAACCTGGTCAGGAGAAGAAAAATAAGTATCGGGGGGAAATTGAGGTGTGATTTAAGATTTGTTAAGGATGTTGAGACAGAAATTACATGAGTGTTCATTAATGTATGTATAATATTTGCAGGTAAAAGTGCAATTTACAGTCCAGTCGGGCGTCAATACCGCTGCAAGTTTAGCCGATATCAATAAAAAAGATGGGATTCGAGCTTCACTTGGAACTTTGTCTCAAAAAATGGGTATGTGTTATATTGATTACGACAGTATTACACTTTCAGTTACTAAACGCAGCAATGAAATGATCTTATTTTTCCTTTATTAGGGGGAAGCTTACTTAGTTTGGGCAAAGAAAAGAAAGGAAGTCTTAGAAATTTGGCCAAAGCCGTTGGCCACAAAGTGTCCACATTACCTGGCCGAGGGAAAAAGAAGAACAAGGATGAGTCGTTTGGTGCTATTCCTGAATCCACGGGTATTTCCGGCTCAGAATTTGTCACAGTTAAGCGATCCAATCGCCATGATGCTGATCCCGGTGTGATCAGTGATGACGAGGATGAATTTAGGGTACTAATTGTCAAACTGAATAATTTTTTTAGCATTTTATGGAACATTTACATAATATAATTACATAATTGTTTTATCTTAGTTTGACGAACTATCTCACCGAAGCAGCCATAGTTCTTTGAGTGTTTCACAAGTTGCATTATCCACACCAAAGGACGGATCTTTAGAAAATCTTGGAGGTGGGGAATTCATGCGAAGAAGTCATGCAACTCCACCACCTGTAAAACAACCCCCTCCGAAAGTTGAAACTAAAGGTTTTCCAGAACCTGTCACTAAACCTCATCGATGGAGCAGTGGGGCTGCTGATGACTGGGAATCCAAATTATTTGGAAAGAAGGAAATAAAAACTGGTGCTTAGAAAATATTTTAAAATATAAATACAGTAAAAAGTAAATTATGCAAGTTATATTACAGATAATCAATCGATGGATTATATATTTTTGCAGATTTTGAAGCCGACATTTATGTCCCACAAGTGATTCATGAAAAACCCATTTTTGAAAAAGTGGAGGATAATCCCAATTCGGTAAGTCTCACATGTTGAACGGTATTATTTTATCATTCAGGTTTTCATTCATGCTATTTTTTGTCTCTTAGGAAATCTCAGTCAAACCGAAACATGTCACCCCACCCACTCCCGTAGTACAACAACAAGAACGAGAACCTGTCCCAAAACCTCGACAAGTTCAAAACGCACCAAAACTCGAGGAACCACCACCACCGGCCCCCAAAATTAATACTATTCAACCAAACGTAGCAGTAGTAGAAACCCAATCTTCGCCAAACACAAAGCCAAAGGAATCCATTCGGAACTCTGTAAAGGAATCTCTAGCCTCCATCTTTGGTGGATCGAACAATAAGCATGGTAAAATGAACTGGATAATAATTTCTAGAAATCGGGTATAGAAAAAAAATCAAGCAATGAATCATGCTCATTTTTGTCTGGCAGAAGAAACCCAAAAGGGCACCCCCATCGCTGTCACGAATCCCATCCGCAACATGAAGGACCACCACGAAGCCCGACTGCCACGGGACATTTTGAAAAAATATGAAAACAAGTCGAGAGAAGTACGTGCCCAATCTTAAATTTGCACATTTTTGCAGAAATTGTTTTTAATAGTGTGTGCCCTTATTTTACAGGACTTGATTGAAATAATTATCAACCAACAAGCCAGCGTGGAATATCAGAAGCAGAAACTGAGCGACATGGAGGATTACATTGATAACCTTGTGGCACGCGTTATTGAAACTCATCCGACCCTGTTACAAAGCCCTTTCGTCACTCGTCACACGCTGAAATAATTCCAAAATGATTGATACCACGAATTTTAATACGAACTTCGGTCTTATAAATGTGCCTTATGCTAAATAGTGCTGCTTTTTCCATACCACATTAGTGCCTACTAAACAAGCAAGGAAAATTACATGGTGAAGTGAGAGCAATAATTAAGTAATCGAATAATCACACACTCTCTAGTCCGCCCAGGATTTTACCCTATTGACTATAATTCCAGCCATTTTATGTTTCAGATTATCTTAATTGAACCTCTTTTTAATTAATATTTAACAAATAAATAAAATTACCAATTTTATCTTTTAGAAAAGTTGGTTACAAATGTGACCAACATAAAAGTACGATATCATGAAAAAATAAAGTTTTTTTGCCCACAATGATGCCATTTTTAACAATTAAGATAAAATAAACAAAACAAAAATGAGAAGAACAAGGAAAATCTGTTTGTGTGATGTCTTCTATTTATTTAATGACAATATTTAGTTCTACTGACATTTTTAAAATGGGTTGGGAATGCTGAATAGTATTTAAATACTATAAATTTAAATACAATACAAAATTCAGTATTTCGTACATGAAATATTAAATTTATTGAAGAAATAGGTTGTCTTAACATTTTGAAGTAAACAAGATAACAAGAATTCGAGAGCTTATTCCCAGAACTTATTTTAAGCACAAACGTCGAACACCCAGCAGTCACAACAGAGAGGTCATTTATAAAAATCCTGCAATGGGGTTGGCGTCATACCATTTGCCCCATTACAATCATACAATGCAACAACTCTATCATACCCTGGTTCGAGTAGTACAATGGTTGGAATTTAAAAAATAACAAAGTTTCGTGCGTACTTCAAAACATACAACGAAATTGAACTCATCTAAAAATTGACAATTTTGAATTCCATAAACATGGAACGGCTTTTGAAGTTGCATTAAATTTTGTGTTGCAGGAACAACATAACGTCGAGTAATGGTCTAATTAACGGCGTAAAAATACTTTTCGTAACTACGGATGAAGACGATAACGGTGCGCTGGTTTTTGTGTACTTCTGGTTGTGAAAAATCTCTCAACTTAAACAGATTAGAACAATAAAACATAAAATAATGTACTTAAAGATTGAATACTTTGTAGTATGTAAATACATCCATATGTATGTTGATAGAAATCTCTCGGGTACAAAAAGTCCAAATATATCGTTAATTGAGAACCTATAATTTTTGTAGGAAGGTGAAGGCAATTACAATGTATTACTATATAACGCTAATAAGATAATAGCCTTATTAAGAAAATTATTTACGACATATTGTTTTGCGCTGATGCAGTCATAGTGCTGGTGGAAAGGTAAGAGGTAAGCAGTTTTTGTGGCAAGGTAAGCTACCACAGCTCGCCTTCTTTTTCCTTTGCAGGAACTTCAATGACTCGAGGTTTGTCGATGATTCTCGCCGTACGGTTACCCTTTTCAACGATTCCGATGATCCACGCTTGATAACCTTCTTGCTTTTCGATATCTTTACAATATGCTGCCGCTTGTTCTCTTGGTAAACAAATCAAAAGCCCACCTGTAATACAAGTAATTAAAACCATTAAACTTCACAATCAATGACCCCTGATCAGATAGACCATTAATAAACTATACCTGATGTCTCTGCTGATAATCCTTGCAATAATTGAAACATATTTCCACAAGCCTTGGCAACAGCAGTCATTTTAGCTATCACTGGAAGGTTATGAATGACGAATGAAACTTCTGCCTTTTGATTTCGAGCAAGATTTTGTGCGTGGCCCAAGAGTCCAAAACCAGTGACATCGGTCGCACCATGAGCATTGTACTTGTGCATCAAACGCGCAGCTGAATTATCAAAGTAAACGTTTCAAAATCATCGTACATATTTTGATTTGATATTTTATTTTATGAACGCATCTTACCAGTTCTATTCAGTCTGGCCATAGAGTCCATTGCTCTATTATATGCTTTGCGAACATCATCTTCATTTACTACCAACTTGATACGGTTCCATCTTTCTGGCATATCAAGCCACTGGTGCGCGTTAACTGCAACCTGAGTCCCTAATGGCTTTGTCATTACTAGAACGTCTCCAGGGACAGCATTCTCAGGCCTATGCAATTAAAATCAAATTAAAATAAAACACTTATGAAAATTGAGGCTTATTTCTACTATGCCACCCAAAAGTTAATCAAGTAAGATCTCACATGATGATTTCTGGAGTTTGACAAACCGAGGTGGCAACACCACCCACTGTGAGCCAAGGATTTAAAACAGTTTGTCCTCCTCGAACGTTTGTGCCAGCTTCGACAGCTCCATTCTACAGTATCAATAATCATACAATAACATATTATTTTAAAAAACATCAATCAATATACACGTAATTACAGACCTTGAACCCTCGCATCATTAAGGGAACTACGACGTCTCTTTCCTTATCAGTCAGCTTTGTTGAGACGCCCATCAGCATCAACATGTTGTCACATTCAGTCACTCCCATAGCATATAAATCGCTGAGAACATTGGCACATGCAATTTTGCCTGCAAAGTCAAACAAGTGTTGTAAAATATAGGAACATGAACATAGTCTAACATTGTTATTAATTGTGGAGGATGGCGACTGAAAATACCTTGCATATATGGATCATCAACGAGTGGATAGAAAAAATCAGTAGTTTGAACTACACAAAAACCAGCATGACGTAGTGGACTCACACAAGCATCCATCCCAATACCTGAAAAGAAGACAAACAAATTGCCACATATTTTCTTTATTTCTTGCATACTTATTTTAAACACATACGGACAATTAAACCAACAAAAAGTAATCACTAACTCACCCAGCGTAGGTACTCCCCCTCCTAACTGCATGTATTCTTGGGTGGCGCTGGGGTCATCTTGTATTCCCTCCAAGAGTTTCGTGAGAACCTCCTACATATAAAAAATGATGACATGAATACTGAACCAAGTACAATAACGGTGGGTGAGAATGACCGAGAGTCAAATCTTTCCCAGTGCTCGATTTGCAGACTTTTCCGCAATTTACATTACACCCCCCCTTACCTGGGGGACTTTACACCCTCATCCTTTTAAATCAGCATATTTTGTTAGGCGGAAAGTCGCATCCAGTTCACAAGCAACTGGATCGAACGGTCGTCTCGCAAGTGACCCTGCACCCCCCAATTCCAGGCATTCCGCTTCGGACTCTGTTGCAACTGGAATCAATTCCTCCGCCTGAAGTATCGTCCCATCGTTCATGTCCGCCATCTTGAAAGATAAGCACAAGCAAATTCATGACATATTTGCATCAAAATTTCATGATCCTCTAATGTATGCAAATAAAAAATACTGACCGCTGGCACTTTTTTTATCACTAAACAAACATCAACAATTATCCCTCACGACTACTAAAAACCCTCCCTGTCGTGACCTCAGGGGAACGTTGTCTCCCTTAAAAATGGACCCACAACCACAAGAAAAGATGCAAAATCCTATGATTCAGCTTCTCTTTCTCATGCTCTTTCTCTCCTGTTGTTGTGACTTACTCAAGAACAAAGTGCTGATGGCAGGTCAGCCAGGCAGGGTGTCACATATTTCGTGGGAGAAAAGGATGTGAAAAAGAGATATGTGCCCCCACGCTGGGGCCGACCCGACCCGTGGGGGTGCTTACCTTGAAAGGTGTGAGTTTTTGGAGGGGGGTGGTTTTCCGAATTTACAAAAATTCCTCCTCGTCTTTGAACGACCGGGGATGAAGAAGGGTGAACGAAAACGAGTGTGCAAGCAGCAGTTGTTGGCAAAGTTCAGTGCGTAGCCCGAGACTGGAGTGGGATGGAAAGTGCGAGAAGATGTGGAAAATCGTGGAGAAGACTTGCGTCCTACGCTCTTGATTCCTACACCGACGCCACCGCCAGCCACCACTTTCCCAACGTTGCGGGCTAGATTTTTACCTCCGCCCGGTATGGACGCCTCCTCGCCCTTTGTTCATCCGCCAGCACAGCACTTGAGCCCAGCATGCAAACAACAAGTGCAAACAGTGGTTTACTTACATGCAAAATGTGCATATATCCATCCACCATACTTGGCTTATATGTTGATTTACCTTTATTTACTTTACAAGGTTGACTGGATGAAGAGATTATTAGGATGGAAGTATGAATTTGTTGCAAGTTTAGTATGCAATGGGTTTGTGTAAGTTTAGATCTGTTTAAAATTAAATGAGTTTATAAATGAGCTGCCTTACGGCGATAGAAAATTATGTATTTAAATAGTTTGGCATGTGTTAAAGGTTTAAGGCCTCGTTATTATTATTTTTTCATTAGTGTAGAATCAAGAATGAAAAAATATTGCATATGAACAACCTTAAGTACACCTCAACTCGGAACAATGGTTTTTATTGTATTGTGACAAGGGTTTCACTATTTGCAACTAATTCGTTATTCCTCAACTTAAAATTAGGTGCGATGTCAGATATTTATTTAAGGTGAATAAAATTACTAACCATTTTTTAGCAAAATTTTATTATGTATGCTTAATACTTGGAGAAAAATTTTGGATTATTGAAGTACGCTAAGCGGTTCAACCTCACCATCAAAATGGCATTGTTTCGCCCTATGTCAGTACTTCCCCTCGACCCCGAGGGGGCAAAGAGAGCGCAATAAAAATTAGTAGAAATTAGGTAGTAATTTAGTAAAAATTGAGGCTGGACTGGAAATGCAGCATTTTTTATAAGATCGTGATTCACGGTAAGTATTACAATGCCCCGGCCAACTTGTCACTTTTCTCCACTGCTCCGAATTGCAAAACAACTCCAGACAGGTTACTTTACTTTGAGCCGTATTTTACAGCAGCCGTTTATCTGTCAACAAACCGGAAATTTTGTGTGGATAAGTAAAATGGAGGCTATCTTTCAAATTCCCTTCAAAGTACTGGCAGTCCCCAATGTCAAGATCCGCAAACCGGGTTGGCTGGTAATAATCGCCGTTTCATACTCCTCAGTCCTCAATGAGGACTCCTTATCGCATGTTTGTAAATAATTTATTAAATGTGTAAAATGTTTACAAACAGGTCCAGCCATCCGCCATGGTAATCTTCAGTATGGCGCTGTTCTCATATTTTCTGGTCACGGCAGGTAGGTCAAGATGAATTTACGGTTAAGCGGGTTTAGCATTATTTTTGTTTTTAGGCGTCATTTACGACGTGATTGTTGAGCCACCGGGTGTTGGAAGCACGGTAGACGATAGAGGAATTTCAAGACCGGTAATTAACTAGGGAAATTCATAATTATTAAATTGTGGTTACTTTATGGAGTATGCGTAATTTGCTTGATAGGTTGCCTTCATGCCGTACAGAGTTAACGGCCAATATATTTTGGAAGGGCTCGCTTCCAGTTTCCTGTTCACTGTTGGTGGGGTAGGCTTCATCATTCTGTACAACAATCACGGATATAGTGGAACCTACAAGTCACACAGTCGACTTGGATATTATCTTATGACTGCCGTTGGATTCATCTGCGTCCTCGTTTCTGTACTGACCACTCATATATTTATGAAAATCAAATTACCGTAAGCATTAAATAGAAATTGCTTCGAGTTGAAACTGGGGTGCAGTGCTGATAAATAATACTTGTGTTTCAGGGGTTACTACTTGCATCCGTAGATGGTACTAGATTAATTGGACTTACGCCTCCAGCAGAATTTCGTGTACTTCACTTGATGGCTACTTTTGAAGCAAGAATTGTTGCTACATAACTTGTAATACTAACTGTTCACATTATTACGTGGTTAAATCATTAAATTTCTTAACGTTAAATACTGCTGTGCCTTTTGTATCCTACTTATTTGCAACGTGCTGTTTCACATTTATAGCATTACATGAAAAATTTTACTATGATTTTAATTTTAACTTCTCGATAATGTTGCTATCCCAAGTATTTCGCTCATTCATTTTCACCTATTATATTTGTTGAAAATTGGTAATTTCATCTGAAATTAGGGAATACTGATTCATGTGAGAGAATGCAAATTGATATGCAGAGATGCTTATCCGAATTTCTCTCTCAGATTAAAGTAATTTGCTTTCAAGTGTTCAATTAGTTGGTCATCATCGTAAGAAAAATGCCTGGTGCTGTGCTTATAAGCTGTTATTGTGTTGATTGCGAACTTTTAATAATATGCGAAAGTATTAGGAGTCGCAGACTGTAAAAGGCATAAAAACATACCAAATTAAAAGGCTCTGTTGGCATATGCAAGTTTAAAATTGAACTATGTTTGGTCTTGTATGTGTGTGCAAATTATAATGCAAAAGTACGAAAATTTTATGCTCGGTCGTGTCGTGATGAGTTCTGATTTTCATGCAGTTGTAGATTTTATGCTCCGTTGCGATGAAGTTTTGTGACATGATTTATGAAATTGTAATGATGGAATTATGCTAAGGTAGGTGATGTATATGATGAATGAAAGAGTATGACAAATAAATTATACAACAATAGGTAAATACAATTGCAATTAAATTTATTAAGTAAGAACATTTATCCAAACATATGAAATCTTTACATTGTCATATACAATAATCAGTCAAAATCTTATTTTTATGTTGTTAAATACAATCGTCAAACTTTTTAAGACTAGATTACAAACTAAATAAAATTAAAACACTGTAATGCGTCCATCGTTGTCGAGGGAGGCGATGAATCCAGTTTTGGGGAGGATGGCGACGTCCGTGGGGGTTGAGAGGCGGGTGTTGGCGTAGAGGGGGCCGTGGATGGTGGTGATGGTTCGGATGAGGATTCCGGTGGGGGTGAAGACTCGGAGGGAGTTGTTTCTCGTGTCGGCCACGATCAGGTTCCCAGCTTCGTCGACTTGTAGTCCGGATGGGCGATAGAGGATTCCAGGAGGGATGAAGGGCAGCAGGGTCAGTTTGGCATCCGTGAATCGAAGCTGGTTTACTTGGTGGAGGTTGAAGTCCGAGACGAAAAGAGTGTCCCCCGTCAGGTTGAAGGCCAATCCACGAGGATAGTTGAAGACCGACTTGTGGTCTTTCCAGTTTCCACCAACTCGAAATTCCCGAAGATAGCTCCCAGCTGCATCAAAGAACTGGATCCGGTGGTTGCGAGTGTCTGCCACGGCGACAGTGGATCCGTCCGGAGAGATGGCTATTCCCCACGGGTAGAGGAATTGTCCCGCCAGATGTCCTCGTCTCCCAAAAGAGCCCAAAAATGACCCGTCCTTGGCGTTTAAGATCTGGACGCGGTGGTTGTCCTTGTCAGAAACGAAGATCCGATCCGAGTGGACATCGTAGGCGAGGCCGACGGGTCTGAAGAATTCTCCTGGTCCAGCTCCAAATTCTCCAACGGTGAAGTCCAGAGCTCCATCGGGTTGGTAGACGATCAGCATGTGGTTGACCCGGTCAGTGACCCAGAGTTGTTCCGTTTTTGTGTTATAACAGAGTCCCCACGGGTTGCGAAGTTCGGAAGATTGTTCCATGTCCGAAATATTCCAGGTGAGGATACGACGAATGGACGGCTGATAGTTTCTTGAAAACCGGATCCGGAGGGGGCAGCCTCGAATGGGTTGCGTGGCGTCGTGGCAGATCGTAACGGTGTGAATTCCGGGAATGACGGGTCGAAAAGTGTAGAGAATCCCACATCCGCCGACGTCCATGCAGTTGAGAATGGGAAGAGCGACGTTGTTCTTGGGTCCCACGATGACGATGGTCAGGCGTTTGAGGTCGTCCTGGGTGGCTGGTTCCTGGGCGATGAGCAATAACGAGGCGTCCTCCGAGGTCAGAAAGGATTGATCTGGCAGGCTGAGGCTGATGTTGTCCTCAATGTCGACAGGAGTTGACTCTTCCAGGAGTCGGTTCAGTTCAAAGGAGAGACTTGTCCAGTCCACGACTTCGTCATCCCACGGCGACGGCGGAGAGGGGTCCGATGGCGAGACATTGGTCGTGTTGTAGCCAGAATCCAGAGAAAGTTCTTCATCCGTGGAGTAGCAGGGCAGCAGGTCCAGAAGAGGCAAGTTGAGATGCATCCTGGCAGCAAGGGTCCCAAATTTGTAGTCTTCTAGGCAGCAGGAAGGTCCAGTCCACAAAGGCAAGGAGGTCCGGGCAGAGGAGGCAAGGTGAGATTCCAAGAGTAGAAGGCCAAGTGGGAAGTCCAGGTCCAGTGAAGGTGTTGTCCGGTCGAGGTCCTCAAGAAGTGTGGATGCTGAGTGGGGTGGACGGAGCCCTTTTATTCTCCTCCGTTCACTCACTCGCAAGCACAAAACCCGACCTCCGCGACCCAATTCCGCGATCCAACCCCACTACCGGGCTTCGCGATCTGACATCGCAACTCAACTACGCGATCCAACCCCACCGTCAAACTCCAGCACCCAACTCCAAGATCCAACTACGCGATCGAACTCTTGCACCCAACTCCAAGATCCAACTACGCGATCGAACTCTTGCACCCAACTCCGTGACCTGGTTGGAAATTCATTCTCACATAGTTATTTCGCAGCTTGAGTAGTTTTGACAATCTTTGTTGACATTCTGTGTCAGAATTGTCTTATTTATGAGTTTGAAATGCTTGGATTTTATTTTATCGTGGCACAACATATGAAACAGACTTTGATGCGAAAATGAAGTAAATTAAGATTTCGTAAATTGTTTCCTGAATTTAAGAATGTTACATCATAAATTATGAAGATTTTATCATAAAGGACTGCAAAGATAATGCACAAGATGGATATTTTCCTACTTTTTCGTCTTCTTACATAAATACCCAGACTCTGAGCATAATATAATCATCCCAATGACCACACCATTTTTACTCCATACTTAAATCATACACAATTTACTAGTGCATGGAAATCACCATTTATCCAGTCTCGCTATCTGCATGGAAAGGTGAAAGTCCTAAAAGTCCGCATGGCAAAGACATGCCGGCAATTCTCCAGTCTGGCAACAAATGCCAACGTCCTGTAAGTGCAGGCGCAACTCTGTGATCCAACCCGGGTATTTATTTTTACCCACTACCAACGTTGACGAGTTTTCTTACGTATGTATGAATTTGACGGGATTTTCGGACTCATGGTACATATACATTTGTATGTGCCATATCACATCCCCGAGGTTATTGTGAGTTCTCTCTCAGTCCTACTTTCATCATCAACATCGTTGGAAATTACAATTTTTTAGCCACAAAGAAATTAACTCTGCAATTACATTGTTTCAAAAATGTAACTAATCAGTGATCTTAGCTGACACTTCCAGCTGTCCAGTCGCCAATACGAAGTAATCAATCTCCTACACTCATGGTAAGTTGTGGTTTTGATTAATAACCTCACTTTCTGTAAGTTTCATGGCATGTCAAATGGAAATCTGCATTTATAGTTTTTAAGCATATTTTTTTTAATTGGAGGAAATGACAATGAAATGATTTGAGTAAGGATGAATATATCTCGTCGTTCTGTCACAAATTATGCGCACTCGTCAATTCTCTGGTAGTTCCAGCAGCAGTACTGTTAGTTACCATTTGATCTCTTTATATTAATTTCTAATGACGTAGCACAAAGAGTTCCGCATCAATTCTCACTACGCGGTGTGAATGGAGATTTATGATGAGTAGTACAAATAATTATCGGCTTGTAATTCATGAACATCATGTTTCACCAGAGAGAAATGACCCCAATAAGTCTAGTCAGTATAATTATTAAATTGCTTTAAATTATTAAGATAACATAATGTTGAATCGAGTCAAGATTGAGGCTGCAATTTGTTCATCTTGCTTAATTGAGTTCATTTTGTCACGTCACGTAGTAAAACTAACATGTTAAAACTTACGAAGACTAGACCTCAGTCGTAGAATTAATAAAATGGTTAATCACATTTCCGGAATTGTTTCAGGGTTAAAAGGTCCATAATCTTGGGCAGGGAATCCGCACCACCTTGCTCTAAAATTAATACACAATAAAACATCTCTAGCATCGTGGAAATTCAGTTGCTAGGTTTCGTCCCGTCGTACAATCGACCCTTCAAGAATGGCGTCAACCACGACCACAACAACGAAGCCATTATTCACCATCACTCCTGCGTCAAGCGTGTCCTCAGTTTGTGTCGTGGAAGGTCCACCACCTTCCACGACCAATAGAGGAACCTCCTCCCCGTCTGAAGTATCCATCGGCATGGCGTACTCCGACTCCAACACGAGGCTCATGCCAGCCACCCCCACGGACGATGTGTCCAGCCAGGACTCGAGGGAAACCCTCTTGTCCGGGGAGAGGAAGGAGACTGGATTGTCCATTTTCCTCCAAGTTTTTCCCCCCTTTCTGATCGCGGGGTTGGGAATGGTCTTTGCCGGACTGCTCTTGGACATTGTGAAGGTATGAGTAAAGATTTATGCATGATTTATGTATGTAAAGGCAACATTTGTCGATGGAACTTGCAGGATTGGCGTGTTTTCCGAGAAGTTCCAGAGTTTCTAATACTGGTCACTCCACTTCTTGGACTGAAAGGGAATTTGGAAATGACTTTGGCATCCCGACTTTCTACTCAGGCCAACCTTGGAAATTTGGACGGTGATAATCGTAGGTGGACGATTTGTTGGGCAAACCTGAGCTTGATTCAGGTATTTGGTGTCATGCAAACAAGTTATTCCCTCTCTCTTGGTAATGAAATACAGCAATTTATCCCAAATTTATTAGGTTCAAGGAGTCGTTGTGGGGTTTCTATCTTCCATCGTGGCCATCATAATTGGGGTCGTGCTGCCTGGTGAAAGCAGGGCGTTTAACATTCGTCACGCCCTCGTTCTCTGTGCTAGCAGCATTCTGACGGCAGCAATTGCAAGTTTTGTGCTGGGATGCTTGATGATCTTTGTAATATTTCTGTCCAGAAGAATTCACGTTAATCCGGACAACGTTGCTACGCCGATTGCTGCGAGTCTCGGAGACATTACAACCTTAGGTCTCTTGGCATACATTGCAAGATTCTTGTATTCTGGAACAGGTAAGAATTTACTGCACATTTTTGTGTCTGTGGGTATTTCATCTTTAAATGTGATTCTATTATACATATTTAGAACCATCTTGGATTCCGATTGCAGTTATGGCATTTTACGGTTTGACTTTGCCAATCTGGGTCTACGTGGCGTATAGGAATGACTGCACCAAGAACGTTTTAATCAACGGATGGACTCCAGTTATTTGTGCAATGTTTATCAGCAGGTACTTTACTAGAATATGTACCTTTTAATTTTGCATTATGCACAATTTGTCCATGAAAATAATCGTCTCGTACAAATAATTAATTGCAGCATGGGGGGCCTAATTCTGGACAAGGCGGAGCAGAGATTTGCACCACTGGCTTTGTATCAACCAGTCATCAATGGCGTCGGGGGGAATTTAGTGTCCGTTCAAGCAAGCCGAATTTCAACTCGGCTCCACCGAGATTGTGCTAAAGGGCAACTCCCACAAGGATTAGTTACATCGTGGGGTTCCCCATTTGACGTTTATCTTAAAAGGGGTACATTTGTAAATTAAAGAAATTGAAATTGACCATAAGCGTGACTGGTTTTTAAAAAAATTGTTAAATTTGTAGGCATCGATTCTACAGCAGCAAGGGTTTTATTGGCAAGTAGACTATTTGAATTAATAAAATTAAAATCCAAATCAAAGTTAAGTACGAATAATTTATTGTTCCATTTTAATCAACGCAGGGAATGGTGATTCCAGGACATATCTTTTTCTTGACTATTACCCATTTTATTTCAACCGACTCCCAAGATTCGTTTGGATTTGTTATATTTTATTTGACTGCTGCCATGATTCAAGTGAGATTTAAAATTATCAAAGTATTTATTTCAAATAAATATTTACCATCACATTTTTCAGGTTGGAATGCTCCTCTACACGGCGGACATTCTGATTCGATGGTTATGGATGCGAAATATTGATCCGGACACTTCAGCAATACCTTATTTGACCGGCTTGGGCGATTTGTTGGGGTCAGCGCTGCTTTTCTTGGCATTTGCAGCTGCGAGTTTCACTTGAATGTGAAACTTTGGACTTTCGATAAGATTACATTTGTCTTTGTTAAATGATTTCCGTATTCTTGCTGTTATAAAAAAAGTAAGGGTTCGGCCGTTTCACTCACTCCACGTCCACCCGAGCAATATACATGTAGTGCATAGTTACAATTACTTCTTATCAATGGACCTGTATAATTTCTTGCACACTTTGGGCAAGGTACATAATTTATCCGAGTACCTGGTTGTTCTTGCACCTGATTACAGGGGTGGGACAGAAGAAGGAGCCACTTGAATTTTAGGGGTGGCGTGTGATGCACAGTCGCGGCATTTTCAAAATTTGCATATGTCATACCCAGATAGTTAACGAAAATTTAGCACTATTCAGATTTTCCCTACGGTTAAAAATGCCCCTGCAGCACCCCCCAGAGTGCGAGGCACGCATAAAAGTGTTTTCCAAAGACATACTGAGCCAGAGAGCGATTGTTAGAAAATTTGCTGCAAATGGATTTATCGTCGATCGAAAGTACGTTTCTAATGTACTTAAAAACGTTGGAATCAAGCGGAGGGAAAAAGCGGTTAGAGCTCCACCCCCACGGAAAGGATACCCAAGATCCGCTTGAACCAAAAAGTTTATCCGGAAAATCAATTTTTCGCCAAAACGGTAAATCCACCAACTAAAAGTTGCATGGCGAAAATGTTAAACGTTAGTAGGAGAACATTTCTAGAGTCATTCACAATGACCTACAGCAAGTGACTCGTAGGAAATCCCGAGATCATGCTCTCATCCCAACTTATTTCTCACAAAATATCAGCCTACACCAAGGATTTTTAAAAAAGTTTGGGTATAACAATTATTCCTACTATAGAAACTCTCGTTAGTTCCTCTGATATCAATCCGATGTTTTTTTTTGGATTCGAGTACTTAAAACAGAGCCTTCTTGAAAGGAAAACGCGTGCGTTTTGATGCACTTTGGAAAAGTGTTCAGGACGAGTGGTGCAGAATCACTCTGAAAATTGTGTCAAAGGTCATGACTGGTTGGAAAAAGCGACTGAGGCTCGTTAGATAAACTAAAGGGCTTCACACTGAACCAATTACCAAACTTCACAAACGAATAATAAGGCCGGAATAAATTTAGGCAAAGTGGCTCCTTCTTCTGTCCCACCCCTCTGTATGTAAAGATTACCTGTTAAATATATTTTACCCTGATTGAGAGACGGTTCTACCACAACTTTAGGACGATTAAGGTTTAACCACCCTTAAAAACAGAAATTTAAAAATGAATTATGCATGTATGAACTGGGAGCGGAATGGGTGTAAAAATATAGTAACGAGTAATACAGTTGTTTATTTTCTGGGCCAAATAATCGGTTTCAAATTGGTTTCCTGTCTCAAACTATTTGATTTTACCTCGATCAGTATTATGGAAATATATTTGCACATCATCAGCACATATTATTCCCTGCTCTTAATAACTGCATTAGGATAATGGGAGTCGTTAATAATACAAATTTTAGTTTCCTGTCCCTTAATAAACCTGTGTTCAGTATTTGCGTATAATTAATAAGAATAATTAAATGCAATCCGAGAACAGAGCTGTGCACTGAAATTATTTCAATAAATCATGCAAACTGACAAAAAATCTCACCGATTTACTAATTGCATCCTAATCCATGTTTCTAATGTTGTATAATTACTGCATCAGTTTTGTGCTTGCTAATTTAAATAACTTGCATCAACTTGAGTCACGACTTATATACTGCTCCAAAAATTTATTAACAAAAAACAACATTTTCTCGACATTTGTGTCTACTTAAGTACATACATATTTATGTATCACACAGTGACGAACTAAAATTAAGTTGAATCACTAGTTATGGAGCACTCATCGTCAGTACTTTGCACGAAATATTATAGAAAAATGATAATCTCAAATTTATACACTTGACGTAATACCACATTATGTAGCAAGACTTGCATAGCTTGCATTGCACAGTTTCGTATATGTAAGTACTTACTTATGTAGTTGCGTAGAGGATTATGCCCATAATTATGCTCAAGTAGACTGGCTTTTTAAAAATTGTAATATAGTAATAAGTTGTAATCCTTTGCAAATTGTTAAGCACACAAACAGAGCTTGCAAAATATGAACGGGAAGAATTCGTGACGCACAATTATGCATGTACGTTCAAGGAAAGCTAATGTCCCATCATCAAGGATGAGCAGTTGTCAGACTTTTAAAAACCATAAAGTAAAACTATGCAACAAACTCATGAATATATAATATTATTATCAAAGAGGGTGGCGAGACAGAAATAATAAATCATCAAGAAACACTAAAGGAGGACATGCAAGAAAGGCTAATAAAACCATGACCTCGATCGCAATCCCGGAAAAAGTAAAATAAAATTAGTGAGCTCTATTTGTCCTTTACTGTCCAAGTTTAAAAAATTTCCAGTCCGCGGATCAAGTGTTGAGTTGTGGATGAGATGAAGGGACAAATGTCAAATAACAATAACAATATGATCATTGTCTTAATTATCTTCGAGTTGGTCTGTGAGAGGACACCTTTCTATTGTGCTTTAGCTCTTCGTGCTTGATTTTTCTTGGCCTTCAGCCACATTTGGTGAATCGTCCGGTAGGAAACCTGAGCCAGATAGTTGGGGAGGAAAAAGTCACCCCATCTGATTCCGAAAAGCTGGAGGACAATTTATAATCATGATGAGGACACGGTCCATTTAGGTACAAATACAAGTAAAATAAAGCTTATCAGACATACCATAACACGGTGAGGAGGATAAGCTGCCGTTCTGCTTTGCAGTCCGATCGTTTTCAAAGCCACTTTGGTGTATTCCGTAGCTGAGGGTGCTGTGTAGGAGGACATTCGTATACGACTCATATTTGTGGCGACATATCCGGGAAGCACGCTTTGGACGATGATACCCTTATCGGAATACTCGGTTATCAAGTCCCGCGACAACTTATCCATAAAGGCCTGAGCACAGAGAGGAATACAAATTATCATATCACTTTCGTAACTCGTAACTCTTAATAATAAATATATTATGTGGTCTGCAATACCTTTGAAGCACCATAAACGCACATCAACGGGGTGGGAGCAATGGCAGCGATAGATCCGATATTGACCACCACACCGCGTCGTCTTTCCACCATTTGTGGCATCACGACACGAATCATCATTGTGACGGAGACCAAATTGCAGAAAATCATATCCATGCACAACTTGTCGCCGTTGGGCATGTCGAGAAAGTACTCAGGATAAGGGTACGCCATCCCCACGTTGTTGATCAGCGTCCCAATTTCCAGCCCCTCCAACTCTTTACGAATCGTCTCATAAATCTCGACATCCTGAGTGAAGTCGATCGCTATTACTTTCACATTTACTTTGAACTCTGACTCTGCAGTGGGAATAAGGAAAACTTGTTAAAAATACCGACGCAGATAAACAGGTCAAGACAAGTGAAATGACACATGATAAGGACATACCAATAGCTGCAGCAACTTTTTTAAGTTTATCCAAAGAACGACTGATTAAAACGACGTCAATGCCTAATCTAGCAAGCTGAAAAATAAGTAAAGGACAAATATGTAATTGTGCAACTTTGAGAATCGATACAAATCAATGGAACAAAAATTAACATGAAACTCATCAAACTTTTTTCAATTTCAAGTCGTTGACGATCACATTTTTTAATTAGGAAAATTATTTAGAGAAGAGTGGAAGTGAACAATAAGAAATAATTGCCTATGCATAAATTATTCGTCCAGCGGACTGGACTAGACAAGAAATTAGTTAGTGTTATTTTAGCTTGCCATCCTTCGATCTTATAAGATTTAATACCACAGAAAAAAATATTAAAGTGCAATATCCATAGTGCAATTACTGATGGAAAACAATGGTAGCAAGTGTTCTTACCTCTTCAGCATAAGCCTTTCCAATACCGTCCGTGGCTCCAGTGATAACTGAAGTATTGAAAAATACACGTGTATCAGAGGATTAATGCGTAGCAATTAATGGGACATTCACGGATGGAAATTTAAATTGTATAAATTTGGCATTCAGTTCATTCTTAAAGTAATTCTCAAATTTTGAACGGGTAGCATTTTTACATGAACGCATCAGCGGTAACTACTATTGTCACACACAATTAAACAGGGCTTTAAAAACGAAGTTATTAAAAATTGGCGAAAAGTTTTCCATAAAAAACTAAACAAACTTTCAGAAAAGGTAGTTAAACAAACAACAACCGTAATAAAACAATTTTATATTTATTTAAGACATCAATTCAAGTGCTAACCTAATTGCCAAATATGATACATATATTGTTGTAAGATCATTAAATATGTTGGCTACGAACTTTAAGGCACCTTAACCATAACAGGTAAAAAATTGGGTTATGATTATGTGATCGTAAACTTAAGTTTGACTGGATTATTAATGTGCATACAAGAAGCGATTACAATGTATGCATTTTTTTCTGTTTGGCAGCTTCAAAAACCAAAAACTTCGTTATGGTCGACTAATTTTTTACGCAAACTCTTTAATACTGCTAATACTTAATTTTGTTTGCATCATCATCACCACTAACAAGTTATTCGTTGTGGCTGAATTTTTAGTCTGTAAATACAGATGTACATACATACGTACGTTCATACACTGTACCACTTGTGCTGTACGAGATCTGCTTAAACAATACATCTTTTTTTGTTTCCTGCAAAAAGACAATTGACAACTGACAATGCCATTAAAGCCATTAAAACCTGGACTTTTCAAGAAAATCGCAGTATCTGAAGAATCGAGATACTAATAACGTCCGTACGTGAGCGAGAAGAATCAGGAATTGGCTATTCCATTCTTAGTTAACATTGGGCTTCATTACAGAGATAGTTCATGTGATATGACAACTTTAGCTTGCCACACTGAATGAAAAAGGCAAACACTTTTTTCCCCATTAAACCGTACCGCATTCATGGGATTTCCAGTACGTGTAGCCTTGGTACATATGTATGGATGGCCTATTTTCAGAAAATTTGGGTGTTAAGTGCAAGGATGACAACTACTTATTCAGAGCTATGATGTTAAATACAAGGCCCATATTTCTTATAATTTCACATTTCTGAGAATTCACCTCCTCCTCATTTAAGTGCTTCACGAGTGTTTACTTCTCATTTCAACCGTCGGAAATATTTTACTTCCCTTGGGTCCAATTCTTTTGCGAGAAATTAAACACAATACGAAAAATACACCAGGAAGTAAATATCTACTACGAAATATACCTCAAAGCATAATTTTATGACACCCAGCAAAAAACTATGAACCCTGTAAAACACTCATACCTCTACAATTTACATACGTTCACTATCATTTCGTTATCTGCAAACTGATGTAATACATTTAACTTAAAGTATAATTTACTCATTCAACTTAATCTGGTTGTCACATTATGATTGTCACCCGTGTGCATCCTCCAACCTCGCAAAATGACTCAATGTTGGGCAACATTAAATATTAGTAATTAAATATTTTTTGCACCGCAGCGCGCCTATGCAACATGCTACATTGCATTGTAATGTTAATCCTAATCAATTCAAGCATTTTTCGAATTTGTTGTTTGGCCACTTAGCAAAAACTAAGAAGAGTTTGTTAAGAAAGTCATCACAACCTCCTTGTGATGAGCCTTTTGTGAAGTATCTGCTACGATCAGTGGTGGTCAGAAATGCAGACATAGGACGGAACAGGTATACGAAGAAATGAAAGTCTCTCCCTCACACACACATGCAAGAAGTCTTGAGATTTCTCCTCTAACAGAATTCTCTACGCAAAGTGTGAACTTTATACAGCAGCTCATTTTTCTTCGTTACATATTCTTTATTACACTGTCGAATTCTATGTAAAGAATGACACGAAATGACTTCCATAACTTCCATTTTTCACAATTTTCTGTGAGAAAGGGAAACTGCATGAAGTACGGCGGATGATGCTTGTCATGCCACGTTCAAGATAAATCAATACTAAATAAGTATTGATGTTTTCTATGAATGGTTGCTTTGTCAGAGTCCAATTTAAGTAAATGGTTCACAGTCATTCTCATTGAAACTTGACCTGACCACCATGAACTAAAATCATCAGATGGTACGTAGTGACTAATCAGATGGTACATACATACATATGACGAGATAGGTCTCGCAATTGCACTGACCTAAGGGAAACACACACAATCGCACCACAAACACACGTAGAGCAGATAGAAGTACGCAGCTATAATGAAACTAGTCTTGTAGATATGTATTTGTATACCTGCCCACTTTCCCATCTTCTTGAGGTCAGCATAAGTCCCCATGAGTTGACCAAGCCAAGTGTTGTAGATAACATTTAAGAGTTCAAGTCCAAAATAGACAATGATGAACGTCGTTATCGCTAAACCGGCCCATTCTAAGGAATTGAGACCGAAAATTGTAAAAGACTTGATAGCTGCTCCCCAAGATAGCATGGTGACGGCGGTGAATTATTTATTTTTCCTCGTAAAAAAAATAGAAGAACACGAATAAAGAACAACCAAGAGGGTTGTTGTTTGAAAAACGAAACCAAAGGCGACAACGAAGGGCACCACCACAGAGGAGAGAAAAAAAAAGAAAAAAAATGAACACCAAATTCACTGATGAAATCACTGATGAGAGATGATTATATATTTTTGCTCTTGTGACGACTCCTCGCATGGGTGAAGTGAACACCAGGAGAAATGGTCACCTCCACCAATTCACAACCAATCCAACTCTAGAACTGGGTTTAAGTCGTCCAAGCGAGAGTTGTTTAAATCTTTAAATTTTAACGAATCCTGTTTGACTATCACTGCCGTAGTGCCGACGCTATACTGCTCTCAAATGTCTTACGGAACAAGCCTTTACACGGTGATGAGTTGAGTGGTGGAGTACCAACAACAAAAAGACCAAGCAGTACAGAGTGTAGTGGTCAGTAGTGCGAATGCATTGTGGATTTCAATCCTGTACCATCCAACCCTCCGTCATGCCTTAATAACTTCACCTCAAAATGAGGACAGTTCATGTATTTTAAGAAAAGGTGTCCCTTTACGAACGGCTCTGGAAAATAACTACAGTTTTGAACAGCTTTCGGAAACTAAAAATAGGATTAAACCCAAACCGGTGAATTAGGTGAATGTCTAACAATCACAAATATATGCACGTGAGCATATTTTGTAAAAATTGTATAAACCACACACAAGCACGTACTCTCCTCAATAGTAACATTCCATCATTATGTTTTAGGAATTCACGTCTTTAATGCATCTCTTGAAAAAGCAAGTTTTCCACTGTAAAAAACAATGAATGATAACATTCAGCCCTATCCTCAAAGTAACGAAATACATTAACAAACAACATTAGGGCAGCCGTCTCTGACATATGAGGCGAGATGAGGCGAGATGCGATGCAGCAGTCCAAATCACTTTAGAGTTATATACGTTATGTATGATGAATTCTAACCATGCCATCCATCGTGGCAATGATAAAAAGATTCCTCGCAACGCACACGTACATCTGCAATTTATACCCGTAATAAGGATTCGAATTTGAGGGATGTAACAAGTTGTCTCGCACTCTACACTTTTTACGAAGCAATCTCACATACGTACAAATCTTACTATCTGTCCACCACCAGTCTCCATTTAATTCATCATCATCTCAAGATGGGTAGTGCAGGTGGGTAGCAGCCAGTAGTAAATAGCTGGCACATTGCGACTTCATCTTCTTATTCTTGGTATGAAGATCATCATCTGAGTACGTAAATCGTATGTACGTGGAAGTTGGGGATTTACCTATGGATTTACCTCTCCGTTTGGTTTTAACGTTAGCGTTTATGAGACGACAGACGTGTGGTTTGAGAATTCATAAGACGATGAAGATGAAGCGGAGATAGATGACCCCTTTGAATCATGGCTGCTCTCTCGATTAAAAAACCACCGTTTAACATGTCTAATCTGATGGATAATAAAGTGTACAATTTACACGGAAGATATTAATTAATTCTCGAGTTTTTAAACCCACAAGATTTATACTTTGTGGCAGCCTTCAAAAAGTGGAAGAAACCTTCATGAGGCATTTTTTCTGGCAAAAATTCACTACATTACACTTCACAAATTATTACAATTACGCAACTTCCCAAATTGTGTTGTACAAGAGGGTCTGCTGCTGCTGCGTCTCATGCATGCATAATAATATATTCCGAGACTTGTGCATGAATCAACAATGATTTTGAAATGAATGAATCTGAAAAATAAATAAGCGATGCATGTAGCTGAGAAGTGCTCATTTAGTAATGAATTGAGTAACTGACATTGTGTTTGTCTTATAAATTATAAAGCGTTGGAATTTTTAACTGTGTGTGGCTGCTGCGGGGACAAGAAATAGTTGCAATGCGTGGTCTAAGATATTGTACTGTGAATTACCAGTGGGGTTTATGCATGTAAATATGTAGAAGCATTTAAGACGCTCAGAATTGTCCATCTACTCCAGAAGTTGACAATTGCTATCTCATAAGTGACTGACTAAAGGATAACTTTAACGCGGTTTTCATTCTAGGTCAGTTATCAGCGAAATATTAAAGACGCAATAAATATTGAGTTCAAAAGGTTGTCTTGATGCATAACACAATCTCTGAAAATAGTCCAGTTTCTCTAATAATCATGTATGAATGACAATAATGGTTTAATTTCTCAACATGATTTCACATTTATTCATTTGTCGCATGATCAAATATTTCTCCTCTGATGAATGTGTGTGCACTGACAATTACAAACTGATTAGCACCCTTGACCGAGTCACAAAAACAGAATTTGCACATACGTATTATGTACATACGTATATGTAGATCCTAAGAAAGTGAATAAATGATATTGTTCTGTCATCTTTCTTGATTTGAAACGCCAATAATTAGTAATTACCATCACACTAAATGTCACCACCTCACAGTCATAGTTCGAAGAATATCAGAGAACAAGTTTTGCACGACGACCTTGCATTTCTAGCAAAATTCACTTGAATTCTATATTCATAAGTAAGTAGACTTGACGATGATTGGATGGTTTTAGGGGTGTCTCACCATTACTATTACGCCATAAGCACGTTGCCTGTTACATTTAACTCGTTTATACCCGCTTGCAAACACCATATTAATAGTTATACTAAGTTAGTTAGTGCATTGGGTAACCGAGTTAAGGAGATCAATATTGAAACCATGCTGTTAATATGCAATGCTTAAAGATGCCATCATATTTAGCATTTGGTTCACTTTTTCTTTATGAGACGACCATCATCCGACAAATCCAGCCAGCCAAATATATAGATACACCTTTTCCCTTGCTGCTTTCTTTCTTTGCGTGTATTCCTAGTCTGCCAACACTTAATTCTCGCACAGTCCGAACTACAGATTAATATTTGTAGTCTGGATCCAGCTGGAAGGGTTTGTTCAACAACCCTCCCACGGCAAGGTCACGGCAATATCGGTATCGTTAAACTTGGCTGGTGAACCGGCACAAATTCAGTTCACAAAAAGCAAGTGTGTCCAATTTCAGCAGGTCTGGACTTCTGGACACGGACAATAATTAATTTCTAGTCAAACATATTATCTTAATGTGACCTTCACTGCCATCGTAGAGAAATAAGTGACTTATCATATTCGCAAGTTAGGTAACAGTGTGTACGTCGGTGCTATAAAATGTCTCACGTTATAAGATCCGTCCCTTCCGTAGCTCGCTGGCTCCCTTCGACGTCCTCAAAGTATTTACGAGTAAGGTGTACATATGCGTAAATAATTATAGCAATTTTACGAATATAGTATTCACTTGGCTTTATCTGGATATTTATGTTCAGATTGGCCACCAAATCGCGTGTAGACGAAGACTGTCCTCCAGATCCGTTATTACTGTCATTGATGTCCACCAACGAAATTTTGCGTTCAATAATACATCCGTGCACTCAAGATGTATTCATTCCTCGGGTGGTCTACGAAAAGAAGTCATTCCTTTCAAATTGTCAGATATTGGTGAGGGGATCAAAGAAGTTACTGTGAAAGAATGGTAAAAATGAGTTATGATTGATGAGATATTGCAATTTCGACGTATGGGTTTTTACATATGAACTGATTGAAAACTAGGTTCGTAAAAGTAGGCGACAAAGTGGCGCAATTCGACCAGATATGTGAAGTTCAGAGTGACAAGGCATCGGTAACGATTACATCACGATATGATGGCATTGTTACCAAGATTTATCATGAACTGGACGCAATCGCACTGGTTGGATCCCCTCTGGTGGATATTGAGGTTCAAAGCACGGAAACAGTTTCCGGTAAAATTATTTATTACTCAATTGTTCAGGTGAATATTTCTGACAACATGAAACTAATCATCTTAATGTGTGTTGCACGCAGTTGAGCAGTTACAAGAGGTTCAAGAAGGTGACGCGATTCAAATCGGCCGTTCCGATTCCGACGACAGTGTGAGTCTTCCTCCAGCATCTTCGTCAGGCGAGAAGGCGCTGGCTACTCCGGCAGTGCGAAGGATTGCCAGCGAGTACAAAGTAGATCTGAAGCATGTGCAGGGAACCGGAAAGGATGGACGTGTCCTAAAGGAAGATATTTTGGCCTATGTCAATAACACCACTGCCCGTTCTTCCCAAGAATCTCCAAGACCTGCTGTATCAGCTCGTGCCCCTTCAGCAGCAACGATCGCTCCTCCCACTCCTGCAGCTATACCGGTACTTCCCCCAGTTAACAGGGCTCAACCTGACAGAAAAGAAGCCATTAAAGGATACACTCGTACCATGATAAAGACTATGACTGCTGCTAATGTGAGTTGATACTTGTAAATATAATAAATGTGACGTTTAAGCTGTTGCAACTAATAATCACTGTAATCTTGTTAACAGGAAATTCCTCACTTTGGTTATTGTGATGAAATAAATGTCCTCGAGTTGGGCAAACTTCGCAAAGAACTGAAGACAATGGGGGAAGTTTACAATGTTAAAGTAACTTTGATGCCACTTTTTATGAAAGCAGCTTCCTTGGCCTTGTCGAAGTTCCCCATAATCAACTCCACCCTAGACCTGGCTAATGATGCTATCGTGTATAAGGTATACATCAAGAACAATTGGTATAATATTTAGTTGTAATCTTAAATTTTACTTTCCATATTGACGTAGGGTGCCCACAATATTGGTGTTGCAATGGATACAAAATTAGGCCTGGTTGTACCAAACGTGAAAAATGTTGAGAGCAAAAGCATTTTAGAAATCGCCATCGACCTGCAAAACTTACAACAGAACGGCCAAGCTGGGGCATTTAAGCCTGATGACCTCAAAGGAGGAACGTTCACTATATCCAACGTTGGATCGGTACGTACGACAACTTCAAATGTTACAAAATGCATCATGGCGAGTAGCTTTAATGACATTCGCCTATATATAGATTGGGGGGACTTACACCAAACCAGTGATTCTTCCCCCGGAGGTGGCTATCGTGGCCATGGGCAAAACTCAGGTTTGTGGATCATTTAGTATATTTTACATTATACTCACATATCGTCATTAACTGTGCGATAATCTAATCATGTTTTGTATGCAGGTTCTTCCAAGATTTGACCGTGACGGGAATGTAACGGCTGCTCACATAATCAACGTGAGTTTCTCGGCCGATCATCGCATCATGGACGGTGCGACGGTGGCACGTTTTTGCAACTTGTGGAAATCCTACTTGGAACACCCATCCTCCATGCTTCTGTATCTTAAGTAGAGCTTAGCGTTATAGAGTAGAAGAAAAGAAAGAGATCAACTATATATTTGCTACATAGAAGAGAGAAGACATTATCCCTTAATAATAGAGTTAGCCAAAAACTCCATAAAAAATATACACTTCCAATTTTAACTGGATTAACAAAGAACAATAATAAAACCATGACAGAAGAATTATTAAATCAATCAAGACATGCAACTGCATATAACATGTGGACATATCTTCTTGTTAACGGCCTTTTTCATTGCCCAATTTAATTGCTGAATTGCATGTCTTCTTATCAGAGAGGAAGTTCGTGTCACTGGACTTCTTTGATCATCTCCTCCTCTGAATGGGCTTACCAATTTAATGAGTTCAACTAACTGATATTCTTTTATACACATTTTTCATCGATACCACGCAGTGTGGTCCACACAGCTTTCTCCAATCCCGACTCACAAATTCTCCCACAAGGAGCATTAGAATTTGGAATGCATATATAAAATCGGTGACAATAACTCTTATCTCCGATTCGGGTGTATGCCTCTCTCTCTCTCCGAATTATTGGCAAAAGCAGCCGGGAAAGAAGGGATCGTGTGACTATACATACGTGGGACGAGATGAGGAAGGAATTCGGTGTTGGATTTAGATTAACCTCATCTCGTCGTTTACATTGTATTATTCTAATCAGCAGCAGCATCACTACATGAACCCTCCCGTTTTTGCACACTCTGATTTTATCATGTAGCAGGATTTTTACTGTCTGGCTTGCATTATTTTAAACTGGAGTGCTCATCAGAGCAAAAAGAGTGAAAAAAGTTGCAGATTCTACACATAATCCGTGTTATCACCCTTCCCAGTTAGTAGCCAGGACATAATACCACAAACCACAACTTATTTTACATTTTATTCGGTGGTGCTATCGAGAGGCAGTAAGTATTAGTTTACATACATTTTATTGAATTGAGTCTTCTGCTGCTGCACTGCTGGATGACGAGGCGTGCATCATAACACATCATACACGTCGCTTTTTGTCAGTAAAAAATTCACATCACTGTGACGAGCCAGATGTCAAGGAGTCTCCGAGAAGGAGAACAACTTGCCTGGTGAAAGCAGAATTATTAAAGGGTTGCGAGATTCCGGGCAGGAGGATTCTCCCCTGCTCGCCTTCATTCACCTGTCACCAGGCACCTGCTGCTCATCAACGAAACAAACATTGTTTTTTTTCTGTTTTGTTCTGCCCACTCGGCTCAAGATTTTGTTGTGTTCTAGTTCGTTAACTAAATTTATTGATTGGTAAGCGAAACAATAAATGGATTATTCAATGCTTTTTTATGACACATTATTATATGAATAATAATAAATGCACATATTAATTAACCTGGTATGAAAATACAGTTTGTTTGTTATTTATTTACAGGATTTTTTCCCATTCTTCTTGTTGTTTCCGGTGAATGAAAATTAATTGACAATTGATTCGGTATTATTGTGAGGTGACTGAATTCGTGGTACTTATCAATGTGTCGAGGAGAAGAATAAGTTACTCGAGAAGGTCAAATATTTCGGAGAACAATGTCCTGATTGAACTGGGAGTCGTTTTTATTTTGTGAGACGAAGGTACGTTTTAATTACGTAGGAGGAAGATGGATAAAATAAAGAAATACTATTTTGGACTAAACTGATTGATACTTTTGGGGAATTTTTATACAGATTTTCTATACTTTCACTTGCACGTGTCAAAGGAGGACGCTTTAATTACCTTGACTGATCATGAAAATTTTAAAATGCTGACGACGTTCTGAAAAATAGCCCCCACTAAATCATCGATAACTAAGCAAAACTTATTCGACCTATTCTACGAGTCTTCCTGAGAAGAAAATTGTGTTGTTTGTCTACTCGTTCAAATTATGAGTGATAATTCTACGCGGATGATACCATCTTCGGATAGAGTTTTAAGAAGTAGTACAAAATCAAATAGGAACCAGAAGGGTGGCAGCAACAACTCTTCTGCACCTGAACCCAGGAAGATAATCGACAAAGGTTCGCCTAAAATAATATCCACTCCCACCTCCTCATCCTCCTCCTCTTCCGTTGTCAGGAGAAGGAAAAGGAAGGGTAACAAGAGTATGGATCATCAGGAGTTGGGGGATTACACCCCAATCACCACTAATGGCCCACGAAGTGGAAGTTCATCACCGGTGGATGATGACGATGACGATGACTTATCACCATCTAGAAACAAGCTTTATGACATGAATGTGATCAACAATGGAGAGAAGGCGCATTTGCTAATGGAAGATTCTCTGGATCAGCATGACGAGATAAGTTTTCAGGATGCAAAGCCAAAGATGGAGGAGGAAGAGTCATTTTGGTCCATCATGGTCCAGGTTTTTATACCATTTCTTATCGCTGGAATGGGAATGGTGGCAGCCGGCGTTACGTTGGACTTGGTTCAGGTTGGAATAAACCAATTATTGATAATGCAATTATTCACAATCCTGGGATTATTAACAGAAATATTTATTTTATTGATACAGCACTGGCCAGTTTTCAAAGAGGTGCCCGAGGTGTTCATTCTGGTTCCAGCGTTACTAGGACTGAAGGGCAACCTAGAAATGACGCTTGCATCTCGCCTTTCTACCCAGGCCAATCTTGGAAATTTAGATACTGCAAGATCTCAGTGGCACATGAGGTAGGTTATTTTATGACAGTCCTGAGCTTATTCATTTAATTAACTAAATAATTTAAGGCCAAATTATTTAACGTATGTTTTTACTTTTAGTGTTGGGAATCTCAGCCTAGTTCAAGTGAGCTTAAAAAATATTCTAATTTGATATGAGTTGACCTTTAATTTTTCTGGAAAAATATTTTCGTCGTACAGTGCCAAGCCATTGTTGTTGGCTTTTTAGCATCAGTTGCCGCAATAGTGCTAGGTTGGATACCTGATGGGCACTTCGATATGGACCATGCTCTGATATTATGGTATGTCAAGAATGCATTTTCTGATAAAATTTTCCTTGATTATTTTGAAGAACCTGTTTTTCTTAAATAATGACAGTACGAGTAGTGTGGTCACAGCCTCTATAGCAAGTTTTGCTCTAGGTATGCTTGTAAATCAGGAGTAAAAGTTGAAACAAATTACATGTTTGAATGTGTCAATTATTAATTCAAATTTCAGGCCTCGTTATGGTTCTGGTGATTATTTTGTCGAGGATGTTTAGAATTAATCCTGACAATGTTGCCACTCCTATTGCCGCTAGTCTTGGTGACCTTACAACGCTCGCTTTGCTGGCATTCATATCGAATTCTGTCTACGGAGCAATAGGTTCGATTTATTTAATTGATTCGTATATAATTCAAATAAAAGAAATATTCCATAACGTCTAATTTTATAATGTAAATTTTGTTTCAATCCTGTAGGCACTCACAAGTGGTTGTGCCCATCAATTCTTACAGGGTATTTGTTATCTATGCCGTGTTGGGTCATCCTCGCGAAAAGAAACAAGCTGACAAAGATGGTGCTCTATTCAGGCTGGACCCCTGTGCTGAGTGCCATGATGATTAGCAGGTTTGGATATATAAGTTGATATACTTACTGTCGAATTATAATTACAAGTTTACGTTTTTAACATTTAGTCTCTTTATTCTTTACACAGCCTCGGTGGACTTATTCTAGACTTCACTGTTAAGAAATTTGTGGGAGTGGCCGTGTTTCAACCCGTGATAAATGGGGTCGGCGGTAACCTGGTGGCTGTGCAAGCTAGTCGCATATCCACATCGTTTCACTGTCGGACGCCATTAGGGGTTCTTCCGAGCAGTGTTCAGCGAGTTTGTACCAATCCTTGGAATGCCTTTTTCGCCAAGGGTACTCCATAATTATAACCGCTCCACCATCATTTGCATTGACCAATGATTTATTAATGCTTAATCTCTTGTGTCATGATAGGTGGACATGCAATGACTGCTCGTGCCCTAATTTTAATGGTTGTACCTGGCCACTTAATTTTTGCATACACAATCAGCTATATTCAAGCTGGTCATACTTCAATTACACCAGTTTTTGTTATTTTCTACTTACTAGCAGCCTTAGTTCAGGTATTACCAAGATTCATACTAATGTTTTCATATTTCAGTTGTGTGACGCTGAGCTGATTCCATTTTTTGTTCTCTGTAGGTTATCCTACTGCTCTATATTGCGGAAGTCCTCATACAGTACTTGTGGCTGAATAAAATAGATCCTGACAACTCTGCAATCCCGTATCTGACGGCTTTAGGAGATGTCATCGGTACTGCATTGCTGGTAAGCCTACTTAATTCTCAATTTATCCCTGTAAAAAATTGTAGAAATGAATGTTTGTACATATAAAACTTGTGCACAACAGGCATTGGCTTTCCTCGCATTGTACGCCATTGGAGACAGGGATTCGGACGTTGGAGATTAGTTTCTTCAAGGGTTACGAAAGTATAAAAGCAAGATCCTGTTACCAATCTTTTAAAGATTCAAAGTTAACTATTATCGAGATTATTGAATCCTGGACACAAAAATTATTATGTCACCTTCATTGCTCTTCAACCTCAACAGTTTGGGTGCAATAAAATTAACAATAACATAGGTAGTAAGTAGTTAGTCCTCTAAGGAACTATAGATGTACATATGTACACATATGCATTTGTTCGTTTGCCAAACATTTGGCAAATGCGTGAAAATCTCAACTTCTAGTAATATAATGCGATGACAGAATTTATTAGGTTATTGTAAATTGTTGGCGTGCAAAAAAGTACTTTTTTAGTATTCCTGTTATTTCCTAAACGGTATCGTTCGTTGATTTATAGTTATATGCATTTAGTTTTTAGAGCAGAATCCATTCAGTAGATTCTTTAAACATCAGAGAAATTATTTGTATAATTATTATTCAGTTGTGGTGCTAATGAACTGTAGTCAATTTTGGCCATTGTTATAAATATTATGAATATTTGCACGAAATGCCAACGCTGAAAACGTAAAATATGCGTAATGCGTACAACAGCGTATAGAATGATTACTGTGATGCGCGATGCCAAGTAATATGTAATAGTGAGTAATACGAATGGGTCATAATAATGGGCTGCAAAGAGTTGCTTGTGTAATATTTAGGAGGAATCGTCTCGTTACTTTAATTCATTCGACATAGTTCCATAGACTTCAGTACTAGTACTTCTAAGAATTGTCAAGTGCCTTGTACGAAACAAAAACCGTACAGTTTAGACAGTATAATAACAAATAATTGTACAAAATTCCCTTTGCACGCAAATATACAATCATCGGGATTATGTGTGTGATAAATTATTCAACATTGTGACCTGAAGAGCGTGCCTCCTCACGGTCCAAATTTCTAGTCTTAAAAGTCTTTTCTAGCTAGAATTGTTTATAAAAGTAGAACAATACACTCTCTCGAGAACGCTTCTTGGTGCTGCAGACAACATTTAAATATAGTAAATGCAAATAGAGTATAGAACATATAAAGACCTGTATCATTACATTGTAGCAAAATTATGGTAAAAAATAAATGATCAGAAGCACAAACGAAACAAATACAATCTTCAGGCATTCCTTTCGGACCATAATCTACATCTATAGATTATACCTACATACTGAACATTTAGCGACGACGATATATAAATCATTCATACATTTTATTATTATTTAATCGGTCAACATTTCTTGTCAATTAGTTTAATTTGTACTGAAACGAACTCCTCCAAAAGTTATTACTGACAGAATATTCTTAGTAGAGGACGGCGGAGACGCGTATTTTTTCATATTCTGAACGTGTAAACGACCGTGGATTGGGTCATTGGGACAATTATCCAAGTTTAATACGTTAGATAACTGTCCTGACACGTGGATGCCCATACATCGAAAACCTGGGTCATCTGCCGAGTGTCAGGGTTTCTTAGATCCTGTCAATTAGCCTTTAATGTATTACTGCCGCTGGTATGGCTGGCTATCTATATGTTTATATATGACATTGTACGAGAAGTCTGACTACCTCACAAGGTACATACAAAAAGTACATATATGGAGATGACGAGAGTGGTGGGATTGTTAGTATTATTATTCTGCTCACTGGGCAAAGGAATGGTGAGCGGCAGGGTGTGAAACAATTGCGTCGCAAGACGATAGGCAAGAAGTGCGATTCATCGACACGGGTATAATGTCGCCAGTGGATGAAGGTGGCATACCATTAGGAATTTTTGCAGCTGCGGCAAGTTTCACAAGTGATTCAAGGCTCTCCTGTAAATAAACAAGTTTTGTTAAAGTTGTTTTAAATTAGTGTGAATTTTTGTTATTGTTGTATGTTATAGAAAAATACATTATTCAATTCTAAATTAGTGCAATGTACTGTTTTACCTTATCCAAGTGCCGAGCAATATCTTCAAAATGAGTGTTCACAATGCGTGCTTCGTCTGACGTGATGAGCTCAGCATCGTGTTGAGATTGCACCGGAGGTGGAGTTCTGGTTTGTCTTTTGGGGTCGCCAGACAGTAATGAATGTACGTTGGGAGAAGAAACGGGACTATCTTGTTCGTCAAGGAATCGCTCCATAAAATCCCTAAATAAATAAAGGTATTACCCGAATTAGTCCTCATGTGCATATTTTAAACATTGTGGGTCAATTTATTTATTGAATGTCATGTTGACTTACGTTGTTCCTGGATGCAATGTATATTTCTTTTTTTCTAATCTAGACTTATTTGCGAATACGTCATGCCGTTCCGTCTTTTTCCACAAGTAGTAAAATTGAACTAATTCACTTACTGATCTCGTTCGCACCTGAAAATCAATTGTTATACACTGTAAAATCAACAGATATGTAATCAATTAATAAATGTGCACACCTTAGTTTGTTGAATCATATTGAAATCTTTCCCAAAATAACGTAACCCTGCTTCAAAATATCTACACTCTTCTTCAGACCACAAGCTCATCGTATCCACAGAAGAAGCAATATTGACTCGCTGACGTCGGATCGCTTCTTCACTATTATGCCCGCATTGTTGAAGTAGATACAGAGCCTGGAAACAAGAATCGTCCAATTAGATATATTAATGTGACGAACTAACCATGACAGACGAGATAAATAATACTACATACTTGTTCGTCATCTCTGACATGTGAACCGTGTGGTATTGCGTTAACATCGTCACCCAATAAACTATTATGAATTTCATGCACCATGGCGAGATACTTGCTTAAATTAGCTTCGCTTGTTCCGGATGGGTCCCACAACAATTTGTCCTCGTTTTCATATGGCATAGCGTCGCCATACTTTCGAACACCATCCGGAATAACAGCTTGATAATCTGACCCAACCATAATCGTCTAAAAATTACATGAAAGAAAATCTCAATTAATAATCTCACCACAAGGTTTATGAAGAGACTAGGTAAATGAATTCTTGAATCAAAAGCTAACCTTTTTCCAGTCATCTTCTTCAGGACTATAATCGCCATCGTCCTCTTCTTCCTCGTCCTCACTTGCTTGTCTTGATCCGGCTGAAATTACAAAATCATAAATTAGAATAGACTTATTATGGCGAGGTAGAGTATGCAAGGAGTCTTTAAAAAATTACATCTTAATTGGCGAGATCCACTTGGAGCATTAGGATCATCTTTGTACAATTCGTGGAGTAAAGATCGATCTTCTCGATGAATATGTGTATCCGCTAAAATCACTGGCTTCCGTTCATCCTCACATTCATTCTCTGGAGTTTTCTCTTCTTCCTCCTCTTCCTCTTCTTTTAGCACGGTCTGATTATTCTCCTTTAAAGGAACAAACAAAACAATGGTTATGCGCGGTCGTTAATAATAATTCAAGCTTCATGTCTCTGTACATATGTAAGTTATACAAATTTAATCGTATTTATTCTTACATCATCTGGTCTTCCCTCGTTATCGTTCTCATCTGCTTCACCTTCTGCTTCGCCTTCCTCCTCCCCCTCTTCTTCCGTCTCTTCGTCTTCTTCATCTCCTTCCCCACCAGCTTCCTCATTGTAGCCATACATTGACAATAAATCTTCAATTGGAATATCTTTATCCTATGTAAAATACAAATTAAAGTTGATTTTGTATTAGTTTAAACATTTTTATGATCCAGTGAGTGATATGCGTACGCAGACATTCTAAATAATAATTCCTCACCCTTTCGAGATCGCATATTTCATCCTGTTCACCATCGTTATCCATGGCTTCTTCCTCATCTAGAGTCCGTTCATCGTCAAAGTCATTAACCATCATTTCTGCAGTCGGTTCAAAATCTTCGTCCTGAGCACTTGTTTCCATTTTCTCGGTCTTTAATCATTCAGAGAAGATATAGTAATTAATTATACAGTTATACCTATTTATGCACACCACAAACGTAATCATTGGTATCGAATTCAAACTTCTTACCTCGTCCATTATTATATGACTCGCTCCTGCTTTTAACTTGGACCGGAACAAATTATTATTGTGTATTGTTGCTGCTTTAAATGTCAACTTTTTGTAGTTCTATCTAAGTACAATTTGCACAGACCGTCTGTTGTCAAGTTATTTAAGGCTTTTGTGGAAACCTAACGAAATTTCTATCGAAATGTCGACCTATCTTTTGTCTTTCTTCTATCTTGACTTTATAAAAGTAATACAAAACAATTAAACAAGAATATGTTACTAAATCATATCACAACGCTGCCTGAGAAATAAATCTAAACAAAATAAGAAATATATACTTTAAAAAACTAAATCATACATGAACTACACACTTATCTTCAGTCTGTCCTCCTCCTTCTACCAAATTTCTTACATCCACCCCTACTCAGGTTTCGTCATTAATAATCTACTAAACTCTCAAATTCGTCCTGCGCTAAGTCAACAAATCCCCTAAAACTATACAAAGTTATTCTCCCGTGTTCAAAAACAACGTCGTCGGATGATTTCAATTTACAAGACGCAGCAGATTTCGGCGACTTGCAAACCGCACTCGTCCATCTGCTGCATTCCTATAAACAGGGGACAAATGTCAAACGATAATGTAAACAAAACATAAACAATGAATGAATGAATAAATGAATGATGTGTCACTCTTAATCAGAACAATTTTAGAGAGAATTAAATTTTGTACCCCTCCAGCAGTCGGCATTTAATTATTATGGTCACCACCACTGACCCTGCGTTTCCCCATCGTGTTTTCCAATAGAATTCAGAAGCGATTTTCAATTAAAAAGTTTACAAAACTTAAAAACACACCAAAGCGTTCAACGCGTGAGTAATTAGTGTTTATTTTAAGAATCCAGTAACTGGGTAGTTTGTGGCTCAAGTAGTGGCAACGAGTGATAAAAAGTAGTGGAAAAATGATTAGATGATAGCGAGTGGGATGACGAGGGGATGGTTTTGTGGTAGGATTTGAAATACTTGTACAATTTTGAACTACCAAAAAGTTATACACTGCTTCATACACTCTGCTTTGATGATGATGATTCCGAGTTTACTTGAAAACCCAGTTGGCCATGAGAAGAGCTAGATGGCTCCTAAATTACAAATGCGTCCCACCGAGGAGAGTAGTAGTGCTTTCTCCTTCTGAACTCGTCTCACACACACGAACACACTTTTCCATCGGAAAAAAGTTATCTCAAACATGATATCCACATGATAACATTAGCATCATTTTAATTTTAAAATGTTATAATGGTAGTAAATTATATGTGATTTTAGACTGGGCTAAAATTATTATGTTCTCAAAAATGACTGGTCTCGAGTATAGAAAAGTCTATAATTTTGTCTCAATAAACAGAAACTAGACTTTATATATACGTAGCTTAATCAATAAAATTGCCAATGTAAAATGGGCTATATTAAATTTAATCTAACTAGGTTGATTCTGTAGCTGGCATTACATAATAATTATTAACCTAAGGAATATAGAATAATAGGAATTCATTCATTGAAGCATTTTGTAATAACATAAAAAATAGCATTATATCTCCGTAAAAATCGTAAATTGAGTAGGAAATTTTTCTAATATGATATTTCTATTTGAACCTATATTCCCGAGAGTGTTATGTCATTATTCCGCTCCATGAATGGAAAGTATCTACGTATTTTTTAATTGTTTTGTTAACGATTGTGCAGTTTTTCATGCTTTTGTATAGTAAATTACTATTAGTAATATGTACAACTGATCCTATTTGTATCCAAAGTTCCTCACCTAAGATGAGTCACCTTGATTGTAACTTTTGGAAAATAACATTTTTTGGTAGTATGAAATTTCTATTCGTTATTTCTCAAATTTTTCGCATTTCATGTAGTCGGTTGCTTGGGCGAGTGAGAGAGAAAAATCAGTCAGAGTGTAGAGGAAGGAGGCGGCAACGTCATACGATTCATTTTTAACTGCATCATCATCATTGCTCAGTTGCTGAAAAAGAGGAAAATTGCAAATCGTGCAAATTATAATATTACCTCTTTGATTTTTCAAATTTTTAATTGATTTTACAATTCATTCGTGGAGTAAACTGTAGGTAAGTTAATTTCATCACCTGACATTTTCCACCTGCTTTATTCTTTTTGTTTGATTATTAAAGCACTACTTTTTAGAAACCTGTCTTTGGTGAATCGATCGAGATAATGGCGGACGTAACAAAGAAGGCCCCGACGGAGGACGTGGCAAAGTCGAAGGATGATAAGGACAAGAAACCGGATAAGGATAAAAAGCTTGAACCTGAAGAATTGAGTGAGGAGGACAAATTGTTACAGGTACGTGATTAGAAAGCAATTCTAAATAATCGAGCTACTTTATTTACTTGACACTACTGAATGCAGGATGAACTGGACCTTTGTGTTGAGCGATTGCAAGACCCAGATACCAGTTTGTACGACGGTGCTTTGGAAATTATGCGGGCACAAATAAAGGCTTCAACAACGTCAATGACCTCTGTTCCAAAGCCATTGAAATTCTTGAGGAAGCATTATCAAACCATCAAGGACATTCATGCCAAAATTGAAAACCAAAAAACGAAACAAAATTGTGCTGAAATTGTGTCCGTATTGTCTATGACTTGTACGGAAGGAAGGGACTGTCTCAACTACAAACTTTTTGGAATTGAGGGCGAAATTGGAGAATGGGGACATGAATATGTTCGTCATCTATCTGGTGAAATTGCAGAAGAGTGGTATGTATAAAATATTGGTCAATTTTGGAACGATTCTGACTTAACTTAATTTGACATATAAGTGACACGTTGTACAAATGTTTAGGGAGACCAAGGATCTAGAAAAATCACGCAAGGATAAGCTACTTGTTTTGGCGGAAAAGATAATTCCTTACAATTTGAACCACAATGCTGAAGCAGAAGGTATTTATATTTATTGAGAGTTTTTATGTACTTCGTAAGGTCAGATTCTGATGAATAATTCAATTTTTTAAATTTCAAAGCGTGCGATCTTGCAATGGAAATTGAGCACTTGGAATTATTGGAACGTTTTGTTGATGAGGACTCTCATCTTCGAGTGTGCGCATACATGACAAGCTGTGTTGCCTATGTTCCGGATCCTGAAAATACGGAATTGCTCAAAGCTTCTCTTAGAATTTTCAAAAAGTTTGGACAATGGCCACGAGCTTTAAGAGTTGCGATGCAGTTGAACGATGCGACATTGGTCGAAGGACTTTTACGTGATTGCACTGATCCGTCAGTTAGAAAACAGTTGGCTTTCATGATTGGACGTCAACAGGTTAGTTGTTTTAACTAGTTGCTACTCAGATTCATAATAATGATGTAATCCATTCAATAAGTATTGATTTTTTTATAGATTCATACAGAAATTCCATCTGAAATTGAGCAGCAAGATGAATTAACCGAAATCACAACGAATAGCCACTTAAACAACAACTTTTTAGCTCTTGGTCGCGAATTGGATATTTTGGAGCCTAAAACGCCAGACGAAGTTTACAAGACTAATTTGGGTAAACAATATTAACCCTTTATTTAGTAAAAATTAGAGGGAAATAAAGGCAAAATGCATTGTGAATTACTTGTATTAATATGAATTACACTTTTTCTTCAGATGGCCCCAAGACCACCTTTAGCACTCAAGTTGATTCTGCACGACAGAATTTGGCAGCTTCATTTGTTTCTGGGTTTGTGAACGCTGGGTTCGGGAGGGATAAGCTTCTCACTGAAGATGGAAATAAGTGGTTATATAAGAACAAGGAACATGGCATGCTGAGCGCAACTGCTTCGTTGGGATTGATTCTCTTGTGGGATGTTGACGGTGGTCTTGGCCAGATTGATAAATATTTGTATTCGGCTGAAGATTACATTAAGGCTGGAGCTCTACTTGCGTGTGGAATCGTAAATTGTGGAGTTCGCAACGAATGCGATCCAGCATTGGCTCTCCTCTCTGATTACGTTACTCATCAAAGTCAAACAATGAAAATTGGATCCATCTTGGGATTAGGATTGGCTTATGCTGGAACTAAACGAGAAGACATTATTTCTTTGCTAAGTACCGTGGTTCTAGATGGGAATGTTGGAGTTGAAGTCATGGGACTTGCTGCTCTGTCATGTGGCCTTATTGCTGTAGGAACATGTGACGCAACAGTCACCCAACTCTTGCTCCAATGCCTTATGGAGCGAAGTGAACTCGAACTGAAGGATCCGCCAGCCAAGTACATTGCTCTCGGCCTTGGTCTCAACTTTTTGGGGAAACAGGAGCAAGCAGAAATTGCCCTCGTGTCCCTAGAAGTAATTCCCGATCCTTTCAAATCAATGGCAATGACTTTAGTTGAAGTCTGTGCTTATGCTGGGACAGGAAATGTTCTGAAAATCCAAAAACTACTCCACATTTGCTCAGAGCACTATGAGGCTACTGCCCAAGACTCTAAAGCCAAAGATGACGACAAGTCGCGGAAGGCCAAAGACATGAAAGCTTCCGCCAAGGACAAGAAAGGTTCGCCATCGTCAGATGATAAAGAGAAGCCTGGAACTTCAGCTTCTAAGGACAAGGTGACGAAGGAAAAGGAAGCGGTGCCTGTGGATCTAAGTACACAACAGTCTGTTGCAGCAATGGGAATCGCGCTGATTGCCATGGGTGAAGACGTAGGCACTGAAATGGCTTTCCGGTCATTTGGACACCTTCTTCGGTATTGCGAACCTGCCATTCGCAAAGCTGTCCCTCTAGCTTTAGCCCTCTTGTCCGTATCCAACCCAAGACTGACCGTTTTGGACACGCTGAGCAAGTTTTCACACGATATTGACAGTGAAGTTGCCCTCAACTCTATCTTCGCTATGGGAATCGTTGGTGCTGGAACAAATAATGCACGCGTAGCAGCAATGTTGCGACAACTCTCTCAGTATCATGCAAAGGACTCCAACAACTTATTTATGGTCCGAATTGCACAAGGGTTGGTTCATCTGGGAAAAGGAACCATGAGTTTGTCACCCTTCCACTCGGACCGTCAGCTCATGTGTCCAGTTGCCTTGGCTGGTCTGCTAAGTACCCTTGTGGCATTTTTGGATGTGCGTGGAACCATTTTAGGAAGAGGTCATTACATGCTGTACTGTCTCGCTACTGCCATGAACCCCCGGATGCTGGCCACTTTCGATGAGAATCTGAAACCCTTGCCTGTTCCAGTCCGTGTGGGTCAAGCTCTGGACACCGTCGGCGTTGCAGGGAAGCCCAAGACCATCACTGGATTCCAGACGTACACGACTCCGGTTCTCCTTGGACATGGTGAAAGGGCTGAACTCGCTACGGAAGACTTCATACCATTATCCCCCATCTTGGAAGGTTTTGTCATTCTCCGTAAAAATCCTGAAGCCAGCACCTAAATCGATCATCTTTGCGGCATAATCCTTTTTCACAATATTCATTGTATTTCATTTTCATACACTGTATTTATATAATCACTTTTGTAAGATGTAGCTTATCAAAACAATATGAAACTCAATGTGTAATGTCAAAATTAATTTTGTAGTGAACTACATTCAGCAACAACAATAAATAACATCGCATCTAAATCATTGTTTATGTACATTGACCATCAGACGTATTTCTACGAGCTAAAAAATTATTTAACTAAAAGCCGGATTTATATAAATGCTATCTTAATAATCATCATTGACGTCATTCGTGTCGGACTACTGCATAAAGTTCCATGTTAGGTTGCACATTTTCATGCTACTTGACGCATCATTTTTCTACATTTTTCACAGACATGTTTTCATTCGAACCGTGCGTCACGTGGTCATTATTGTCAAACTCGTACTAAGTTAATGAGCTCGTTCTCTCGTGTTTACATCATCAATACGTTGCAAATATTTGCATATCGTATCGCATGCAAATTTCCATATCGCTAATAAAACTCTAAGCTGGATATTAGGTTTTCTATTTTAAAACACCATAATTTCCTCTCAGCAGTTCCGCTTGCAAATATGAGCCAAGTTTCAATTGGAAGAAATACATTTATGTAAAAGGAAAGAAAAGGTAACCGGTAAACAAAATGTCGATATATTCCTTCGATAAGGAGAAAAAATGGCATACAATTATTCTCGTTCATTTACTTGTTCATTTCTGAATCAACAAATTATGTACACCGCATTCTCATCCCCTTTGCGTAGTTTCTCATATATATGAATTACATATCATGCTTTCTCTGCTAGTTTAGCCCATAAAATAAACTGCATGCATGCATGAGGTACATGTTTATCTAATTCCGTATGAAAAGTGCAACCTTTCTTCTAAAAAATAACACAACTCGCATGAAACTACTTGAAATATAGTTAATCACATGGGTAATAAATAAGTAGCAAAATTACTAATTAAAAACCTCAACCACTGACCTTTTCATGTATTTATCTTCTGCTGTAATTGGAATTTCCTCTTTCACCAAAGTTATATATTATTCTAATTGTGTTCATTTTTAATCTTTTTTACATCAACATTTACCTCATTGCTGAAAAAAACAACTCAATATGTAGTTTTGCCAGCCAGACTTTTCTACACCTCATAATCGCAATAATAAATAATAGCAGTTATGCAAACCTACGTGTGTACCCACCCAACCCAAACCGAAGTAATTTGTTGGAAAAATTTATACCTGGCTGTTGAATACTCGTCTGAAAGATCTAGGTACGTAAGCATTGTGCATTAATGCACCAGGTAGGTTATGTATACACTACGGGAATACCTGGTTGGTTGGCTGGCTGGTGGCTACTACCTCAAATTCGCGAACGAGTACAAAAGCGAATTATGGTGTTTTATTATTCGCCATGCAAAACCAGACCTACACCAATGCCTTTTATGTTATTTAGTTATCTATTTTAATGGTGAGGCCTAGTCATGCTCCTCTTGTGGTGGTTCTCTCTCTCTCTGAGACAGATATTACACTGAGATAGACGGACGAATGCAGGTGAGGTGATTGTGATTCCGCTCTTCACAAATACAAAAGTTCACCTGAATGAAAACCATGGTTGATGATGAGGAGGATAAGACGTGTAATGGGGTACGAAGAACATGAATGATTCCAGTAGAGCCAGTTTTTTTCTGTTCTTATTCACCGTCATCACAGTTCAAGATTCCAGGTCCAGTATTACTTAAGTACCTATGAATGAATGTACAACTGGATCCTGGCAACTAAGACAGATAAATGCGTGTAAGATTTGATTAGCTCGAGAAATTCGTCATCTCAAAGTTAATCAATTTTGCATTTTTGTTGAGTAATGACGAGAATTTGGGGGTAGGAGGCAGAAGAATAAGAGAGATGAGATGAGAGAGAGAGGAGAAGGATTACGAGACCTTTTTGTTCTTTACGCTCATTATATTCACTGGTTAGATTAGAAGAGATGATGGTGATGGTGACGTTGGTCTTATGGTTTGCATTTTGCCAAATTATATAACCCAAGAAATCCAACCCTCCTATCTGTATTCCGTCATCGCAAAAAAGGGTCTACGCAAAGTAAAGCGGAGAGAGAGAAGTTACACAAAAAGTCCATCAAATCAACTGAAACGAATTGTTTTTCATATTATTGTCGTCGTCGTCGTCCTCGTCGAAAACAGAATAATGTAGCACATTCGAAGACCGTGAAAATTTTCAGACATACACCAACATCGCATTATGTGCACTTTAATGGAGAAGAGAGAGAGAGAAAGAGACAGAGAGAGAGAGAGAATTGAGAATTGTTGGTTATGTAATGCAAAAGAACTCTGAGCATGAGATCATTATTTCAATTCCCAGAGGTGTGTCATGTGGGCAGTAATAGTAGTTCAAGTTTAGTTTTATGTTAGAATACATAACCCACCAGAAATGGCAGTAATAAAAAGATTTACAAAAGTACACAAGTAAATAAATGTACATACATACGCAAAAGTCAAGCAGTATATACGGTACAGCAGCAACAAGTGTGTGCATAAGCACATTTGTGTGCACAAGTTCTTCAAGTTTATATAATAATTGCCAAGTGAAACGGACAGGACACAGCTTTAACTGAATTTTTTTCGAGAAAGTGTGTGACAGGAACATTACAATCTATTTCAATTATCAGCAGAAGAAGCAGAGGCAGCCTGGGATCGTGGTCGTGGAAGTTATGTAAGTAACTAGAACTTTTTCTTGCATGGGGTCATAAATACATGGCAGGAAAATGTGCATGCTTATAAATTGACTGGCATCCATCCATCCATCCTGCTTGTACTAATGTAACCAATTAAGGACATGGAATAAAAAAGACGTTGTTATATAACTCGGTTATTCTGTAACAATCCTGTTTCGTCCGGTTTCCTCGGGCATGCCGCAGTTCCTTCTTCTTCTTTTACACAATATTATTTTTGTGTACTTACTTATGCAACCCTTTCTTTGTTTGATATCAACTAACCAGTTTTATTGCCGAATTTATGTACACATTCTCGCTCGCTTGCTTACTTACTTATGCATGTGAGCCAGCCGTGGTACATGTGTGTGTGTGAGTAGTTGTGAGAAAAGCAATAACAAAAAGCACAACAAAACGAATAAGGCTTGCAATTTTTTATGTCAATCTCATTTGAGAGAGGAAATGAGTACGCGAGGAGGACTACTCGGCGTCATTGTCGTCCTTCGTTCATAGTCCAGAATGAAGCATAATTAAGTTGACATAAGAGTCTCATCATCATATCCATTTCACATCAAAGTTCACAATGTTGCACCACACACGTACGTACGTATTTAGTACATAAATATACTGCCACACAGTTCCTGCTCCTGTCATATATGTGCGGTCGAGGTAGGCTGAGATAGGAAAATGTTTGCTTATATAACATAATTATAGGAATAATAACATCATGTAATCATGACGTTATTCCTCATCTAACCTGCATCTGACTGGAATAAATGGTACGTCCCCAAACAGACTTAAGCATCAAAGTGCTTGTAGGTATGCTTTTGTCCAGTCCAGTGTAGCAGTCCTCATTATTTGTAGTGTGTACGTACGTACTATCAGGCAGGCAGGTCGTCAAAGCAAAGGACTTGAAGAGCTTTAGTGTTTTTGTAATAAGTAATAAGGTGCAGGCTAGAGGGATGGATACGCAGTAATAAATTGGCTACCTGACTGGTGGTGGGTCGGTCCGTGGGGGCAAATGGTCAACTAAGCTATAACCTCCTCGACGGACATGATGCGCGGTACGATGATGGTTACGTGTGTTGTATGTACATATAAAAGTTGGTTCAGTCAGTTTAGTTTACTTGGTGGCGAGGAGGTGGATCAAGTTAAAGTTATGTAACACCGACTGTTTGCTCTACTCTCCCACTTTACATAACCTCACTCATCTCCTGCCTGCTTTTGCTAGGAGCGATATTACCAACACCATCAGAATCATGGTCGTAAAACAGCCAAAAAGAAGAAGAAGAAGCGTCAAAAAACCTATTATTGCTGGGTTGCTTTGCTTCGACGCAGGCAACGTAACCATAAGTTTGCTCCCTTCTTCGTACCGCACACTCTCCTGAGCAGTCGGATAAATCTGATCTAATGCTGACTTGGTTTACTTAAATCGTGAAAGCCAAGTCGACGTTTCGCCGACCGACCCATCCTCCTGCTCCTTATCCTTATTTTTTTCCCTGGAAAAAAAACTTAAGTAAGAGCGTGCTACGGAAAGGTTTTGGTGGTGGTGTTGAAAAAGCAAGTGACTTATGTAATGTCCCCAATTACATGGATTATGCAATGCAACTGTCATTTCCCAGATTCATTTATCACCTCTCCCGTACTTGAACCAACACGCAAGGCAAGACACATGGAAGGATTTTGCTAGCTGCCTTTTGCCATAAAAATGAAACAATTACACAATTAACTCATGGCGACTAATACAGAAGTACAATGTTGTGTGTGAGACAGACTTCATCATCCATGACATGACGAGACGCGCTTCACATCATCATTATGATCCCTCATCATCATCGCTTTTTATTGTGGCGGTGTCAACAAGTTATATATACATACATAAACATTTATATCTATCTCTAGCAGCAGCATTGCATTGGCAGCATCGGCAGTAGCGGCATGACGAAGCAAGAAGAGCGTGGGTTACATAACGCCAATATAAGCACATAATGCGCTACAAATACAACTAAATACTTGGAGGAAAGTCTGGCTATAGTACATCCAAGCATTGTCATTGATCGTGGTAATACGTAATGCAACAGATTATGTAAAATGTCAAAATGAGTTGAGTAGAGTTTGGTTGGTTGGTCGGATGGTTTGGTAGTTCGGGGTCAGACAAACTTGCAGACGGCTTCTTTTTTTCTTGTTTGCAAATTGTGTGCAAATCCAATCGGATTGGTCGCATATCAGTCGTTCTTTAGTGTTTTTATTTATTCCACATGCTCAAAATAGCCGAGTACGTAGGTGGGTTGCTCATTTAGAGTCATTAGTAGAAGGCTGGACATCATCTACGAAGTAGTAGCGAAATCATAATCAACATCCATTACGACGAGTTGTCAAAATCAGTCAGCAATTTCTATGTACTTTCAGCCCTGCAATTTCTAATTCGGCTTCCGCACCACTTACTTAAACCTACGTAGGTGCTTGGAAGAGGAGGCTGGTTGGAAAATAAAGTAATACTCGGTGAGCCTGGAGGCTGGGAAATGTATAATAATGCATAATGATAAGTAACCGTTTGATGGTGATGTTTATGATCAATTTTGAAAAACGACTACTCCACCTCCTCACATTTCATGAAATTCTATGTAACCTGAAAGTACGTACATAAGCTTGCATAATGACGAGGTGAGTGAGTGGAGATAATCGTCCTCTCCTAAATCTGTCACCCACTTGGTTTCTCATCAATGCGTGCAATCAGGGATTTATGTATACGGATGGATATCTGTCATTAAGAACCCGAGAGGACGGGCTCACAAGATTTTAATTAAGGTGTAGGGAACCAACTTGATGCTAATTTTAAAATATGATGTCAACGATGACGACGAGTGGTGGTTTAGTTTAGGTAATTACGTAAAGTCCATCCGGTGGTGGGTAGGTCGAACACATAGTAGATTAAGTTTCAAACTCAATTTAATATATGGATGTCGGATTCTTATATAATTCCCATCATATAGATATATCCTCATAAATGTTGTTGAAACCGTTCATGAAATCATGAATAACTTGTGGTGTGCATAAGCATAACCATTTGTATAAGTCTGCATAATACATAATACATAACATATTATTATTAACAAACATTTCCAGACCTTGCATGCATGCATGTACATAATATATTGTTGAGTCGTTATGATTTTGTTTGCCAAATTCGAGACGTATTTTGCAGTTTATGTAAAAGTGACTAATCATAAAAAAATAAATATCTCCATGTGCCAAAGACTTACAGAAGAAGATGACGACGACGACGACGAGGAGGAGGAGATCCCGTGTGTTGCATGACCATTGTATTGTTGTAATAATAAACATTCACATCATGTCACTCACGGACGAAGGAGGAGGACTTTTCTCGATAAAGTTTATTGCATTGTCTTAACATTTCATAATATTGCATTTGCTGGATATTGTTGTTGCAATAGTAGTCAAACTTCCATAAGGCAGCTTCGTCATGGGGTGCCATTCAAGTTTCACTCGTTCGATAGGCTGCCAAATTCGTAACCCTTTTTCTATCTCTATGTCCACAATTTATTTAGATGGATTTGGGTTTTAGTGGTGGTCGGGCTGACTGTTTGGTAGGTTGTTGCATATTATTCTTCTTCTTCTGTGAAGGAAAACAGGTTCAGGGGGCAGAAAAGAGACAGAGAAACAGAAACAGAAACAGAGATTTTCTCTTGACCATATTAATTCTCTGTCTCAAGTGTCACACATATCGTCGTCGTTTCTGCCCCTACTGTATGGAAAATGAGAAAAAAATGAGCATTAATTTTATCGCTCGCACGTTACACCGAATTACTTTTAATCTATTTCTGGTTTCATAAGCTCGCAACAACTTTGACAACTATCGGTTCCACACGCTCCACACCCAGGAGTTGAGTTATATATGTGGCTTACCTACTTTATGCAACACTGGTTGGGTAACATTTTGGTTGTGTAATGTAATTTCGCGGATATGGCAACGCACTCCTCGCGTTGTTTGATTAAGCTACTTGAAACGTTTGGGGAATTGTTGTTGTCCACCAAGTTATGGCGAATGAGTGATTGCGCATTTATGTACGGCTCGTGTACATACGATGTGTATGTATTCATAAGTCTTGGCATTAGTGACAGGGCAGCCCTCCCGCTTTGAACCTTATTTTAATTACAGCTTTGAAGTCATTAGAAACCTTTTGAAAAGGAAAAGAAAGCAGAGCTTATGTACCAAATAGTAATTACACGTGTCGAACATAATACACTCAATTCCACTCATATTTACTTCTCAGTTATGAAACCCACCAAATGCTCAAAAAGTAGAACATTTCCCATCATCATCCGCGTCGTCCTTCCTTTTCTGCTTGCTCATCCAATCAACCGATCCGACCGAGGTCAGATTAATGTTGGCAACAAACAAGCCTTTTGATAATTGAGACAACCGCAGCCCCAACATTTCTCGGATAATTAAAAATATCTCGCTGGCTTTCATTATTATTACATACTTTCATGTTTTTCCATGCATTTTATTGTCCTCTGGCCATAATGCATTTGTGTTATGTAAGCAGCGATGCTGTAATAAGGTACATACATAAGTAAGTAGTCGTGTTGTCCGCGGCGTATATAGCTCGACAATACATCTGTTTAAGTGCTTAGGTTTAATTAGGCTTCCTCGTGTCTAATTAAATAGCTGACCTGAGCATATTCACTCAGCCATGCACCAAGACAATTAATAAATCCAGTCGTATTCACTCTTTTTATGATGATGGTGGCAGCAAATACATAAAAATAAAACACAGCTCGGTCTTATCTCATCCTTCTTTTTTGGCCCTAGGCGGTAGCAGGCAGGGTCTTAATAACCGTCTCCATGCTTATTTACGAGTTTTTTGCACACTTATGCAACCTTTGTTTCCAAATGGGCTAAAATACCCAAGGAAATCACAAGTTGCATAAGCCACGAGTTTTCCTTTTCACCATCTCAGACAGAAATTCAAAAAAAACCTTGGGTTTCGAAGTTACGAAAACTCTTTATGCTTTCAACTTTTGATTATAATTTTCTTTCTGCGACTTATTTTTTCTTGTTTTGTTACTCGGAAGGGGCGGTCACTGGCATGTGTGGATGGTCAGATTGTAATAATTCTTCCTCCAGCTAGGTTCTCACTCTAGTCGTGGAAAGTTATGTAACCAGCGGAGTATAAGCAATAACCAACCCAATAAGATTACGAAATATTCTTATTCTTCTTGGACATGTCATGCAAAATTAAATAATGAGGAGATTTCTTTGCATTTAAATGACCCGAAAAAAAGACAGTAATTTTTTATCATGACTGGGAAACTGGGTTGAAATGAATACGTAAGATGTCTGGAATTCCTGAAACATGAGAGGATTTTAGGTAAAAATAAGAATGTTAAAAATGTATGAATCGTCTGGTTAAGAGATTTAAATATTTGCAAAGACACCGTGACAAATCGCGAGGTTCGATAATCAAGGCCTCACTCAATTTAAAATACCTAGTCTGATTTTCTACTATTTATTTAAAACAAAGAAAAACAGTTAAATAAATGTTATCATCATGACAAATCCTAATGTAATCAATCTCCTGGGAATAACGAATTATGTACAAAAGTGATCCGTTATTCAATCAGTTACAATTAATTACCTAATGTTGATGTTGAGTGCGTATTACATAAATACATGTACAGTTTTTTGTTACATAAATGACAACACTGTATACTTTTCCAAATAAATAGCTGCAAAATAAGGTGTCCACCAGACCAGGCAGGTTGACACAGGTGTGGGATAGTTGACATGACACGAACGGTTTACAGACTAAATAGTACAATTGCTGGTCCACCTTAATTAAAATGGGTGCACACGCCAGCTCTTCTCACATGAGATGTCTTCTTATGTAACAGCGTCACGTGTGTCATCCAGCCTATGCAAATATATTAATACCCACGATGTATTTCAGTTATATTAACACGTAATAAATAGTTAAAGTATATCCCCGTTAAATAAAACTTTCACCCAACATTGAATCTACTGGCTAGCAGTGGATTCACTATGGCGCATGTATATATAATAATATAAACTGGTTTATTTACATAAGTCATCTTACGTAACTTTTGAAAACAACATGCCGTTTCTTGGAGTTACATAAGTCATCATCATCAGCTATGCACGTAAACGTATACGGACGGACCGAGTGGATGCATTATGTACTTGTGTACGTGGTGCAAATTCGTAGCATTATTTAGCAAGTTATCCGATTTAACTTGAGAGTCATCCGTCATTCATTCTCACTCCCTGCTAAATATCCCATTGCCTGTTCAAACACTGGAATAGAACGAGTATGGGATTCACTCGCATGAGACCACGATATCCACCAAAAGTTGTATGTGTACAACTGGCAATAAGCAAGTGAGAGGTCAGTAATCTGGAGGAAGTTATTTAATTGGATGTAATCATGCATTCAGAATTTTAAGCAGTGTCATGTAACGCACAACAACTTTTACGGGTGGATGGCTTCTTCACCCGTGCAAGTTATACGGCTTACGTAACATAATAATAACAGCACTACCAGCACCCACGACATTTTACACATTTTGTCGCTAATTATCATAAGAATGAATCTTTTTCGAAGAACGCACGTTGTGTAACGAGCAGTCCAACAACTTTAGAATTTGACACATTATATAAATCCCCGTATCGTGAGCCGTGTCGTAGTAGTAGTCGTCAAGTCAGAACTAGTTCAAAACACACACGGGGCTATAAAAAAGTAAAATATCTCAGAAGCGTGCACACTGAAAAGTTAACATCTTTTGATAGTCTCTTAGCCACCGTAAAATCCTACAACTGCTAAACCATAAACTGCCGTTTGCTCCTGGAAACAACGTCATTCGCCACTTATGTACAACAAGGCATGCAAAAATACCAATTTGAAAGTATAATCAAAATACTCTCTGCATTTGTAAATTCGCAATAGTATAGACGAGAGGAAGAAAGCTTTATTATTTATTCCGGTACAAAGTTTATCTTACTTTCCCATGAAAATTGAGCCACTTGTACAAAAGGTTTTCAAGGAGTTTATACTTTGTTGTACGAACGAGTATGACTTCATCTCTTCAACTGGTTTCATTGGAATTTACAAGCACTCTCAAAAATAAATAGACGACTGGATGACGATCATCATGATGAGGAGGATGCATAAGAGTCCTTGTCCTTGAGTTCAACTCTGACATTATGTATCTGTAGGGATGATAAGGCCGCGTATGTATATTCGACATCAAAAATACATACACTTTGCCCTTTGTTCGAATTTTTTTCCGACAAAAATAGCGTTAATCTTTACCAAGGAATTTGCACACCTGGCGAATTTCTGGAGAGATTAGAGGTCACCGAGACCCTTTCCGGGAGTGGTGGATGCATGCCGATGCAGACGCAAGGTGTTCCGAAGCGTTCAGAAGGCCCAGGGCCTTGCAGGGACGAAGGGAAATGCACGTGGAGGAAAACGCATGGATCAATATCCTGTTATAAAACTCGTGGTGAGAACTTTGATGGGGCCCCACGACTTGGTTGCTTTACGTAATGTCGTCCACATCATACCAGAATTCAAGAGAATCCCCTTAGCAGTGAGCAGAAACAGAGAGGATAGGAGGTAGTGGTGGCAGTATAGCGACTTACATAAGTGCGATTATTTGCATGGGCCCACACCACCACTGCTTACTTACTTACTTACTCTTGCTAAAGTGGATGTTATGTATGAAGGAGGAAGGCTGATTGATCACGTTGTTAGTAGTTCTCTCTTTAGAGAATGGTCGACCGTACCTCTGGATGGTTAACTTCATCCCTCGACTGGATAAACACCAACCGTTTGTCCGAATTACTATCTATTGACGCCTCGCCAGCTGAGGTACTGGAATGGTGGTCACAAAACGGACTTTGTGGAACGTAGGCTTGCCACGACATAAACGGTACTGAGTGCTTCGTTGTGGGATTACATACTTCATGGGGACTTGAGTACCCCAAGGATTCCCAAGAACAGCATCATCTTCTTATTTTGGCGTCGTAGTATTCCTTTCACAATTAAGGACCTAATTGTTGCAAAGTTGTGGACAGTGTTTTTTTACGTTATAATTGCAACCGTTTTATTTTATCGTTCAACTAATGTGCTCGAGCTATAATGTACCGGATCACACGGAAAGATCTACATACCTGAAGTAAATAAAATCAAAGTTGACCATGAAGTTTTACTCGCAACAAAACTGTACTATTTTCCGAGTAATAGTGGTGAAACATTGTTGTACAATTTCTACCTGAAACGTGATAATTTCCTGTACGGAATTTGTTCCAATTCTCAAGGATAATAACAAAGACTACGAGGTTGAACCTACAAGTATTTAATAGTGGTTTCACGAGAGGGTTTCTAATTTGCGATATTAGGTCGCTTTCTCTCCTTCTTCTTCTGTCACAACGCAGCAACAATGCTAACCTCGGTTTAGTTAGATGAACAACTTCAAGAAATATTACTATGCGTGAGAAGAAGAAACGAACTCTGTAACATGGAAAAAGAAGAATCGTACATTAAAACGACATACATATTCTGAAAACGGTGATAAAATCGGATCACCTTAATAATTTTCTTATGTAACATGTATTCTCCCATTTTTGGATCTTCTTATATATTCTCCTCTTTTAGCAAGATAACTAACTAACAATACCTTTTTTAACTGGGACGGTGGTTCAAGTGCCTAATGGTAAAAAAACTGAAGAGTTTATCACGTAAGAAGAAAACTTCCGTGAGTTGAAGTGGAAAAATTTTTAGTTTACGTAACATTTTTCGCAAACACTTGTTATATAACAACGTCGTCATCTCCTGTGTTGATTTACTACTCAGCCAATGTAACCAAGAAATCTGTGTGACACACTTATTAGTTGCACAACCAACCTGCATACTTTTGTGGAACGCAGTATAGCCACATTCACTACATATGTGTAGCTCATCACATAATTCGCGCAACTTTCACCACCATACTTTCCCCGTGATGGAAAACTAAGTCGTCAGCAGTTCTTACTTGTGTGGAATGTGCAAGATTATTTGGTGGTGACCATCAGTATTATTTTATCGTTTTAGCAAAAGTGAGAGGACGGAATTTGAAGGAATTATTCGACTTGATCAATCCAGGTAAATTTCTCAAATTTTGGACAGACTTAAGGGCTTCTTTTATGGATAGCCTTTCGACCGTACCTAGGTCAATACCTAGTTAAGCACATAGGTCCTTCCATGAATATGTAGGTGTATTGAGTGAGTGTGTGGGCTGTACCCTTTTCGTGCATCACCAGGAGTTGTTGGGTTATGTAGGTGGGCAAAATTTACGTAGGAAAAACTACGTAAGTGGAATGACAGAATTGGATTTCAAACTCTTTCATCTTTTTTTGTTACTTGCAATACATTAAATTCTGAATACTGCACATTTTAATCTGCGTGGAGTAACTAATACCATGAGGGACTGGCGGCGACGAAACTGGCAAAAGTGCTGCTGATATTATGTTATGTAACTCGTTGATGCGACATCTTTGTCATAAAAGTTTGCAAGGAAGGTATACATTAAGCACTTCAAAACACTATGGTATTTATTATTACACGTTATCCTGGCTCAACAATTTTTTGGCGAGGTTACATAATCTCTGAACTTGCACTCATTCATTAATTCATTCCAGGACTGCAATGTGTGGCGTGGTGTTATCTATCTCTGTCTGTCTGTCCCATTTTTCGCATAATTCCTGATAGATAGTATATAGTAGAATGGAGAGGTTATGTGTGCAAAAATGGGCATGTTGTTGTGCAAATTTATATAAAATGTTATATAAAAAGATTAAATTTATTATTGGCAATACCGAAAAATGTTTACGTCATAACATTTCCCCCCCCCCTCTCCTTAGATTGGCATTGTGTTAAAAGTAAATATATTCCTGATGACAGATTACTCCGAGGTGCATTATGAATCATAATTTATGATGGTTGTAACATTATCATCCTTTCCAAGTGGGTTTCCCGACGATGGCAACGACGTGATGGAGATGACGATGTGACTGATTAGAGGGTTAGATAGACAAGCTGCTCATCATATTTTCGGGAGAAAGTCGTCGCCGCCGCCGTTGTCGTTGAGCAAAATTATGTAAGGTGAAAGAATAATTGAGTATTGATTGTGACGAAGGAGAAAAGAGGATTATAAAACGGCTAGTGACGTTCAGGTCCAGGGGCGGCAGGCAGGCAGGATATTATTATGTCGTGCGAGAGGAGCAAGTCGGTGGAAATGTTAGGGATAGAGAAGAACCCACAATACTTACGCGTAAGGTAGTTCAGTCAGGAGGGTGGTGGTGGTGGCAATGGGGGTCCCGAAGCAATAAATCCGGGTAACAACAATTTCTGAGCATACCCAATCCGACAAGTGCTCTGTGTGGTGCAAATTCTCCCAACTCACCACCACCACCCATCCTCGGGGCCACCTTACCCACTTACATAATCACTGCAATAACTGACTGGTACTTTCTCCTCCGCCATCCAGCCATACACATAACAACTCATTTTGTCTGATTGAAAGTGGATCTCATTTCTGAGTTGGGCAATAGCAATTCCAGATTTCATCACGACAACAACTCGGTCATGTCATTTGCTGGGCGGCTATTGACGAGGTAGGAGCCGTACACCGAATTAATAGGGCATGACTGTCTCTGAGTATCTCTGCTGAAGCTATCAGATCACTTGGTCTGCAGATTGGCTTCTGCTCCTCTCGTCGTCGTCATTCTTAGAACACGCACGACCCTCTTTAAGTCAATCCCTTCCTGTTTTCTCTCTTTCTCTCGTCCACACTTTCTCCGCTGAACAAACTTATCAGCAGCAGCCGGTGTGGTGCGGTGTGTGGAAAACTCCAAACTTGTCCACTCACTGTCCCTACTGCATTGCAACGGCTGCCACTAATAAACTCAACGCTCGCATTGTTCGCCTGGCAGTGATTGGGAGAAGAAGCCACGAGCGGTCTTGAGATTGAGAATTTTTTTGTTTCTTATTTTCCAGTGTGAACATCCAGTGATACGCGAGCAGCATGACGGACCTCAACAACGAAGTAGCAAATACGGCTATAATTTTACTAGACTGGACGTTGGCCGTCAAGTCGGTGAGGCCAGCGGAGAAAGTTTTCACCCCAACGACGACTATAATGGGGGAGGGTGTGGATATTGGTGATTCGCATATTGGTGGTTCGCAAACCATCACCTGCTTTATGGAAGCCATGAGTCTGCTGGTTCAACTGCATCGTGCGTTGGGACCGAATATCGTATCTGAAGAAATCAAAAAATTGGTCGAAGCCTTCACCGGGAAGATTGTGGACATGCATGCAAAGACTGTATCAGAAACTACGGAGTCTCCTCTTAAATTGGCAGACTTTTCGTGTCCGATATGTTTTGACGTGGTGCAAGAACCGCACACCATCCTGTGTGGGCACTCTTATTGCAAGCAGTGTTTGCTGAAGGAATCGATAGGACATCAATGCAGACTTTGTAGCTACCGCTTTAACGATGTGGACATTAATGACACGAGGCCAAATGTTCTTCTTATGTCGATAACGGACAAAGTCTGGCCAAATCAAAAGAAGACAATTTCCCTGAGAAATGAGGCGAACGAACTGTTCAAACAAGAAAATATGAACGTGGCGTTGCTGAGTTATAATAGCGCTCTTGAATTAAGTAAGTAAACTCTTTGTTGTTTTAATTTTAGCAAGACCCATAAATTTGATGACCGTCTGTCTCCTTCGATAACCTATGATAGCGAAAATATCTCCAAATTTGATAGGCACATATATTAGGGGACCTGCCTCCGAAGGGGATGCGGCATTCTGCGCCAAATTTATAAAATTGTAGAAAGTTGAAATTTGGTACGACGATTAAAGATATGACCAGTAGACGATCCCAAGTTTAGCATGATTAGGGAATTTAGACAATACGATGTTTAAATATCAAAATGCTTCATACGCAAACTCAAAGGTATTTAGATATACCTAAGGGGTTGAAGTCCATTAGAATATGCAGTCCGCATGATTTGGTACAAAATCATCGGATAGTTCAATAAAATAAATGGGGTCAACATATTTGGATAGTTCTTTCCCTACACAAGTCTGAACTGGGGAGGTTTTTACTCTGATTTTCTTTTGCTTCATGCAGAACAGCATTTTAGTACTTGATTACGTTTCGTGTCTCACATTTATCCTGCATACGACGAGTAGTAGTTGGAAAAAATAATCTCGCATTTCGTTGCATGAGCAAAAAATCCAGATACAATTTAAGTGGGAGAAACCCAAGATTCAATTTAAATATTTGATGGGATTTTGTACATCATGTAATAGGTTTACTGGTGACGACAAGTCTGTAAAAATGTGACGAGAAAGATCTCATAATTATATTCCTCCCTTTTTCCAGGTGCTTACGATCACTTGTCCTTATGTAACCGTGCCCACACGCTGTGGGTGCTTGGGAAATGCATTGAAGCTCTGGAGGATGCCGAGTTGGCGATAAAACATTGTCCATTCTGGTTCAAAAGTTATTTCCGGAAGGCAGCTATTCTTGACAGTTTGGGTCGTTACGAGGACGCTCTGTGCACTCTAACTCTTTGCATTTATCTCGTTAAAATCACCAAAGTCCAGGACGACGACTCCACCCTAGTTTTCGTAAAGAATGAAATGGTGAAAGTTCTCCTCAAAATATTCTCATCCGCCCTCACCGCTGCCAAACTCTCTCAACGACGGCGTGTAGTGGAACCCATCTCATCATATTCTCCATACCCCGACCAGAAGAAGCGGAGATCTGTCGACCAGCTCTGCGAACCAGACTATGCCTCCTCCTCGTCCTCTTCGAGTGGTGAGAGTGGGGAGGAAAGTCTAGGATCCGACTTCCGGGAAGGGGACAGCAGAAAGTGCATGCCAACATTAAAAGAACTCTCCTCCCTGCACCGCTCCAAAGGCAGAACACCTACTCACCCAAGTCGACTAGGTCACGAACCCGTGGCTACGAGACTTCATCACATCTTTACTTTGGCAGTGTCAGAGGTGGCCAATTTTGAGAAACACATGCCCACCAACAATCGCTTTCTCGATGAGTCCACCATCTCCATTTCTGACTTTGAGTGTAGCCTATGCTATCGACTGATCTACCAACCTGTTACCACCATCTGCGGTCACACCTACTGCAGGAGTTGTTTGGAGCGCTGCCTTGACCACGCCCCCACTTGTCCCCTGTGCAAAACGGCGCTGGATTCCTGCGTGGCGTATCGTCGACACGCGCCGACCCACACGTTAGAACAGTTGATATCCAGAGTATACCCCAAAGAATATGCGGACCGGATCAACCAGCACTTGGAGGAGTTGGCGGACGGGAGCCTGTGTGGGAAAAACAAGGAGACGGAAATTCCGATTTTTGTTTGCACCATGGCATTCCCCACGGTTCCGTGCATGCTTCACGTATTCGAACCTCGCTATCGCCTCATGATTCGACGATGTATGGAAGCAGGGAGCAAAAGGTTCGGAATGTGCTGCTACTTGCAAGATGGGGATCACAACTATGGGGATTTTGGAACAATGTTGGAGATCCGAAACATTCAGTATTTTCCTGATGGACGCTCCGTCGTCAACACGGTGGGCGTCCGGCGGTTCAAGGTACTCAAAAAGTGTATAAAGGATGGCTACAACGTTGCTACTATTGAGTTCCTTGAAGACAAACCAGTCGAAGAGGTGGACAGAAGTCGTAAGTTACATAAGACTACAAATTACATAACCATTGTTTTCCATTTCTCGTTTCTCGAGGTACTTGGAGCGAAGAAAAAAATAATTATCATTGCTAATGGTCTTTTACCCTCGACAGGCTTACGGGAGTGTCATGAGAACGTGTTTAAGGATGCTAACGACTGGCTGCAGTCTATCGACGCAGTAATTCGTCAACGAATCATTACTCACTTTGGAAACATGCCCTCCCCTGAAGAAGACTGGATGAATGTTGTGGGAGGACCAGCCTGGACGTGGTGGTTACTCGCGATTCTTCCACTCGACGCCAAGGCTCAGTTAGCAATTTTGAGTATGAATAGTCTACACAAGAGATTAGAAAGTATCCAGAAAGTACTGCGCTATGTGAAAACAAGGCTGACGTAATTCTTAACCAAAAATATGAAGTACATACATATATAGTATAAAAATATTGTATGTTTTATCATCATGGCGGCGAATAGTACATCACTATTTGGTATTAGTTTGGAGCATTCTCATGTCTTTTTATTATTAGCTGTAGCATTAGTATTGTGTTTGTGTTTTGTGTCCGACTGACTGATTAGCGCTGATGAGTATCAAGAGTGACCTGTTGTGGGTTGAGCCTACATTTATTATTGCCACATTGTAGTAGTAATTGTATATCCTTTTAAACATGTCAATTTCTCAGTAAGCTTTTAATGGTGGATTGTACGGTTAGTGAATGTGGGTGGTTGTCGTCGTCAATGTTTAGCCTTGGCCAAAGTGTAAAAAAATATATTTCCAGGATTCTGTCTGATGAGAGCAATTTACGAATGAAATATTCTTATGCTATGCGTGTGGAATGATGATAACGAAAAAAAAACGAATAATCCGACTCCAAAATTTTTAAAAATCACTGAATCTGTACCTGCAACACTTTTGCTACGCAAATAAGACTGTTCAGTAGAAAAACTTTCAATCTATGACCTTGAAATGTGGCACTTGTTCTATACTTTTGCGTACCTGTGTGTGACCGACCTACCCGGAAGGAACAACTGACTGCTATCTGGCTAGAGTTACATATAGTTGTAGCACAGATGACCATATGCTTGAACGAATTTTACTCTGATTATGCAATAGGAAGATTTATTATGCAACATAATTTTTGGCACTTACGTTCCACTATTTTATCTTTTACGTAATCGTAGGTGTGAACTTGAGTCAATCTGAGAGAAAGAAAGGAACGTGATATTCCGGGTTATCGGTCGAAATGTAGTTTGTCGGCGATGACCGGATTAAAAAAGAGGCATTCATCTAGTCGATCAGCCTCTGTATCATTGTGATAGTATTTAAGGTAGTCTTGAGTCTTGCAAAAAATGTGACATACAAATATTTATATAACATCTCAGAAATATTTATGTTCCAATTGAATGTCTCCATGACTTGATTATGAACTGTATATTTGTTTCAACAATAAAAATTTAACAAGCTTTTATCCTAATAAAGTCTCAAATCGTCTCATTTTTATGCTCATCCAATGATCAATGATCACAGCATCTCGTAAAACTTTGATTTTTATACACTTCCAAACTGCTTAAATAAATGAATACATTTCTTACTCGCATTTTGCTGTCTCAAATTCGCGTACGATTTCTTGCATTTTTTAGACCACTCCGGCATTGTGATGATGAACATACCTTTCAATGCGTTGAAAATGGTTCTAATTATCTTATTCATGAGACTCCAAGTCAATACCCTCTGTTTACGCTGTATTTATAACTCTGCATCTTAATCATTCGTCTTGGTCATAAATTGCATAGTTATTTGAAGCAGTAAATTTTTGTTTAGCGACAGCAGCTGTCATAAAAGTGCTAAAATGCTGTCCAACAAATTCATGCACAACACAAAGTTCTGGAAGAAATTTGTTGGAGGTCTGGTTGGCTGTACGACGGCGTTTTGCATACTATCCAGTTCAAGTAACGATAAGAGTTCAAATTGGTAAGGAGAGGTTTCTTCAATACGGAAATAAGCAGTTCACTGAATAAATTAAGAAAATTAGTCCTGAATCAGGAATTGTTTATTTAATTTTTAAAGGAAAAATACTTCAGAATCGGAATCAGCACTTCAGAAATTTATTCATTCAGACAATAAAAAACGAGAATTGTCCACCACCCCAATAAATCATGACAAAAAGTTGAACTATCCTATTTGTCAGAAAGTTATAATTCGGAGAAGTTTTCCACGTCTCCTCGCCTGTACAAACTATACGACAAGGTTGCCCTAAAAAAATAAAACTTTTGCATATAAAATTTCTACGGGAATCTAAAATTTGTCAAGATTTTCAATTCCAGTTTGTGTGAGGAAGACACTTTTCCCTTGACTGCGCTAGTTTCTTATCCAGGAAGTGGAAATACGTGGGTTCGACATCTTATAGAAATTGCGACTGGTATTTTTACTGGTAGTGTGTACTTTGATCACACATTGTACGCTCGGGGTATTATTCGCATTAATTTTAAAATGGCATTGAAGGTTATTAATTTTGATATTATGATAATTTTGCCAAGTTAGGTTTTTTGGGGGAGAAGGAGGATTGGAGTTCGGGGAGAACAATTGTGCAAAAGTTGCATGTAAAGTATGACTCTGCTCAACCGTTTAAACGAGGAATTCTTATAATACGGGAACCCGTCGCGGCGACGAGGTCATTTGTTGACTTCATGGAATCTGGACACACCGGATGGGCTTCTCCGACTACGTTTAACAGAAAAGGTTGTCATGATGTTGATTTTTTTAAAAATTTTCTATCCTACATATATGTTAATTTTATATTAAAATACTTAGATTGAAATGCGTTAAGTACATGTTTTTATTTTATTTCGGTTTAGAGTGGCCCTCGTTTCTCCTACACTCGACACGAGATTGGCTGATCTTGGCAAAAAGTTGGATCGAATCGCCTGTAGATTTGTTGGTCATTCATTACGAGAATCTGGTCAGTTCTACGGTCAAGGAGGTGCGGAAAATAGTAAAGTTTCTCTCATTGGATGATTCACGAATGGATTCTGAATGTTTTTTGGTACACAATGAATAATGATGCTTTCTTTTGAAAATGCGTTGGCTAAATCTATTTTTTTTATTTTTAGAAAAGCGTCGAAGGTTCGTTTCATCGGAAGCCACCAGTTTGGAAAATAAATTCACCCCCTCCGCCTAAAGCGAGGCTAATAATTGACAATGGGATTAATTATTTAAATCAATTACTGTTAAAATACGGCAAAGAACAAATCCCATTAGATAAGTATTCCTGTTATAGAAATAGCAGTGAGAAATGTGTTGGAAAAAATGGATAAAGACAGATGCGAGGATTAAATATTTAAAGTTGTTTGCGGAACAAACTTTCAGCATTAATTTCGACATATGTCATTACTGTGCGCCTACTAAAACTATTACATGTGTGTATGAATGACGGTGAAAGTCTTGCATTTAGAAAGATTGCTATGTATTAAATAATGTGACGACCTTAGCTCCTCTGTGTTGTAATCACCTCAGATATGATGATACAGTGTCGGACAGATGTCTACGTCCACATAGTCGCGTCAATTTCATTTTCAAATTGTCACTGAACTACTGAACCAATTTTCATCATTGATATATCAAATTCTCACAAATTTAACGTAATTTCATAGCACATTATTAGTTTTCCGCTAAAAAATTTATTTTAGGCCAGAGATGTATTTTAATTCAAAATGAAAACAATTGGATGGACAAAAGTCAACGTCCAGTAAGAGAAAACATACAAAAAAAACTGTAATTTATAAGGAATGTTATAACAATTAATTTTTAATATTTGGTTGGGCCTCCGTTCGCTTTAAGGACGGCTTCAAGGCGTCGAGTCATAGAGTTTACCAAATTCTTGGTCACATCTTCAGAAATGGTTTCCCAAACTTCACGAATTCTGGATTTAAGGCCCGGAATTCCTGAAAAAGATTGTTTTCTTATTTCTCTTTCAATGTGGTCCCACAGATGCTCAATGGGATTCAAGTCTGGAGATTGGGGAGGCCATTCTAGCTTCGAAATTTTTTTTTCTTGAAGTATTCCATGGTGGACTTGGCAGAGTGTTTCGGATCGTTGTCTTGTTGGAAGACAAATCGTCGTCCAAGTCCAAGTTTTCGAACAGATTCCTGGATATTGCCGTCAAGTATTCCCTGGTACTTGTATTGGTCCATAATTCCGTCAACAAATTCCATTTTTCCTGCCCCACTTGAAGCCATGCATCCCCACACCATTACCGACCCGCCGCCGTGCTTAACTGTGGGGTTGAGATTTTTTGGATTCAATGCTTCTTTTGGATATCTCCACACTCTACGACGCCCATCTGACCCAAAGACATTGAACTTTGACTCGTCAGTCCATAAAATACTGTCCCAGAATGTTTGTGGCTTGGAAATGTGGTCTCTGGCAAACTTCACTCGTTTGGTTGCATTCCTCGGTACAATAAGAGGCTTCCGGACTGCTCTGTGGGATTTCAAATTTCCCTTGTTCAGTGTTCTTTGGATGGTCCTAGGACTAACTTGTTTGTCGAACATCTCCTTGATCTCGGTAGATAGCTTTGGAGCACTAAGTGAGGGTGTAACGTTGACTTTGTTGAGCACGTGGCGTACTTCTCGGTGAGCCAAAATCGGTTTTCGACCACTTCTGACCTTGTTTTGGACTGAACCATTAGCTCTAAAGTTCTTAATGATTGTCTGGATGGTTGTCCTTGCTAATTTATACTTGGTCCCTATTTGTCTCTGCGACAGCCCCCCTTTTTGTCCACCCTTCCAGTCCTGAATGACAAGATCTCGAATAGCGATAGGAATTTCCTTGCGTGTCGACGCCATCATATTTTTCTGGAAGAAAATTATTTAAAAATTAATGCGGCATATGTTATTGATAGATTTATTAAGTTACCTGATTTTATAAATTGGAGAGATTTTTGTTGTTAACAATTAAAGTGAAGTGGACGTAGACTTTTGTCCGCTCAAATTTCATCCTCTCTCGCTCTGCACTATGATTCTCAGTTTTCCCAGAATTTTCAGAAATAACTCATATGTTTTATGAAATTACGTTAAATTTGTGATAATTAGATATATCAATGATGAAAATTGGTTCAGTAGTTCAGTGACAATTTGAAAATGAAATTGACGCGACTATGTGGACGTAGACATCTGTCCGACACTGTATATGCATATTTAAAACAAAAGTATACAAGTTATTGACATCTTAATGATTTAATCGGTTTCGCCACTTGTCACATTTACATTTGCAACATCTGTAGTATTATTCCGTTCTTCAAATTCTTCAATCAAGGTTGACGTATTATTCAAATCTTCAAATTTTTCAATCAAGGTTGACGTATTATTCAAATCTTCAAATTCTTCAATCAATGTTGACGTATTATTCAAATCTTCAAATTCTTCAATCAATGTTGACGTATTATTCGATTCTTCAAATTCTTCAATCAAGGTTGACATTGTCGTGGTCGTAGTGGACGTTGTCGTTGCCGTTATCGTTGAATTGGATTTTTGAGAATAATTCTTAGAATGATTCTCAGAATAATTTGTCCAAAAATTACAATGCGAATAATCCTGAACATGACCTACTCTATCATCCACCATGAGAATTTTACTTGTAGCACCACTCGTGTCATGGAATTTTCCAGTTTTTACAAATGAATAAAAAAGCGAGATCATATTTTCCTTAAATTTGATATCTTTTGGTGAACGTGTAATGGTACGAAGGTTGAAAATGGCTTGAATATCTGACCCAGGCTGTGCCAACCCACCCTTCCCTTTGTGAGAAATTAAATAGTTGAAGACTAGATTTTTAGACAAATATGTTTGGCTAAAGTGCAACATTGGACAAATGGTATGATAGTCGGAAAGAACTGCGGAAAACTGTTGCCAGTAATTGGAGTCTGGACGATTGTATTGACGATAAATCTCATGTGCGACATGGGGGTCAAAACTGGATTCCAAGTATTTGCGATATTTTGCCGTGCTGTTCCAATCCAAAAGTGATCGCATTTCAGAACTCGTATCGACATGAAGTGGTGCCCCCACAACGACGGGAATGAACGGAGTACTAGTTTTGATAGAAAGCTCGTCATGCATTTTGTCATATTCTGTGTCCTGACTTTTTAAAATATGACCGTCATAAATCAGCCAATAATGTTTGTAACGTTCTTCAAACGAGTGACCAAACTCGTTGTGAAATTGCCTCCAGCTGTACGGAACACCTTCAAGTATTTCCTCTGGTGAAAGTTTAAATAGACAATCGACACTGTCACATTCGGAATACTCGAAAAATTTCAAATTCTCGTCATAGGCTTGCTGTAATTCAACAAAAAAATTTTAGCAGGCAGAATATTGCATAGAAATTGCAATAAATTGTACATACGTCTAAAGTTACAGGTTCACGAAACTGTCCTCCGGACATCCAAACCTTGTGAAACAATGGGGATGATAATGATGATGCATAATTGGTACGAAGCAACGCTCCAAGTATCGTGGCTCCAGATTGATGGCCGAAAACTGTCACACTTTCTGGATTTCCACCAAAGTGACGAACGTTACGTTGAATGTATAACAAGGCTGCGAGAAGGTCCGAAATCCCGTAATTTCCGGATGAATTTAAAGGGGATCTGAATCATTTTTATGAATTACCTGTTAGTTTATCTATTGAAATTCTACGTATGCATTCCATGCGACTTGAGTAAATAGTTGCAAATCTCACCCTTCTGACAACGCTTTGAGAGATAGAAATCCGAGGACGGAACGCCTTATCGATACCGAGACGAATACGGCGTTCCTCTCCTTCGCCAACTCGGGAGAGGGTTGCAGCTCCATCGATTCCCCACCATTTAAACTGTCCCCACCCAGAAAGACAATCACGTCTAGGGGACTTGAATAGTCAAGTTTTGGGGTGAATATGTCTAAAATGGAGTAATTTTGGCCATTTGTAATTTTTCATGCTCAGAATTATCAAAACAAAATTCCACCTAAATACAGACAATCCTCGGCCCCGTCGTAGCTTCCATTCCGATAAAACTGCCAACATCGCTTTCTCCTCTCAACGGCGAGATACGTCCCGTTCCAACAGTGGCGCAGGTCCTCGTGGACCTCAGCCTTGTTCCAGCGTCGACCTCCGAGTGGTGGCAGGGCGTACTGAATCCCGAGAAATGCATAGCTCTCGTTCACTACTAATCTGAAATTTACAGTGAAAGTTGTGTAAGGTCAGCTAAGCGGATTAAGATTCCACATTCCTTCGTGTTTTTTGGGGTTTTGTGTGGTGCTCAAGAATTCAAGATGGATTTGTAAGATTTAGTTGTGAGAAACACAAAAATTTAGAAAATGAGTGTCTGCACGTTTCACTTTGTTTTTTTTTGTTACAGAATTTACAGAGTGTGTATTTATGTAAATCTGTAAGAATGCCCCATCTTTGTAATCAGATTGTTTGTACCAGATACAAGTATTTTGCTGATTGAAATTCACAGGAAAAAATGCAAAATACAATCGTGTGCCATAAATACTTGTTGTTTGTTCATGACCTGATGCAAATTATGTGGGTTGATGTCTCGTATAGATTATGCATGAATGTGTAATGTCGACAAGTTTATGTGTACATACATACAAACACGATTATGGATGGGATTTTATGCAGCATACCCTTTAACGAATCCACATGATGTAATTGTAGTCGCAAAATTCCCTTCGATAACCGTTCGTCTCAAAATTGCACCGCCGAAGGCAGCGTTTCTCACCAAAATTACAACTTGTATAATTAATATCCCAGCCAAAATGCAAATTGCCAGTGCAAAAAATTTCAGAAAAAGTGGAGATCTCATGTTACCCTTATGCGAGGAAGGATTGACCATGATGATAACACAGAAAATATTTGGAAACTTTGACTCTGAAAACTACATTGATTCCAAGACTTGACAACAACGCGTAATAAGTTTCGACACAGATGAGCAGACTTTCGAAACGTCTTAATGTCAACCCATTCCATACGACTTTTTTTCACACTGGTGGCGTCTCACGTCCTTGTCGCGCAAGCTTGTTCATATGTATGTAGAACCTCCGCAGTAAAATTCAATGTTCAGACACTAAATCAACAGGAAACGTGAAATGTAGCAAGAACAGAAGCCTATCAGCCAGCCTTCAACTTTAACCAGACGACATGACCAGGAGTAAAAGAGACGGAGGCAACGAGCAGAAAATGAGACCCACACGGAAGAAATTCTGCAAAGTGGTGGGGAAGAAATACTGATCATGATGTCGATGGTGTCAGCTCCAACAGCTCGCAAAAGTCAAAGCAGAGAAAGAAAGGATGAAGAATATCCTGCGTTTCACATTTATCCTCTTTAACCCCAAACTTTAAAAACACTTAAGAGAAGTTGGTTGCATAATCACTTTGAACACAAAAGACGAGGCAGAAGCCACCCAAGAAAACTGCTACTCGTTCACAGTCTACAAACATAGCGTTCTATTTCCAGGAGAGGGTTGAGTATTTTTAGTTTCTCGATTAGTTTACATGATCATGTCCTCGTGTGTACGTATCTAAAACTTTGTATAAGTCTGCGTCCAGGATTGCGATGTGACAGACAATTATTGCACAATAATCACCCCAGGTTCTAAACTCGAGACGATTGAAAATCTCGATTTTTCTGCTTGGCTCGTGCCTTTCTGTGTCAACGTCTCTTATTTATTTTTCTTTCACTTGACGATGAGTTGACAGACGATGCGTTGAATTGCTGTCAACACGAGGGAGAGAGAAACGCCTTATGAAAATCTACTTTTCGTCAGTCCTGGTTTGTTTGGCTGAACATATACTTTTTGCCACTAAAAGATTTAAATCAAAGTCCAATCTGTTTGAATTCCTGTGTTCAAATAGTTACGCAATTGCATTTCAAGTAGGTATAAATAATTCAGACTTAATGCCGTGTTGTTTCTTCGGTAAATATTTATGCTCAATAACATGCCATGCTCACAAGTTTATGCAATTTTATGGGTAAATGAAGACGGGTATTTTTCAATAAAACATGTATTTTCTTTCTTACGTAACAGTTGACAGTACTATTTAGTGGTTGTGTTACAGACATTTATATTTATACCGAACAAGAAACCAACACTTGCACAGATCGTTTTTTATATCCAATAACATCAATGTGAGTTTTAGCTAGTACATACACTTGCAACCCGCTGTTGTTAGTTGACGAATTCAGAAATCTGTCCAACAGATTTTTTTGTTTTCTAGCAGAGAACGTATCGCGACAAAGTTTTTCATATCCCTCCCCAAATTTAGCGTCTTGTCGTAGTCTCCTTCACCAATAGAAATAATTGCAAGCAGTAATAACTCGCATTATTTTTGTCAAAGTAACTCTCTCACTTTCTCCACTGTACTTTCCCTCTGGTATACATCATGCAAAAGTCCAGCGGTTGCCGTTTCAAAAATATATTTTACTTAATAAGGAAGTGACAAAACTACATATTCTCTGTCCGTCTGCATTTTTTCTCTGAATGCCCACGATTTCTTGATCATTATCGTATTTCTGAATAATCATAGTCAAAAAAATATCCGGTAGATTACATATTTCTGAATTCGTGATCATCAAAATTATATAATTTTATACTGATTCGAGTCTACGAGTCATGATGAAACCGAGAATAGAAAAAAATCAGGTCACCTATATTTTGACTGAATCATTTACATACTGTAATATAATGAGTGACAGAAATATTCTTTGTAATTTGCCGAGTGTGTCGTGTTCCATCCACTGGAGAGACGAATGTAAATAATGTGAAGTGAAAATACCTTCAGAGACATTGCTGACATTGCTGACTACAAACAACGGTTAAATTTTTGCTACATATGCATACGTATAATATAACAGTTACCAATGATAATAATAACAAAACCACCGTCCAAACCACCAACCACGTAGAAACAAAACCAAATATATGGCTGAAAATTACTTATCTTTCCTTTGGAAATATGTACAAATTGATTTGTACTTTTCTTTATACTAGACAACAACAATGAGACAATAATGAGGTACTACGAGACTATATTTACTTTTATAACAACTACGTACATGAAGCACCAGAAGAACTCCACAATTTTTCCGGTATACGTTCTGTGTTTATTATTCTAGTGTACAGTTTATTTTTATTATTAATATTTAATATTATCAGTAAAGTTATGATGACGAGCAAAATATGTATTACACAAATATTTCGGGAACAGGAAATTTATGAGCATGCAGTTACTTTGTATATTTCCAATCCACCAGTTAACAAGTAATTATCAATTTTAAGAAAAATTTTTACCCTCAACAATTTTGTCAATCCTTAAAGCAAGTAAGTGTGTGTACATGCTTGCATCAAGTATAAGCTAAATTGGAATTCCTTTTAAGCACCATGACTGCCCTGATTATGATGACATTTTTTTTAAGTTTATATAGTAGTTAGCAGTATCAGTTAGTTAGTTTAGATAGCTGTTTTTGTAATTACTCTTTGTTGGAGTACGGACTCATATATAATCGTATTTGTATTTGATTGATTGACAGTTGGTTATAAGCAAGAGTGTTGTTTAAAGTGATGACTGGCCATATTAATTAAATTCACCTGACTGTCGCTCGCAGAAATAAATATGCATTTTTTATTTATACGTATGTGTGTCTGAGCTATTTTTTTTTGCTGTACTACTGACCCTTTTGTATATGAGTGTGTATTTTTTTAGTAATGATTTAAAAGTGAGTGCATGTGCAGCCGAATTGATTAGTAGTGGCACAAAAGTTGTATTTTAATTTGACCCTGCTGAACCATCAATTGTGTAATTTTTAGTAGATTTTGTATGCCTGTAAATAAGCGGAACATTTTCATTCCTCAGTCCAAGATATTGCAACCTATGTACTTATCTCGCCAACTAGTTCCACCATCTCATCGTAGTAGCAAGCAGCCGAAATTTGTAGCAAATATGCTATGCCAAAGCCAATAAGACTGTTGAGCAGTTAGTTGGTTGGTTGGTTAGTTAGTGGAGGAGGATGAGAGGATATAAACAACTATTCTCCACACGAGGAACTATTTAGAACAGGATTGAATTCACCCGATTATGATAATCTAAGTATCATTACAATCTATTAAGAATGTAAATATTTCAACTTGAAAAGGAAGGTATGGCTAGTTTTTGAGGTTTAGGTACATTCGTTCTTTCTTCGTACGTATATTAGTCTTTTGGTCATAAAATCGCACCATTTTAAGGAAAGGTTAAGATTTTTGCGTCAAGAAGATGAGTGCCATGCGTGACTGTGAAAATGAGGGGGTTTTCTTGACAATTTGTTCTGCTGCTGGATTTTGTGTGATGAAAACACAAGTTTTTTTTCAGGTTTAGTTCCAAAGCTCATGAGTTTGAGTCAATTTTAAATTCTAATTCTAAATTAGTTACTTTTGTGCTTTTGGTATGGGGACATTCCGTAAATTACATACACTTGAGCCCACAACAATAACAGCATTTCACAGTATTCACTCTGTTTTTAAGATATACTCTGAGATTTCCATAATTCATGGAAAACAAGCATTAATATGAAAGTGAGGTTGAAAATTACATTTTTGATTACAAGAGTAAAATAACTTTCTCTATTTTCACCAATCGTTACATATTTTTCTAGCCGGTTGCAACTGGTGGCCCTGCTTTTTAACAACAAGTCATCTCAAGTCCAACGAGTACTAGTCTTCTAAGTTTTTAGTTGCCATTTCTCTCTCTCTTTTTGCCTCTTGTATATCTTTCTTGATATGAAACAAGTGTAGACTAACAACAATAATATGTATAACATACCTAAGTAATTAGTAGTGGACGTGTTACGGATTAATTCATATTTTTTTCGTATCCTATCACAATTATACAGCACCATCACTTTTGTAATTAATTCAATTGTGAGAGCACACAGTAAAATACGATATTCTTCATATCGACCAATACTAAAGGGTCATCCGCTAACTTGTTGGAAACTAGAGATGTATGTAGTAAATAACGTATGTGTGTGTGTATAATATGTGAACACTAACATATTCAAACACTAACATACTATACAAATACAATACATTTAGAGACTTGAGTTACAAATAAATGGTCCTAACAGGTCCCACATTTTTCTTCTTTAGTCTGGTGGACCATAGCACAAGAACCCAACCTGTTTAATTGGCCATTCGAGAAGCACATGCAATTGTGTTCAATTCAATAATTCAATATATAGAGTACCTCTGATTGTCTAAGTCTATACAAATTGACAAGGACACGCACAATCACATTGACTCGAGAAGAGAATTAAGTTAACCACCAAATCACACTTATATCCACATTCATATAACATTCTTCTTAAATAGGAGCGATAATACACCATGCTTATTTTTATATTTTCGTATTCTAATTTTGTTGTACACAGACACCATCCGTTCCTTGGAAAATAGATATCACATAACAGCTACCTAAACAACGCGTGCTAACAAACTGAACTATGTATGTATGCACTCCTCTGTGTACATAAATAGTTCCCACCACGTGCCTCACCCAGCACACCCACTTCTCCCACGCCTCACATCGTCATGGCTTTCCAGATTTAAAACATCAGTAATCTATCTCTTAAAGCAATAATGACTTATGTACACTATGTAAATAAGTATACGTACTACCACTGCAGTTAAGTAGTGCGTCCATTATTTATGGAGGAACAAGAGTAATATGTTAAATTTCTGGACAATATAACGTCCCTACGAATATTATATGCTAAATGTATTCCTGCTTAAGGGAATTGTAGCCGTGGGGTTGCAAATGTTTGAATGGAGACAATAATAAATATGTTCCACAACACTGTACGACTCCTGATGATGATTGACAGTTAAATATATATGAAACTATGTAAACTATGAAATAATTACTACGATAATTAACATTATATATATATAGTTGATAACATATTTAGCTTTAGTAACACAAATCACCCGGTAAATCACACTCGTCATACATGTTTTCAGAACTTGTTTAGATTTATAAGTCATCTTTCTCCTATATTTTGTGTACTGAGGTATACTGCAGTTGCTGGTTAATATATTTCCTGCATTTTACACAGGGTGGCTGGCTTTACGTAATAATTGTTATATAACATTCAAAAGTTTTTCAAAGAGTTAAGTTCAGATTGTTGTTGTAGTTTTGTTGGTGGGTTTAGTTTTTAGGTCATTATTATGAAAGAGAGAAAGAGAGAGAGAGAGAGGTTGACGCTAAAATTTACAAATATTTTGAATGAGTCTACATTCATTTACTACGTACTATTATACTCTGTGATTTTTACGTATAATTAGAAAAAAACGGTCAGAAGTACGTGAAATATAGATTGGCTTTCCTCCTCGCAAACAAAAATGTATCTCACTCAGTAACACAACAACAGCTTCAACAACAACAAGTAGGGTTGGACATTAACGAACCGGGGTCTAAATGGGTATTTCTATCTTTCTATGTACGTATATATCTATACAGGATGATAATTAACGGAGTTCAAAATGTTTTTGACCATATAAAGCAATTTTCTCTTTGGTGTGGTTTTTCAACGATCTCGTCATGAAATTGTTCATTCAACCCAGAACTTTCCGAAGCCGATCCATTTCCAACTTCAATGCTTGATTCTCTTTCGCAACCCGATCCATTTCGAGTTTCAGAGCTTGATTTTCCTTTTCGAGATAACAAGCTCGCATCGCGATTTGATTTTCCTTGACGCGACGCGCATCTCGGGACCTCTTGGCAGCCATGTTGTTCTTCCTTCGACGAGCCCAGTACTTGGAGTCCTTGGCTTCGTTCGGGACAAACTGTAAATATAAAGCAAAATTTCGATATTCAGGCGAAGTGCGAATATAGTGAGTTTATTGAGAACAAAAAAGTCTGACTAAAACAATCATGCGGTTTTGAGATGCGGTGGAAAGCATAAAAAAATTCAAGCAAGAATTGATCATGTTCTCTGACTAAGGGAATGAGTAACCCGCTGCTTGATGATACTCAGAATAATAGTAAAAGATCAAATACATGCAAAATCCCAAATGAATGCAAATTGCGAGGTGATTATATATTACCACTAAAATTCTCAAACGTTGTGATAATGTATGGAGAGGGTAATATTTAATAAATAAATAATGTGTATAATGAGGTCTTGCGAATTTGTCAAGAAAATTACTAACCGTATTTACCTGTTTTCTCGACTTCTTAATCATGGGCTGAGGTTTCAGCTCGTCTTCAGTAAAAGATCTTGTTCTCGGGTCAAAGTCATGTCCAGGAATAGATCCAAGTCCCATTTCTGTCGTGGTAGATTTTAATAATACATAAACAATGCGAAGAAATACACAATTTTCGAAATTCGAAATAATTTACAAACCCCACATTATTCGAAGATATGTACATATATAAACATGGGAAATGACCAAGTGTAAACGTACCTCCAGTTTGCGATGAATCTGGGGAAGTGTCAGAGCTCATGTCATGACTAATTCCGGAAGACGCACTTCCAGAGGGGGATGGAGATCGGGAGCGACGACCCATCGAAGGTCGCATTGGATTCTGACCACCGTGATGATTAATTCGAGATGGTCCTGCCATCATTTGCTGAGTCTCTGCCGACACCGGAGGAATTGGTGGCATGCAGACTGTAGAATTTATCATCTGAGGAGGTATTCCTCCTCCAATGTTGTGGTGAGGTGCTCCAGTGTTGATGTCACGGTGGAGATTTCGAACGGTCAGGTTGTGGCCAGCATTCGCTCCGTTGGGGTCCATCGGAATACCATTTTCCGTGAGAAACTCCTCCAAGTCAACGTACTCCAGCTGAGGAGATAAAATCCCGTCAACAATTTTTGGCCAAAATAGCGTTACACCAACCACCCAAATTAGCATAAGTTTATATCTACCACAATAAATATGTAAGGCAATAAGTAATGCAAAGTCATTCATTTTTTAAATCGCAAAGTTGGTAGACTGAGTGACTGACAGGCATAGCCCACAGCACTGAAAAACCTTTCATTGAGGGGACCAAACCCATACTTAATTTGCATTAGTTTGCACAATATGTGTGCGTCATAAAGGCAAAGGTTGCAAAAAGAGGGTAACAACCAACCTTAAAATCTTGGCCATCATACGGCACACGTTTGTCCCAAAGAGTTGGACCTAAGAACGCTGTCTGAGCGTCAAAATTTTCCCATGGATCGATCGTATCCTTTGCTGGAGGCTCCTCCATGGGAGCCTCTGGCATTTCGCCTTGAATTCCTTGCGTTGAGGGATGATGGCCTTGTTGCTGTTGTTGCTGCTGAGGAACGGTCGGATCCTGCTGCTGCTGGTGGCCATTATCAAGTCCGTTCATTTTCTGACCTAAAATATATCAAAATAACAAAAATGAGCCAGTTATCCATCATGACAGGATCAGGATTAAGTTTATAAAAAAAATTAGGACAGAGGATTGACGTACGAACATCTCTCTCATTTCCAGCAACAACAACAACAGAAAAAAACAAGAATGGGTCGATGCTCAAGTTCCATGGTAAATAATTTAAATTTATGTTGCTTTTCGGTCTTGGAGTAATGCACGGAATAAATAACTACGAACAACATGTACCAAATAATCGTGGGTATGGGGAATAAAGCCACCAAAAACGTAGCCATTATGTGTGCATAGCTATGTAGCGTTTTCTCCCTTTGAAGTGGTTCACTCTGTCATTCGATGACATTTTCTACAAAGGAAGAGAGATACACACACGTTGAATTTTGTGAGTATCATTCCGCCCTCGGAATAACCCTTGCAAAATTTTCTAAAGGGTGCCAATTTGAGCAGTGGGCACGAAATAGTTTTGCCACAAAAGCCTGCACCAATTTGCCTGTCATTGTGTGCTCCCTTTTGTGAAGCAAAATATTGTTCTTTGCTGTGGGATTGTTAATGAACAAAGGGATTTATTTACGCCTGTGTGCATTCCGGTTTTGTCCAGCTATCCGATCAATACCGAATTTCTCAAAACTACACGGAACACGATTCCTGTTTCTCAACAAACTAAGTACATAGTTTCATTCTACATATTCCATGCAATGCGTTTAAAATTTAGCAATGAGTAATATTAAATATGTGACGTCTTCACTTAATATAAAGTAAACTGTGCCTGGTACGCCCAATTCGCGAGAGGATATCGATGTTTAAGAAAAATGGGAAAGTAAAGCAATTAAATATGTATTCAGTCCTCGTCGTCCTCGTCGTTGCGGTCGTCATGATCGTCGTATAGCCAAACATTCGCTATAAAAGCTCATGGTCTACAAACCCAGAAAGAGCATTGAGTTTTTTGCATGGGCATTACTGGATATGTATGGCCAGCTCTAGGAGATCGATACACCATTAACTATTTAATCTATCGATTTTTCTTTAGTGCTGCAGATTTCTGAACTTTCCATCAGTGTCGACATTCCTGATTGAACCAAGCAGTTGAGCCGCAGGATGGTGGTCAGGGTCCGTAGAGTTTCACACCAAGCTCCCCCAACCAACTCGGTTCTAAACCCCTCAAAAACCTCATCACACAACCAACCGAACACACACAGATGAACAGATAGATGGAAATATTTGGTTTGAATATGACGACGACGTTCATCACTATCTATCATCCAATCTGACACTGAACTTGATTAATCAGAATGTTTCTAGAATTCTAACCGCTTTTATTAACTGCGTGTGCAATTATGGTCATTAAAGTTGAACTTGCTTTTTGCGTAATTGCGCATATTTTCCATACTTTCCTGAGCAAAGAAACATGTTCCTGCCTTGATCGGAAGTTCATGTCAGCACCATCACCACCACCTGAATTTCATATAAATAAATACGCTCTCTGGACAGCATTGTTCTCTCTCCTATGACACTTGAAGGTTATGCGTTTCTCGAGTACACGCTATACATGAATAAATACATGGTTCAGAGAAGAAAGATAATGTATTCAAAATTTCGAGAACATGTCCCCGTCAAAACACAATGGTACTTTCGCAATTAAAATTAACATGTCCTGTGTGAATTCAATTTAACTACATGAGCAACAAGGCAGGAAAAAGTCGTCGACGTGCGCACATTTCTGCAGCTCTTTTCTTTGCTGCTGCTGCTGCTAAATTAAATAATAAGTTTAGCCTTCTCCTCTCCATATTATTTTCTAGGCGTCCATCAATTGCAAATAAATAACAATTTTTTTTCAGCAATGATTAAGCAGAATCTAAGTATACACACACATGTAAAAGTAGTACTGACCTATGTAACGGATGCAACTGTTTACCCCGTCGTAATTTCTATCTGCTCTAATTGTTGCTGTGTCAAGAAATTCCACACACAGTGCATCGTGACGGGAAAAGTGTGTAGTCATCACAAATTAAAAAATTTAAAACCCATCACTAACTCAATTGTGCTAAACTGTCTTAACGATCATTTTAAATTATTTCACATTACGTAAACCAATCGTCTATTGAGGACATGTTGCGATGCTTTTGTAATGCTTGTGATCAATATATACGTACGTGCAGTTCATGCTGTGCAAGATTGCCATGAGATAAATGAAAGTCAAACGAGTTCACTTTGAAATCACTTTGAAATCCGTATCCAGTAACCTATGAAAAATGATACCGAAGAAGATGAGGGCCCATTTTATACCAGATCGGTTCTCCTCTTGTGTGTGTGTGTAGGACATTATGTCCTCCACATAATGTAACGATCCGCATTAGTTTAACATGTGTATGACTTGAAGCATTCGACAACCAAGTATCTGCAACTAAATCCGTCCGTACGAGACGGGGTACATCATCATCCCTCGAAATCACGCTCGATTTAACAATGTCAAACCGAGAAGCAATGCAATATTATCTTCCTTGTCTTCACGAGACAATAAAAAACTGTTCTATAAACGATACATATTTAAGGAAGAAACCGTATGCATGTTAAAAAAGGGTGACCGTAGGCGGATGATATATGCACTTATATTTAGGAATGGAATGTATACGGACACACGTAAAAAAGTATCTCGCTTATCTTCCTTCAATCTCGTCTGCTTCGGTTGGAAGATTATTATTGATTAATACTGCCAACGCAGTCTTGGCACCACCCATTCGACCACTTGATCATGCATGCATGCAATAAAATTGAAACATATTTTGACGAGTGCAGGATGTGATGATGTTTCATGAAGAAAAAAAACTTGTAAAAATTACAAGCCGAGGAATGAAACATGAAATATATAAATGTACGACTTACTTTGATACTGTTGGACCGACTGCTGTTGCTGCTGTTGCTTGTGGATTTGCAGCTGAATCTGTTGCTGTGTCCAGATAAGCTTCTGGTAGTTCCTCCACCTCGCTTCAGTATTGGTGACATCAGTTTCGCTCATGATTACGCGAGGACAAAGTAGTTGCAGTGATGATGAAGGTTACAAGTTGGTCTCGTTCTTTTTTTTACTTGTCTTCTTGAGTTATCGGGATCGACGACGTTGCCCTCCAAAAGGTCGCCTCGACGAGCAGAGAAATTCACTGGTCTGGTAGGTGGGTAAGTGCAGATTGCGATCGGTGGTGAAAGTTGCCTGGAATTTACAAGGAGACGACGAAATGAGAAACTGTGCGAACGAGACTTTGAGACTCTCTCGAAGCTGGCGACCGTACTGTACAATGCGGTAAAACCCACTGAAGTTCAGACAGTATGCCAGTCTCGCTGGTCTGGTGGATGGATGGATAAGTGCGAGAGGGGTAGGTAGGGAAGCCAGCGAGCGACTTTTCCCTAGGCCTAAAATCAATGGACGTCTTCAATGGCGGCAGGTGCCTGGCGAGGGAAAGTTTCGGGGAGAGAAAGCAGCAGCAGCAGTAGAACGCCATAGTTTCCATATTCCCACTAGGGCTATGTCTCCATGCTAAATAGTCATTCAGCACCATGATGAGCCAACCCGAGAGGAGAAACCGTACGCATATATGGTCTCTCCTATGGTGGCTGGAGGTGGAGAAAGTCGTCTCGCTTCTCTCCACTCGGACTTTCTCGGGCCGTACAAGGACACACGGGGAGCTAGGGAAGGTTATGGGCATCTAAACAGGACATTTTTTTCCTTTTTTTTCTCCTACCAACTATCCATCCACCCTATCCTTCCTGCATCCACTCTTCCTCCTCTAAATGGACCCTGACTATGGCAACTTTCTCTGTCTCGCTCCTTACACACACTCACACACACATAAACAGCAACCCTGGTACGACTATCCCCCAAATGGGAAATTGAGGAAAAGAATGCATAATGCGCAGAATTTTCTCCAGGCTTTCTCAAGCTCACCTTTTGACATTCAGCAGCTCTGATGCTATGCCAGCTATGTTGAGGCCGGATGGATGCCAGGACAACGACGAGGACGACGACGCTTCCTTTCTCCACCAACCAACTTTCCCTGCCTACCACTTTCTTTCCCTTCCTCGTCCTGGGTGACTGTTGCATGTATCGTCGTCGTCGTTTACATCTTTGCATGCAGCACATCCTACTCCATATTTCAGCCTGGCTTGCGAAATAACCAGCCCACTCTGGGAACAGGTGGTTGCTAACGCTGTTTAATATCCATCCACATTCCCAACTTTACCACCATGAATGCATATTGTCCCATTGTTCTTTCTCTCTGCATGTCAAGGATTGGAGTGGATGGATGGATGGATGATGAACTGGTTAAGCCCAACAATTATTCTCCCTCTTATTCAATACTTTTAAACACAAGAGCTCACAATTAGTTATTATTATTAAGGTCTGCTCAACAAGTAGCTTTTCCTTCCGTCTAATCAATAAATGTTGCTACCCCTTTTCAGCACGCTCTGCCCAACTCCTTTGCTTTCTCATTATTACAGAGCAGCACCCTTTTCATACTTGATGGGAGCGGAATTAGGAGACAATTCGACAGCAGGAAATACTCTGCCCAGAATCAATGCATGCATGCATGTATACACGACTATACCTATAGCTCACTGTGTGCATATGGCACTAATTGCTCAAATTAGCAGGTCTATTATTCCAACAATGTATGCACAGAATCAAATATTCAGAAAATTAGTTAATCAATCGGGCTGGGTGAGTCGGGCATTCGCTGCTGCAAGACTAGACAAACACAGCGAGATGGCCAGTATTTATTTGTATTTGCAAATCTACCCAATCTTACAGTAATTGCAATCTCGTCGCAATTGCAATTTGCATATTGTGGAAGCTCCTCAGTGACGGTATTATTATTGGCTAGCCACACTTAAAGGAATGAATCTGAAGTCAATCCTCATCACCCATTAAAAATAATGGCTGCGACAATTATGGTCATTATTATTGTTACATTTAGGTATGGGTATCGCCATATTGTCCGAGTTCTTTTTTCAGGTGTTTTGCCCGTGTGGGTGTGGGTGTCCACAGGTAAAAAATAAATAAAATAAACTACTCACCTGCCTCTTTGTGCTCCCCAAGGAGAATTATACATGTAATCCTCTCCAGTGGGAAGAAGAAGTAGAAGAAAAAGACGACGCAGAGCCGACGAGTGGTCCAACAAACACACAACTAACGTCGGAAACGTATTGTACTCTGTATACGATTACGCCACACACACAGCAAGGAAAATTCGCCAATTTTCCCGAGTAAAAGTTTTTGCCTTTGGTTAAACTTGAGCCAGCGTCTCTCCTACTTCAAGTTCTGTAATCCTGCAAGAATCGGAGCAAATTTTTAACTCCTGCTTCACTTTTTACTTGAATGTATTGCACACGGGAGCGTGAATAATATGGTTTTGCAAGGTTCACAGCACACGCACAGTTCACTACACTGCTGCTAAAACCAGGCTGCTGCTGCTTCTTCTTTCTATCCGTAACACACAATGTTTCGAGACAATGTTTAGCTTAGTTGAACAACTTTTTTGCAGGTTTCTTCTCAAATCTGTGCAATAATTTTTACGGGAACCATGCACCGGTAGCAGCACGGGAATAGTAGACTTATTAAATTAGCTTGGTTGATGATGGGCAAGTAAGTAAATAGTCTTCTGATAAGACTGACTGGGTGTTGATATCTACTGGCGAGCCTTGGCAGGGTCGTAAGATAATGTGCCACCACTAACTCTGCACTTATTTATTTAGACGAGTTGCTGGGAAAAGTTGCGATTTGAGTGGCGATATGTAGGTGTTTGATTCTCTTAAGTGTGATATGATAATGTGTGTGTGATTTCTCCAGCCAACCCCCAACCAAAGGAGACAATGCGATCTTCAATCAAATTGCCTTATTTCATTATAAACCTCTCTGCCTGCCTCCCCGTATATGCAGCAAGTAGGAGTAGTCGAGCAGCAGATAACAGCGATATTGCGACGAGTGCAACGTAGTCGTCGTCGTGAAGTGGAATTACTGTAGAAGAACGCTAGAGTTGTACTAGCCCCCAAGTAAACCAACCACTTTATCCTCACTCATTCCTATTATACGTACTTACGTACTCATTCGAGGATAGGGAAACTTGTCCAGCTATGTTAAAAGTTAAAGCTCAGTTAGTTAGTTGAATAATGTGAAGTTATGTTATAGAGGTTTACCATGATGATGGTAATGGATGGTGGTGAAGTGAAGCTATCAATGTTGCAAACCAACATGCAAAGAACGAAACCTGCTCGTATGTATGGGAGCGACGACGAGCAGAAGTTGGACAAGTAAAAAAAAACCTGTAACCTTGAGAGCGAATACGAATCTGTAAAGCGTATTTTTCACATACAACACATTACGCCAAAGATAATAACCCTCCTCTCTCTCATCTAAACAAATTTGCTCTTGAGGGATATTCAGCACTATGTAAGCTAGCTAGCAACAAACTCGATGACGCCTTTCACCTTTGCACGCCACGCAGAAAAACATATCGTTGGTGGCTACACATGAGGAGGGTGACCTCTCCTCCAAGTAATGAGGGCTGGTTTAAGGGCACCTGAAGAAGCAGTGATCTCCGCCCCATAAACACGTCCTGCCCGAAAATCTGGTCACCTTTGCCCCGAATTTGCAGAAAAAGAGTTTTGCAAGTGGAAAGCTATTCCCGGATTAGTGCATGTCCTCCAACATCCACTTTTCTATCATCTCTTTCCACCATGCCACATATCGCAACACTTTTTATGCTTGTCTTCACCACAAATTGTTTAGTGGAAGTTTTGCATAGTTTGTATTACATTACATTACGCTATGAATGGTATACTGTACTGTCTGTTTGTCTACAGGATTACATCGTTCGTTCGCTACTCCCTGCCTCCCATTGGATGAGGATGAGCGATGTGAGTGAAACAAGGCGAAAGATGCAATGCAAACCACACTTGACGTCTTTTGTAAAGCCAAACCAACCAGCCCACTCAAAGAAGAGTTAGCATGAGAAACGGCGACGACGACGACGACGACGAGTAATAGCGATGCCCGGCTTATGCACGTCGCATGAATGTGCATATCTGCATATTCAGCCACTAACGAGAGGGTATTAATGATAACGGAGAGGAGAGTATCTGTAATTCTGTATATATTTATGAGTATATTTCCGACCCATTATCAGCCCTAAACAGAGAAGAGCTTAACATATGGCGTAGCACAGTTTAATCAAGTGACACGGTATAAGCAACCAGTTATGGATGGATATGTATGTATGAAATTGATCGAAATTCGTCCACAGCATGTGCATCCATACATATGATGAAGCCACATGAGTGAGTGTGAGCAAACAAACGAAACGATGAGAGCTATATATGTGACCAACATAAAATATCCATGTTTCGCGATTATGGATTCTTTCCATGCGATGATTTCGCACATTTGGACGTTAAATTTGCTGGGTTAAAAGTTGCTCTGCTGGTGCTGGTTCATTTGTTGCTGCTAAAAGCTTCTTGAATGAAACGAAATAATCATGAAATGTATCATTCCCTGTGTCGCTGTCATTATGCCATCGCTCCACTGTCTGTGGTGGTTTGGGTTGCTCTCCCAAAGTCAAATGTAAAGGACATGCGAAAACGACTATTCTTGCATATAAAATTTGCTCAATTCCCAAGTGAGTTGTTGGTTTTGATCGCCTATAATAATACTTCCACTTCCTATGCCAAGTATCTACTTCTACTACTGCCACACACTACACCATGAGGAGGCAAACATGCCAAGTAAGTAAACAAGTCGATGAGAATCAGCATTATTACAACAACAAAAACAAATTCCTACTTACACTCTCGTTCTCTAGTGTGCTTGCAGTGTGACGAATATACAGCACAAAGGTTGTTCCTATGCACTATATAAATATACACTCCCCTCATCATTTCTGATTTATTCATTGAAAACCTAAAAATTAGAGATTCTCTCGTCATCCCACAATGGGTGCACGTTAAGCAGAGGTGCCAAAGCAGCAGGCATTCTTCTCCTATTCTGCATGCCTGAATTGTAACACCCTTCGTGATGAGATTGACTACTATAATGTGCCTGCCACCTCTGCTGCAAGATGTCTAAAATACAATCGTCATCACGATGATGATGATGATGGAAGAAGGCATATTGTAATAACATTTACGTTTGATTTGACTTTTTCCCCTTCACTTCAACTCGCAACGAAGCATCGCATCCAAAGATTTGTGTGCATGCAGAGTCAATATCTTGATGAGTAAAGCATGTATGGATGTGTACTTTGTGTGCAAAATGAGAGAAATGGAGAGCTTCGACTGCTTTTCAAAATGGCTTAAAAAAGTTACAATTTTCAAATTGTGCAACACGTTTCCCCTTTTTGTCAAGTCCAATTGGATTCTGCCATAATGGTTGATGGTTCGCAGACAAGTGAGGAAAGCCACTGGTACAAAGTCGTCGTAACACTTGTTCCTACATGGCAAATACATAATGGGAGAAGAAGAGATTATTATACGGCTACAGTTACAGGCTTCTTGTTCTTCTCATCATAAAATAAACCACATACATACACATTTCTTCCTCTCTGGCGATGATCAACTGCAAGGAAGTTAAAGAAATCAAATGTAACATTGTGTTATCCTCCGCATTAAATCGCAGTACCACACGATACGTATGGAAGGGTATGCACATATGTACATATGCATCTATGCATGCAGCAGACAGTTCCAATGTCTGTGCCTCCTTATTTCGCACATTATCAGTTCCTTCCCATTCAGTTTCACTCTTCCCAGCAGCATAATGATCACGTAGTAAAAAAAATCAGAAGCTGAAGGAATCAAAAGGAAAAGAAGGAGCAAAAGCCTCGTCTCGTAGGCTAAAACACCTTCCTCATCTCTTCTCCACCGGTTCTTTTTATTCGCGAATCGATTCACCTTGCATTTTGCACACAAAAAGATCATGTCACTTCTTCTAAATTCTAACACCATCACACCACCACCACCACCACATTGTATATAGAATCGTCTTCCTTCCTCCTGAATCTTGCTGCGTTTTCCTCCTCCCGCAGACAGAATTGTATAATACAAAGCTCCCGTTTTTAAGTGTCAGCGAAGTGTGCAAAATCAACACTTCCTATTTAAATGTGGTTGCACTTGAGGCAGCAGAGCTGTGTGGCGGCTCAGAAGAAGAAGAAAAGAAGGAGGAGGAGGAGAAGGATTATGGTCAAAGTCATGATACAATGGGTACATAATGGGCTCTATAAACCATATCCAATCACACCGACTACTATTTTTAATGATACAAGAAAAACATTACTTACGACTAAATTTTTCTCACTACGATAACCCATCACTCATTTATCGCCCAGAAGCAGAGCTATCAGGCTCCAATTAATTCAAGAGGAGAGAGAATTAGCTCCTCTCAACTTTTTGAGAGTCCGTCAGTCAGAGCAGCATCATCATTATCAGCCTTGTTGAACGAAACGAAATCAATCCAGTTTACGGGATTTTGTTTAAATGCCAGCATATTTATTTATTGGCTGCGAGATCCTAAAGATAGCAATGCATAGAGTGGTATGGTAGCACGCAGCTACGTATTTATGCACCTTAAACATAGTAATGTGCATGCAAGGCTGTACATACGTACGAAATTTACAGATATGCATAGCCACACTGTTTCGAAGGGATTTTCCCCCATTACTTGTACGGCGGGTTGATTATGGTCAATAAGAATAAGAATAGAATTTCGCCCAGCGTGGGGCAAGCAAGAAGGGAAGTGGTATCGTTAATGCAAAGGCAGCAGCCAGTTATCGTAATATAATGGAACAGGTTGATTGGCTTTAATCATCATTATCATCATCTCATCGCAATTTTATTATTCTCTCACCCATATCACCATCTCACCCTTATCCACCCAACCATCCAACCAAACTAACTAAATAACCAACAAAACAACCACCCGACAGACCTGTTTGCTTCTCTGGAGAATTTGCGCACTGGAAGAATTGTCCTAGCGAGAAGCAACCCTATGGGATGATGATGACGCAAATGGTAACTCAATAAAAAGTGCTGCAGGCTGCTTTACACTGATGCCAACACGCCTTTGCTTTGCTGCTCCTGCTTAGCTTTGCATTCACAATGATGTTGTTTGCGATTTTATACCTTCGTCCTCCTCTGACTACAATTTTAACGCTCTTCTTCTCTAAGACGGCCTACGTACGTACGTACGAGGTGCAATTTGTGTCACATCTTGTAACCCAAAGTGACCGTGTCGTGAGATTAATGGTTATCAACTTATTGTGAGGAATAATTTTGAGATAAATTACAATTTATTTATGATGGAACACTGTTATTAGCATGGCTTACGTAGAATTTTTGCATGCTGCACAATTACAATTTGATCTACAAGGTATCCGCGAATCCACAAATTATTGCATATCTAACTTTTTTTGGCAAACGATATATTCGCATTGTGGCGGATGTCGTAATTAATGCATGTGCAATGAAACTGATTTAAAATGCAAGAATGAAATGCCTTACGAAATGAAAAACAAATAGAAGAGATCTTTTTGCAGATAGGGTCAACTCTACGTCAACAGGAGTGTTATGTAGCCATCACTCTGAGAAAAGCTGATATGCACATACATGTATGTAAATCCAGACAATGGGTAAATAAGCGTGGAAGGATACTTATTAAAATTACTGCACACAGCAAGTCGAGTAATTACTTTCTGTATTTTTACAACAACCGGTGAAACAAGGTAGACAGTCAAACAATACATTTAAATCCTGCATGTTGTACATTTATCTGGAAAAAGCAGGATGTTCCTTCGATCTGATCTAAGGAATCCAGGAGGTGCACATGTTTGAGAAAAATGTGCTTTACATAACCCCATAGTAAACGCATGGCTGGAAAGGGTTGTAATATTTTTACTACTAATTAGAAGCAATAAAACTGTGGGGTTCGTTGATTACATGAACGAACTTGCCCTATTTGTCGAAAACGAGTTGTATTTTTATTCTCCCCACATCCTCCGAAAAAATGACTTGGTTGCGAAAGTCGCATTCCATATGTATCAGTTTCCCCTCCTTCTCTGTATGTCTGTCTTACAAAATACATGTTGTAATGTTCCTACTGGGATGGAATTCTTGAGCAAAAATGTAATAATATTTGGTAAATCATATGATGAGTTTTCTTGTTTGAGACATTATGCAAATTCTGCGAAAAAATTTGTAAAAACGAGCTCGAGATGAGGGCGGCCGTGGATGGAGAGGAATATTGTTTAAAGTGGTGTAAGTTTTCTGCTGCTGGTGGTGGGATGGGAAGAATCGTGAGACGCAGAAAATCTGGAAATATCCGGATATGTCTGGGGCGGGTGAGCGGGGAGCGGGGAGAAAGTAGCCGGGCAAGTGAGTGACGAAACCACCACCACCCAACTCGACTCACATTTCTCCACCTCATGCTTTCTTCTCCGTCGTCTCGTGATAAGAAGAAAGTGAAGGAAATTCCCAGGCAGGTAGATTTGTTGGGTTACCTTTTCTTCCTCCTTCTTATTGGTTCTCAAAGTCACAATGTGTTGCCAGTTCGTCGAGGTGGAAAATGACTTCTTCTTCTCCTCCTGTCAACTCCTTTGTAGGCTTCTTTCTTTCTTCGTCCTCATGAATATCGCAATTTTGAACATCAAAAAAGTCAAAGGTGGGCTCAAAATAGGCGTACCTGGTTTCTTGATTGTGCAACAATCTTCTTGTTCTTGGCAGAAGAAATCTCTCGCATCAGGAGTGATGTCTGTTTAAGCCACTTACTCATCTCGTAACCTCTTGATCAATCATTCGAGAGAAAGATCAAAGAATAAAATAATTGACAAAATCGCGCAGAAAGTGAGTGAACAACACATTAAAATTTCGACTTTCTCCCTTCCCCCGACAGCTGTAAATTGGGGTGCTGGATGGATATCCCACTGTGTGAAACGGATATTAAATTTAGTTTTTGGTATATGCATCTATATGACCATCTGCCTATGTATATCATGACTTTACGACCGACTTTCTAGCACAATTAGTCGGTTTGATGTTTCTCAGGCATGCAGGAACATTGATATGGACACCGAAATGTTGCCATTCATTCAACGGGAGCGTAATTAGGAAAAATGAAATCAATGGAAATATGTATTCATGGAACCGCAGGATTTATATAACGCGTGTGGGAAGTTGGTTGGTTGGTGGTTCATTTCATACATATACATTTGAGTTTTGAAACGGGGAACGTGTGTGTGTGCAGAATTGTATGAATTTTTTTGATGTACATGTGAAAGCAATAATTCTTTTCAGACACGAAAGATACATTTTGTTGGTTGAAACTATGTTTTTATTTTTATCCCCAAATCGTACTCGCATCGATCTAAGTCCAAAAACTTTCTTTTATTCAGCTCATCATCACTCACTGCTTTCTTTCTTTCTCCAAAATCCTGTCCATCATGCCAGCCCACGACAAGACAAATATTATTGTTATGTTTGCCACGCCGTGGTTTTCAGACATACACAACAATCCCTCTCGCCTGACCAGAATCATCTCATCTCTCGTATTGGTTTAAAATATTACAAAAAAAAATCGGCTACGTAGCAAAACAATCGTACTGAATTACATTGAAACAATGATCTCTCTCTCTCCAAATATAAATAGATATTTCGCAATAACAGTAACATACATATGTGAAACTGGTGATAGCGACGTATGGATGGGGTGATATGCTGATAAGATAAAAGCGACAGATATTACGTTCGGGGTTATCATAAAGGGATCACAAGTACCCAACGAATCAATCACTATCTCCGTTGTAATTACTACGTACACGGATGGGGTTATCTTACAACAACGTGGGTGCAGGTGTTACACTTGTGGCGATGGTGTGATTAAGTTAGTTTTATTGGGGTTGAGTCTGTCTGATGATGCGATGCTGTGTGAGTGAGTAATACGTAAAGGAAGCCGGAAAGTTACTGCACGAAAATCCATCAAACAACACGTGCAAATTGGTTTTACTTTTGTCTTCAGTCTCATTTTTATGGAATTTTGTGATCCCCTCAACTAAACTATGGCTCATCGCATCTTGTTGTATCATTTATATCATTTGCATGCATATTTATCTCTCCCATAAGAATGTCGCAACTTAAATAAAATTACTATTTAAATGGCCATGCACACGTGGGAGATTGTTGTTTGAGAGACTTCTTATGTATATTGCTGGTTAATAATCTAGTGGTAAGTACTTGGTAGGCAGGCAGGCAGGAAAGGAATTAATCATGCTGAGGTGAATACGTGTTAAAAAAATAAAGATATCCTCAATCAAATCAGTCAAGTTGTTTGCATATTATTCAACTGGGTTACAACAAGAGATGTCGATTAACGAACGAATCGGGAAACAATTGTACATTAAAAAAATTATTATCATTTCTATTACAAAAATTTAATTGCATGCTTGTCCGTAATGCAAATCCTTATGTGACGAAGGTGTCTGTATGTATGTACATATTTAATTGCCTGTCGTGGACAATTTATTTACCGTGCATACATATAAATTCTAATAACCACGAAAATAATAAAAGTTCAGTGAATAGAAAAAGGATAGAACAAGTCTCTTATTTGCTCGACGACGAATAATTAGTTATTTTTTTGTAAATACTTACACCAGTCAAAAATATGTGGCGATTCGTCCACAAGGTGACTTACAGTACGTACGTTATTATGATTATTATTATTATGATTATCGGTTAAATATGTATGTATTTGAAACGACTCTTCTCTCGCGTATACAAATTGTATTGTGCTCACGGACGTGAAAAAATATTTACGAACAAACCCACATTTGACATAGTTAATTGCTGCTAAAATTGTATAGTGTAGCAAGTGGTTGGTTTGTGCCTCTTACGTCGAACAATTCTACATGGTATGCATCCATAGTCATTGAATATGCAGAAGAAAAAAAATTACAATCGTCGTACATCGTCCTTCCTCATAAAGATAAAAATAGAATATTAATATTTTTAAGAGGAAAACATGAATGGATTAAAATTTCTTGGGGGAGAGGAACAATAGCAAGTGCTCTTTTTACACAGATTTAAAATTGCTCGCAATTCTGAACTCGGCAAGGTCAAATCCATCAATTTTAAACAATGACTACAAATCAGTCCTAAATCCAATTCAATCTGGTAAATCAGCCGACGAAGGAAACAACAAAGTCAATCATTGTGAACTTTTTCGTCACAACAGCCATTGTGGAAAGGGGTCATTAAAAATGTTCAAAGCTGAATGGAGGCTGCATGCGTGGATATATTGCCTATTTATTGTTGATGTGCCTACTCTGTCGCGTGTGCTGTATTTATGGCAGCATTAGCGGTTGTCCAACTTTTCTCGTACGTGCTCAAAAAATAACGGCGTCATACGTACGGGTGAAGTATGTAAGTATTTATGACGAGCAGTAATAATTAGCAGCAAGAAGTCAGACGTAAAATGTCGTAATTTGCGTATGTAATATATGTAAAATATTTTGGAGAAGCTCTTAAAATTGTCAAAGTATATATAATACTAAACATCAAGTGGAACAATATCATTAAAAGATCGTTAATATATTAAAAAACTTTACCCAAAAATGCAAAGTGTAGTAGCACCTTACGTACAGACATGTGCATCTAGTAGTGTTGACGATTTGTTATGTTTGTTTGTAAGCTAATGTTTTGGCACAAAATATGTAAAATTATTACTGATTTTTTTCTAGAAGAGAGAAATACCTCATCTGAAAGATTTTCGCATGCTTTTGTTTTTTGCTAGCAAGTCAGCCTTATCTTTAGCTTGAGCAGTGCTTGAGGCGGTTGGTCGCATGAAACTAAGAATTCGTGGGGCAAGTCCTTTGGAGCTTGATTTCTTGGTTTCTGTCGTCATCATCGGTGTGCCAGAATTATTATTGTTATTATTAATGTTATTATGCGAAGTGATGGAGAGCCCGTGGTTGTTTTTCATGTTCTTCTGAGCAAGCTTGGAAGAATCTGTGGTGGTGGATGGAAACTTGGAGATGGAATTATTCGAGAGCGACATTGATGTGGCAGGTGAATGTGATCTCCGAGTGGTGAAGGAGTCTCCTCCAAGCCTGTTGGTGGGTGATGCCGTCGTCGTGGCGTTGTTAATACGCAGGGCTCCAGCTCTGCTCGCATCCGGATTTTCTTTCACCGTTGCCTGGCTGGACAGAGAGCTTCGAGAAGATTGCAAACTTGCTGCAGAAGAGCTATTATTCCTGTTTGACAGATTGTTATTATTGTTGGCATGGTTGAGACTCGTGCTGCTGCTCATCTCCGTGTGATTGGGAATTGGTCGAGATTTATTCACTCTGAAGCTTCCTCCCAGTCTTTGCAATGGTTTCCGCTCTATCACTTTGGCAGAGAAGGGAATATTGTGAGACTCGGATTGACTATTGGTCTCGGAGAGAGAGCTGTGAGACTCTTCAAAGCCTTCGTCACGTTCTGCGGTGCCTGGCGAGCTGCTGAGGTAGGACTTGTTCCCAGGAATGGTGTAATTTTGAGAGGTTGGTCGCCCTCCTTGACTGGATGATGAGTCTCGAGGTGTTGTGGGGCCCTTTATCTGAACAATACTGGTGCCATTCGTGCTGTTGATGATGGAGGGAGAGTGGACGCGGGTTGATCGGAGGTCTTCAGAAGCAGAAGGTGGTGGAGGTGGTTGTGGCGATTTTGGAGTGTTTCTTGCTGGGCGAATGGACACTTTCAATTCATCATTTATAGCAGATGAAGAAGTTGTTCTGGGCTTCATGTAATCTTCCGTAGAACGGGTGACTGCTGTTTTAGGCCGCACATTCGAGTACAGGGATGCAGATCGCATCAAGGTGGTGGTTGGAGTTTCAGATTCTTTCTTGTATCGACGAGATTTTCGGAAGGATGAATTCCTGTCAAATCCATCACCACCACCGCTGCCGGATACGGTGGGATTATTTCCATTGCTTAGTCTGGATGATGATGATAAACTACTTTCTCCAGGAACGGATGGGGATCGTTTTAATTTGGAAGAGTAGTCTCCTCCTGACTTTGGACCAGGCAGAGATTTCTCAGGGATATATAACACTAACTTGTCGTTGTGATTTTTGGCACCAAGCGATTCAATTAGTGATCGACGACCCCCGGATTCCTAAGTTTTCATCACAAACATATTGAAAGCTAAAGTCTTAAGAGATAAAAATGAGGAGAAGAGATATAATACTTACTCTTTCACTACTGCCTATTCTTCGTTCTCCTTTCTCCGCTGTGCTGTCTTGGCTGAGTGTTCTCTCAAACAGCTTTTTGTGTGTGGGTCGTTCCTTGGTTGGGCTTTGAACTTCTGTGCACGAATTAAGAACAAGTTGCATAAGCTGATGTTGCTATATAATGACACTTGGATACGCGTCTATAGGAAATCTATGTTACCTTCAATCGCTTCCATTGCTCCAACCACGTCCGTATTAAGTTTGACTGAAGGTCTGCGGTCGGGATATACTCGTTGGTAGACATGCAACGGCGGGACAGAATTGTCCTCCTGACCCATCTCGCCCTCCGGGAGTGTGGCCAGACCTCGAGAGGCGGGATCAACAGAGTCCAAATTAAGACGACGCTGTTGTAAACGTCGCGGTGGAGGACGTCTTTGTGGGATTTCTGCACTTCCACCGTTCTCCAAGTCTACAAACCAGGCTGCAATTCGTTCTCGCCATTCTCTGTAGAAAGTAAATATAGAGTCAGTCAGATAGACTTTCAGGCAGGAGGCACTTTTAACTTTTTTAGTGCCGCTAACCTTGCCGGACTCTCCGTCTTAAACTCTGATTTCGACGCGTCAGTATTATGAGACTGTGCATTCATCGCATCTGCAAAACCAGTTGCAGGAGACACTGGCCGTTCTCTGTCATCATTTACAAAGTCCATCAAGTTAGGTCGGCGCCTCGTCTTGCGTGACCAAGATCTATCCAAGGAGCCGTACTGATCTGGACCCTTCCTCTCTCGAGACCCATCTTGCCCAGAGGCTCGTAAAAAGTCCATGAGCCCAGTTTCATCCTCGTCGGATGGAACCCGGCTACGACGTCTTCTCAAAGAGCCGTTCGGAGTAACGTCTATCGAGCATGACGGATATAAGAATTACTCGTAAATGGCGTTTAATAGTTTTATTGCAAAGTTAATGAACCAAAGCTAATAAAGATATGTTTGAGCACCCACCATGCATTCCCACGGTTAAATTAGACGATTTGACGTGTTCTAATTAATAAGGATTAGTGCACCAGTGAGACGTGTTAATTTATAATTATTGTTTAAATAGTATTATTATATTTGGGAGATTAAATTTGCATACCTGGAGAGGGAACTGTGAGTGAGTCTGGAGTGTTACCCCCACTATGATTACCAGCCGAGTCTGTGTTGGATCCCAGCCGACGACGAACCACGCGTGGGGAGCAAGCAATAAATATGTCGTCCTCAGGGTTAAGGACCATAGTCTTGTTCTAAGAAATAGGGGACAAAAGTCACAAACTAATTGCCATTCATACTTATTACTAAAGGAGTGCCCAATTAAATTATTTACTGTATTATTAAAATTTTCCACGGATTGCGGAGTTTCCCAGCCCAACTGGAGACGTTTCTGGAATTGTTCTTCTCTTATTTTCTTCCTCTGTCGGGCCTCTTCCTCCAATTGTTTGCGACGCTTGTTTTCCACAGCGGCTTGGTTCCATCGAACGATAAAAGAGTGCAATATCTTAAAGCAGTCTTCTAGCTTGAAGGTTTGCAAATCTTCGCAAAAGAATTGGGCAAGATCTACTCGTGAAAGCTCCACTTCCAGCAAGTGATCCTCCAAGTCTTCGATTTGTAGTCGGGCTTCCTGTACCGGATAATGAGTTCAATTAGGATATAGGCACGTCTCATTAATTTGACATTAGAACATACTTGAAATCCATCGCCCAATTGTTGGCAAAGTTCTTGCGGCGTCTCAGGCTTTACAAGTTGTTCGCAAATCAATTCAACTTTTTTCTTGAGGCTTAACAACTCTCCTTTAATTTGATCGATACTGCATCTAAAAAAAGTCCATGCATATATAGTTACAAACTCCTCAGTTGGCAGAAGCAGCAGCATTCAGCAGAAAAGTCAGTCGCATTCTGTTTAATGCATTACTTGATTCGTGATTTTTATTTTTATTATTCGTCTCTCAACTTACTTTGACGCCTCTTCCAAAGACACCATGTGTTTGGCGAATGTTAGCAAGTCTGGATTTTTGGTCTCTGCTTGCTGCAGTTGACAAAAAAAACGAAATCATTAGAGGTAATCAATTATATCGAGATTCTGTGTAATTGTGCCACAAAATACGGCATGCAGATACGTAACATTAACCTAACCATTGAAATAAAGTTGAGCAGACTGATGCCAGGTTGGTTTCCTCGAATGTCTGCAATTTTTTGTAAAGATGAAAGTTTCACTCCAATCGCATCTCCAGCATAGCCACCCTGCACACACAAGTTTGTAATTCAGCAAAGTTTGTCACGCAATGTGTCGATATGTCAATCAGTGAGAGAGAGGCAAATTACCGAGTTTAAGAAGTTTCCAGCCACCAATATCATGAAAATTACGTCTTGGAAGTGCTTTGCATTTTTTATTTCTGAAATTCATTCATTCATTTTACGCATATTTTACTACTTCCGCATAGCTCCACGTGTTTAGGGTAAACGGTAGCTTTTGCAAAAATGGGTGTGTTTGTGCATACCTTGACTTGCTTGAAGAATCACGTCGATGGAGGAATCCAAACTGTGGAAGCAAGAATCCAAATCTTCTCGCAGCAACATTGCCTCAATCCTTAATCTGTACGCCTTAAGCCCAATGAGTTCCAATAAAAACTTTTCCGCACTCCCAACACGACTCTTGTCTGCTTGGGGCACGGCCTTTAACATCTCAATTTCATCCTTAGACGGCAAAATTTTCAACAAGCCTCGTAACCTCTCTGATCCTATTTCTTCTGAATTGGCCTCCATTATGTGTTTAATGATGTCCTTATTCGTGCTGAAATGTGAGCCAATTTTGTATCAGATAAATTATGCTTCCATTTTAAGAAACTTTTATAGCAATTTTTACATATCCTCCTCCCACCAATATTGCGAACAACAAGCTATTTTTAAATATATAGTTCGGTTACTTACGTTCTGAATTGCTTTAGAAATATGTTAATATTTAAACTCCGTTTGGCATCGAGAAGTAAAATCTGCAATAAAAAAACGATATTTATTTACTTTTTTATTTATTGCATATTTATTATTAATCGTAATACTTGGCAAGTAAAAAGGCAGAATTAAATACATGTACAGCTTACCTGATTCGACTCTCGTTTTGATTGGGGTCTATCCATTGAGTTATTTTTCGACGCATCCAAATTTGGACTGCTTCCTGACGCTTTCTCCGTTTGAATGCAAAACAGTCCTTCGAGCGCTTCCCAATCTAAAGTTGATGCCGAGGTTTTATAATTTTTTGCAAAATTTATCCATAAATTGTCCTTGTCGCTGTTAAATATTTGTCCGGTGGGAATCTTGTTCCAGTTGACGGTTCTCATCTTGGCTTTCGGGGCTGGGATTGATTGTTGAGGTAGCCGTTGCTCATTCCCTTTGGCGTTGTTGGCTGGGGACGAATTGAAGGAGGGGGACTTGCTACTAGGGGGCATTAGTGGGGGTGGTGGGAATGGGGGAGGAGGTGCAGGTGGTGGTGGAGGTCCTCCTCCCATGACAGGGCCACCACCGGATACCATCATTGGCGGTGGCGGCGGTGGTGGTGGGGGCGGAGAGGTCACATTGCTATTGTCGGTGTTTAAAAGAGATGCCGCAGCTGCAGCAAAGTCTCCAAATGTGGCCGATGATGTCCTGCGATCTTTATGACATGTGCATGAGCATCGTTCTCCGCCTTGAAAATGAAGAGAGAAAGTTTGTTTTATGACTCCTTTTAAACTGAGTAATTAAAATTAATGACAAAGAAATTAATGAATTAATGAAGAAACCTTTTGGTTTGTTCAGTGAAAGTTTGGACTGATGGCTGGGGCTGATGAGTCGTAATGCGTCGCTCTTTGTCTCCAACAAGGTGGCTCGATGTACGAGTCGCTCTGCCGCGTCCCATATCAAGTCGGAAATTGGCTCTTTGTGGTCAATTCTGAGTAAATGTTGTAAAATAGAGAGAAAGGGGATTTCCAGGGGAGTGTCCGCAATTTGACGCAGGATTGCATCAAAGACTTCTAATGGACTTGACAAATCAATGTTGTTGAGTAAAGTTGGGGATAACTGGGACTCGTCACTTTCTCTTTGTTCGTCAAAAACATCAATCTGAACGGCTAAGTCTGAGCAATCTTTCTTTTTATACCTTCAAATTTTGCAGAATAAAGGTTTAATTTAATTATGTTACGTGAATTTGAAATAGAATTAGGGTTAGAATGCCGAATTAAATAATATGTACACCAACCTCAAGTCATTCAATATTTGAGCAAGTTTTAGACCCAAGAATTCTGATCGAATTCGAATTCTTTCTTGAAGGTCGGAAGTAGCCAAAATTAGGCAATTGACAAAAGCAATCACGGCGGTCTGGTAGTCGACTGTGGGTCCATGTTGCAGCTCATTGACAATGAATTTAAAGCGATATCGTTCATTTTTCTGTTTCTGTGGAACAATATTATTCATTCAGATGTGAATATATGGCTGTGCGTTGAGTGACTGTTTTTGTATCAATATTCTTTAAAACTATTTAACACTTTTGTATTGAACAAAATACGAACTTGAATCATTGACACAATATCCAAATGAGCAATATGCATGAAAATGGATGAAAGTGCAAAAAAAAAATTATGACCAACCTTAAAACATTCAAGTGCTTCCAAGGTTCTGTTGTACCCATCCGCACTGTACTGCAATCATATTATACATACATATTAAACGCGATATCGATATAGGTTTACCTTTATTTTAAATTATACGACACTAAACTAGTAATGTGCAAAATTTTGTGATAATACGTAATCATAGTTAGCAATGTGCATTCTCGTTAAATGAAATGAAGCATTCAGAACAAGATCAGGTTGTTGAGGGGATGGAAAGAGGAAAAAACTTTGAAGATTACATAAATTGGGACAAAGTTTTGCAAATAGTAAATGGTATCCATATACATTTCTCTTCTATCCCGGGATATAGATCGGAATCAGAGTTCTCTCCAATTTATTTTTACAGATTCCCCAGAATTAGAAAGTAGTTTGGTCGTAATGATAAAGATATGGGTTATATTTACGACGAAGTGAAATTCTCGTTTCAAAAAGGAACGCAGGAAATCAAAGAAAAGGAGAGAAAAATTAGTTTAACTCGAATTAAGGCACCGGTCAACATTTATTAGTACCATTGAAGAAAAGGAGCTGGGCATGACCGTAGACAATTTGAATGAAGGTAAACATGAATATGAGGAAGGAAGATAAAGACGAAGGTGAAAAGCCCAAAAATTTTTTGTAAAAAATTAAAGTTCCAGTCGGCCAAAATGATGAGATGAGACAAAGCCGGTCATCCTATGTACCCACTGACCAAGAAATTGAGTAAAGGATTTGATGGAACTCGAACATTTAGGAATTCTCATTTATAAAAACCAAAGAAAGTTGATACTGAACAGAAAAAAACGGTTAGTGAAAAAGTGTCCTTATTTTACGAGATTACTTTTTGCCCTTCAACGTCCAAATGTTCAACTGTCTCTTTACCAGTTTAAAAGTTATAATAATTATTTAGTTTAAGGAGTTAGGACCACAGTAAAGAAAAAAAAATATAGAAATTACTTACCACGCAGAGAGCAGACAGAAGTTCAAAAACCTGCTTCTTTACGGAACAGTTCTTTGACTCCAAAGCTACAGTTTCAAATCATATTCATTAATCATTTATATAAATATTCATCGAGCATCCACAAACCCGCTACAAATAGGGAGCACTATTACTATGAAAAGCAGGCAAAGATTGGTTACTTTGTAATTCAAGCAGCGATTTTTTTCTCTTTTTTGGGTCTTTCCTCAAGAGGAGTTGTCCTCAAGTTTTTTTATAACGGCCAACATTCAGCTTTCCATTTAAAAGAGAAGCAAGCAAACTTATAAAAAAATATGATCGGTAAAAAATACGTGCACTTATTAAAATTTGAAACGACAGAAAATTATTATTTAGCCTTTTTTTGTGCCAGGCTACACATGTAATTAATTTGTTCATCAAATTGAATCTCATGTCAAAAATAAAAATGGAAACTTTTCAATAAAATGAGTTACAACATCGCCATCATGATGACCATAGTAGAAAATATTGTGCGGCATTGTCTCGCATTTGCTCCCCCACAGCTACATGTAGGCAGGTACTGGTCTTGCTCGTAATGACAAGTGGGAGGTTACACGTTTTTAAATATGGTCGTCGTCATGATTTTTTAAAAGTCTTTCTACTCATAATGATGACAAATAAAAAATAATAACTGGCAAATTTACGACGAATTATGCACCGCGGCTGCTGCTGCAATATCTAAATAATAACTTGTCATAAAAGAGCTCGATTGTGTGGTTGAAAAAAAAAAATTGACAACTCGAGAGTCGTCGCCATCCTATAATAATAAGAATATGGTCTAATTGATGCGTACCCAAGACAGTTGCGTTCACCAAGCGTATTGACTAATAAAAAGGTTTGGAAGACAAATATGTATGTACTTATTTAGCTGCTAGTTGCGGAGTGCATAAGTAATGTTGGGGTGAATATGTAAATACGTAAGAATATAAGGGACACCTCTCTCCGGCATTACATGATTTTGCCAGACATTAAATCTCTTGTAAATTAAGATTCACTACTTGTGAATGATGAATGAAGTCTTAAAAAAACTTGTTGAGTCACGACGGTCAACTGAATGAAGGGTGGTGGAAGTGGAAGGTTTTTGTTTCACTTTCCCAAACAGGGAGTGTTTTTTTGCAAGGCAAGCCATACAAGAAATTTGATTTTCTAACCAACCGGGATCAAATTATTTATTTCTGTCTTGAAATTTGAGGCTGCTTTTTATTTATTTTTCCTATGTTTGCATACTTGCATATCTATCTTAGCACCACACTCGACAGGAATAGGATGCACGGCAGAGAGGAATATAACACCACATAAAATCTCTGTCAACTCAAAATCCTGTAAAAAAAATCACGCGTAATTGGCAGAACTAGCATTGAATCAGCCATTTTTGACGTGACAGTCTCCTCTTAAAACCACAAAACTAATAAGTCCATAAATGTCTCGGCAGATGCAAACCGTGCTTTATTTTTTAATGCTGAACAATGAATAAGCTCAAAAGTGTGAGCAAATTACGTCAACCAGTGTACATTTTGGGAACAGGAAAGACAAGGTTCAGCCCCCTGCTTGGTTCTTGGTCTTCTTCGTCGTCTTGAATGTTCATGGTGGCATTTTGTTATGTTTGTTAAGTCTGTTTGTTAGGCGAACGACGACGCCGATGACTCCTGGGGTAGCATCAAAAATCTCAATTTGGTCCGTCGAGGGGACGTGTTACACGACAACACATTACATATTTTGGCATGTGTGTGAACACAAGAAAGGAAGCAAGTGTACAGGACACGAGTAAATAAATGTATGCACCTCTCATGGAATACCATCATGTACTAAATATGATGATGGGCATCCTCCTCATGAGGCACGACCACTCTGGTAATAATTTTAAAAACATACAAGCACAACGCCACACAAATCACCACCGCCAAGAAAACTAAACAACAATAAGCGGAACACGAGGGATTAAGCAAGCGTGAAAATGGCAATTGAAGACAGTTACCTAAGGCAAGCTTTTCAGTGTAGTCGCCGTTCTCAACAATGTAGTCGAGGCCATCGTTTTGTGTCACATCACCAACACTATGCGGAGTTAGGACCATTGTTGACCTTTAAAAAAGTGACATTGCCAAAGTTAAATAGTCGTCTCAAAATAGCAATGCGACCAAACTTAGAGAACGACACGACAAATTATAATATGTACATGGTAATAGTCGAATCTGGCCAAACATTATGGTAAATAAGGTGAAGGTCTAACATACAAAGAGAGACGCAAAAAAAGTATATCTTCTCCGCAACAATTAATTATTGTTCTCAATCTTAAGTACATTTGTGGATCAGCTTTTATTGATTTCCGGTGGCGGACATGCATATTATGCAAATGGGCGCCTCTCATTAAGGGTTTCAACGCATGTTAAGTATTCATGATTAATTGGCCACCCTAAAGTTATCCCCAGGGGAGGGGATGACGTACCATATTTACATATTAGTCTAGTAGAGGTGCAAGTTGTTATGATGACGACGACGACAGCGTCCACGATGACCACACCACACACAAAGACCAAGTTTCAAGTGTGCATGGCTTTCAATTTGCAGAATGACCATAACTACCACACTTTAAAGGTCCAAAAAGTTCTAAATGAACAGACAGCTTTAAACCACGCCAACTAATAAATTAAAATTAAGTTCTCTCCTCCAACCAAAAAAATAATATGTAATGCTCCTTTATCTAGTCTTCCCATTTCATGCTTCATCATCATATCATCCCACCTCCACCACTACAAAACGCTCCATGATGATGATCTTCACCGTCGTCGTCGTCGTCGTCGTCACCATATCCACATCTGCATGAACACTATAAAACACAGATAAATGCACGAGGAGGTGACCTCGGTGGCTTTTTCTTCCTATAACAATCATAATTCTGCTGCTGCATGATGCTCTCTCAGCGGACCTCCGTTATATGAATGGAGCGCGTGTGGAGGCTACGAATCCGACTTCGGAGGGTCTCAAGGGCCCGGAACTTGGCTCAGAGGGTCCCTTTCAACCCCCTCTAAGGATCCGGCCCGGGTTTTTGCCCCATTTTGGAACGTGAGGGGGGTAAATTTCGAAAAAGTGCACAGGTGTTGTGCCCAAATTGGCTATTTTGCTATAGGAGTGACTCGTAGTTGGCTAAGAAAAAACCAGTTGGAATGACTATCTTATCACACATCCCTCTTCTGTCACTTGGTCTCGCATTGTATGGTAAAGAGGAGACTCTGCTGGGAGACTACGTAATAATGGGTGTAATGTTGTTGGATGATACTGCAGTTGTACTTATGACTGACCAGAGATACGTATGGTCGTCTTATTATCATTATTATTGTATTATATTACACTTACCTTGCATGCTCTCTCTCTCTCTCACTCACTCTCCTTTGACACGGATTGAATATTGAGTTGAGATTTTGACTCAAGGCTTGGTTATTAGTTAGGTGCAGTGGATTCCTTATAAGTCTCACAGCCTTTGGAAGCCTTCTCTTCTTCTCTCTGTCGTCGTTGGTTCGTATTCTCGTCTCGTGTGACTGATGATTTCAGACTGAAGCACTTGGCAAGCAATAATCCCACCACATCTTCCTCCTCCTCCTCCGAATATTATTATCATGCAGCTATTACTTCTTTTTACTGACTATCGTCCCACTCCAAATTAATACACCCTGTTCACCTATGTATACATAATCTGTGGCTATTATGCAGTCATTGTTTCAACCGAGGAATCCACCCGTTTTAGACGTGTTTATTGGAAACGCTGGAATTTTAGCGACTCGTCCGTCGCAAATACTTCTTCTTCCTCACCCACACACGAGCACGAAACACACTTGTTCATTCCTCACACCGGCGAAAAATGTTCAGTAAACGACGGCGACGTATTTACAACCACGATTCATATGTACATACGAACGAGCGTATGTATGTAACTAGCAATAACCTCGTTCAACAACGGTGAGCCATAAATGATTCAATCTTTGATTCCCTTTCGTCTCACTTTTCCACCTCCTTAATTTACTCTCAAATCTCCAATCTCTGAAGGTTAATTCTCTATATAAAGAGGCAATGCGTACGTACTATTATTGCTAAACCAATAATACAAGTAGGCACTTAATAATATTATTTGCTGCTCCACTTCCTTGCCCCTCGTCCGATCACTGAGTTAAGTATTTTTAGTCATATAAAGTTATTACACGGCTGCCCCTGGAGTCAGTTATGAACGTATGTCTGCAACCTTTGCTGATGTGGTGAACCAAAATTAAACTTACTTTTTATTTTTGCACGTTACTTATTATTAGCAATAATCTCCAGTTTCCAATTGCACGAATAGACTACGAAGATGAATTTGAGACGCAAGCTTGCACTTAATGATGGAGGGGAAAGAAAAAAACACCATAATAATAAAACACCCTAAGAAACGAATATGCACCCTCACCAACCGCTACCGACCGTCTCATTAATTACGTAACACTAAGAATCACCACAAGCAGCACGAGTGTATCTCGAAATAAAAGTACATAAATCCAGCCGAAATAATGCGTCGACTTAGTCACTCACTCACTCACTCAGAGAAGATTAAAATATTAGAGGAAGAAATTTTTGCAACCTGAGTTGCAACATGAGTCGGTGTGAGAAATGTGATACATGTGTGATTTTTGGAGAGCCCCTGAACAGCGTGGACTTACGGCGTGGACCAACGTCTCGAGTCAATTGACTGAAATAAACTTAAGTCATGATCCTCCATCCAACAACAAGTTAACAGCAGCGTCTCATGCAGCTCATGAGGAGTGGTAAATATGTAGCGTGGTTGTATGTATGTACTTATGTACTTGTACTTGTTGATTTGAGAGTGAAAGGAAAAAGCGAAGACAGCAAGGAGAGAGAGAGAGAAGGAAGAAGTGGATGAGCTCTCTTCTGGTACATCAAAATCAAAAAATGATTATGCGAACCCAGCCAACATCACATCGTTTATTTATTCGATCATCATTATCATGGATTCCTCATATGTGGGGCTTGTCTTTGGTATAATCTGCATATTATTATTATTATTATTGTTACGAGTATTATTATGACATCGCACAACGCAACGAAATGGTAACAACGAACTGAATTCCTCCTTATTGAGACGTTTTTACTTTGAGATACGCGTCATATTGGGTGTATGTACATACGCATCTGCGACATTGTATTGAAACCCACGTGACACGATGAGATTTTTTTAAAGAACTTATTTCGACAACAATAAAGACGACATGGCTTTTAAAACTGTCCAAATATTAACCAACCCAAGGTGCGCAGTGTTGCGTGTGTCTTGCACTTAATTAACAATCATCACACCACGACGGAGGTGTTGAGACGTTTATTTGCAGATAATATATGTAATTGTTTAAGCAATTCATTCACCGAAAGGCTGTGTGACACAGAAAAAAAGCCAGTACATTGCCGATATATGAACGGCGTTGGTTGTTGTAATTCAACGCACATCGACATCATTCATGGGGCATTGTTTAGCGACACCGTGTGATGATGATGATTCAGTAAATATGCATTTTATTTAAGGTTACTTTCGTAACTAACTGTGTGCTGGAGTCATTCACGAGTGTGACAAATAATGAGCAATAGGGTCTCCCAAGTTTGTAAAAAAGATCTGAAAAAGCGAAAAGCTAAAAAATCTGAAATCCGCTTTTTTCGCTCAATACTTGACTGTCCCGATTTTTTATCGCTTGAATACTCAGGAGCAGAGAATGGGTGGTCAGGAAACTTTCGAGTTTCTTTTAAAATTTAAATTTGCTTCATGTTGGATATGATAAAACAACTATCTAAGATCATGTAAATCCAAAAATTACCAAAATGGGATGAAAATAGGATTTTTGGCAAAGGTTTGAATGCGGTAGTTTTAGTGGTTGCAATGCTTTTCAGGGGGTGTGGCGGGCGCAGGTGGGGCAATGGAATAAAATCCTCCCTCACTTTTCATACACTCACCTGATATTGCAATATATTCCATAGGGCATCAAAATCGGGCGATGTCCCCTTAAACATGTCTCTGAGAGACTGATTTTTCACTCAAAGTAGTAAAAAGAGCGAAAAAATCATCTTAAAGTAGATTTTATTTTTGAGCAGAAAAAGCGGAAAAAAGATCGGAATCGCATGCGCAGTGCGGTTTACAAAAAGAGCGAAAAAATCGTGAGCGGAAAAAGCGATTTTTTTTACAAAGTTGGGACACCCTAATATGTACACAAGTGCGTGCGTGGTGTGATGAGAAGGATTTTTTTTGTGTATGAAATTATTAACTGCACCTTGAATTTTTTTTGTACCGTTTCCGAACGAGAAACCTAGAAATAACTTGATGAGTTTGTACATATCAGAAGAGGCTCATGATTGTTTTTCCATGTTGTTATTCAGCAAATATATAATGGTATTTAAGATTGATACTTGGATTCGATTATGGTTCGATCATATCATCATCATCGCCATGATATGACGGAACATTATTAAATATTATTATAAGAATAAGAACGTTCGTTCGTCAGCAAAACTCACCCTTGATCTGATTACACTCCGAAATATGGATCGTCACGGCGTGAACATCCGAAACGTGAGGACTCATTAATTAATTGAGACTTGGTTGCTGGGTTGGCGATGATTGAAAGTTGGGCTGGTTGTGGTAAATGTACATTTTATCGGATGTTCAACCTACTGCTTTATATATTGGGTCGGGGGTATAAAAACAACAAATGCATAGTAATATAGACACTAAACCATGCATGATTTATTTATCTAGAGATTGAAAACTTATGCCTATTTTAGATTCAAACATAAAATTTATTGTTCATCAATTTCAAAATAATACATCGGATTTTTGGTTTGACGATAAAAATAGCATAATTTACTATGTCATTTTATATACAACGAAGATTTTGTAAGTGTAAAACATTATGTGTAAAACGGTTTTGCTGATGTGGGTAAAAGTCGATGAGAAATCCAAAATCCGACTTCAAGTAATAATACCAGCCAGCTAATCTTGACCGCTGGTTCCTTAATAGCCACCCCCATAGCCACCGCCTAATTACATAAGAGAACATTATTAACACGGGGGAATAAAATCCGGACCCAGTAAAGGCATGCACGCAACACTGCAATTTATCTCTCGTCACGAGCAATAAGAACATGCTGAGATAGGACAAAAGGAATGCAAATGCAGACTGGTTTAGATTTTTTGATGGTGCCCCACATACCCTTGTGCCCCCCACCTCCACCACCCCCACCACCGTATCCGCCCTTATGACCACCTTGATGAGTAGAGTAGGAGTGCAAAAGCGTTAGAAAAATCATTGGCATGCAAAGCTACTGACAGATTTTTTTCGTTTTTTTTTTTAAATTTCCTCATGCAGCATCATCACCAAGAGGTGATGATTTCTTACCTCCTCCGCCTCCTCCATAACCGCCGCCGCCCTTGTGACCACCCCCGCCCCCATAACCTGAAAGTATTTTAAGATTGCCGTGTCAAGAGGGAAAGAAAGTCGTGCGACAAGTGTCACAAAAGCGAGAATGTATAGAGACATGTGGGTTTGGCGTTAAACAGGCGCAGCAGTGAGAGAATTGTAAAAAAAAGATTCAATAAACATGGTGATTCAATTAGCACGATCAGTAATTGATGATGATCAAGGCAACAGCACAGGTGAATTAGAAGGACCGCATGCTGATTCTCTCATTTTCATCGGAGCATAAAATAGTCAGTTTAATAAAATTGAGGGTTAAGAAATACCTCCACCACCACCTCCATGACCTATAGAATTGTAAGATAAGTTAAGTTATGACTTTGAAATTGTGCGTAATTTTTCAGCTGTGATTACCTCCACCTCCCTTCTTGTAGGATTTCTTGCTGTGATGACCACCTTTCTGGCCGTGATGGGAAGATTGGCCGTGTTGTCCCTAAGAAATTAGCATGAAATTATAGGCCATGACCTTTTTTGCAGGGTACAATTTCGGAAAGGGAACTTACGGAATTTCCATGTTGACTCTTGTGGCCCTTGTGTTGATCATCGTAGTAACCTTTCTTGTTGTGTCCTTGTTGGCCGTGATGGTTTTCTGTTAAAGGAAACGACAATGCATATTCGTCTCTAGAATGGTGTGAAGCTTGGTGAGCGGCATGTTACCTTTCCAGTGTCCGTTGTGGTGCTTGCCGTGATATTTCTTGCCGCCATGGTCCTCATGATGGTTGCCGTAAGACCCGTGCTTGGCATGATGACCTCCGGAATGGTAGTCGTCGTAGAATTTCTTTTGCTTGCTGTACTCATCCTGGAGAAAAAAGAGGGCAAATTATAGTGGGACGAGATTATTCTTGAAGTACTTTTTAGGTGTCAATTAATTAGCCCACCTTGTGGTACGTGTTATGGAACCCTTTGGTGGAATGTCCCTTCTTATGGCCTCCCTTTTTACCGTATTTTGCATGTTTTGAACCCTTTGATCCTAAAAGTTGTATAGTGATTCAAGTCAGTCATTGTTTTCAGACAAGTTTTTAAAGAAAAACCATTTCAGAAATTTTACCATGAGATTTTCCTCCGTAATGAGATCCTCCTTGCTAAAATACAAAAAATCAAATTATGACAATAACTTCAAATTAAGTTTATATTAGAGTTGAGTACATCGTTAGTTCACAATTTATACCTTTGATCCCTTGGATTGCCCAGCATTGGAACCATAATTTCCTTTATGTTGATTCTTATTCGAGTGCCCCTTGTTCCCCTTTTTGTACCCGTGAGAGCTGTGATGACCCTTCTTCTTCTTGTGGCCTTGCGAACCGTGATGTCCACTAGAATGTTTGCCCCCTTTGCTCGACGAGTGACCACCGTGACCACCACCACCACCATATCTGGACAATTAAGAAGAAAATGGTGCAAAGGTGATGATAATGAAGATGAACGGAACAATCAATTTCATAACTCTAATCGATTGACTTACCCAGTCGCAGCCGTATCCAAGTCTTTCGTTCTATAGATTATACTCGAGGCACTGACATTGGTGTCGGGATGATAAGCTAGCTCTGTAAAGTTGGCAAAAGGAAGGGCATACTGCAGATTGGAAACCGAGGCTTGAGCTTGAGCTTCCTCCTCCTGTCCTTCGCTGTCGTCTTCCTCCCCCTCGTCATCATTGGAACCTTCGTCCCCTCCACCACCACCACTTCCACCACCATTGTCGTCTCCTTCCCCTTCGTCCTCGGATGCATCGTCGTCTCCAGCCTCACTATTCCTCGCTTCCGACTGATTAGAAACAATCAGGTTGTCAAAGTCCTCATTGTTGTTGTTGGTATTACGAGTGTTTCGATAGTTTCGGTTGGTGAGATGGCTTGGTGAAGATATTTCACTTTCAAAAGGTCGTAAATCCTGAGAGAGAACTATATTAATGCACAAGCTGGTTGTTAGTAGAACAACCAGCAGCCGATGCCTTGGGATGGGCATTTTTGGCCCGCACTATCACTTCCGTTCCCTGATTGGGACACTCCGACAAATATCCAGGTCGTCACCGAGTTTGTTAAACGCGGTGATGTTGATGAAATTTTTGCTACACTGCTGCTGCTGCTGATCTCTTGGAGGGATGGTGATGACTGATGGCGCAGATCAGGGCGGCCCACGTTTATATACTTTTTGAATAATTTTTCCATCCCCCATACCCCCAGGAAGAAAAAGAGCTTGAGCGTAAAAACGATGTCATCTTGAATTTGCCATGAGTGGCTATGATTCCTTCCTAGTTGGAAAATAATGAAAAGAGTGGATAAATACAGCGACGCTGGTTATTGGATGGATGGAGGTACATGATACCTCTGCACACAACATTTCTTTGCATATCTTTGCATAGCACATCTTGAGCCGCGGTGGCAAAGTGCACTCTTCAGTGACGCAGGGCTTTACTCAACTGCGTAATTGGGTTTTCACGGTTATTTAAAAATAATATGACAAAAATACAAAATTTGCTATACTCAGCAGGGTCTCATAATGTGGATATTTCAAATTGATGAACCGCACTGCTCAGATTCTGGTGTTGTTGGTGCAGCCAGAAATATAGCAGCATCCACCGCTTCTCCTTGGTTTTTTAACATTCGCCCTGATGCAACACACTCAACGCCTCAGAAGCTTCAGACCAGAACGTCATCATCATTATTATTATGCAGTCGATGGTAAAGCCAACCAAGCCAAGCAGGAACGTGTCAAGTCTCACTGCACTTGTATAGAATTTGGCGATTGACTGGTCAATTTCAAATACGATTCAAGCAGCCCAGAACAAATCCATCTCCAATTTATTCGCTCTCACTGCAATCTCATCAATACAGGCTCCCTCGCCTCCTCCTCCTCCTCTCGTATCGCTCCTTCGTACCATTTTCAAAAACCCTGTAATTTGATAACCCAATTAAAGGAGCGATTGCGCCCAGCCAAGATTCTGCTTATCTCTCCGACGCCTCTTCTCTCTCTGAGGCAACTCTCTGAGGTTTCTCACTCTCTTCCTCACAAACTAATAAATCAGCCCTTGAGATCATTTTGGCGTCGCCCTCATCATCAGAGAGGAAAACGAGCCCAATCGAGAACAGTGGCAAAAAGTGAGGATGAAATAGAACAACGATCCTACAATTTTATTGCGTCATCAATTAGCTTAAAATTTCGCTCGCTTATTGCTCATCATAATCTATCTATCCATCCATCCGTCACCTTTCCGATAAGCAAGCAGGGATTGACGCAATGTCCTTCGTGTAACGCGATGATGTCCTAAATTAAACCGTGCTTCCTCGTGTGGGGAAATAGCCACTCGACTGACGACGAGTGTAGGGACAGAAGAAGAGTGACCACCACAATTCAATAGTAAATAACAATGCGAAAAGAAAAGAAAGTAACTTGTTGCAGAATATTGTCGGTGAAATTGGTGCAGGAAACTCTGGTCGGCAGAGGATAAATTTGCTATGATATGCTTAATAACAGTGTGGTTTAGCTGTGCAGAATTTTTGGCCGATTTCTGATGAAGATGATGCAGATGACATACATAGGATAAAAATAATATTACCTTAATTGTTGATGTTAAATTTACTATGCTACAAGAAGTGACCAGGAGACTGGTATTCATGTATTTCGGTATTTCTTACAAGTTAAGGGATTCAATAATAAATAGGAAAATATAAAAAAGTTGAATGGATTAAATTGCAGACAAATATGAATTGTGGAAATCTTGAGAATATTTTTGAAATCGTGTTGTTGGTCACATTCGAAAAATATGTATAAAATTATACCACATTTTTATATTGAAATGAATTAATTACTCGAATGAAGATTAAATATTAATCGTCTCAATTTCCCATTTTTTATAATAAAGTAATAAATGTCATCATCTTTCACAATTTACTTGAACAATCATTTGAAACCTTTGAGTTAGTTACAAAATATTGATGCCAAAATATAAATCAGGTCACGGAGTTGGGTGATGGAGCTCGATCGCGTAGTTGGATCGTGGAGTTGGGTGCTGGAGTTTGACGGTGGGGTTGGATCGCGTAGTTGAGTTGCGATGTCAGATCGCGAAGCCCGGTAGTGGGGTTGGATCGCGGAATTGGGTCGCGGAGGTCGGGTTTTGTGCTTGCGAGTGAGTGAACGGAGGAGAATAAAAGGGCTCCGTCCACCCCACTCAGCATCCACACTTCTTGAGGACCTTGACCGGACAACACCTTCACTGGACCTCCTGCCTGCTCCTGGACTTCTCACTTGGACTACTCTTGGAATCTCACCTTGCCTCCTCTGCCCGGACCTCCTTGCCTTTGTGGACTGGACCTTCCTGCTGCCTTGAAGACTACCAATTGGGACCCTTGCTGCCAGGATGCATCTCAACTTTCTTCTTCTGGACCTGCTGCCCTGCTACTCCACGGATGCGGATGAAGAACTTTCTTTGGATTCTGGCTACAACACGACCAATGTCTCGCCATCGGACCCCTCTCCGCCGTCGCCGTGGGATGACGAAGTTGTGGACTGGACAAGTCTCTCCTTTGAACTGAACCGCCTCTTGGAAGAGTCAACTCCTGTCGACATTGAGGACAACATCAGCCTCAGCCTGCCAGACCAATCCTTCCTGACCTCGGAGGACGCCACGGTATTGCTCACCGCCCAGGATCCAGCCACCCAGGACGACCTCAAACGCCTGACCATCTTCATCGTGGGACCCAACAACACCGTCCCTCTTCCTATTCTCAACTGCATGGACGTCGGCGGAAGCGGGATTCTCTACACCTTTCGACCCGTCATTCCCGGAATTCACACCGTTACGATCTGCCACGACGCCACCCAACCCATTCGAGGCTGCCCCCGGAGGATCCGGTTTTCAAGAAACTATCAGCCGTCCATTCGTCGTATCCTCACCTGGAATATTTCGGACATGGAACAATCTTCCGAACTTCGCAACCCGTGGGGACTCTGTTATAACACAAAAACGGAACAACTCTGGGTCGCTGACCGGGTCAACCACACACTTATCGTCTACCAGCCCGATGGGGCTCTGGACTTCACCGTTGGACAGGAAGGAGATGGACCAGGAGCATTCTTCAGACCCGTCGCCCTCGCCTACGATGTCCACTCGGATCGGATCTTCGTCTCGGACAAGGACAACCATCGCATCCAGATCTTAAACGCCAAGGATGGGACATTTTTAGGCAGTTTTGGGAGACGAGGACATCTGGCGGTGTTCAACTATCCTCGTGGATTGGCCTTCAACCTGACGGGGGACACTCTTTTCGTCTCGGACTTCAACCTCCACCAAGTAAACCAGCTTCGATTCACGGATGCCAAACTGACCCTGCTGCCCTTCATCCCTCCTGGAATCCTCTATCGCCCATCCGGACTTCAAGTCGACGAAGCTGGGAACCTGATCGTGGCCGACACGAGAAACAACGTCCTCCGAGTCTTCACCCCCACCGGAATCCTCATCCGAACCATCACCACCGTCCACGGTCTCCTCTACGCCAACGCCAACACCCGCCTCTCAGCTCCCACGGACGTCGCCATCCTCCCCAAAACTGGATTCATCGCCGCCCTCGACAACGATGGACGCATCACAGTGTTTTGATTTTATTTAGTTTGTAACCTAATCTTAAGTTTGACTGATTGTATTTAACAACATACAAAACGACTGATTATTGTATGTGACCATGTAATTATATCATGTAATATTTTAATGTTTTGTAAATAAATATATTTCAATTGTACCTGTATTGTGTTCTCGCGTGTTATTTGTCATAATATTCTGCATTCATCACTGAACTCACCTGAGCATTATTCCATCTTATCATTGCACACATTTTGTCATTCTCAACTGAGCATAATTGCACTATAATTGGCATACAAACAACCTAGCATTGCATTCATTCATTAACATTGAAACAAACTTGAACCAATTGGGCATAATCTACTTTTTACCGATTTAGTATGCAATGGAAAGATTGATTTTCATATGTACGTGGGTGTTTTATTATTGATTTTCAAAATGTATGTTCCGCACTGTTTCTGGCCAAACTTTTGATGAAATAACAAACTTCAAATACATTTAGGATGCTGTGATTTTTTTCAGTTCTGTAAGTTATCATTAACGCTAGCAACAACTCATCAAAATTTACCTCGAAAATATGCCAAAATTTACGACTTGATTTCATTATCATCCGAATACCGTTTATCCCTGATGTCTTTCTTTAAGTTTCGATACGAATAATAATCACTAAGGGTCAAGTCTGGACTGCACGGGGTGTGGTTTGTGCAGGTAAAGAGATTTTCGTCTGCAGCAGCCCTCTAAAACAGCCAGGTATTTGGTGGTGCGTTGTCGTCTAAAAAAAGGCCAACTCTTTATTTTGACCCCACGTTTCTTTTCAACCGCAGGACGCAGCACCATCGGGGTTCCTGCACACACAGCCCCATTTATTGTAGTATTTCCAGCAATAAATTTTATAAGGAGGAGACCTTTGGTATCCTTGAAAATGGTCATCATCAATTTTTTGTCAGATTTTTGCACTTTTCAATTCACGGGCGGTGGCAACCCCTCGTGCTACCACTGAATGAGTTATTATTTGGTCACCGGGTCATAATAGTATACCCAAGTACCATATCCAGCTAATAAAATATTGAGCAGATTCAAGTCTTTATTTAATAGGCTAAAATTGGCATTGCAAAAGTCGACTCGGTCCTGTTTGTGAGATGCCGAAAGCAATTTTGGTACCCAAAGGACGGAAACCATTTTTATACCGAAGTCTTCAGTTAACATGGAACAAATTGTTGTTTTTGGAACACCCATATCATCTGCTAAATAGGACAGTTTCAATCACGGATTTCTCATTATTGGTTCCTCTAGTTTCCGGAGCCTTTCTGTGGAAGAAACGGATTTTGAGCGTCCTGGCGACTTTTTGTCCGAGATCTCTTTTCGCCATCATTTAAAATTATTGGCACAATTGAATTTGTGTTTTGTGTTGGGCAGTTTTCATCGTAAATTTTAAGCATTCGATCATAAATCTGCGACACGTATTACCCATCCAGCATTAAAAATTAAATCACACTACGATATTTAATTTGCAAATCTGACATTTTTTCCGCCGAGGTAAAGTTTGCCGATTTATTGCCAGCGTTTATGTTAACCCACAGGGATGAAAAAAATCACAGCCTCCTAAATGTATTCGAAGTTTATTATTTCATCAAAACTTTGGTCAGAAACAGTGCGGAACATACCTTTTGAAAATCAATAATAAAACACCTACGTATTTTGAGATTTGTGATTCTCTAATTTACATTTTATGTTTGTCCAATTTTTTGCATTCTTCATCTTATCATGACTTATCATTACTCATTATCACTCCATAACCCATAAAAACTTCTGCACCTTCTCTACACAATTTTTCATCGTCACAAAATTTTTTAATCAGCTCAGCTCATTTTTGGGACTTTTCAACTACACCAAAAGCACACCGTCATACAAGCATCCATTAAATCACGACCTTATGACTTGATCAAACTCTTTAAAAGTATTTCATTCCCGAAGCCTAATTGTGAGTCAAAACCTTTTCGCGACTACTCCCATTATGCACATGACGAAAAGTAGTCAACTCTTGAGCAGCCCAACGTCGTCGCTCTTTTTTGGTTGCAGAAGAAGACTTGGTTGGTTAATCAGCCGAGAAGCGAGAGAATTGCGAATCTAGGAAAAGCGAAAGCGAACACAGGCGAGCGATTACCACATCATAATCGACTTAATCGGGAATTAATGAGGCGACCTATAACTCAACCAACGCTACGTTTGCGCTACGTCGTTACAGCTGGAGTTACTCGGCATCAATTGTTCACGAGACGACGAGCAGTAGGCCAATGCTTCGAATAATTTGTCATGACATAATCCTTCAACTCTATATTCAAACCAATGCGATACGATCTAGATTTCTGTAGCATGAACGGGAATGCTTAATAGTTTTTTATGATGGGTGAGTCGCATCTCCACTAATCCACATTTGTAAATTTTCTGATGATCCCTTCAAATTCGAGGTAATTTTTTTGAGGTAGTGGATTTTATAGATTATTTTCTCATAAAATTAAGACATGCATTTACCCCAAGATGTAAGATCAAGATGGAATACAATCAATTTGCTACATGTACAACAACGACGCGCTTCTGCCAAAAAAATATTTAATTTAAAACACTTTTGCTACATTTTTTAGTTAGAACCATGAGTTAGTTATATTATGAAAGTGTTTTTACATTGAGCTACATATTTTTATTGTGCATTAAATAATATTTTAAAATTAGGATATTTTTACCACATAATTTTTTTTCTACTGTATGTATTTCATGACACAATCATTTCCATAGAGCACCCAAGACCAACATAAGCACCTATTTGTAGTAATCTTCTCAGGTATAATATATCTTAGCATTTTGGCGAAAAGTATGTAACACATATTTTTATACGTATATTAAATTTGGCGATACGCATGAATACAAACGGCACTACATTGTTTGCTTTGCCCAAGTAGTTTCTAGAGTAGAGTGCAACTGAAAAGTTTAAAAATCTGCAAACTCATCAGTGGTGGTAGTGCAAATTGACTATTTATGTAGGTATAGTTTGACGACTTGTAGTAGAGTTTCCTTAAAAACCACAACTCGGTCGAAATAATCTCATCAGTTTCAGCCTTGTGGTTTGCTACTGTTGTCGTGGATTGACTTGCTTCCGTTGAGCTTTTCTCCTCGACACAGAAATATTGTATCTTGCCACCAACTGCATTGAAATCAAAACTTGTATTTTTTATAGAAAAACATTAAGTAAATTCTATTCCGAAAATTTATTTTTGAGTTGATGTAATAATACCTCAGACACGAAATCCGTGTAGATGACGTGGTTCCGCAAATTTTGCGATCTGCGCGAAGACTTGGCTTGATTAATTGCTTTTATGTTGTACTTCATGGCGTGAAATGGAATCGGAAGGGACGGGGATCGGATAGTTTGCGGGGTTTGCAGTCCCCAGTGTATCGCAAAAATCGGAGTGAGCACGAAAAATTTCCATCCCATGACTCTGGCTTCCAGCACCTGTTTGAATGTTGCATGAATTATTTAGTAAAAATTCAGACCATTAATTAATCACTTAAAAGTGTTGAATGAAGAAAATGTAGCATTCGTAATAGCAATTTATTGAGTCGAGTCCATGAAGCGAGTCATCACCGTTTTGTCGCGCATTCGTTCATTCATTCAACAACATGGTAAAATTTAAGGAGATTGAAAGTACAAAATTGTTATGATTACCTGAGAACTTCTCGTAAATCCGTATCCAACGAAGCGTTCATCATGTTTTGGAATATCGTCAGAACTGACGTAAAATGGCTCGTAATGATTGACTTTGCTGTCAACAATGTGAGAAATTTTTGTTGATTCTTCTTGAAGATTTGTCGACAACCAGCTACACGAACAAAACAAAATGCAAGATGAATTGTGACAAAATGTAAAGAATTTTATGTCCAACTACAATTTCCTCAATGAAATGTATAGCCAGTGTTTTGTACAATATTAACGGTTATTGTAAATCAACCCAAACTCACGCTGTGTAGTTGGTGGCCCAATGACCAAATTTATAAATCTTCAAATGAAATTGTCGTGCCATCCCTTTGCTTGCGTAAGAAGCCAGTTCCTTCTTCGTTTGTGGATAAGGCATTGATTTATCCAGCTCAAATACTGGAATTACAAAAGCGCATCTGCAAAAAAAGAGAAATTTAATAAAAAAAATTGGAACGACGACCTGCACGAATCGATGCTAGGTATCAATCTGATTATTATTTTAGGTTATCAATCATATATATTTGTACGTACTTTTGGCATTTAGAAGAAATGCTGTTGTAAAACGTGTTAATCATTGAGGAAGAATTTAATCTCGGGATGATGTCCACATCAGTCATGAAAACCCACGGCGTTGGGCAATTCTTAGAAAATAATGCAATTTGTAAGTGAGAGTCAGTAATTAATACTTAAATACTTTGCATGGGAGGATATGTGGATACCTTCCTGGCTATGTTCCTCATATGATTTTGAGGATACAAACCGACAGGCTCATGTTGCAGAAACTTGACGACAAGACTCGACATGTACTGATGGGGTTGTCCACAAGGGTGTTCATCGCTCATGACGTCGTAATAAAAGCTCTGGTTGGCATAATCGGGTACTTCAAACTCGGCTGGGACAACGACATGAACTGACACTGTCTGAAGGAACAATGCGCTGCATCGTCGCATATATGACATAAAAATGGATAAAATCCAAAGCTCGTCACCATTTCGTACATACACAGCGAGGGATATGGGCCCCAACCATTTCTCAGAGACTTCCCCAATCCAAGGAATTCTATCGATGGAACCCTGTGCAATATGCAGTTTGACTGTTTTAGTAAAAGTGAAAATATTCCAAAGTTCTAAAATCTATAACATTTCATCAAATCGCGAGCACTTCTTTCTTTCTCCCATCGTTGAAATGTATTACCTGCGTTGCGAGACAAACATTGTAGCTTGTCATCAAACTGCTCCACAAAGTTCCAGGCCATGTCCACTCGTAAATTCTGAGCTGTGGGAACATAGGAATAAAAAAGTGTTCATGTCTCCTGCTCATTTATTTCCTCGTTAGTATTCAAGATTTGCTTTGAAATGACTCTGTTTATGTGTTAAGCAATATTGGGTTTCATAATGGAGTGGTGACACGATACATACGTACGTAAGCAAGTCAATGTGTTATTTTGCTGGCCCAGGGTACGCTGATATCTACAAATGTATGTACCTACCTAGTGTAAAGTGCTTTGGATGGGCGTAACTACGTATTTTTCACACACACAAATTAGCATACCGTCAAAACAGCAAAGGGGTGATTGGTGGTCAGTAATGTTGGACTAGTAGTATCTCTAATATTGTCAGAGTAGGTGATTTTAGCTGCATTTATTTACTTACCATTCTCCGTTCGTCTAATCGTGCCCGAGTCCATTCCACATTTGGGAGGATGGAGTCAGTCTCATTTTCGCCACCTCCAGCAAGTACCACTGCACTGCTGCTGCTGCTTTTTGTCGCAACGGCTCCAGGTTTCGGAGCGAAAGGTGACACAATTTTATAGCAAACGGGAGAACTCTTGTCCCTCGCAAAGTTGATGACCTGATTGGCAGAGATTATCAGGATTGAGACGAGTACAACCGCTGGGAGGTGTCGATATAGGAAACGACAAATGCAGTTATTGACACACCATCGCATACTTGCAGTTTACTTTATGTTTCTGTACAAAACTATGTATGAATCTCGTCAATTACATAATATATAGGTAAGAAATTGGAAAAATCTCAATATTGCAGGTACAACAATATTAAAATTTCACCGTATTTGTCTGATTGTGCAATTTGCTTTTTGGCACTTGTTCGTGGCCACGTTGGGAGTAGTTTAATTACTTTTTGGCTTTGTGACGAGTGACGTAGCTCTATTATGTGGCAAGTTTTGTTACTTGTTCGTAAGACTGGTGGTAACATAATTAATTGTCTGCCTACAAAATTAAATTGTATGCTTATTATAATTCTCCTCGGGTATCTACATATTGCTAAGTTTTACTTAAATATTAATCGAGTAAGAAGAGGAACGAAAGCGTAAGAACGATCACATTTAAAAGGTGGAAATCCGGAAATGATGTAGCGACGGGAGAAATAATACGGGAGAAATGTTGCCTTTTTGTATGAGAGCCTATTATTTATCGTACCTTTGTACCCGGTTCCTTCTTGTTCATGAAGGAAACGCAGTCGCGTGTCCAAAAATCAATACAGCTCTTTTTAGCCCATCTGCCTTCCTTCGTCTTACGTGTGTACTTTCATTGCTCCTCCGAGAGAGAAGATATCCTAGGAAACTGTCGTCTCTCGTCCTGTTCGGAGGATCAAGGATGGATCGCTGGAGATCATTAGGAAGCAATCCATTCGACAAAATGTTACGTCGACATTTACAAGTGTGCAATTAGCGGCATCATGAAATCTCATCATACAAAGTGTAACTATGTACCATCATCATTATTTACAGATCAGAACCCGTGTTTTGTAATCCGTGAGCAACATTGGGGGGGGGATATTGATTTTTTCATTTGCCCGGATTTCTCCTGCAGAGAAGAAGTTAATGGAAACGCTATATTTAATGTGTCCAGACCTGATTTATGCATGACGAGAAAGCGTATGCATGTACTTCAAAATTGGTGCTGGTTAATGGAGAAGGATGTACAAATGAATAATTGCAGCGCTGTCAAGAAGTCCCTGTGCACGAAGAAAACCAATCTTTTTAATCAGTAGATCAAGTCCAGGAGACGATTACAATTTTTTGCGCACCCAAGTTCATGTCCGATTTGAATATTAACACTTTGTCAGCACTTTTGTTACACTGGAGTGGACGAGAAGGAGCTGATAGGATCATTGTTGTGTGATAATGTTGGTGTCGTGTGGCTATTTATTATTTACTAACTGCTGTATTATTATTATGGCGTGGCCCATCCCATTCATTTCGCATTATGCTGTAGTCGATACTTTTTTGTTTCTTTGACATGACGTCTTTTGTACTTTGCTTCGCTAATGAGGAGTCAAATTAACCATTCTATGCATACGATGACGATATGTGTTTATCTGATGGGAGTCTATGTGGTGGTGGTTCTGCTGTCGGTGCTGTATCGAGTAAAATAATTACGAAATATGTATGTACCCCGTACAGAACCGCATGCTCATAACGCATCCGGGTCCAGCCACCCACTAAGCAATCAATCTGCTAGTCTGGCAAGAATTTAGAAATATATCGGGGACCAAATGTTTGTTCAAGTTGGGTGAAATTAATTGATAATAAATTACAATAACTTGAGTATAATGCACTTAAATTTTTATTTCGCAATATATTTTTTGTACAGTACGAGTGATAAATGAATGATAAAATATGTTTCGTCCGGCGTCCGAAATCGGACATACTGAGATTTCCATTCGAAACTTGAAAACACATTGGAATAAATCCACGTTTTCAGTTTCGTATGAAATAACTTGTTGAATGACAAAGTAGTTATGAGAGATTGTACTATTTGCAATTGTTTGTTACATACAAGAGACCGTTAACGCAAGTAACCTCAAATTATAATTAACTAGTTATCGTTTTTAAAATCCCAGTAACCCATAATATTAAGATTTAGTAAGTTTATGAATACAAATTACGACATAAAGAATAAGACCGAGGCAGGCAAACGGAGTAATAATATACTGCATATTATTAGCGTTTGCAAGCATCGTTGTTGTTTTTTTAAACTATAAGTTCAAGTTATTTTGTAATTAGTGAAGCCACACATGTGAACTCCGCTGTGATAAAGTGTTTTAAAAATTTATCGCCAAACACTAACCGAGTTGGAGGAACTTCCTCACAAGCTCTGAAAATGTTTGAGGCAATGCTGTACAAAGAGGACTGCATAAAACTGCAGTAACGATTTTCACGCTAACAAAATTTAGCAACATTGTTTCTGAAAGGACGATCCTACTAGAGGATCTTAACAACCGTACGGGTGGCAAAATTGGTAAACGAGTCGTTGAGATCGTTCCGTCTTCCGCATAATTCCCTTCCGGTAGTACTGCCTGTAATGCAATAAATATTATTCAAAATTCCATTTTTTAATGTGACATTCATCCAAATCAAAAAATGAAGATTGCATCTTTAACTTACCGAATGGACCTGGAGAGCTTGTCGTAATTCATGGCTGGTCGATTTTTTCGAAGTCCCCACAAACGGGCGACTCGAACGCTGTCTTCAATTTTGAAAACGCCTCGACTTTGATCCAGCCAACGAATACAAGAGCCGTGTTGTTGTCCCGACTCGAGAAGAAGTTCTTTCAAAAACTGCCACAAATGAATATGTGCACCGCTTTTGGATCCATGGGGCCGAAGTTTTAACGCCGTCTTGCTGTTGTTCCCGGTCATCGCTGTTGCCGACTTTTCTTCGTCTTCTTCCGAATCGTCTGAGGGGAATACAAAATAATATTAATATATTAATTCAGATCAAGTGGCACCACCACCACCACTGTTGAAACAATATTAGTATAAATATTTACCGTCATCACTGTGTTTTGACACCGTTCCCACAGATGATGGATTGGAAGCGTTTGAAGGCAAATAATTTTCATGTGAGACGGTCTTTTCCGGAAACAACTTGATGTCATCCATCATGTCTGGACATACCGAGGCTGGTGATGATCCTCCAGACAAGTGATGCTGGTGATGACTTCCTCTCCCCGTGACTCCAACAATTGAAGTCAAATCAAATTCATGGCGAGGACTGTGAAGCATGTTGTGGTTCATAACCATGTTGTTGTTGCTGGCGTTGTTTCCATTCCATTGAAGAATCTTCCACAGTTCCAAACTCGCAAAGAGTTTGTCGCCATTGACGGAATCTCGAAGTCGAAATTCTTCCTCTGATAAGGAGCACAAAGTGCGTCCATCCATGTTCCAAAAATTTCGAAGGGCAGCACACACACTAGACTCACTAGTGGGACTGCTTTCCATGGATCGTAGGCTATAAACCAACCAAGATTGCACATCTGCAACGGACCACTGGGTGGGGTCTGAAATAAATGAAATAACAAGTTTTTCATACGTTGTTAATGTGTACATGTGAGGAAAATTTAACACAATTTTATCAACCAGTTCAACATCTACCTTGTCATTTCGTTCTTATTCTAATCCGCATTACAATTATGAGTCAGACTGTTTTGTTGCCTTGCTCAAAGTTCTGGCAGTTAGACGCCCCGCATGTCAAATATTTATATTTTATTGCGAAATCATAAATATTGGATAACAATTTAAACTTATCTAATATCAGATTAAAAAGTTCAGAAACGTAAACAAGCATTAAAATATATTCATTCTTGCATCAGAAACCAACACGTGTCGTTCAGACAGATTAAGAATCTTAGATAATTTAAGATTAAGACATGCCATTTAAGCTAATAAGTAGTTAATGGGACCCTACTTACTACTTAACTGTATTGCGGAATGTGCATACATAATATTTCATACACGCAACAAAAATAATCGATAGCCTTCATTTTTTGTTTCATTTTGCAAATCCAAAATGTCAGTATCTAAACAAATGAAATGAATCACAACCTTCAACTTGAACTTAATTCTGCTGCTGCGCACAATTGTTTAACTGTCTCTTTAACTAAAGTAGATACATAAATGTCTATAATTTTGCATCGCATCGTGTATTATGAAATGTGTCAGAGGCTCGTTAGCACATAAATCTGCCTTTGTTGTAGGAAATTAAACTAAATTGTGATCTGGACTGTTCATTCAATTATTTGTTGGCTGGTCAATTGATAAATATTCACCACAAGTTGATTCAAGATGTGATAACTTTAAGGAATGAGAAACTACCACGCCTGTTTTATCAAGGTCGTTTTACTCTGGGGTTTTTCTAGCTTTAGTCAGGGTCATGTAAACCCAATCCAAGCCTGAAACATACGCAGATGGCATTTTTTTTGCCCAAACTATTACTGCCCAGCTACAATTTTACCTTTGCACATCTGAACAAATGGCAAAACTGGATCAGCAGCGTATGTGTGGATAATAATCAATCAGCTATAACTTTATTGTTGCGGCTCAAAAATGTAATCAGTTGGGGTCACACCCAAAACCAATGGCATCCATATCCAGCATTTGTTCAGCTCAATTTGCACATATTTTATTTAATTTGACTGGGACGGAAAAAAATAATGGGTGATTACCATTTATTGATTGAGAATGGACCAGGTGAATCAACAACAGTATTTCAATCAACAAAAGCACCAGAAGCATAACAGTGCAGACCATTAAACATAACTTATTAATCCAGCAGACTGCAGAGACTTTTTTATGTTATTTGCGGTCAGAGGATTTAGATTTATTATAGCCAAAATCTGCTACTCCGTTATTCAAGATAATGAATACCTTGCTCATAAATTGTGTTAAATATTGAACCTGGTCCAGGATTATGTGCGTAGTATTTTATTATTTTGCAAGCAGGCACAGTCCTTCGTACATGCAACGTGAGAGTGATATTTATAAATCATAAATCACAACGAAAATGGAATGACAGACTAATTATTTTGCCGCATATTTTAGAAATAATGCTTGTTTTTTTGGAGAAATTTACCTTGTGAGATGGATAAAGTGTTGCATGTGTGTTGAACATCAGATCGCATTTGCTCATAGGCCAGGCTGAAGACGGGGTCCAATTCCATTGACCGATTTCCTGACTGGAGATCCGCAGCTGAATTGGATTTCTGTAAAAGGATTTCATTACATAGTTGTTTAGTGCGGGTTTGAATGCAGGTTGTAAAAATATTATGGCTTTCATACTCGTATAAATTAAGCCATATTTATTATTGAGACTCGTGTGTTCCTGTACTACAAATTTCCTACTCGGAAATTTTGGTCACGCAATGCAATCATTACTTAATTCATACTAACGAGATAACAGGCTAGCAAATTTACCAAGAAATTCTAATCTCTCCAAGTTTTAACTACATGTTTCTGTGTTTCAATTAGTGGTTAAATATACATCGTTGTGCAAGATAAGTGACGAATGAAGTATGAACAACATTAACTTTTATTATTACATCAGAACGTATTTACACGACACTAATTAATAATTTTCTACTATGTACATTTCCTTTTAGTCATGCAGTAGTGATTGCGAAAAAGAATTTGGTAAAAACCACTGCATGCATACGTTTAAAGGGTTTCCACTTGAGAAAGGGTACACACAATTGCATGCATTATAAAATTACAGAGGAAGTGGTAAACGTATGACTAATAACAAAGAGTAGAAAATGTTTACCAAGAATTGATGAAATCGGCCAAACCCACAATTCCGTTACAATAATGGCAGTTTGTGGACTAGTAGTGGTATAAAAATACATGCAATTCAACAGTGTAAGTCATGCTACACAGTGCAAAAAGGGATGGCCTCCCCATTGTTGTGCTCTCAGAATGAAAGTGATGCTAGCAAGATGACCTAACTGCTAACAATCCAAAAGCCCAAAAGATGCATAAGAGTAAAGGGGTGGAAATTGGGTACCAAAACGTTACTGAGAAGGCGCGTATGCATCTCTCTTACCATGATTGCATCCAAGTCATCATCGTTCACAGTGATGGTGGGGAGGAACTTGCTTTGGAATGTGGTGTCTTCAAGATAGTGTCGCAACAACGCGTTACGCTCATTTTGACCGACGTCATTGGAAGGTGAAAGTGTGGAAATCCCATTGTTGTTATTGCTGCTGCACATGATTCCACTTGGCAGCATTGGATTATTGCTTGCCGCAGCAGGAGTCATCTGGTCTCGATTGCTTGAAAACGACGGTTTCAAGCAGTCCGGAGAGAACGCCCGGAGTTCGGATGAAGGACTGGGAGCATAGAAGGACGTCCAGGAAGCCTCCAAACCCAAAGCCATGGGTGACGGTACGGTCGCCATGTCCCCGTCGTCATACGAATCTCCCAACAAAGAGAGGTCAAATGTGTCGGCCAAATTTCCATACGTGCAAACATCAAATGGTGTCACAGAAGAAGATGATGTGTCATAGTTTGAATAATTGCCAAAACTTGGTCCATTGCTGTTGTCGGGTTGAGGGCTGAAACCTCCTCCCGATGGCACCATTTGCTCCTCCACCTGAAACACGACGAGTAATTCATACATTTAGAAAACTAGAATAAAGTAGCTGTCTGCTTGGGGTCATCATCATTATTAGTTTTTCCTAGTGTGGAATTTTATTTCCAGTCAGCTCTTATCACATCCTTCACTAACCAACCAACCAGCATGCAATTCTCCATGAATGAAAATTAACCTTGTAAAAAACATTCGCCGACCAACACGCCACCGCACATGAATTTATCATCCTCCGCAGACAGCACATACAAAGAAGCGTTTGAACCGCTGCTGGCTGGCTGTCATGATGTAAGCTGTTATTTGAGCAGAGTGGAAATGGAATTGGACTTTATGACAGGTTGGGTCGCTGCTTCGATTTATTTTAAATCGAGACCTTCTGATGATCACATGAAGACTTCGTGCAAGAGATTTCTCACCCGAAACTCTCTGATAGGCCAACAAATAAATATAGCAACTTCTGTGTGAAAGTGGAAGATTCTCTCTCTTCTTATTTTCGTCAAGGTAAAGAGGTTAGGGACCGAATTTAGGACAGGTTTACGAGCTAAACCTTGTGGCCACTATTCTGCAACCTTCAGTTTCACCTGCATTGTTCTCCGCCTTCGTCTCCCCTCCTGCTTAATCTTGATAATGATGATGATGTCTTTGCAGCCAGGGGAGGGTGAGTGAAATTTAGAAAATATGCAGTTACTGTCCAGCAATAATGTATGCATGGGACAGATACATAAAACTGCTAAAAGAGAAACGTGCCTACTTCTTAATTTCTTTTAAAAGCCATAAAATCACTGTGTTATTGTCAAAAGAACGAAACCAACATTCCAACCCTGTCAAAAACAAAGCTGACAAAACAACTCATTAACAAGTACGACCAGGTCAACTCTGGGTTCAAATCCCACATACATTCACGCCTGGGAAAGATACATATATTTAGCTCCCAATTTTGTACGACACAAGTTCAACCACTTGTACATACACATCTCATATGTACAAATACACAAGTAAGTAAGTACTTACTTAAATATGTGATGATTATGATTATTATGCTACATTCACGTATGACAAGCGAGTGAGCCAGGCTTCAAAAAATGCAACTTGTTGCCCTTTCATTTAGCCAACAAGATATAATAATTTGATGAGTCAAGCCTCTTGGGTTGGAGGAATGCGAAAAAGAAAAATGAGATTCATTGCATGTACAATAAAACTTTCTAAAATATTGGGCTGCCCATCAACATCTCAACCCCAGCACCACCACCACCATGAGCACCATAAATGAAGAAAAAAGATGCAGCGTCTCTTTCTACTTATCGTGACTTCTCTACTCGTATTTTATTTTCTTCTTATTATTATCATGCTCTTGTTACAACAGCATCGTCACATTAATTTGCAACCCTCTTTCAATACTTGCCACCACCACTTGGCTATGCATCCCATGATGAGATGATGGGTAGCGTCAGGCAGAGAAGATGCCTGTACATACGTATAAAAAGGTGATTTAATGGATACCGATGATGATGATGGCGATGGCGATGCTCATGCTTGTAAAAGTATCGCTCGAATTAAAAAAAATGTACCAGAGTGAATATATAATCATCCTGCAGTGGTGGTTGATAGTGTCGTGCGAATGTGTATGGCAGAAAAGTACAAAGTATGCATGGTTTCTGTTCTGTGGCCGGAGGATGGATGATTGCTGCGGAGAGGTTAAAGTCACTTTTGTGCAGCAACCTGATATCTAATCTAAATACCAATAAAATACGCAGGCAGGCCGAGAAGAGAGAGAAAGAGACATGGTGATGAATTGATTCCTTTTTGTGTCTCACACATCTGTGTAATTATTATTGTGGAGATCAGCCATTACGTTTAGATTCATTCCCTCCAGCACTTTTGCATAGTTAGTTGGTTGACTTTGCACTTTTCCAAGCCAACTAACTCTCCCTCGTCGTAGCGTCCACAGTAAGTAATACACACGTAATGGAATATGTACGTGATACCAGACCACCATTTTTACCTGTTGGTTCAGATAGATGTGCTGGTTTATTAGCAAAAAATTAAGTGTGGTTGGTTGGTTGTGAGGCGTCGTCGTCGTCCTCGTCGCCGTGGTGGCTCATTCTTGGACCAAATTTGTTGGGTAAATCCAACCACCTCGAGAGTGAGATGTAATGTATGTCTGATATTATGGCATATTAATTAAATATGAAGTGGTGGTTTTACTCAACCGTGGTTTACATGTAACCTGTGCCTGCCTTCTTCGCATGTTTACGAAATTTAGTGGAAAAAGCTACAAATCTGTATAAAATATAGCCATTAAAATAGTCCAGATAACAAATAGGTAACTTATTGTGAGTAGTAGTGATAGTAGTAAAGAGATGTTTTTTTTCTCTACTTGTTTTTTAACTCTGGTTTATTTTACATGCCATTAACGTAACCTTGCTAATATGTGTCCAATACATTTTTCCTTTATAATCTATTGGCTGGCCTGGCATTGGGAATTGTTATTTTGGCATTTTGCTTAGTTGGACAGCAGAGCGACCCAAGAAACCAGCTCAACTGGTTTTAGAGAGAAGAAGAAGAGGAGAACAAAAGCTTTAAAATCCAAAACTTTACGGCTTTGGTAATAAAGTCAAGTCAACCGTGGTCAAATGATCCCCTGTCTCAAAACTCTTCTTCTTTTTCTCAAGGGTGGAACAAAGTATCACACAAAAGCACAAACTCTTCTTCTTCTGCTTAATCCTACCTCACCCTTCGGCACGACAGTATTATTGCAAAATAAGAATGGTATGTACATATCTTGATGTGGTCTCGTATCTATCTCCACCATGGTAATATAGCCCCAAGAAGTTGGTGATGTCGTCTTGCTGTGCAGGTTTATGCATACGTCTCATAATGTGAGGGCTGGTTTTTCATTTCAAGAACAATGAATTTCTCTTTCCCAGTTGCCATAATTTTTTGTTTTCTATCAAACACGATCCACCTATTTCACGCATTCATCATCATCACCAACATGTAACTCTGCCAGGTAAGTGAGTATGGTATGTAATGTAGGCATGGGCAAACAGGTACCTAAAATCTATCTCTAATCATACATATAAATCTGACCATCATCGACTACAAAATGCATGTACCTCCTCCTCCTCTACACAACAATGCGAATTCCATCGACTAAATAACTGACAAATGAATATAAATCGAAGCCAATTGGTTTTTTGTTAAACTTTCATCATCATCATCACCACCACCATTTTATATCTGGCTACATGCTTAGATACTTATTACATAGATCTGCGTTTTAGTTTCGATAATGTTCTTAATCCACGACGAGTCTTTTACACTTTTACACTAACATGGTACATGGGCACCTGCTCTCCGATTTAAATTTATCCATGCATATCGTCACGCAAAAAAAGAACCAACCATTACAAATCTCACAACCTTCGTGGTGATGTCTGAGCGAATTATTTGTCATTTCATGGGAAAATTATGTACAACGTAGGTCATGATCACGAAACATTGGCGCAAACAAAGAGCATAATTTGCCTCTGATCTGGAACTGTAGGCAGAAGAAGATGCGTGACAAAGAATGCTAAAATTAAAGCTGAGAGAGAGACCACTACAACTCAAGACCGGTTTGGAACAATTAACATGATTTAAACAATACAATTGCTACTCCCCCGTATTCGTACGTACGAGTCGTTCTGTTCTGTTGTGCTCATTATGTGGTGATATAAATGGATTATGATTATGAGGTAATAGTAATAACTATATTTTGTGCTAATTTTACGAGAATTGTGTTATCTTTTTACTTAAAAATAGATCCCGTACTTTGAATAAATTTTAACTTAGGGAGAACAAAAATGTGTACGTCAATTACCTTCATTTTATTCGCAAATTTATCCCGTGAGCTGTGAACGAACGCTGATGATCCCACCATTTTAGAGCAAGCGTCACGTCAATTCCTCTCAGTTCCTCCCACTTGTTGCGTTTCCGAAAAAGAAAGTCTTTGCCTCGTCTCACTGATAAAACTTGACCTCTTTGACCACAACAGTCGTAAGTTGTTGTAATAACATTGGTACTTTTTCGAGTCAAATGTGGCACTTGGTTTGCTGATAACTGAGGATGATGAAAGTAAAATGTATGTTTTTTTTTGTGAGGCGTTATTAAGGTGGAAATTCGCAGCAGCAGAGGTGTTCGTTATCCTGAATGCAACACGTAACTAACCACTCGAAAGAAAATGGTTAGCGTAAAGTATGGATGATGATGATGATGATGATGATAGTAGTCTCCCAACATTCTAATCGCTTGGTTTGACTATGCATTGTAGTGACCTACTTCGTTGTAGTATTGGTTAAACTCAACCCTTTCGCGGACCATTATCACCACCCCTCGTGCAAACCCATGTACAAGAAGGTCTCATCCAATGACGGCCTGGGGATTTCTCTCAAGAATAAATATGTACAGATACGACACTGGTAAATAAGCATATGCCATCCACCACAACCACGACGACTCATCTCTCGTAGGCAGGCAGATCTTGTATCTTGTGAAGGTGAGAGAGAGAGATAGGATGAAAATTATCTGCACACAAGTATGCATACATTTCTGCGCTTGATTGGTATTATGTACATAAAGCATGGCAGAAGTAAGTGGCATGGTCATTTATAGCTCCAGTGTAATAAAGTCCTAATAATTTATAATGAATGGACAGGTATTTATTCAATTGTTATCAGGCAGGTGACCACGTTGCGTAAATAGTTTATTTGTATAACGTTATTTATGTAAAACTTATTCATGCAAAATCTACAGTTTTGTTGAACATGATTTTTGTTACTTAAGATAAATCTTAATATTGAATCTTAATATTTGTACTATGAAAATTTGCAAAATGCATGCTGATACTCGGTCAGTTTGAAGGAAAAATAAGTTGGCATTTCAACTAGCTTAATTTACATATTTAGTGTTTTTCATAACTTGGGCCAAATATTTGACCTTGCATTGCATACTTTCCCTATCTAAGAAAATATATGTAGGATGGATGAAATGTAAGATGAAATAATGCGTATGGATGAGGTTCATGAATGGTTGAATGTCAAAAAGGTTCAAATGATTTCAAATATTTGCAAATTTATTAACTAAACAGGAACGTCACACATTCATACTCGTAAGATACGCTGACATAAAATGGACTGCAATGTTAGAATTAGCACACTTGATCAGATACAATTATTACGATACTAATTATGATAGTAGGGTGTGTATTTGTATATTGTAATATTATCATGACTTGGAAAGTCAAAGTGAAAAAACTTTTGCCCACGACAACATCTCAACATTCTCCACATTCGCACTTGTTCTTATTTCAATATGTAATCAAAAAGCCAAAGTTTCGCGAAAAATTCGACGAACTGTCTTTCCCACTGAGGTAGTAGATGGTGGCGAAGTAGTTGAATGACTGACCTGAGTAGGTAAAATATAAACATTGTTCAAGTATAACACATTCGAGTAATAGCTTGCCATTGTGTTGAATGAGTATTACCCTAAATAAATACGGTTGAATATCGGGATACGACGTATCAAAAATAAGATCAACCTCGCTTTGCGCTGGGATCTTCGGGAGGTACTGGATAAATGGGAACAACAGATAGAACAACAGTCTGTGATTATCCGTTCTTAAGTTTTATATTTCCATTTATTACGAACCTGCTGACGGTTCATCACTTCCGTAATCAGAACCACTTTGTCACCCACGAGTTCGCCCAAGTACTCACGATTCATTTGTCGTTCTATAAAAAGGCATAATTATTATTGCATGATTAAGATAACTTTTTACCCTTTTTAGATAATCCCTTACCGATCTCACTACGTATAGGCTTGATTTCAATTCGAACCGTCCAAACCTCCCACGGCAAACACTCCGGAGTGAATGGCCAGTTAACCTTCTTCTTATTGTAAAATTCTAAGGAGATCTGTCCCGATCGAATTCCATTTTCGGTTACATTTCCAGGATCACGAATCGCTTGATCAAACGAAGTGACAAAGCTGTTCATTCGTCGAACCAGAGAGCTGGAATTGCATCTCACCTATAGGTTTTTTTTATAAACACAAATTTAATATCTCCACAAACTTTACAACATTACTTATCCACTTACATAAGTGAGATCGATGAAATCGCAATCGATATCCTCATATCCAACCGTCCCAATGGAATATTTTCCCTCCTGACGATAGTGAAATTTTCCGAGCGTGCGATGGAACAAAACCGAGTGAAAAATGCAGTTGACAACCTCTTGAATTTGATGACATTCCGTGGTCTGTTGTGAACATGAGCAACAAATGAAATAAAATGCATCCAGTAATTACGCTCAGTTATGTAATAAAATAGCTAAAGTTAAATGCTAAGTAGTTGGTACTTACAAAATCGAATGTCTGCGTTCGAGCGTTCATCCCGAAGATTGTCAAAAGCGCATCGTATGAAAACCAGCCCTCCCACCCGTCTTCCGACCTCCTCGTCAACCCCAGGGAAAATTTGCTTATTTTTTATAATACCGTTGGTAACGTCACGTTTTGTTAGTCTGTCAAATAAAAAATCAGTAAATGCCCTAAATGCTTACTAAACGTGGGCATCATCCGATACACATTATCAACTGATCAACTGACACAAATTATAGAATTTAAAAAAGAAATCTAAATTTATAATTCAGTGATCTAGCTTGATTTGCGTTAAATAATTGTGCTAGCATAAATAACGAAAAACAAACAAATTCAACAAACTCAATATCAATATTACCGTAATCTGAACTAAAACTAGAGTTTATAGATCAAAATCAAAAACTTTTGAAAGCTACACAATTTGACCAACTAATAATGAAATACAAATTGTATTTTATTATAAAATAAACGTTCGATCCATTCCTCAGAATTATTTCGCTATCATCTATAAAATTGTCCTTCTTCTCGCCCTCCCCACTTACCAATCTGTCTTGTCGACGATGTCCGTTAGTTTTTAGGAAAGTTGAAGCAGGACAAGTGAAAGAAGAACAAGGACAAAGAATATTTTTATGGAAACAAAGCAAAGAGGAAAAAGTTGTGAATGATTTGCTATTCGTTTTACCACAAGCGCTCCACCATCACCACCATCATCGCAGCTTGTCCTTACCCTTTTTCCTTCTCCTCACACCCCAACCGATCGACCAACTTACGCACACTTACTTACTGTAACACAATAATGACGTTGTGGACTACCATTTGGATAATCGTTCAGACTGACCAGAAGAGAAGCTGTATGCTTCTTCCCCTCATGATTTTGACAAAATTCCCATTTCTCATATTGCCAGAGAAAATCAAAAATAGACACTTTTTTCATTTTGTAACAAGGGTTTTACTTGCATGGAAGAGCATGTAAAACCGTTTTACATGCACGTTTCGCTAAAGGAAATCCACAAAAATGAGTGAATTTTAACCTGGAAATTACGGTTGAGCAGTATCCTTGAAAACTATCTAGTTTGCATTTTTGTATGAGGAAAGTTATAATTTTTTTCTGGCAGTGATCAAAGTGAGATATTTAAATGGAAGTCACACAACTTGTTCACTTACTTAGAAACACTTAATGAAGAGAGAACGGTATTTTTTTCCTTTTAGCACCTCGCACTCACTTACATGATTTTATATTTCTTGGTCCCGTCTCATTTTAGATGAGATTGACCGACAATGTGCTACTTGTAAATATTCTGGCAGGAGTGGTAATAAAAAGTATTAAATGGAGGGATGGATAATAAGTGGTCCGTGTAACAAGCACACTCAAACCGAAATTAAATTAATCAATGCGTATCGTCTTCTTTGTCAGAACCATTAAATGACTTGGTTGTAAATGGCAGACAGAAAAAATGAAGTGAATCAAAAGACCTCCCAAAAAGTGAAGTAAATATGTATTTATTGGGGAGTGTATGAATCTATGACCTAAATGGAATGGTCGCATGTTGAATTTGGATGGATTGTTGAGACATTCAAATTTGAATTTTGATTGAGAATTGGTAATTAGTTGACCGTTATGATAATTAAGTTGTGTCTATTGCAAAAAATGCTATGCCATGCATGTTTATGCCAAATACGATGTAATTGTATGACATTTTATGCCCTGTAGTGATAAAGGAGTTCTGATGATTTTCATGCAATTGTAATGATGGAATAATGGTAAGATGAGATAAAGAAATGCGATGCTTATGACAAATAAACTATAGAAAAACACAGGCAAGATACAATTGATTTATTAAGTAAAAAAAACATTTATCTAATTTAATATATAACATGAAATCTTTACATTGTCACATACAATAATCAGTCCAAATCTATTTTTACGTTGTTAAATACAATCAGTCAAAATTATCAGTTAAGACTAGGTTACAGACTAATTAAAATTAAAACACTGTGATGCGTCCATCGTTGTCGAGGGCAGCGATGAATCCAGATTTGGGGAGGATGGCGACGTCCGTGGGGGTTGAGAGGCTGGTGTTGGCGTTGGCGTAGAGGGGACCGTGGATGGTGGTGATGGTTCGGATGAGGATTCCGGTGGGGGTGAAGACTCGGAGGACGTTGTTTCTCGTGTCGGCCACGATCAGGTTCCCAGCTTCGTCGACCTGAAGTCCGGATGGGCGATAGAGGATTCCGGGTGGGATGAAGGGCAGCAGGGTCAGTTTGGCATCCGTGAATCGAAGCTGGTTTACTTGGTGGAGGTTGAAGTCCGAGACGAAAAGAGTGTCCCCCGTCAGGTTGAAGGCCAATCCACGAGGATAGTTGAACACCGCCAGATGTCCTCGTCTCCCAAAACTGCCTAAAAATGTCCCATCCTTGGCGTTTAAGATCTGGATGCGATGGTTGTCCTTGTCCGAGACGAAGATCCGATCCGAGTGGACATCATAGGCGAGGCCGACGGGTCGGAAGAATTCTCCTGGTCCAGATCCAAATTGTCCAACGATGAAGTCCAAAGCTCCATCCGGTTGGTAGACGATCAGCATGTGGTTGACCCGGTCAGCGACCCAGGGTCAGCAAGGGTCCCAATTTGTAGTCTTCAAGGCAGCAGGAAGGTCCAGTCCACAAAGGCAAGGAGGTCCAGGCAGAGGAGGCAAGGTGAGATTCCGGGGAGTCCAGGCAGCAGGTCCAGTGAAGGTGTTGTCCGGTCGAGAGCTTCCAGAAGTGTGGATGCTGAGTGGGGTGGGCGGAGCCCTTTTATTCTCCTCCGTTCACCCACTCGCAAGCACAAAACCCGACCTCCGCGACCCAATTCCGCGATCCAACCCCACCACCGATCTCCGCGATCTGACATCGCAACTCATCTACGCGATCCAACCCCACCGTCAAACTCCAGCACCCAACCCCACGATTCAACTACGCGATCGAGCTCCAGCACCCAACACTGTGACCTGGTTTATATTTGGCATCAATATTTTGTAACTCAAAACCTTCAAATGATTGTTCAAGTAAAGTCTGAAACATGATAACATTTATCACCTTATTATGAAAAATGGGAACTTGAGACGACTAATATTTAATCCTCATAAAACTAACTGATTAATTTCAATGTAATGGTATATATGAGCATTTTTCAAATGTGACCAACAAGACGATTGCAAAAATATTCTCAAGATTTCCACAATAAATATTTGTCCGCAATGTAATCCACCTATCCAACTTAATATTTATTTACGTATTAATGAATTCTTTAAGTTTTACCAGATACTGAAATCAATAAATGTCAGTGTGTTGGCCACTTGCTTTTTAGTGCATTTTACTTGCAGAAAACTGAAGTACTTGAGACTTTACAAAATGCCGTATTAAAATAAACTCACCTTAAAATAACCCTGCTTAACAAGATACAAAATCTCATTAGCAATAGCACCATGATTATCTAACTGTGTAAATTAAACTTATCCTATTACTCTTCTGAATTAGTCCGGAGTCCAACGTTGGGATGCTGACACAAAGAAAGAAACCGCAAAGTGAGGGATTTCCAGCTTAATAACAATATTGAGTCATCGATACGTCTCTTATTAAAGAAGAAGCAGCATCAGTAGCAGATAAAAGACGTGCCAGGAAACCAACACCATCACCGAAGCCAGAACACAATGGGAAGAGGAGGAGCGTTTCGAGATTGATTTTTGAGATTTTTTGCGACCACCCAGACTCTGGGCCTGGTCTTCCCCTTTCACGGGCGGATCCTTTTCCTCATCTCCACCAATCGATCCTTCCGGCCAGATCTCACCCTCGTAACAGACAATCGGATCATCAAGATATTTACTCACTCGAATCTCGTCTTCATTCTCTTATGTCTCTCCAAATCATCAACACTCACCAAATGCCAACAAGCCAACTTTCCCATCAAGGCACCTTTCTCTTTCATGTCCTCCCTGCACGACTTCAGCCACCAATTTCTGCACGTCTTTATTATCAAGTTGATCATCAAAGTACGGCGACTCAATTAGAAATTGATCTGAAAAAAGTGAGAAATTCAAAGTGTCATTCATCCTTTGCAAAGCTGTAAAGTAAGAAATTGTGCCTCTTTTCACACCACGAAGCTAAAAGAGAAGAGTGTAATTGAGCAGTTCTCCGTCTCAATTTGCAACTAAACATTTTTTAGTCATAACATTCTCGAAGAAAAAGTTGACATAGGTATTTGTCTCAAATTACAAAAAGTGCATAACTTCTCATGACTCGATACTATGCTAAATTCAGTCAAGCTTCATGACGGCTTGTGGTCAATCGGCCTAGCGTCTATGTTCAACTGGTCTCCGACCTCGGGGTCGTCACAACGTGAGCCTTGTGAGAGTGGGAGTGGTGGTGATGGTGAGAGTGCCAGTGAAAAAGTAAGCCTGGACAGTGGTAATAATAATAATAATAATAACAGTGGTGGTGGGGTAAAAGAGCAGAGGTCGAGGCAGCAGAATTTTGACCCGTCTGCATTATACCACCATTTTCCTTTTTCGACAAATTTTAACCTCCTACGACCCGAATCGTGCAAGGAGAGCATTATGAAGAACGCAGGAGGAAAGTCTTTCACGATCGACTCTCTGCTAGGAATTAATGCGGCGCAGGTTGCAATTCAGAATAGAATTCATGCCGGAAATCGCGGTCGCGCTGAGGAATCTTCCATCGATGGAAATTGGAATTTGGATAAGCACCATGGGTTAGATCACTGCGGAGAAAATAGGACTTTTAATCCAAGGAAGGAACGACATGCGCCGTATGCAAGGTCAAGCAATGCAGGTAAGAGGTCGTTATTAATTCATATTAATGTGTAGTTACTGCTAAGTGATAAATATGTAGTTTACGGGTGATCTTTCTCACGTGACGTTGCGATATTTTCAGAAATATACAAAACAAATAGATGGTAGTTTCTATTAAATATGTAGATCAATTGTGTGGATAGTAGGACATGAAACAAAGAAAATGTATCACCCTCATCAAACCCCACATTCTTAAAAAAGTACGTCAAATGATGGGAAATGCCAAACTTTTAACGAATCAAAGCTACATATTTAGCAACCAAATTAATTTTGGTCAATGTGATAGGATCGCACTACGGAGTTATTTGATGCACACATTGCATTGAAAATTGTGTAATGTATGACTTTCTTTTATCATTGAGGTGTAAAGTCCCATGCAGTGGGGTGCCTCATTGAAATAAATCAAATCAAATCAAATCAAATCATTACAAATTAAAGGTCACAACGAAAATACAGTGCATGCAAGTGTCATACATTCATCCATTTTGTCATAAATAAATCCATGAAAACTATACCATCTAGTCAGAAAATTAAAATTTTAATAAGTTGTCAGCTTTTCTCATCCATATCGCATTGAGATTTAAGCAATGTCAGCTAGTCCTGCTTATAGCTTAAAGCATTCCGATGATAACCTTATAAATTGTACATAGATAAAATGAGTGAGAAGCCTCAAAAAAATTCGAGGAGGACAACGAAATCCAAGAGGGTTCGAACTATTTTTACACCGGAACAATTGGAGAGGTTGGAGTCAGAATTCGAGCGACAGCAATACATGGTGGGGCCTGAGAGACTTTATTTGGCATCGACCCTGTACCTTACCGAAGCGCAGGTAAGTATACTTATCCACATTTGAATTCAGTTCATATTCCACTCCAGAGTAGAATGAATGCACATAGTTGACTTGTTTTTATGACGGTAGGTACGTTTGCGTAGGTGAAAGCATTATAAAAAAATCAATTGTCTATACTAATTTTTGTATTTTTTTGTCTTCCAAAAAAGGTTAAGGTGTGGTTTCAGGTTTGTCATAAATATATTTTACACTACGAATATGTGCATATATACATATTGCATGTATATTAATATATGTATGTGCATGTCCAGAATCGTAGAATAAAGTGGAGAAAGCAACACCTGGAAATGCAACAGCAACGACTCGCCATTTTCCGATCGCAGAGTTCGCACTCGCACTTGGACAACCGAGAGGATGACGTCTTCGAAGACGACAGTGATGATGACGAAGTATCCACAAAATCGCAAACCCCACCCCCGTCAGACTTCTCCTCCTCCAACGCTGGGGGTGGTTCGATACCCTCCTTCACAGGAAGTCTGACTGCTCAACAACTTCCGGTGATGGATGCAGGACCAAGTTGTCCTCCTAACAAAATGTTCCCAGGATGCACACCAACTGGTCTGAGAAATTACACGAGAGGAGGAGCCGCAACATCCCAGGAGTGCAATAAAATCGGAAATTTCCTGCACAATAGTGACCACGGTGGTGGTGGCGGTGGGTGTGACGACTCCTCGTCCTACTTGGCACACCATTCTCCGTCTCTTGAGTGATCAAAGTGAATGCAGAACTTTGCAATAACAGACAGAATAGAATTTATCAGTGCCAAGAATTCTGAGGTGAATATTTCAATCGTAAATATAAATATGTATTGAACGAAGCAGACGCCTGACAGAGATGAGTTTATATTATAGCTTTGAGCTATTACCAAAAATATAATCCAGTAAATACTCAGTGCAATGTTTATCGTGTAACGTAAGACAAACTTGTTCAGATTTTTGTAAGGTGATTAAAATATTTGTGATGGAAAACTAAACTTGGTAAAATCTTGTGTTGAACTTTTTCCATTTTAAGAGCGAGGAAATTGTTTGCATGTTAATGAATTTGATTATCCAGTTTCAGTTTCATGAAATTAACTTGTTGTGGCCAATTTACATGATTAAACGTATGCCATGCCATTGTCCATTAAACTTGGACTGTACTATGCTCGTCCATGCCGACAAATGTTCTCATATTTTTTAATTGAGCATCTTACAATGTTTACTACGATATAAATTTGCAGAAGGTGCAAATATGAGGTTATCACCAAATCAAAAAATTCGCACCTTTCTTCACTAGCATGATCTGCTTTACAATTCAGAAATCTGCATCAGTAAATCTCATCATCAAATCAAACATGAACCGGTCCCTACTAAATAGTTGCCTATCCTAATCACAGAGATGAACGGCCGCAAGAATCAATGGCATAAAATACTACTACCGTTATTCATAAAGAGCGAGAGTTCACTGTCACATTGAACTTTTAGATATACTAATTGCAAAACATCCCCAATGACATCACAATGTTGAGCATAATGATTACATAGAAAACAGGAACAAATCCAGGATGTGTTTCAACCGGGTGGGTAGTAGCAGCAGCCCTATTCCCCTTTTCTCGCATTCAGCAAACCGAAATTACATACATTCCAGAGTTTCGGAGGGGAGAAAAATGAGAACACTTGAAGTAATGTGTTGTGATTACCTTTTGTAAACAAGGACAACAATGCCCCCCACACCACTCGAGAGTCCGTGACGCCCATAATCCCCTAAATCCCGGTTGTACTAATCGTAGCCTAGCCACAATCCAGTCCAGCCGTGGTCACGACAAATTTCCTCCTGACAGCAATTGGTCTTCCCTGTTAAAAGATCCATCCATCCAACATTCTAGTCCATATCCATATTTTGACAAAAACCGTACCAGCATAATTTACATTCATTGACAACAATGCTGGCAAAAGTTGACAAGTTTGGGAAATGTAATTATGAAAAGAGAGACGAGGGTTGATGACGCCATGTCATATTTACATGTTATGAAATATGTATTATGAAAACCCAACAGGATGACTGTTGGCTACTACTTGGACCAAAGTTGGCTGGTTCATCTGAGGTTGTTGAAAGAATGCTTTATGACTCTGTTCTTGGTCCTTGTTATGCAATAAAAATATCATTTCATTGTCATTTGATATCATTTTGGTTTCAGTTTGCAGTCCTTTCATTTCAGATATGAACATGAACCATGAATATTGAATTCTGCCACATTCATTCATTTTGCTGCCGTTCTACACGAAACTAATAGATGACACGTACACAAATGCATGCTCACCAACTAAATATCATACCAAATCCATACACACAATAATGTTATAACTGTGATGGTGCAATTATTCAACTCGTTTTGAGTTCTGGTGATGGTGCAAAATGAAAATATCGGAGAACAAATACCGATTGTGTCCTGTGTCCATTTATCATCAAACAAGTGGTGCACGTGTTACTTTACACAAGTTTATTGGCTGGGTTGATGGACGCTTCACTGATTATATGTTCCATCCAACAAGGGGCCCAGCCTTGAGGACTCTTAATAATGACTTTTCTACCAGCAAGCTCGTATAACCATAATGTTTAGAGGAGGAGAAAGTTTAATGCTTTATTATCCCTTATCGAAACGTATCAAAACCAAGTGGAGGAGGGCGAAGGGGAAGCCGCCGCAACAATGTGGAAAAGAATTTCATAATTACTCGAGCCATAATAAGACGTAATAAATGTCATCGCATTACAGCAACTTTTATTAGCTCCACTCGGATAAAAAATGATTCTTCTTCTTCTTCTTCCTTTCCAACAACTTATTTTTGTGGTTCTTTTATCTCCGCGTCCTTTCACCAACCAACTTGTTCCCAACTGCTCTTTTTGGGTCGGTGGTCGGGTATATATAGTCATGCTGCTGCTGCTGCTCATTCAGGACCGAATATGGTGGGTACTTTTATCATTATTGAACTTTTCCTCGCCAAACCACCAACCAAACCATGAGCCATCACTCAACGTCTCTCTCCAGCTACAGATTAATATTTTATTCCTTTGTGAATCACTTTTGTATCATACACTGACAAATTGCATTTTTGTTTAGTTGGCCTCAACTTAAAATCGTCGTGTCATTCAAGTAAGGATGGCTTTAATCTTTTACATGTATTCCATTCGCAACGAGGCTGAAATCTGCCATGGGTTAGTTTCTTCTTCGAACGTGCTAATTCCTGAGAAAAAGAGGGGAGGGAGGAGAAGAATTTGGGTGTGTTTGGGTTAGTTTTTGGCTGTGGAGAAAGTGATGAGGTAATTTTAAATGGTCGTATTTAAAGTGAATGATACGCAATAAGTGGGGGATGAGACGCATGTTAGTGATGCCGATTGTGAGCGTGGTCCGCGTGGGAGAGGAGACGACGAGGTTAATTAGAGCAGGACGAATGAAATAAGTGGCAGGTAATGGGTGGCTTGGTCGGAATTAAATTGTCATTGGGTAAACAGGAGAGGCTTTGGGTTCATTTGATTGGGGCGAAGGTGAGAGGATGGTGGTAATTAGGCTGCTCTCTCTTCCTGTATCTATCCATCTCTATCCCACCAGCGGACCGTGCCACTAAATACTTTGGACTTGATAAAGAAAGGGTGATGGTGAAATTGTGGAGCGGGATGGTCTCGGGGAGGGATGGAGAGAGGAAAGTGGATTCATTAGGAGATAAATGTTGGATAAATGGGGAGGGAGCCGGGCCGCATCCACGCGAGAGGAATTCCAAGCATTTCAATTAATCCCTCGTCCTTTGTGAAATACTCGGCCGTTGCCAGTGTCAAAAGAGCTCCTCTAAAAAAGTCGGCATAATAAATTTACCTTTCAAAGGGACCATGACATTATTGGTCTTCAAGGGCGGAAATTGTACGGAGCGGGATGCGGAGGAGAATCTTGGCCTCCTTTATTGACTACTTAATATATATTAATGTCCAGCCTCCTTGAATGATGTACCTCATAAAACCGAACTGTATCACTTCTTCTTCTCTTTGAACTGAAGCACATCAGAGGCGACATTCCGCACCCAAAAAATATGCACAACCAATATTGGCTTGTTTGCCTGTGCCTCTTGGCATTCTCGGTACTTTCGTCGTCGTCGTCGTCCTCGTCGTCGTTTACTATCCACTTTCTACTTATTTTCCCTTTTCGGACGACACGGACTCCATTTTTCGCATCCTTTTTTATTCCTTTTCTCGGACAAAATCATCTCCCTTTTCGGGGCACAAAGATGATCCTGAGGAGAAATTTTATCCGACCAACGACAATGTCTCGCACAAAATTGACCTCTTTCATCACTTTCCCCGCAATGATTCACATTCGTAATGCTTCATTTTGCGTTGTGGTTGGTTTACATCATCATTTTTTAAAGCTTTCTCCAAATTTAATAATACGTTATTAGCAATCGACGTGAGTGATTATAGATTTCATTAAATGGTACAATTTTCAGTGTTTTTACGTATCTCAAGTTTTTATACTATTCAAATCAGTATGCCAAAGGCTGCTGATCCGATTAAAAGCATCTCAACAAATGCATCCCAGACTATGTAATGTAGCAGGATGAGATTCTATTCCAGCGGATTATTGGACACATTCATCACATATCAACTCTTTCCCCACTACAGAGAGAAAAGAGCAAACCAGAGGAGAAGAAGCATGCAAATTGCATTCTTATTAGTATTAGTTGCCCTGTAGAATTGTCTGCATTTCGAATACGTAATACCAGCAGGAGTAACGAGAAATTGGGGGTTATTTGTTTCCGAGAGCTTGTGGTGAATGCACTTGAGAGCCCATCATAAAATTTTAGCAGCCTCGTTTGTGATTTGTCTGTGTAATAATAAGAGCTGTTGAGACTATGCTTCACTCTCCTCAGTTCTCATGCAGGATGAGGAGGATTCTATTGAAATAAAACAATGAAATAGTTCAACTCTCGATCTTTCATCTCGAGTGAGATCACAATAAGCAACACACAAACAACTTAATAGAATTTTTGCGATTACACGAATGAGTGGTTGACTTTGTACGGCTCGGTTCATCTTCTCTCGCATCATGTTTTGGGTGCAGTGTGGGATCATATTAGTGTATGTAGCATCAACCCCAAGTTTCCTAAGTATTTCCCATTTCATTTATGAAACTGGTATCCAGATCCACCACCACACAGACAGACAGCAATATTGAGCTTTCTCCACATGGAAATAAGCAAAAATCCAGAGGCTGGAGAGAGGAAGATGAGACTGAGAATTGCAGTTGTTGAAACTCGTATGAATTTAGATCCATTTCAAATGCAAAATGTGTGTAGTCTTTTACATGTACACGTCGGTTTCAGAATTTTTGTGGCATAAACAGACTTTTTTCATGTGATTGTGTTGAAAGTATGAGAAATTATTTAGGTATGCCAACTTTCCAATGAGTAAATAAGTACGAATTGTATAATAGGTTTGCAAAACTTGAACAGTTTATTATTGAAAAGTTCCTTGTTGAAGCGCTACAAACATGATTTTGTCAAACTGGCATTCGTCGGCTTATACTCAAAACATGAAAAATCTACAGAATAAGGTTGTTAGCAACATTTTTTAAGTTTAATACACGTGTTAATAACGTTAGTGTCGTACTTACATATTATGTAAATAACTATACAATTGGGCGATCAGTGACTACAAATTTTTTTATCCTCGATAATTGTTCACACACATTATGACAACATATTAATCAATGTACAGGATGTAAACCTACGAATAACTGCAAGTATCGATTTTTGTATTTTTTTTACAAGTACCTTTTTAGCTTTATGATTATCATCATTTACATATCCTCAAATTGTACCAAGATCTTATAAAAGTTTCCGAGTGAAAGATATAATCCTCCTCGCACCCACTTTTTTGCTATGTATTTATGTAGTATAAATTACCATGTGAGAAATCTCGGTATTAAAAATGATATCACAAATTTCAAATTAAATTGGTACGTATGAAAAATTTGGAATTATAGACCTAGAAGAGCATGTAGCCTAGTTATGCATGCGTATATACGTGCATACGTACGTACATATTTATAAAAAAGACCTACCAGCTAACCAGTCTAACCATAAACAACATTATAGAAATGATTATGACGAAAATCATTAGTATCAATTTCCACGTATCATTACGGTTACAGTTTGTCTGATTGTGTTAATTAGTTTTATGTAGCTTCATCTCTACACACTGGGTGGAAGTGTAAAATTAATTGCACTGCATTGCTTGCTTACTATATAATAAATATTTAGTAAATAAAATAACACGCAAAATTCAGTTCCAACCAATGGCTACTGCTACCTACGAATGCTACAGAGATGCAATAAGTAATATTATCATAAGACTTATTAATTGTTAGGTATTACATATGGCCACCCAATTGTATACGTAATGATTAGATGATAAAAGTCAAATTTTTTTCAACATTCATGATCGTATTATTGGATCCAGCCTTTGATAAGGCAACCGCAGACTAGAATAGTAATAACAAGTGTGTCGAGGAAAACTATACAACTACGACCTGTGAGTGTGTGTACCACCACGTGTGTTCATTTTTCAAGAATTTTCAAGAAATTCTACTCATCAACAATCCAAACGTGTTCCATCAGCACAGCCACAAATAGCGCACCCATCATTTTTCAACGATGACTAAACCAAGCTTATCTAAAATGTATGTAGGTGTCCAAGATGATGAATTAATTAATTACTCTTAAATAATCCCACCCACCTCTTAACAATTTACCTCAAACTTGAGAGAAATAATTGTAGCAGATATGCCGTAATTTGCTTGAGACGGATAACCTAGCCCAGAGCATACATAACATAGCCTGCCTCGTGATTTACAGTAGATTAAGTCTATAAATATGTATGTACTAGCAAGTTGAGGGTAATAGGTGATTGTTGTGATCAGGAGGTAAGTAATTACACTACACTGGGTAGTAAAAAATGGTCATATTATTTCATCATATACGGTCCATAAGTTGGTTTTAGTATGTTCTTCTATCTACTACAAGTTGACTAACTGCAGATCTTTGGCTGGCCTTCAAATTTTGGAAATAACAAAAATTGACGAAAATAATCTGTGTATTGCTTTCCGCTAATCCAATCTAATCCAACTCTACATACGCAATGGCTTAAATACACATACTTTCTCATTTTATATGACGGATTACACCGCAATAAAACTGATGATATATTTATACTGCAAACTTTATGAGACGAGATTATTCGCATTTTTTACATGTAAATACAAACACGGTATGTTGCTGCCGATATATTAAACTAACCTGTTGTGTGTGTGTGTACTTACAGAAGTATGTCCATGTACAATAATATTTAGTGGTCAACGATTAATACCTAAGTCATGTTTTTTTACGTATTTGATAAGTTATTATAATTATATGGCTATAAATCGTTAAAAAATTTAAAAATGTCAAAGTCCGGAATTTCAAATTTAAAAAGGTTACGAAAACTACATTAAGCTCCCATATTTGTGTACCAACAACATTTCTAAAGCTATGATAGAAACGTTAAATTTCAAAGTAATCTGGACTCGACGTCGACATTATCGTCATCATTCTACATCATTGTAACAAATTGATTGCGGTGATTGGTTGTTGAAAATTGGTTCGCACAAAAAGTGAAGAACACGAACCAGATTAAATATTAGAGATTAATTCTTTCAGAGAACAAATCGCAGTACCAGTGTTCTGTTCGTTATGTAATCCTTTTAAAGCAGTCCAAGTAGTCCAAGTAGTCGCCTCTCGCCTCCATTCCTTGTGGAAAATGAGTACAAAATGTGTGTGATTTTTATCAAGGTTAACAATTCTATACAAATTTTCTGCTGGACAAAATCAGCATAGCACCGATTCAAATCACCCGTTTCAAGGGAATAATTAGCTTAGATTGTATGGATCAGTCAATCATAATGTAATAAATAACGTTGCAAAATATGCCCATATCATGTAATTTAACTAACTAGAGTAACAACACGTGTCATCATACATATTAAACTCGATACTTATGTACTTACTACACCCCTTCGCTTACACAACGATTGATTTTTGCTAAAATGCATCTTCATTATTATTACTACGACTAAAATTAGTTGAAAACTACTTCACCGTCGCTTTTTCATCCATCATCTCACTCAATTATTCAGAAATGGAGCAGAAATTAATTGAATTTCTGTCAACCACTTCCTCTTGATCTCGTCAAGTCTTGTTGTGGGAACCCCTAAAATGCCACCTACATATTTAATTACTTGTGTAAAAATCTGCCAAGCATTGAAGACTTATGTCACAGCTCTATTTTAACGTGAAACCCATTCATATTCGAAAACTAAAACGGAACGACTCTACCGTTATACATATTCGTGGTCAGACTAGAACAGTGTGGAGGACAGAGAAACAGCGACCAGGATAATGGACAATGTAAATAAGGAGAGAGAGATACAGATCGTGCCCATAATTATGTAAGTAACTTGTAAGTGGACTGTTTTGTGGGACTCTTTCTGCAGTCAAAAAATTATTGTTCTTCATTTTGTAAAGAAGATTGTTGGGTTTCGTTACGCCCAACACTTCTTGAATTCAGTTCCGAGTGCTTCAGTGAGTGAGAGTGCAATTGGTTGAAACGACAAGTTTCTTGGCAGTTTTTAAGACATACGTAATAGTAATTAATTCAATTAGAAGTATAAAGGAAGTAAATTAGTGGGAGACATGGAGATTTTGTAAACAGTGACGATTGATGGAGGTCAAAATCTATGTACTAACTAAGCTGGAGAGAGGTTGAAGAACACGTATTTTTTACATATATTCGCCGATATGCGTCGATGAAGCATGAGCGAGTTGAGACGACGTGCAGATTGTGGGTGACAAATGGCAGGGTGTAATATAAAGCACACATCATTATTTTATCATCTCAGCCAAAAAATATAGGAAATAATTGTGCAAACATGACATGCAAACAAAAAAATAAGTGAATTAAACAACAAAAAATCCTCATTGGATAATTCAAATCTGACCCAGCACTTACTTTATTGAAAATGTACACATTCCAGGTGGTCAATTTCATGTAGTTTGTAAATAGGCAACGATAGAAAATTGATTGATCGTCGTATTATTATTCCGCTCAAAAAAGCATGTTTGGAAATGATGTTTGTATGTAATACATAAATACCTAGAACACGGATATAAAATCTCTTTCTATTTTTTTGTGTAAAAATGTTGGACGTTAGACTTGAACTTTTATAAATTCTATGTATATTCAACACAAAAAAACAACAACGATAAACTCCAGACAACTAATAAGATGTTATAAAATAAAATAAAACACAGAAATTCCTGGTTTTTGTTTTACAGATTTTTTGACAATCTTTAAACCTTTTATAATAACTAAAGCAACTACTAAAACAATTAGAATACCTGATGAAATTGGTTGTTGTTTAGAAGTTTCCTTGATATTTACTTTGGATAGAACAAATCGGAGAAAAAACCTTGTATATCCTCAAAAAATATATAGGCACTCAACATAGTTTGAGAACAATGATAAGGAACTTACTTAAAATAACGTGAAGAAAAACAGTAATTAGTGAGACATTACATAGCTGGGTTTTTTAAAGTCTTGTACGTAAACACGATATCAAAATAAAACGATGGCACCAAAAGTTGATAACAAAAGTTAAAATGAAAAAGTAACAATGTAATTAAAAATTTCTATAATCAATCTGACAAAAATTTGACTAGTCAATGATTGCTTAAGATTACGCATTTAGAAGCTAAAATCATGAAACTCGTCAAAAAGGAAGCGACTCAACCTCATCATATCCTCGCTTTTTTTGTTTAGTGCAATGAATTACAAATTCCAATTGCTGTTTTAAAGATTATAGTCACCCACAGTAAAAATTAAGACAAAATAAAATAAAATCCGACTATACAAATACAATCAACAATACCAGCATTATTGTAGAACCGTTGCGCTTTGTGCTGACTCTTTGCATATATGATTATCGCGAATTTACCCGATGCTACGGATCGTCAATTCGCCATTTCTTTGTCTTCTCTCAATAAAAACTTGATCTCCATCATGAGTTTACTATATGCTGTTAAACGCATAGTTCTCCACACACCTTTTTTGTATCTCTTTACTAGATAACTACTCCTTCCCTGTCCTCAATCAAGTAATATATTGATGAAAAGCGACTACTATGATTATCTATGTTTTTACCGGCAAAAAAACAATACAAACGCTAGGTTAGATTTAATTAAAAATAGAGACAATTGTAACGATGTCGTTATAATTAAGGGAGGAAACGGCTAAGATTGTCCTATTACAAAATTATATATAGAGCAATTATACAAACAATGCTGACTACATTACTACCAATAATAATTCCTCCTGCACCAAACCACCAATCAACTAATAACTAGCTAACCAATCAATCTATGCGGTATTATCTTACGACACGATGACGATCCTGCACAGACTTTTTGTTGGCGACATATGCTGACTACTAAAGACATACACATGGACTAAGATTGTCAACTTTTCTATTTAGCCATCACCAAAAAAAAAAGTTAATTTTTTCCAGTATTATTAAGGAGCAAACAATGGTGAGACCCGGTCATGAATGAATTTCATTGTTCAACACGCACACACACGAACACTTACACACGAGTAAATTAAATATTTGCTATAATATTATATGAGTTGTATAATGTGTTTCATGTGAGACTGAGACAGGGTAAAAGTAAGATGGACAATATGTGTATATAGTAAAAATAAAATAAAAATAACAATACTAATGATGATAAAAACCTGTCTATTATAATTCCTTATAAAAAAAGTCCCAGTTCTGCACCCTTTGATTTAGATTTGACGTATTCAGTCACTACTCCCAAGTTCATCCCCACACCACGACGACGACGCTACTTACTGAGCAAGAGTTTTAAATATACTCCATTTCATGATCATTGGCGACACAGCATGTCCTCTTCCTTTTCAAAGTACTATGAAGAACGCTAAACTCTGGCCAAAAGTAGACTGTAATAGTCTAATGCATAGAAACCATCTTTGATTGATTGCGACTGTGTGAGATAACATTTCAAAAAGGTAAAAACGGTTATCACTATTATATCAGCACTAACGGGGTATCAAAGCGAACGCACTTCCGTTGCACATGCATAACAAATAATTCTAAATATTATATTTCTAAGGTTTTCACTTTCTCCTCCACTTGTCCTCCTTCATGTTCAATCCAGCTGCACGAGTTACTGAAGACAAGACAACATACATAATTGTTAGGCATATGTACATAGCACCTAGCAAATTTGCTTTCGTTAATTTGTGAACATTTGTGTTTTCTTACTTTGACAGATTTTTTGGTTTACATTTGCGAGTTGACAGTCACGAGTCGCCTATAATAGTTAGGTCTAAAGGACAAAGAGAAAGGAATTACATTAGAATTGCAAAGGAAAGTTTGTATGTTTAGATTGTGTAATGAAAATGAAGGAAATTTTGACGCCCTGACCGAAACGGTAGTGCTCGGGGTCTGGAAACAAAGAAGAGAAATTTAACATAAATTCATATGAATGTCATTGTCCCCTAAGTGTGTATTGGTCGCGTAATGTTCCAATCTCGCTTAATGATAATGCCATAAGAACAAAAAACCTAAACCTTTTCAGGACATTTTCTTATCTTTAAATTATACACGCCCACGAATTTGACTTCCTCGGTTACACTTTTCTTGGAAAAATTGAACGAACGTCAATCAATGATCATTTGTAAAGAATGAAATAATATGCAATAAAACTTTCTCATTTACATCTCAATCAACAAAAAATCCCTAGTGTCACACTGCAATTGGACTATTCCAAATTCCAATGCAGGACGGTACCACTGAATTGACTAAAAAAACTACCCAAATCTGAAGATCTCCACAGAGAATTAAGCGAGAATCTGATTCATTACACACCTTCATCATTAAATTTTGTTACATAAGTCTTTGTTCTTACCGATCAGCACCCTCTTTTACCAACGGCTTGTGGTATTCCCGACCGGGACGAGAATGAATGGTGGCCCAGCAGTGTTCGCAGTAATACTGCACAACATTATAAAATCTCAGTCAACATGAGTTTGATAAGTTTTTTGAAAATTTATATAAGATTATTTATAACTAAGACAATGGTATTAAACAAAATAAATCGTTCGATAGCCATGCAGAAATGACAACTTGGTATTTACTACGGTTAATATAAAGGTGTATTTCTAAAACCATCTGACTTGTTGGAAATATTTTATAATCCTGTATTTTGGCAATCATCAAAGTTTATTAAATTCTTCATTGAGGATTTGCATGATTTATATTGCTTCGAGCGTAAATTAATGCTGACTGGGTCACTAAAATCTGATCTGAAATTCTGAACTACAGAGCTGGGCAAGATATTCTTTTTCAGAGAGAATCTTATCATAAGAATCTTATGATAAGATATAAAATACAAGTTATAAAATACTATGTGATTGAAGATATAAGGCACAAGATACTTTTCAACAGAAGCGATAGTTAGAATTCAAGATAAAATATATATTTAAGTAAGAAGATACTTCCATGTTTGGTAAAATACTTCTTAAATTTCTATATGCAATACAAAACCAATATAAGGCTTAAAATTTAGTATTCTCATTGTCACAAAAAAAAATATGAAGTTAAAAAGTCTCAACTAGAAAAACTTTTTGAAATTGGCTAACTATGACCTATACATAAGAATATATATATATATATATATATATATATATATATATATTTATGACATTCCTGCATATAATAGATGTATTTATGTGTGTTCTAATATACTTGTAAGCCGCTTATTAGAATCGGAATAATGACTCGTGAGGAAGACGCATTTGTGAAAAAGTAAAATTGAATGTGCTAAACAAATGTATCTATGGCATAGAACGCTGTTTAAGATACATACTGGAGATGCCACAGATTTGCACGAAAGATAAAAGATAAAGGATACTTCCTCGGTTAGGTGCAAATAAAACTTTCGTGTATTAAACATCTCTTGCATGTTTGACAAAGTATCCTGCCGACCCCTGCTGAACAATTCAATTGCCAAGTTATCACAATTTACATCTTCTCAGGGTAACTATCGAACGATTTATTTTGGTCACTATGTGATAAATGTATAATAAAGTAAGCAATTAAAAAAATGTAAAATCAATAAATAATAATATTAAAATAAATATAAAGCCAGTGTCAATCGTTACCCCGCAAACCCTTGTATAATATTTGCCTATTTATTATTCTCATTCAGTTAGGAATTTTAAAGACTACACGTCATGAAGGCGTAGCAAAAACATTTCAGATTGTTAGCGAAAGAAGTAAGGAACAAAAACACACGCAAATAATAAAAAAAAATAACAATACAAGTTTAGCAAATCAATAAAACATGAATGGACCCGTTAAATATGGTACAGAATGATTCTGTTGACCATTATTTACCTGTAAACATGTAACATTAGCACAAAAAAATGGAGCAAATTTTCCTCCACAACGACCACCACCACACTCATCACAGAGTTGGTCATCCAGCACGTATGGCTTGACTTCGACCTGGAAGAAGTAAGACGCAAATGAGTTGTAAATATGTGATCCAAGATTTAATGATTAATTGTGGGCCTAAAATTTTGACGGGCACTATCAGAATAGCACAAATGACATATAGCACTCACTCGTTTGTCTATATCACCATGTTGGAGCTGAACAAATCGTGCCGAAATGGCTGCAATGTAACTCTGCTGATTAGAAAATGCAACGCGACCAGCACCTGTAAAGATAAACAAATTGTCAATTCTTGCAGCTCATTGTCTTTTCGTCCTTTGATCTGGTTCTCTTTCCCTCTTTCTTTCTATTCAAATATTCAAATCGACTCATTCCTACAAAATATAATCGTTACACTGCACCTTTTGGATACTTCAGCTCCGGATCTGTATCAATCCCGGCGTAGCAAACACCTCCATACAATCGGTCCATAATCATCGCTAGCTCAACTAATTATTATAACAAAACAAAAATACTTAACATGATAGTTAACAGATTAATAGAATTCATTAAAAATATATAAGTCGTAGATGTAAGAAATGAGTAGAAGTTGTATGTACCAGCTTTCAGGGGTCTTGGGACACCACCAACAAACACGGTCTTCCGTGGATCCAAAGGCATTGATGCTAATTGGATAAAACAAGATCAAGTTAGCTAATTGATTTAAGTGTATTATTTTATCGCAGTTCATGTCACGTTATTTCTTGCTACTTGCAACAATACAAGAATGATCATTCTTTAATTATGAGTAACCAAAGCCATGAAAATATTACTACTGCTGAAACAGGGGAAAAGATGATTTAAACACAATTAGTAGGTACGTACCGTCAAGTACAAAATCAGCATCAGAGAGTCTCCAAGGTCGAATTTGAACAGGCCTGAAATACATAATAGTATTTGTGTAACTTTTTGCATAAATTTAAACATGCATAATCCACCCACAACAAGCCGGTACAGGCTCGGCACAGAACTAAAGCCGTTGCGAGATTTTAATTAGCATATAAATGATTTTTTAAATTTGTGATTGACGTGTTAAACTTTAAATTCGTGTAGCTTTCTTACTGTACTCTACTGGGTAAAATCTAATCGTCATTACGTGATTTAATGCATATACTTACTTGTCCTTTATGGTCGGCGATGAAACGCAAAGATACAACTTATCATCATCTTGAATACACGCATCTATCAGTTGCTGGACAGAGCTTTCCTCCTATTAACAAAAATTTTCAGCAATTAGGGAACTTTATTACAGTCTACATGATGAATAATATTTTGATATGTAATTGATATTATATTCATACATATTCTTTTACCTGGAACAATAGAAAAGCGTAACCCTTTGGAGGAAAATACGACTTGCTTTCAGCTTTGTGAGGCCAATCCACAACCAACTAGAATAAAATCAGATTAGTTTAGTTTGGGCTTATAACGACCTGCACAAGACCGTGAAAAGAATTGATGTAGGTGTGTAATTCCCGTTCTTTACAATATGTCTTATAAACGCCTTCGTATCACATTATCTACTTATTATTACTTTAAGACGTTTCAACATTGTAATGTATATACCACTGGATCAATTCTTCTATCCGTTCAATCAATAAATTACTATCAACATTTACCGGGCCAAACCGCCTAAAGCTGGCAGTAATTTCCTCTGTGAATAAAAAAGTGAAACTTATTAGTTTCCAATCTCTTGTAATTTTAAATTTATTGCATGAACATACCTTCATCAATGTCGGGAGGCAAACCACCGACAAAAACTTTCCTTGAAAAACGTTCCCCTTGTTCATTCACTCCACTAGCTCCAACACCAACAAGTCCAGCAGCGGCTCTAGGAGACACACTTTGCACACCAACCGTTGGACCAGCTTCTCCATCAAGGATAAATCCAGAGTTTGCTCCTGACGGGCCGCCCCCTTGTTCTTCACTAGAGTAATTCCACTTTCCTGCAAAAAGAGTATTTTTTAACCCAGGGTCTCTTCAACAGATATAGGTATATCTTTAATTACGTACCTCCTGTTCTTCCATCTGGTTCACCCCCGCCAGTTCTCATCATGTCTGACAAGTATTGTTCTAATGATCTCATGTTGTCCAATGGTCCCCCAGCACCATTGCGTTCCTATAATAATAGATACAAACCCGCATTAGTAACATCGTACTTAAAGTAGTAATCGCTCAATTGGATAACGTACCTGGTACATTGTTTCATTCTCCCCTGCAACAGCATTTCCATCAAATTGAGGTTGAAATGCACCTTTGCCAGGAAAATTTCGCCTAAAATTTGGCTGCATCATCATCGTAGGACTTGGCTTCCTGCTGAAGTCACCACAAATGACGAAAAGATAAAGCATGAGTATCATTATAAATAACGCTACATAAATAGCAATCAGTAGAAAAGCCGAAATCCGAAATCGTAACAATTACAACTACTTACCCGTACATAGCACCGCCTTTCATGCCTGGTCGCATTGGTTGCCTCTGCTGCTGAAATCCAAAAGGAGGAAACCGTCCGACCGATGCACCCGCATTGTTCCCAGCGTGTCGTTGACCTTGCTGAGGTCCGAATGGGGACCGCCGATGTCCAAAAGGTCCGTTCTGAGCCATTCCTAAACACAGATAAAAAAGAAGTCAGACATCCGGAGAAACCGCACTGTGCCCCTCATCACAAACCCTATATCATTTACACAGACCGAGCACTGGCTGGACTAGTTAAAAACCTATTCTTTGAGGTAATGAGAATAGTGTTTTTTTAATTCATCATCTAGTTTGAAAATTAACCATATCGTTAAAATTGTATGAACTACCTAATAATTTCATCGAAGCTTAATAATAATTATTATTATAAACTTTTATAAAGCCACTTATAATCAATTTTTCTCAAACAAGATAAGAAACTGAGCCGGTAGTACGCGTGGGTGCTGGCCAACTCTACTGTATAAAACAACATCTCCTACTCCTCTCCCTCTCTCTCTATATTACTCTAACAAAGACTCACCCATATTTGGCGGAGGTCCAAAATTCTGTGGGAAATAGTATCCATTTTGCTGGAAATTGATAGATGGGTTGTAATAATAGTAGTCGTCCACGTGTGGGGCCGACGTCCAGACGGCTGCAGGACCTGCACCGCCCATTTCCGGCACACCCACACTTCCTACGCCCGAGCTCCCCGTGACTACGGCGGTTGGCGTCCCTCCTGCGGAACTACTGCTTCCACCTCCTCCTTTCCCACCAACCTCAGTCGTCGAATTCGTCGGCGTCTCGGACCCCGAGGACAATTTGAAACTTTCCGAATCCTCGCTCATACTTCTAATCCAGCCACGTCTGCAACCTTGTATATTGTTAGAAAGTAAGTTTGACGGTCGTTGTTCTTGATTCCAAGCAGGAACAGCAGAAGTGGTAAATTCAGTTGATTCGTTAATTGCTTAGGCCGATTTTTAACCGTTGAGTTGAGATTATTATTTATTCGCCGGCTTTTTAATTCATATTATTATTGATTTGTTGTTTGTTTCTTTCTTCGTCCCCGTTCGTCATTCGTCAGCACTGTTTCGGGATTTCGGGACGGAGGGCAAAGTTGTCAGGTAAGCACCGATTTTCTAGCAGATAAAGTTTCGACAATTGTTGTTATCTGCTGAAAGTATTTGTTAGTTAGTTAAAGATTGTAAAAAAAATCCTCAGTTCTTTCTTGTTTAATTATTTTAAAAATAATTCAGACTCTAATTTGTTCTCTTAAAATAATAATATTTGTAAAAAAGTTCTAGCAAAAAGTATTAATTTTTTTCTTCAAAAAGTGCTAAGAAAAATGTACACTTAGATTGGAAACAAGTTGGTAAGAAAGAGGTGTATAAAAGTCATAAAAATGTTAAAAACAGGTATAAATCCACAATTATTATTATTAGTTTTTTAAATCCACACTTTAAGTTCACAATTTAGTTAACCACTCGTTGATGATTATTAAATTGGCTTGATTACATATGGACTAGGGACGAGTAGACACCGACCTTTATTCACGCTGCTGCGTAGAGAAAGTCTGGATAAAATTGAATTTTATTTCCAAGAAACACTAGGCGAAGTGTCTGCCCCTTCCTTCACAACTCTCACGCAAACCCAACTGCTTAACTTTCTTCTCCAGTAACAATAATTAAGTCGTGGATTGGATTTAATCTTACTCGCGGTGACAATTTGCCCGTCTCTCTTCCAATTTTCTATATCAGCCTCTGATTTTTTTACTTTGGGCGGTCTCAGTTTCAGCAATGTTGTACTATTCCCCAGCCAAGAAGAAGGTCTTAATTCCTGCTAAACAATTATTATTATGAAAACCTTGATAAGAAACCTATGCATAGTTGCTGTAATATTAATATTCTTTTCTTACTGGGCAGCCGGTAACTCCAGCACTTCCATATGGAGACGTGCGACACTTTTTGTGGGTGTGGTTTCCCTTGTGATTCGTACAATTTTACTATTTCTGAGGTGTAGTTGTTGTTGACCCTCGGCGTGGGGTGCAAATGGCTGACCAGAGAGAAACGATGATGTGGGAGTAGTAGTAGTCGGCTATGCGTGTTGGGTAGGGCGGATGGACAGGACTAGATTTCGTGTGGGGATAGCAGTTCCGGTGACCTTTTGGGGATGATCACTCTGACCATGTCACTCGAAGGGGAAGATATACAAAAGGCGTCGTGACCTTTGCGGCGACCCAAGACAATTAGTGAGTGAGTATCCTAACTAGTAATGTTTCGGAGGAGGTGGAGGTTGATTAAAACGGACTTTAAAGAGTTTGCTTGTTTGTGTGGAGGTGTAAAGACTGGTGGTTGAATAGCGACGCCCCACCACAATGCTCCTAATAAAGGTTGTATTAGAAAAGTACAAAATTAAGAAGAAGTCCTAATTAGAAACACGATTTAGCGAGGAACTATCGTGGTAGTAGTAAAGTCCTCTCATTGGATCTGCCAGAGGTTGGTTGGTATTCTTCTGCTCGCTCAAAGCCTGTCGATGCTGCAGATGGGAGAGGAACCCAACTCACTCGCTACGTACGGAACCATACCTCTTTTTCACCATGAGACTGCGGGCTGGAGAGAGAGAATTTAGACAAGAATCTCGCTTAGCTTTGCCAGCAATGCTGCTTGCTGCTGGTGTGCCCTATATATTGTAAAATCACATCACATGTGCGTTCACTAGGAGAGCGAGAGACTACTCGGATAGCAAATCGAGACTCGTGAAGAGACGGCTCGGCTAACAATAAGTTGGTTCGGCTTTATGGTGTGCAAGCTCAACTCTCAGAAGCAAGAAACTCCTTCAATTTTAACCCAGTGCATATGAACGGAGAGGTTGGATTCAACGGGTTGGTGGCTCTCGTCCTTCTTCAATTTTCCAATTCGCTTTACACACACTTTACATTACACATTGCTGGCTCTCTCTACAACTCTTCTATTGCTATTTCAAGTTTCAAAGCAGCGGAAAACATTTCCCTTCAAGATGGCTGTATATATACGTGTGGCGACGACGACGACGTCCAAGACACCTCTCTCTCTTTTACCTACCTCTGCTCTGCTGCTGCTTGGATGGAAGCATGAATCTCATGAATTCAATATGAGAACTAGGAATATTATGCTATATACATACTCCTACTACTTGTACTAGAGTGTGGTACAACTCGGATGGATGTGTGCTATTTTTCGCACAATTTCTGCTGAGCAACTTCTCACACACAACTTTCCCTAGGAGTTTGATGCCTCGGACTGACGTAGTGCGAAATGAGTACATGGTCAGAAAAGATACTGGTCGATTTAGCAGGTTGGAGGACCAGAGTGTGACCTATTTTCCTAGGTGGACCTCAGGAGTAGGAAAGGAAGCCAAGTGGTAGTCAAACTAAACAACCACCACACCCCATACTCATCAATGCCTGTAAAGTTGTAAACCATGACATGATGTTAATTTACATGTATGCTATGCACTCAATAAATATCATGATAATAAACTGGAGAAAGTTTTCATAATCTGAAAGCGTAGTAAAAAAAATACAAGTACGGATTGTATATTACATATGCATGTTCTTAATTTACGGACGAAAATTTTATTCATGGAAAACGGGATTCATTGAACATAAAAGTTTACTAGTAACCATAGGTTTTGATACGTAACACAAAAAATTTAGTTCATTGCAAGTACAGTTAAAAAAATCCCATATCTTGTATGATTCTGTAAACACAAGGGTGGTGCAGAGAGAATCAGTACACACCGCCAGTTACATAACTATTTGACACTGTTCAGATCAATCGCTTAATATACGGGACGCGTCTAGAAGTAATTAATTATATACAGCTTACAGCAATAAATATGTACAGTCGTCTCTTCAATTCGATGACGTTGGGTGTGTATGTGTGTTGTGTTACTGACCTCCGGGTGTGTTACCTGGAACACTGGCTGCCTGCGGTGGCGCTGGTTGCTGAGATGTAGAATTTGCTGCGAGCGAAGCCACGGTCTTCTGCTTCAGCATTGTCCAATCAAAAGTGTAATCATATTGATGATTCAGGGTTCGAAACAAAATGCGGAAAAGTTGTCGAAGGTACATGTAATCTGGAACTTCCTCAAAGCGCAGGCCACGACAGTAATTAAGATACATAGCAAATTCCGCTGGGTAGCCCTGAATGAAAGTTAAAACAATACATGTTAATAATCCATTGTCTTTTTTTAGAAAAAAATTTCTCTCCAAAATATAAAAAAAGATCTCACCTTGCACAAAAGTTCGACAGGAGTTGACATTTTCTTTTCGCTGATTTTTTCATACTTTTGTTTCTTCGTTGCCGCTTTCAGACCTTGCCACGGAAGACTGCCTCGGTTGAAATACATCAATACTAAAAAAATAATGTTTGAGGTAATTACTAAATGAATTTAAAGTCAACTGAATTCGATCTCATAAATTCATGTAAAAATGACTTACCGTATCCAAGTGACTCCATGTCATCCCGTCGACTGTAAATTTTATACAACAGAAAGGCAATGTAATTAAATTTAAACAACACCACATAAACTCATTTTTTATTAACATTTAAAATTAAGCATAATTACCTTTGCTCTATTCCTAGATGAGCATTAATGGAGGCGTAACGAGCGGTTCCAGTCAAGTTCTTATCCTCACGATACGGAATGTGATGACGAGTACGAGAATCGCGGTACTTCTTGGCGAGTCCAAAGTCGATCAAGTATAGCTATGCACACATACAACAACCAAATTGTTGAAAAAGTGTTGCCCCAAAACCCAACCCTCGTTCTTTGTACGAATGCTACCACCACTGATCAATTCTTTCAAATCAAGTGTAAAGGCTACATGCATACCTTGTTACAATGACGCCCAATCCCCATGAGAAAATTGTCGGGTTTGATATCGCGATGAATGAAGTTTTTCGTATGAATATACTCCACTCGTCCAATCATTTGATCAGCTAGCATCAATACAGTCTTGATGGTAAACCGACGAGAACAGAAGTTAAATAGGTCCTCCAAGCTGGGTCCAAGAAGGTCCATAACCAATACATTGTATTCTCGTTCTTGCCCATACCATCTGCACAAAACAAACTCAGTTAGTTTCAACTATTTCTCTTCTCTCAATTGATAAATCAATAAATTTTACAAAATCCACTAGAATAAAGTTGATAAAATACTTACCGAATGTGAGGAATTCCTACGCCCCCTTGTAAAATTTTGTACAATTTACTTTCATAGAGTAACTGAGGGTGACGAGCCTTGCAGCTCTCGAGCTTCACAGCCACCTCCTGAAAATTACAAATAATGAACAATAAACAATTATCCTCTTGAACAACAAACACAAACTCCTCTTCACCCTCCTCTCCTCCTGTTCCTTTTAAAGAATAGAAATAAAAACAGACTGGAGCTAAATCAACAACAACCACTTTCCAAGTGTACTATACAAATATATATATCCACCAATAAATTAAATCGTTAATCCTAAGAAATCCAACACAATAGACCTTTCTTTCAGTACTTGACCAAAATATCCCTTCTCTTTGACGACAACATTTAACTGTCCACGAAACGTTTCAAGTAAACATTTTTCCCCTCTCTTTTTCTCCTTCCTCATCGGGTGTGGCTTTTTTACGGCCACACCACAAACTTCAGTATATCCACTCACCTCTCCATTTGTTATGTTGATGCCCAAGTATATATCTCCAAAAGAGCCTGACCCAATCTTCCTCACGAGACGATATCTCCCACCCACGATAAACTCTGACCTCGAAGAAGGGGTGGAAGCAGCCATCGTCCTTCTCCTCTTTAAGAGAAGGACTTTTTCGCTAGGCGATGATGATGATGACGACGACGACGAGGGTGACGACGAGTGGCGGAGAGGTTGTGGGGACGACGACCAAAAGACGACGACGACTAGGACGAAAACCAAGAAAAAAAGGCGACAGAAAAGAGACAGAACGTCGACGACGACTTCTCACAACTTTCTGATGGACGAGTCCTCCTTCCTCTCTCCTCTCCTACCAACAAAGAATTAAACAATGCAATCCCTCATCTGTCTCTGGCCAGCCAGCAGAGCTACGACACCAGACGCCCATCCATACCGGCCACCACTCACCTTCCTTCCTTTCTTTTCTTCCTTCTTTCCTTTCTTCTCGAGAGGCAGGGGTGGCGAGGCGCAGTCTGTGGATGGTGCTCAAGGTGAGAGTGAGGATGACGAGCGGCGTGGCAGTAGCCCGGCCTGTGCCGCCCCTGACGCGTAAGCCAAACAGAGAGCAGCTCTATAATAACGCCAAGTAACCAAGGTGTAAGAGTGAGTGAAGCGACAAGCAGTCGCCACCACCACCACCACCAACAAGATCAACAAGCCTATTCCGTCCATGCGCTGTCAACTTCCTCCTCTTCGAATAGGAGGGTGGCATCTGCTGGGGAGAAAGGGCGAGGTCAGGAGTGGGAGTTGGCGACAGGTGGGGGATAAAAGTCCAAGGAGAAACCCAAGTAGGCCCTGGGCTGGGTGGGGCATTGAGAGGGGGATTGCATTATTATTTTGATAACCACGGGTCACTAATTAATGGACATTTAACTTTAGCATAAGATGACTTTGCCAAATGCGCAAAAAGTTTGGGATTTTGGTTTCGCACATAAACTACTCAGATTGAACATGATTGCACAGACGATTGCACACGCAGAATTGAGCTCAAGGACGATAGCCGACTTGTTCGTCGTCGGGATAAAAGGATAGATTTGAGGAAAGTCTATTATTAAAAAATGATGCATCTGTCAATTTGTCGTGTATGAATAAATATAAAAGTGAGAGATGTGTATGTATAGTTTGTAAAAAAAATCACATTTTTAAAGACCCCCTACAAATTTATAATGCTTGATGTACTGCAAAATGAGGTTACAACAAGTGGTGAAAGCTTAGCTTGTGCTTTCTCTCAATGCTCAGATAGCCCCCGAGTAGCAATTTACGACGTATATTCCACATGCAAAGTACGCACAGTTATGTTCCTCTGGCTGGGCAGTCATGCAATGCAAATTGCGAATGTACCACGGCTCTATGAATGCACAAATTTTAGCGAATCGCACGTTGAAGCATGAATAGTCGAAACCGGGAAAGGGTTATGCTTCAGTGGCATGGAATGACCAGGTTGGAAGAACTGCGAGATTTTCATTTCAGAAACTGAACTGCTGCTGGGAGCAGGTGGAGCAGTCGGATTTAGTTTATTTTCATAATATGTACATGTTTATATAAATAGTACATGTTTTACAAACTATTATTGTCTTTGGGTTGACAATTATTACTTGGAATTAGATAAGGGAGTTTTGGGCAGGGCATTGTTAAAATAAATTATAAACGTGGTCAGTGTCTGCACATTCCGTTTGACACATTCTTATATATTTTTGACATAATGTGATTCATTGAACGGAGACTGACGCTATATAACCAAAAATCAACCTTTTAGCTCAAGTACCTACCTCACGAATGCCGGTAAATAACCTATACAACGGGTTATCGGGACATTAAGGGATTTCTCAGGAAATATGTTTAATACTTCGTCAACGTCACGACACCAACTTAATTGCTGCAACCTGGTTATGCTTTAATAAAAAATAGATTCATTGTGATTTACTTATTGACTCGGGTCAAGCACTGCCGCTGATATTTAAGCAATAATCTCAACAACTTTATTACTAATTGACAACAGCCACTGTATATGATTTGCATACTGTGTGGTAATAATTAATTTGTATATACATGCAAATATTTTAGAGTCATGAATTTAAAAAAGTAAAGATATGTCTTGCTTATCTTTCACAGGGCAACTTTAATTGTACAAAACCAAATTAATCAAGATGAAGAATATCGTGCTTGGTGTATGCGTTATTTTTTTGGGGACGTTGATCAGGGTGCCTTCCGTGCAAGGGATGGTCGAAGGACTGTATTGTGGGCTAGAGAATTGTTATGATGGTATTGGAAATTAAAGTGAATATCTCAGAATAATCCAATCATATGTAAATTCTAATTCACAATGTATTTTTCATATTCCAGTCCTGGGTGTGACGCGTGACACTGAAAAGATCGTAATTTCCAGGGCTTATCGCCAACTAGCTAAACAAAACCATCCTGACCGTTTCCAGAGTGAGGAGGACAAGGCGACGGCGACTGCAAAGTTTAAAGTTATTGCAACTGCGTGAGTTTTTATGCATTAATACGTTTTGTTATATGAGGCAAATCAAGCTTTTGCATGGAAATCTTTATGAAATAATTTTCTCAATTATTAGGTATGAAATTTTGAAGGATGATGAAGCCCGTGTCGACTATGATTATATGTTGGACCATCCTGAAGAACATTATCGACATTATTATCATTACTACAGAAGGCGTATGAGCCCGAAAGTCGATGTAAGACTTGTAATAGCCGTTACGATATCAGTAATATCCGTGTTCCAATACTACACTGCCAGGTTCCGGTAAGAAGAAAATTTGATGAGAACTACTTATCGAATGCAAATTGTATAAAAAACTAAATGAAATTCTTGTCATTTCAGGTGGAACTCTGGGGTCAGATACTTAGCTACTCAACCAAAATATAGGAAAATGGCTTTAGAATATGCTGAAGTTGAGGGGATGTTGGATGAACTTAGGAAAACCAAAAAGCGAAATAAAGAATTTATAAAAACCGAAGAAGATAGAATTATCAAGGTGGTATTGGAAGAAAATATGGATATTCGGGGTGGGTATGCAAAACCAAGAGTAACTGACGTCCTTTGGGTGCAACTAGTAGTTCTTCCATACACAATTGCTCTCTACTTTGCTTGGTACTTTCGCTGGGTTTGGAGATTTTCCATAAAACGAGAAGAGTTTGGCCAAGAAGAAAAATTATATTTAATTAGGAAAAATTTGGGTTTAAGTGAAACACAATTCGAGGTAATTGTAATTACATTTGTTAAATTAAAATTGTGTGTTAATTTCAGAATCTTAATCTTAGTTTGAATTTTCTGTTTGACAGAGCGTTACTGAGACTGAAAAAGACGAATGGTTGAAAGATGAGTTGTGGAAAACTGATAAGTTTAAAGTGAGTTTTGGATACTTATTCAAAAAATAAAGCACACAGTAGTGAAACTTTGTTACTCTATTTATTTAGGCGTGGAAAGAGGAAAAGATTGAAGAAAGAAAGCGTCAAATGGCAGAAAGTGGCCGGTACAAATCTGAACGACGATATATGAAAAAATATGGAACAGGACGCATGTACTTTGATGACTCGTGAATTGAAAATAAATCTCAAAACTTGGTTCACATTTTTATTATAAACTTATAATCATTTTATTCTATTTTTATTCTACATCATATTTCATATCGTTGGTTGAAAATAACAGCTCAATCACAGGACAGTATATTTACTAAAAATATATATGAATATATACGTATATATATATATGCGCACCAGTGTATACGTACTATATCGTTGAACAAAGAACGTACCCGTTATACTTAAACATTGGGAAGACATGGAATGACTTAAAACTACAAACAATTTATCCAATTACAATAACAACACGCACCAACTGCAGTCTCAATTAAGTTGAGGATTTCCTGATTAAGTTCGAGGGGAAATTCATCCATGATCCCATCCAAGTTGTCTTTGTACAATATGCTAATATCCTGAATGGCAAAATAATTTATTTCAAAAATGTAATAGTTATATCATTCATTAACTCATACTACATATACACTTACATTGGAAGATTTTATGAGGTTGATTTCAATAAGCACTGCCGACTTCTTAAGATTTGGATTGAATATAACTAGTTGATGAATTTTTCCGTCTGGTGCCACAAAGTAACGATGTTCGTACTTGGTCACGTTTGATAAAAGCTTGATGAGTGTCTATAATTAAATTAAATTAAATGCATTAAATATTAGTCATAGTCGATTCTAGGACAATAAGCTAATAGCTGAAGGTACACATGTACTTACATGGAAAAAATTTATGGGTTGATTTAACAGTATTTTCAACTGCGGATCCAAATCACGTAATGGTTGAACATGAATAAGCTCCAACAGCTCGGAAAACTCCCAAAATGTAAGAACACCCACCTGATTAAATCAAGTTACATGAATTTGTGATTACATAAATACATACAACAAATATTTATATGAACAAAATACGTATATAACAATGTATTTTTTTAAGCCTCACAGTTTCACGCAAAGTAAGCTCATCCCTATCGGAAGCATTTTTAGCTGGAGGCTTTCCGCCCAATTGTAGACGCTGCCAGAGTAAATCCCTACGACAATCTACAGCAGCCGCTTCCACCATGCTTCGGATAAAATTTTCGGCCCAAACAGTTTGTTCTTTCAAGATTTCTTGCATCATTTGCTCATGAGATGAAAAATATCCCATGTAATGTACCTTTTCTTCTCTGCAAAAACATTCATGGATAAATCTATTAATGGAAAACTATCATCTACATAAATATGTGCGATAATAGTACCTGATCACGTTATGATGACCTGAACTTTCTGACATGTCACTCTGATTGCCACACGACCTTGTTTCCATTTCGTGCTCACTCAATTGTTGACCATTATCAAAACTTTTACGATCTTTTCTTATCGAAAAGTCTGACAACGGTTGAGGCGCGCAGACAGGAAACAATTTTCCACAATTTAAGTCTCCAGATAAGTTTGGATATAATTCTCTGAAATTTCAATTTAATACTTTTAATATACATATATTTATGAATCTAAAATAATGGCAAATTTATAATTTAAACCATGTCCTTGTTTCCTACGTACCTTCGACTTGTGAGTACAATGTAATATTTGATTTTTAAAACGGAAGGGTCCGTGTTGTACACTCTTCCCCCAGATAGTACATCGTGAGAAATTACCAATGACATTTCAAATTCTCCCAAGTGACTTTCATCTTCAGATTCCCTGTAAGCAACCCTCTTGGTCAATGTGTAAACCAAGGCGGCGTCATCATAACCAAAACCTGGCATACTTCCCACCTACACAACATATTAATATTATTATTCTATATGTACTTAGGATTATTCACGAATTGTGATTCATAAATCTTGTTAGAATTCACCTGGTTCATCTTTAGAACTGTCATTTCATACTTTTTATTATGGGCTAAAATGTAATCAAACATAATGTGGGATGGGCTGGAGATATTTTGCAGAGACAAAATTCCTGAAAAAAAAAATCTCAATTTAGTGATCTTTGTTTCATATAAATTAGGCTCGTGGTTAGTTGTAAAGATTATATAATGAATTATATTTCGTACCTATGTGTACTGTATTTCTCGCAAAGTTTGGACCCTTACAATAATAACTTATAAAATCGTCAAGAAATTTTGTAACATGATATCCTTGTTTGATAACGTGTCTCCCACAAATATGGTTCTGAATGCTGCGAAGATGAAAGTCATATGCGAACGAGTGAAGGTGCATAAGAACCTTCATCTTGTCACACTCATCCACGAACCCAATAGTGTTCTGTTAAATATTAACAAAGTCGAAATTTAATTTAATTTAAATTAATAATCAAACGTACATACACGTGTGCACAATTATATTCTTACATGAGAGGTAGCCGCTCGTTGTGCAAACTTCTTGCCTTGAATTCGATGAACTTCCAATGCATGGATTTTACAATAACTGAATGGTTCAATGAAACCTACTTCGAGTAAAATTATCCCTCCGGGCAAACTTTTCTGAAGATAAAAGACTTTCTCCTCGGTATCTGCTTGTACTTTACTATGGTTTCCGTTGGGTGAATGACTTTGCGAATTTTTGTCAGAGTCTACGGATAAAACACTGCCATCGCTCATTCTCCTCATTCTTTCTAAACGACCAACATAACTCTGTGTCCAATTGTCGGACGTAAGGACACTTTGCTTCCTAGAATATAATTAAAACATAACAGTTAATTAACTTTTTGACTTGTTAAACGAATTAAATAATGTACATTAATTAATTAATTTGCATCACTTTGCATTAGAATTTCCTTGAGCGGGTATAAATCCAAGAGTTTGGAGATACTGCATGTATTCTTGAATGTACCCATTACATTGGTTAGAGTGCCATGAATCTGAAACACGCTTAGGACTTCGAGAAGACAGTGTTACAATATCCGGATCCTCATCTTTACATTTTTCTGATTGTAATCGTTTCCAAAGGCTCCAAATCGGTAAGATAGGAGGCTTTGATCCTTTGGACAAGATACTCCTGTAAGATGATTCTGATGCATGGCGTGGTCTTTCTTTTTCATCCTGTAAAACAAGTAGTATATATATACCTCATAATTATTAGTTTGTCACGTCAAGAATACATGTTGTGAAAAGTAATGCTGCAATGCGCAATAAAATATACATACACTAATAACCGGCAGGTTGGACTCTGAAAGTCGTGCCCGTTTGAAAATTCCAGAACTACTATCCCTTGTCAATGAAATTGCTGTTCTCCATCTGAATAATGCATAAATCAAGACATGTTTAAGGAGTTCGTAATTTTAGTTTAGTATAAGGTTTAGTAAATAGAATGTTGACAATGATACCTTGGCAAAAAGAAAATCGGAGTCATGCAGTAATGAATCATTCTTGCAGTTTGTTTCAAAGCTTCGATGGCGTCTTTTCCAATTACATTTGAAGCGCTTGGTCCTCGACTCAACCAATATCGAAACAAGGCACTTTCAACATCTGAATAAGTAATAACGAGGAAATATAAAATATATAATTAAATAAACAAACATCTACATATATATTTTTAAATGGTATCCGATCATTTCATTCAAAATCACAATGATTTCTATGTTTACCATTTCTTCCTTGTTCAACCAAATTAATCAATTGCTCCCCGTGTATGCTAATTGGAGTAGACTGAATCTCATCGTCATGCAAGTTTAATAGATGAGTGTGATGAAGATTCCTGTTCGCATGATTAAATAAAAGACAAGTATGTAAAGTCGCGTTGTATACATTTTAAATTTGTGACATGTTTTCATACCTGTACAATTCACTTATTTGAGTCCGACTCTCTGCAAAATTCTTTCCTGCAATTCGCTCTGCCACGGGTACATATTTCGGTGGATAACAATTTCGGACGATATCCTGTATTCCCGTGGTTGGTGGGACGTGAGCCATTGACGTAGCAACCTGGTCATGTTTACAACGAAATTATTATTATTCTTCATAGTTCAATTTATAATTTTATTAAAAACGACTTACAAGTGGATCCTTAAGAAATGGCTGATTGTAAAAAATTCCCGACTTTTGCAGTAAAATGCTAGACATTAAATCCCAACGACACCTACTCCATGTAGCTAAAATTTTGGATTGGTCGATAATCTTGTCCGAAGCTTCCTTGGCCCAATTATAAAATATGAATTCGACCTGCACCACATACAACATAATGTCATTCAGTGAGTATAGAACAATAACAACAGTATGATAATGATAACCGACTACTCACAGATTGCTTGGAGACGAATGCAAGGAGAAACCTTTGGCGTGGAACCAAAGTAGATTGAAGGCAACTTTCCTCACACGTTTCGCCAAGCAATGACAATAGCCCATTTTTTGTAGGAAATTTCGTTTTGTCCGCATTTAGTGAACTTTTGTCATCACAAAAATTAATCGGTTCGGACATTAATGGATAAAACTTGTGCAAGTTTTTAATTACTATAATTTAGCAAACCAAAGAGAATAAATTAGTTGGTTATAAACAAAGACATATATAAATTACTTACGATCTGATGAATTGAATGCCATGCCCAAGGTCTTTTTGTCATAAACGCATGATTCCCAATGACTAAGATTCCGAGCAATTAAAATGCACGAACTCGGCTTGGAAGAAGGTTTAAAACATTCACGGGTGGTAAAAAGTTTCAATAATTCGTCGGGATACTCCGCTTCGTCTTTCTTTTCCAGGTTTTCTAGCTTTCCCTCATGTGATTTAAAACTATCTACATCCTGACACACTTTATGAAGCAATGATTCGTATTCCGGACGGATCTTTTTTCCAACTGTTAGAAATTCGCGCATATCTTTGTTCAGTCGCCAAAACTGCGCAGTTGAATTGTCAGGAGAAATTGTATGAATGATCTTAATAATTTCCTCAATTGTCTCATCCAAGTAATGTTGGGGTTTGAACTTAATTTTTTCTATCCTGAGGGATGGTAAGTTCAGAGGAACGCCAATATTACACCATTTTTTGAATTTCGACGAATAATTCGGATGTAATTTGTCAATATCTTCAATAATAGTTCTACATTTAAAAAATAAAAAAATAAATCTTGAACTTGATGTTTCTACAAATGTGCAAGAAAATTTACCTTCTTGTGCTGACATAGTCAAACCCAGATCGTATGGTTTCCGTTGATGCAGTGCTACCGCGAAGCTAAATAAAACATAAAACAATATAACCAATTGTTGAATGTAGTAATTGCAAAGATAATGTCAAATTTCCTTACAGAATTTCTAGACGAGAAAGACTCTAAAGATGGAATGTCTAATCTAATTGCAGGAGCATAAGGTGATTGACGCCTCACTAAAATAAAGGGATCAAATTATAAAATGTAATAAATAACAAAATTCGCTATAGAGATGATTTTGTACCAGTATAAGACCATGATCTTTCTCTTGGCTCGTCATATTGATCAACAGCTTTCCCCAAAGTGATGGCCGAACTATTTCTACGTCTCAGCAAACGATCAGATACACATGGAATGACGGGGGATCCACACGCTGAATTTTTTAGTTCTACATGAATGAAGCAAAAACATATAATCAAACAAAGTGAATTAAAAATTTTTCTTTCACAATAAAATTATTATATAGCGCAGCCAATCATACCCATTATCAAGTCTTTGTTACGTTCTATGGTATCTTGGTCTTCCATGGCTGCTGGTGAAAACAGCGATGGAGTTAGAATCTGATACTCCATTGCTAAATCCCATCCCCCATGTTTTATTGCGGATAAAAAGTTGTTCTTTAAAATATCCAGGTTGATACGTCCTTGTTTCCAGACGCATAGTTCCAAAATGATGTCTGACGTTTGAGTATCTGTTGGTAATAACATTAAACAAATATAATAACTGTAGTTTAAGAAACTGCACAAGAATAAATGCATTTCGATCATTTCATACCATTTACTATTTCATCCGTTTCGATAAAGGTTAGTAATTCACTCATTGCTAAAGAGAATTGAAAGTTCCATGGACGCTTCCAATCCGCACAACGTAACAGACCGCCATTTCTGTCCACTATTGCAACTGACACACAAGCAACTCCTCGGCTGCCGGTACCCCCTGGACTTTGATTGTACAAATACACATTATGTTCTTCCAATTCCGGTCTGAAACGATTTTCAGAGACTCTGTGATAATCCTATGTCGAATAAAATATTAATGTATTTGTCGTCTCAATCTTTAGTAAAGGAAACTAGAAAAATGTATACAAAAATCATGTTCTACCTGGAAATGGAACTCTGTTTTAGTATATTTTGGAATGTTTAAAAATTGCAACAGATTCTGATGAAGAAAAAATGCGAATGGAGAAAGCAATAGCTTCACAAATCGTCCTGTTGTAAACTAGAGAAGAGAAAGACAAAAATACAAATATCAAAATCATTGGGCACAAAAATTGACATAAGTAATTGTTGTGAATTGAAATGTTACCCGAACTAAAGCGTCAGGAGGCGAGAGAGGTTTTTGTATAAAATGAACATCTTCTGGGGTCAGTTTACAGTGAGGGTTTCGATCCAGGGTTACGGATAAAACATCAAGCACAGCGTCGTCCAACTTGTTACGTAAAGACTGAATTAGCTGTTCCTTAATTTCATTCCCTGTAATTTCAACCAAAATTGTTTTTAGAGAAAAGTTTCAATAACACAAATCAGTAATTATATGAACTTGTAATATATAATACCTGCTTCAGTAACTCCATGCACTTTTAGCAAAACAATGCCTTCTGTCGGCGTTGTTCTCCCGATGAGACTGTTTAGAGCCTCTCTCAAGATGATTGGGGGATCATCTTTGTTGCTCTAATAAAAAAAGTTGGCCATCAGTTAATTTTTGTGTTTAAAAAATTTAGAGATAAAGTATTTAACCAACATCGGCTGATGGGTGATGCATACGAGATCTGGATGATATGCTAGATCTTGGAGATGGATTTTCAGATGGGCAATCAACTCCCATCATTTCGTCGTAAGTTTCAATTACTCGGTAGAGTCTGAAAGTAAAGCAAAAGTTAATCAATGTGTGACTAGTAAATAAGTTGATTTGGTCTTACCTCAAGTAAAACACATTTCCTAACGAGTTACGGTATACAAACATGTTCTCTCTATTTCCTACTTCAAATGCCATAAGTGTTGATCGGAGAATCTTCAAAGTCATGAAAGAAAGTATTAATAAGTTGATATCATGGGTAGCAAATTAAATTATTATAATTGCATAGTTATCAAAAGGGCATTAATTTCTGTATTACCTGCATTCCCCGAGAAAACGCAGATTTTCCTGGACCAGATTTTAGGCGAGGATGTAATTTAAAAGTAGTTTCCCATACAACGTCACACGCAAAAACTGCTACATTATTAGTATTGGTGGTCGAATCCATATCAAGTTCTATGCAGCGTCATAAATTTAAGTTTGATATGCGATACAACAGTTCATTATTTTGAAGTTATTACCACTTCGTGGTCCATCGTCATAATTTTTAGATGAAAGACTTTCGTCCATCCCTGAGCGGTTTGTATCAGGTTCTAGCAGATTGCTGCACATTCGTGTATCATGTAGACTTTGTAAGAGTAAATCCTGGTTGACAATTCTACATTGTAAAATGGTTGTCAAATATTAACATATAATAATAAGTACTTTAGATGGAGTTTAAACGCAAACGTATAATTGAACCGACCTAATCAGACGAGCAATCTCAGCAAGGATAATGCCTCTCGTTTCTATGCATTGATTCAATGGAATCGAATCATCCTCATCGTATCTATTCATAAGTAAAATGTAATATGTGATAATATAGTTTAAGAATAAAAATAAAATTTTAGGAATAAAACACACCGACAATGACAGTAAGCAAACACATTTTCTCGGTCTACTTTAAACAGTATCCAATACGGCAAACGACTTTCCACGTTCAATTCTGAAGAAAATTTACAATTAGATAACAAATAGAAAGCACATATTCCAAAAAATAATGTCAAAGTTCTAACATATTACCAATTTCTGATATAGACGTTGTACACGTAGTGCTCCCTTCGCTTTCATCAATACTTTGGTGTAATAAATCGTCGCTACTCTCAGTATCTATAATGTCTGAATCACTGTCCCTTTCAATCTCTACGATTTTCTTACTACTCGTCGAGGCCACGAGGTACAACCAATTTTCGAGCTTTTTAAATGCAAATCCAGGAAGCCACAAGTTATCAAATTGCTGCAATATAAATACAAATTGTGCAAATACTAATCTATGTGAAATAAAACGTGAAATAACTTGATTTAAATACCCCAACAAATTTTTGATAACCCCGAGCAGAATTTTCTACAAATTGTAATGGAATGCACTGATGGAAACAACCCAATTTTGTAGACGACTCTTCCACGTGTGATGCTATTTCTTCGAGCATATTTGTCGTAAGACTAAGCGAATTTGACCGTAAAGAGGTGATTTCATCATTAAGAAGCCACTTAATCTGTAAGTAATTTGAAATTGAAATAAATAAGTAAATAGTTAAAATTTAACCTTTTTGTACATTACATATAATACAACTTACTTCTTTTAACATGGTGTCTAAAGCTTCAACTTGAGCCATGGAGATATTCTGACACTCGTGAAAACTTTAAAAAATACTTATAGTTACAAAAACTAATCACTCCATATTGAAATAATACAGTACAAATTGTACGAATTCTTACTTGGTAAAGTTTGATACTGCAGGTTCCTCCATAGAATCATTTGGCATCGTCATAAAAACTAGCTCAAGTTTTGTACTCCAAACATTTGAATCATCCGTGAAATCGTCGATTTCCACTCGCAAAGAAAGATCGTAATCGTCTGAAAGGTAATTATTTTTACGATAAGAGCTTATGATGCTTAATTTATAATTGTTCGAAAACAACTATTTTGGATAACCCAATGTATTATAATCGTATAATCGAGTAGTCAATTAGTATTATAAATAACGTATTTAAACGCTACAAACTAGACTTTCTCTTAGGTTATTTTACCTATACAAACTGGAAGATCCGAAACGGCAAAGGTTTTAGAAGATTTTTCGGTAGTAGATGTACACCTTAAGAGCATAAATAAAGGTGGCGTAGGTTCTACGTTAGTACTTTCCGATTCCCTATTAAATAGAAATACAATTTTTGTTTCAAAACTATTTTTCAAATGACCAATGGACAAAAAATGAAAAATATCTTTAGCTTATGTTTGTGCATACCGTCTGCCACAAGTCATGTCAGAAAAGTTGAAAACGTCAGACGATGAATTCCATTGATCAGTCTCTCGGAATGACTCTGAATCCCTTTTTTTATCATCATCAAAATCCATGAATGGCAAATATTGCCCGTAATCACAGAACATATTTTCCTAGTGACAACAAATAGCAGTATGAATCAGTGATGTCAATTAATAAAATATAAGATCTTTTAATTAAGCTTCGTAATTACATGACTATAATGAAGACGATTTGACTTGTAATAGAAGAAATCTGAATCCACTTTGGTGTAGTTGAAGATTTTTGTTAGAATATCCTTAAATTTCTTTTGAATAAAGCTACGTATGGTGGCAGAGGTTTTACAAGCATCGTTGAGTTGTTCGTGATAGCAAATATTCTGCAAAATCCAAAATAAAATCTAATAGTCTAATCAAGTTAGTTACACAATAAATTATAAATACCTTTAAAAATTCAGAAATATCAGCAGTAATTATATTCTTGTGACACACGTTTATAACTGCTTTCAAATCCTCAGTGCTTATATAGTATCCAAGCTGAAGGCTGTGGAAGACACTTTTAACAAAGGACTTTCTATAAGAAAGTTGCAGGTTCTTGCAATACTCTTCTAACTTGACTGATGTAAACTCTGTAATATATGAATTGCATAAGTAAAAGTTGTTAATGCATAAGTTTAAAGAAACTAACCTGATTCATCTGGAGGTTTTTTGGCATCCGGGACAGGGCACTCCGTAGACGAGGATTCTGCTGGCAATTCTGATGCATCTGAAGTTTCAGCCGTTTCAACCTTTTCCGGAGCTTCTTCAACTTCAACCGATGTTTTGCCGCCTTCATCCGGTACATTAAAAATTCGAAAATCCAAACAACGATCTGGTACCTCCTGGCTGCCTCTGTAAATTAAATGGCTTCGTAGGGTGGAGAGTGAACAGTCGTACATAAATAATGGCATTGTCATAGATCCGATCATAGATTTGGACTCGTTGTCAGCAACGTGGAACTGATCTATGCATTCTGAATTGGAGAATGAATGACTGGCTTCAGCCGTTTCTGAATGGCTGCTGAAACTTAGATTCAAGTCTTCAACTATTGTGTACTTATTCTTTGGCACGACATATTTTGAAGTAGTTTCGTCAAAGAAACTTTGAGCAAGTGAGTCATGTAAACTCGAATCTACAGTAAATGCCTTCTTGAGAACAGGGGCAGATTCTCCCCCAGATAAAGCTCGGATACGTTTGCGTCCAACGGATGGATGAGGGTTGTCCAGTGACAAGTGTGTGACTAGACATGTGGCAGTTGATTTTTGGCAAGCATTTGGTTCTGAAATTTTTCTTTGGCGAATTTTTGTAGTTGCAGAGTAAAGTTCTGTACTAGCTTGAGACTGTGGAATAGTTAGAAAAGGTCCTTCTATTTTGGTTTTTGCCTCTGCAGCCGTTATAACACATTTACATTTCTCAACAATGAGAAAAAATAGTTTTGTATCTCTTAAAGTTTTTGGAACGAGAGTAATTAGTTGTTGTGACGGATCCACAGATTTCACGAAGCATTTCCATGCTGGCAAGTCGTCTGAATTGACTATAAACCATTAGTAGGATTTATTATTTTAGTAGGATTAGTAAACCTTCGGTAAATGGACTACTGTAAGTTAAAGTTGGTTCTTACATCTAGAGTCCTTTCCTGTTTTAGTTACATCCTCTCTGGAGAGAACCATGGTGAGCAGAGATGCAAAATATCTAGAGTCTATCATGATTTCTTTATCATGGACATCTGCTAAACTTTCAGTCCATGAATTGTACAGAGTTTCATTAGCTCGTTCATGGTATGGAACAAATTCATTTTTCCCCTCAACCGAAAATGCATGGCCCAAGTCTATGAAACAACGATATCATTACATATAATGCACACTGCTTTGTGCGAAAATAATAATGCATTCACAAGTAATCTTATACTGCCGTACCTTGAAAAAACATGGAAAATAGCATCTCTGTTTGAGAGCATTTGGGGAGAACTCGTCCCAGTTCAAATTCGAAAGGAATAAGAGTTGTGTTATTTTCCTCCATGGAATTTCCTCCCGCAATAGCACGCCTGCGTGAAGTAAAAAACAATTTAAAACGTAATGCTTAAAATATCATTGGTATTTGAAATAAATAACGCAAAAAGTTTTACAGGCGTCCAGCTTTTCCTTTCTTATCGATGTAGTTGCTCTTGGGAAAACCTTTTAAATAGTCAAATGCTCCGAGAGTCAGAACACATTCCTTGTTGATTTCAAAAATCTATAATTTAATAGTTAATTTATGCATATAGAGAATAATTGGGACATAATTAAATAACTCTAAGTGGAGGATTCTATCAGTTTATGCATAAATGTTGTGTATTTCTTACTTTGTCAGCTATTTGTGAAAACTGCAGTCCATTTAACAAATCAAACTTGCACCCCGTTAATTCTCCACATTGTGGCTCAATCCAAGACTCCGTAATCAAGAAAATGTCCTTGTTTTCTTCTGGAGTTTCGATATCATCGTCAAAATGTCTGCGCCAGTGAAATCATGGAGACCAAGTTTAAAAGCATGCAAAAGGTAAAAAATGCGTTAATGGTAATCCATAATCCTTACGGAGTTAGTGATGTGGTCGGAGGAAACATTACAAACTGCAAAACACATGGCGTGAGATAAGTCTCATCCACAAATTTGTGTTCTAAAGTGCTGTCCAATTCATGTGTTGGCACATTTGTTCTATTCTATAGGTACAATTTTATAGATTTATAAATTTATGGTGTATGATATAAATGAAAAGTGGGGCTATTACCTGCATTTGAACTTCAAAAACCATGCTTACTGTACCAGAAGAAGAATATGCGAATCGGAAGCCTTCTTGCAATCGCATCCTAAATTAACATTATAAAAGCCAACGCCATTAGAGATAATGGACGAGTTTAAAAATTATATGTACACACTTACTTGGTTATCACCGTTAAAATTTCAGAAGCATCTTTAACCTCAAAATCTGGTAGAACACACTTTGGAAAATACCAAATCCATCGTTTGTGGTTTAAATACCGGGCAACGGTATTAAACATTTCAGGGACCATGATAGTCGGCGTTCCTCCAGGTGCTGTTCCTCCAGGATTTGTCCTTTTGAAACCAAATGTTGATTGTTGAGAAGCATTCGGAGATTTAGGATCGGATGGGATGTCGTATGTATTTTGTGGCATCAGTACTTCACAATAGTTGTCTGGAACTTTCTCGTACCTAAAATATTCAATTGTTGTCAACTCTTCTTGTTATTTTAAGGTTATCATTTACACCTGTACTTACTTACCTAATTAATATCTTCTCTATTGGCTTGCTCATCAAAATGCAACAGGGCATGTCGGACCACGATGCTTTATTAGCCTGATCAGATGAATTTGTCGAATTTCCACTTGGAAACCTCCATCGTGGTGGTACTTTCAGTCTTTGAGGAAATGTTAGAACCCCAATTTTTTCTTGAATTTCAAACAAACATCATATTGCAGATACTTGGTTTCCATATTTATATTGTTCAAAGACTAATCTCACCTATCAGAGACGATACAGTTTTATGTCTAAGATTTCCTGGAGTTCCAACTAAAAATGCCAGTCTGAGAACGACATATGGTGGTTTTGATGTAACTCTAATAATGTAAAAAGAAAATGGAGCAGATTTGTCGTCTTCATTGCTGAAATAAAAGTTCAAGTTATGCATATAAAGTTGAAACCGTAAAGTCCAAAGAAAATTCCACAAGACTTGGTTATATATTTCCTTACTTGTACATAAGTGTCACGTAAGAGTGATTTTCAACCAAGACAAATGAGCTTGAATTCTTGAGAAGAGTATTTAACGCCATAACTGCTTGTCTACATAAAATTACTTGAAACCTTCCGGCTGGGTTTGGATGGTGCAGATGCCTAATAGTTCAGGAAGGAAAAACAATTCATTACTTAATAACAAACAAGTATTATTAAAAACTAGAAAAATCAATGTCAATACTTTGGTAGAGGGTGATCATGTTCCAGAATTACTCCAATGCGATGAGTGTGCATCCACTTTTGCCAAACATTTGTGTCCAGCATGCAAACTGGTTTCCAAAATTGAGAAAATTGTGGGTATGGAAAATCACTAAGAATTAAGAATTAGAATTAAGTTAATAATTTTGAACATCAAATAAAATCAACACAAGCAATAATCAGTAAATGGCTATACTTTGACTGTAACTGTGGGACAGTGGAGTTTGGAGAGAAATAGAATAATGGAACTCCGTTGCGCAAACTGTCTGGAATGTTGTAGTAGGCTTGATTCGAAGAAAATGAATTCAAATGAACAAGGAGTCTATCCGATTCTGAAAGGTTCTTCCTCGTTGCCCAGAAGCGGTTGACCATTAGTTGCCGATAAATTGAAGGAAATGACCTTGCAGCTAAACATGTTACATCATGAAGAAAGTCGTAGGGTCCTTCCAAGGAGAAAATGCACTCGGTTCGAGAATCTAGCGTCTGATCCGTTATTACAACATACTCCAAATGAATCAAAAACTTCCATGGCAGAGTTAACGTTATTTCATATTTGCATTCATCATTCAAATTTATATCCTACAAGAAATATATGCAACCGAATTTTTAGTTTCAAATTATTTCAAAATTACAGTACGATAAATAAGGTCCTACCTTGATCATAAATCCCTCACGTAAACGACAAGATAAAACCTTCATGTAGTCGACTTCAAGTTTACTTTCAAATTGAAGTTTTTTGACTATTGGCATGTCCCGAATTGTAAAGAAGCACTTATTCCTACAAATGAAATTATCAAGTTGAATCGCTAGGCATAGAATATTTTGCTAAATTATGAATGCACCAATTATACATACCTTATAGACCACTCTCCAGGTTTGATGGAAGTTGGTAGATGTGTCTCAGCTTGAATGTTATCCGAATTCTGAAAACTCCACGCAAGGAACGACAAATGATAAACATTCATTTCCGTAATAGCATCAGATGATGATGTCTAAGTTAAAAGTTAAAATTTCAAATAAAATTTCACGACTTTTGAAATGCGAAAATTGTCACAAAGCTGATAGTTACAATTTCAGGAGCTTCTGTCATAAACGAGCCAAATGTTGCTGTTGCAATAAACTTCATAAGGTCCACATAGGGAAGTACGCCATGACATAAATGTGGATGAAAGGGACTAGACAATTGTATAAACGAACAGGACACTGTGTTGTATCGAAGTTGAGACAAAATAATGTCTAAATATCTTCCGTCTGGAACACTAACTACTCCATCAGTCAAAATTACCAAACCTAAGAATGTACAAAATCGAATTCAATTAGACAAACTGAACAAGTATACATATTTCCTTGGACTTTAAATCATAAGTATCATACCAGAAGAAGAATTTTCGGGGAGCAAACTTAAAGCGATAAGGGCTTGTTTCAACAGATCAACTAGACTAAAATCAGAACTAACGGACGATTTGAAAGGTTGAATCCCAGATTTACTATCCCCTGAAGGAGTTTTCTCTTTCTCCATTTTCTAGAAACGAACAAGTTTCAAACAAGTTTTATCTTAGAACGGAAATCAATGCAACATGTTGTAATGTGTCGCTTATCAATACTAATACTAACCGCCTTTTGTCTGGCCCTTCTTGCATTAACAGTTTTAACCAATGTCTCCGTCATGGTGGCCATTTTGTTTTCGATAACATGTAGCTCTTGAAAGACAGTTTGCAAAATGTTATTGTACGTGGACGGACCTAAGAGTTTGCCTTGAAGAATAACCTAAATAAAATTCCATAAATTAGTTTGTTCAACTTGTTTGGTATATTGTTTAATTAATTTGAAAATCACCTCATTATTTATGCTAGTAACGAAAGGAGAATGCGTAATGACGGTGATAAATATCTTTGGCTGAAACACAATGGTACTCCCTGGAATATAAAACTAGAGGATGCGTAAAATTAAACATGGAAGAAAAAATTTCCTAACTGAATTGTAAAATAATAGACTAGAAAGAACTTACTGGTCTCATTAACCCATCCAGGCTTGCCCTTAAAGCCTGAAAAACTCCATCGAATATGACAGTCCCTGCTTGAATGTCCTAAAATATGACAAACCATGGATAAAAACAATCCCATTTTTTGATTATTTGCTAGACCATCCAGCTAGATTTCATACCACTGCTGCAACTGAAGGACTGACATCAATGCAGTAAACAATCCTGTATCGGCGAGAAAGATAGGTAACCACCGTCTTGGTAGTTATTTTGTACCTAAATGGAAACAATCGCCCTTAAATAAATATCTCCTTTTAAAAAATTACACCTAATTGCGTACCTGAAAGCGTGTCTCGTTTGTGGCGTCCAGTCTGGATTCGGGTCCTTTGGAATGGCAGACACGACATAGAAATCTGCCCCTTCGTCCTATGAATTTGTTGAAATTCAAACAAGATTAAAATACAAATCACCTTACAAATTAAGCAAATTTTATACCAGTGCCAGCGAGATGAGGCGATCCTTTGGGAGGGAAAAGACTGTATTGAACCTGGAGAAAAACCACTCTGCTCGTCGATTTCTTGATATTCGATGATCTTTGCTCATCAGTATGTAGACGATCTTGGCCTCCAGAATGGGACCCGTGTTCTCCTCTTCCTCCTCCTCCTCTACAACGACGACTTCCTCTTTCTCCTCTTCTTTGATAACCTCCTCCTCCTCCACAATCACCCCTTTGTCCGGAGACTCCATGGTCTTGTTCTTCTGTGAAAATGAAGGTAATTGTGGCAAATCCTCCATCGTCAAACAAATGGATAACTGCCAATTATAGCTAAAAGTTAATAGTCGCTGTCGTCTGCATTGTCTGGTGTCCCCCTCAGGTCACGACCATAGTTCATCTTCCTGGTTCAAACTACTACGCACACTGCCTGACTAACCGCTTTCTCAAGTTAATGAGAAGTTAACTGAGCAATAACTGCAGTGGCGTTAGCCCAGAAAAAGGTAGATTGGAGGGGGTGCAACTAGTGAAAGTAAGTTCGCAGTTACGTAAACACAAAATAAAAATCAAGTGAGAGCGAGAGTGCGAAGTGAACACATTTCTTATTTATGTTATTGGACTTGTTGGAAATGGGTTGGCGGTGAGGATTTGCTCAATGTTGTGGTCAGACAAGGGGAATTTGGTCAAGCAATTATAAATCTCACCTTTCTCTCTTCGGAGAAAGTTCTACAAAAAACGAAAAAAAGAAAATTTGCAGTTTTCAAATTGAATTCTACTTTTGCTCTTAGCTGGTTGCGAATAAAAGGAAAAAATTTTGAGAGAATTTCACTTTTTCGAATTTCTCAAGTTCAACTTTTTAATCCTTAGCGAAATATCATAAACTTTTATAGTCCAGGTACTAGTTTGAGATTAATGCTAAAATTCATTTTTTGTGCATTATTTTGTAAATCCATTATGACTTTTACGTAGGTGACTAGTGTTTTCTTTAGATCAGCAATCAATATTATGGATCAACAGGGTCATGATAATAATCTAAATATTATAGTAAAAATACACTATAAATAGTTGGAACTGGAAATGAATGACATTTACTGTGTGTGACCTTTGATTTGTTATGATTTAGAAAATACATGTGCTAGCATATCGTGTCATCGTTGCTTTCAGTATTTTATGTTAATTTGTCTCACATCGGAATCTATACTGGCAAGAAAGCTTGGTCAATATTTTTCACCCTTCGTTTGTTTTCCTCTTTTGTAAAACGTTATCAGAGATCGATGGTGGTGGTGGGGTTGCTGTTGGGTGGCAATGGCAAATATGGCGTGGCGTGTAAACTGCGACATTTAGGAGGCCTAAAAAAATTACCCTTTCTCTTACATAAGGAATTTCTTCTTGGTACTTTCAAACGATACCGAAAATAATTTGATACCAAGAGTTGACTGACTCTCGACTCTTAATTTTCGTGAATTGCGATACAATTATACGGATAAATTATTGCCCTGCTTCTGCACAAATGCAAAGTTTTATGAGTTGTGGGGTATGCAAGGCCTTGCATGTCAGAATGAAAGGAAGGTTTTACTGCCCCACCTTCCACCAAGCACTCACTTTTCTAATCACTTTGCGTAATGTCAACGAGTTGAGACGCTTTTAGAACCAGCCAACCATCGTTATTTTGACTCCTTGGCAAGGACTCCTTGTCGGTCAAACGAGGAACGTTATCTAGAAAACGAGCTGGAAATCTTGAAAATTATGGGCATTACTTAAAATTTCGACTTTATACTTAAAATAACACACTCATTTATACATGTGCTACTGATAATGCATAAGACACATGCAAACTACTCTCCTTGATTCCAACAATCCTTGACTTGGCAGGTAGATTGGCGATGGTGGTATATAGTAATTACGTAATCAACGATCCTACCTACAAACGAACTCTGTGTGATGTGTCAGCTCGTGTTTCGGTTGAAATTTGCTTGCATTCGCATAATATGGCACACATTTCATTTCATTACTATTATCGTTGCATGCAAGTTGAGCATAGCTCGTGAGTGGTGTGTGCGAACAACAATACTTTATGTAGCTTTTTACATGTGAGCAATTGTGCGATCGAGAGTGCTATATGAAATAATGTGGCAAACGTAATAATAGTAACAGCGGCATAGTTGATGGTCCTTGCCCATGTATTTGTAGCCGGACCAGGTTGAGATTATTGATTAGATGTCGAGGTGATAAACCTAACTACCTGGACAATCAAGCCAACCACTACCACTACCACTACCTGTACATACACCTGTAAAATGCAGCAGGACATGTACGTATAACAGTGCACTGTACTAAACTACCTCATTCGCTTGATTCAGTTTATTTATGTGGACTTCCTACACCACCCCAATCTCACCTCGTCATACACAGAGCAGAGGTAGGAGCAGAAAGCAACTCATTTGTGACATTGCCTTATTTCACTCTTTTATGCGCCTGTTGGAGAAACATCACAAAAAGAGGAATGCGATTTGATTACGGACACGAAAATTTTCCTAAAACCAAACACTGCGAAATGAGAACAGCGAGCGATCCAGCAGTGTGACTAGTCTAGGTTTTGTTTCCCATCATGTGTGAGCTTCCTCCACTTCCTCGTGATTTTTTTATGTGGCACATTATTATTTCTGGTGGTGCTGAATAAAATGGTCACTTCCGAGGCAACAGTGTTGGTGGTAGTGCAAAATTACCGAGGGTTAATTGTGGCCTGTCAATTAGCATCAATTTAGAGCCTCTGACAACATGAAGCATCTTTGTGTCACTGTTACTTAACTACGTACCGTACTCGCCCCGTGTCTCATTCTGCCTCCGACTCAACACGCTCATCACCTCGTGATGTGATTCATCCTTAATCATTCTTATTTAGTCGGGTGCGTGTCTGTGAACACATTTTGGTGTCGGAAATTTCAGGATTATGGAGATCTCGAAGAATTTGAAGTGTTCTCAGTGCATTAATAAATAAACACTTTACAGAATGTAATCAGTACAAAACAACAGTCAATTTCCCCAAGTGAATTGGAGCTAACGTAAAGTGATGTCTGATCAAGATGAGATTATTTCAGCGTAGACTATGTCAGGTTCTGAAAGAAGGAAATAAGTGTACGTCAAGAAACCGAGACTTTTGGGGGCAGCGGATAATGGAATGAAATGGATCCATTGTACATAATATACTTACTTAATTTTATGTGATGGAAGTATTTCCGTGGTTCGTCGTCGTCCTGGTAGGGAAAGCATATTGATTTATCAACTCGCAGAAAGAAGAACTCGTTTGTTTGTTTACGGTAACGACCCATCGACATCGAATACTACCATCCATCCATCTGCTGTGCGGCTGCTACTATTTTTTATGGTGCAGAAGAGCCGTTGTTCCAAATAACAAAAAAAAATGTTGGACACTTTTAATTAACATTTTTCTATAAACCTCATCCTTTGTGGTGGCATTTTGATTCTTCCATTCTCGACATGAAATTCTTGCCCATGGTGCACAGCAGTTGTCTCAAAGTGGTTGTACGCTGGTCATCAAATTTTCTGGGTGTTGCTGGCTCTCTTGGTAAGGATTTAGCAACATGTTTTTATTTCTCGTGGTATAAATTAATTAGAGGATATAAGTTTTTTAATCTGTAAAGTTCCAATTTGGTTCGATGGGGCCAGTTGAGATTTATTAATGGATAGCTAATTAACACATCTCAAATACTGAGTGAATCTTTTACATCGTATTTAAACTATATTTAAAACAATTTGCTAAATTACTTGTCCGCAGGATCTGCGTGCACGATATCGACCATCATAAGCTTGACTTCAGTGATCAGTCTTTTGGCAGCTTCAGCAGGCACGGAGGAAGATGAGTCTCAACTTTCCCTCCGTCGCCAGCCTCCCTACTACAATGCCGAGTTGTACAAAGTCCTTCGACAGCATTACAAGTAAATCTTATTAGTGCACTAATTAAAAGTCTTAATTTAAGTTTCACATGTGAGAGCAAACAAAAATATGTCTGCTAATTCACATAGATTTCAAGATTTTCTATGGGCTGGCTCAGGAGAAGGTCCGATACCTTCCGAAAACCAGGACGGGATGGCCTGGGAGGATGACGATGGTGACTTCTCGGGTCAAGTTCAGATCAAAGTCACCAAAACGATGGTGTTGTACAAGACGGTTTTATCCACCATTTATCCCGTGGCCATGACCCCAGTGATTGTAACGAGCAGAATTTCTGCGACGCCATCGATTCAAATGACAATAATAGATCCCAGCTCCGCATTTTCGTTAGATTTAAACTCTCAACATACCACAATTTCACCCACTGCGACGACGTCGTTATATTCAATCATGGTGCAACCCACGGTCACACCTTCTACGCCATCTCAATCAACATACACTGAACATCCAAACGTCACAGAAGAGGAGACATCGGAAAGTCTGAATGATCGATTATCAGCCTCCGCCACAGATCCGCGATACTGGATTCAGTCCTCAATTAAGCGGAAGAGGGAAAACAAATACCACCCGAATGACTTACCGTTTCAGGAAATGCTCCAAAAACGATTGGCAGAGATTTATGCCACGGCTTTTAAACGACAACTCCTTAAATCCTTGCGTTTAATGGGTCAACATAATAATGGGACCTTGACGATGATGAGGAATCGGAGGTCAACACGTCGTACGGCATCCACCAACACAAAATTTGACTATGACGAGGACGCAGAGACGAATCCTCTCTACTTTTATCTTCGAGGACAAAGTCCCATTGCACGAACGGCGATGAACGTGTCTGTGTCCATGATAAACGTGACGTATTCCGAACCTGACCCAAGAATTGACTTGAAATACATCGTTTACGCGGAAGGTACTCCAGTTCTAGGATTTGTGGCTGTGAAAGAGCTTCAAGTAATGTCCAAAGTCGAGATGGAAAAAACACTGGAACATGAAATCATTGAGAAGGCCAAAGGTACATATGAATGTGTTTACATGCGATATGACCCATATGCACGCCAGAGTATCACGAATCATATAATTAATTTAAGAAAATTGTGGTTAATTTTCTAACTTTGTATCGAAATTTCAGCCTTAGTTCAAGCTCCTGAAAAGAGTGAAATTGGCTCAGTTGCTTCCACAACGCCTTGGCTGATTGCTTTGATGGCCTTGGTGTGTCTAATGATTGTAATTCTTGCACTGACTCTTTTCATGGCTTGGAAATGGAGACACAACCGACTCAGGGATCGAAACGACCAGTTTATTACAAATTCCGGAGAAACGCCTCATCCTTCCTCGTCAGCTCCGGTATATTTATTTTTTAGCTACATTTTATATCACAAATTATTAAACTACAACAAAAGCTGGTGCAACATTTTACCCAGGGCGGACAATCAGTATTGGTCTCCACAAAGGAAAGGTTTGCTAGCGAAAGTCGTCGATCCGCAACCCGAAGCCCATCCTCAGCCGTCTTTCGGGTGGAGCAAGATGACCATGGTGGACGTGGAGGAGGTGAGTCTTCAGCCCCCCGCCCCCCACGGCGAAACTCAGGTCGTGGGATTGAAGAGACGGACGACAATCTGGAGGGTTCTCCCAGTGACAAAAGTTCAGGCAGTATGCTTATCAATCCGAGTGAGGGATCCTCCTACAATTCTCACTCTCCTCAACGACGCCATAATAAATCAAAGCATTCCGGAGTTGCGAGAAAAGTAAATTCATATTATGCAATAAAAAATGAAGGTCTTTTTACAATATTTTACAACTATTTTTATGACTCCACAGGTAAATCGACAAAGACGTAGCAGACGTCGAAAAACAAACATTGGCTTTGCAGATGAAGAAGCGCAAACAACTCCTGTTCGCACTCCTCAAGACTCAATTGCTGCAACGGGTGACCTTAATCGTACTCAACAGGATGAAGATGAAGAAGATTTTAGTTTTAAGGGAGATATTTGCAGAAACATGGACAAAATTAGTTTTGGAAACCTAGAAATTTACACGGACACCGATGCACGTCCATCGAGTGCACAAGTTAAGAAAATATTATCTCGACCTTCCAGCCATGAGGCGAAAAAGTCACAAATCGATCAGTCGTCCACTCAAAAGACTTCCACTGACCTTCATAAAGAAGAGACTTCGGTTGAAGTGCACGATCGGGACAGGGAGCTCAGTGAGCATAGTTTCGATGTCAGCGAGTCCGCAGAAACTGATAAGAAGGACGCCGAGGTGCAAACTCCGACAAGATTAAAGCGAAGGCAGTCCCCAAGACTCCGAACTTCTCCTCGACATCGGAGCAGCAGGGGAGCGAAAGCGTCAAAAATGTCGTTGATTTCGACAGAGTCGGAGGAAGCAGTGGATTTTACTAATTTACCGTTGTCTTCTTCCGGTGAGATTAATCCTATTGGAAAGATTAGGAAGCGTTTTCATCAGTTTTTGGATGATGCGTTTAATGTCATGGGTAATTAATTTGTACTTAAGCAATAAACAACTTCAAATAATGTTTAGGAGTGATTTTTTCAATCATGATGTTATATGCGTTTTTCAGCCGCTGGGCGTAGAGAGAGTCCTGGGAAATATCCTCAGTCTGCCAAAGTGACAGTTACCCATCAGATGAAAAACAAGCCTGCAGGTCGTCCTTGGACATCCCACGTCATTAGGGAAGAGTCCGTGAGAAAAATACGACCCAAGTCATCCGTTGTTATTGGACCTCCGAAACCAGCATGGGCAGCTGGATCTGAGCGTCGATGTCAATCTGCAAAATCCAAAACGTCCATCATCGAGGAAGAAGTTCAACCTGAAAAAAGTGCGTCTCGAGATGAACTGAATGCATTCGTCACATCGGGCGAAGGACGAGAAGAAGACGACGAGGAAGAGCCCAGCAGGATGATGTCGAGTGGCAAATCGTCCTCCACACTTCGAACTGATGTCCATCACCACTCCTTCTCAGAAGCATCCCACTCGTACATTTTCCCAAAATATCCAACCTACCCGGAAGTGGAAGTGTGTTTTGGGGGTGATCAACAAAGAGACAAAAATAATCCAACTGGTCTTGGAACCAGTCATGGTCAAGGTGGAGGGAGTGGACGCAGTGCGAGTAGACTGCACCCACTTGACCCCGCTGTGCCATTGATTGAAGCAATTAAAGACGAGATGAAACGATTTGAGAGAGTTAAAGTTTCCTCTTCTTCTACTCAGGACTTGTCAAGGAAGAAGAGTTAATTAAATTAAGTGTACTTAATATGATGCAAACCACAGTGTTCTCTCTTCTATATAATAAGTAAATACATGAATATGAAATATGAATAAATAAAAGTAGATGAAGATGAACAAAAAAGAGTAATTTTAAAATAAATATTTTTCTTTGTTATTTTTTACTCTTTTTAGACGATTTAAATTTAAATTTTAACACACGATTTACACTTATTAAACTTCTAAACTAGTGCATTATTAATTGACTCACCATCACAGGTACAAATCTTAGATTTAGCTGATTTCATTTAAAAAAATTGACGTAACAGCAAATAATAAGAAAACGAATCCTCCAATTATTGTGACTGTACGGACCGAAATTTTCTGAGCGATCATTCGTCCACCCAAGACTGCAAGTCCAGTACAAAGAGAATGACCCAAGATTCCACCAATGCAAACTCCTGGTATATCCTGTAGACAACGAAAATTGGATTTATTTAGTTTGTCATGCTGTCATTGACTTTATTACAAGCACACCACGCAACAACTGTATGCAAAAATGAAGTATTTAAGATAAGTACCTCTCTCGCAGCAAGGATGATTGTCGCTAGTTGAGATCTGTCTCCCCATTCAGCCATGAACGTCATGGTGAATGCTTGTAAAAATACCCGTGAAAAACAAGCAAAGAGTATACGACGTAAGGCTGCGGGTAGTTTATAACGTTCGCCACTAATATCGTTTAACTGGGTTTGACTTTCGACCTACAAAAATAAATCAATTAATGCACAATTTTCAAAATCATTATGCTATATTCTATCATCGTAATTCACTTACATCATCATCCTTTGATTTGATCTCAGCCTGAACTTCTTCCAATTCTTCTTGACCCTCATCAGGAGACATTTTGCACCCATCGTACAGCATCTTAAATCCGAAAACGGCGAAAAGGACAGTGGAAATGTAATACGTAATGAATCGAGGTATCACGGTTGTAATGAAGCCAAACAGGGCTGCAATTACAAAATAATTTCAATTTTACTCCACAATATTAATATCTATTAAAGCCTTTACTACTACCCTCTCAATAGGCTTACCTGACAAAATAGTCATTAAAGCTAGAGCTCCGATTGCACCGGCGAAAACGATAACTCTTGGATGCCGCATCGCCATGATCGCAGCAATGAAGAAAGTCTTATCGCCCAATTCAGACACGACAATAACCGAGAGGGAGGCGATAAATGCGTGAATAAATCCCAATTCCAGTATTTGTCCATCAGCACCAGCCGCAGCAGCAGCTCCATTCCCATGCTTCTCAGCTGCATGACCATGACCACGACTCACCGGGGGTGGAGTATTCTAATAAAACAAATGAAAGCCCCATGTAAAAACTCGTAACCTTATCCCAAATATATATAAATTTCATAAACCATTTCTTACCAAGTCGAAATCTTCAAACTCCTTCTTGTTCGCAACTTCGACATCACTTCCGTCAATTCCTGACGCTATAGCACTAGTATGTCCAACGATACCAACGAAGACTAAAAGTCCTAGGACGACGAGATGACGATTTGTAATTTTTCTAGTCATTATGGCGATTGTGAAGATGAGATAAGCTGGCAAGATACTTAAACTATGAACTAACTGAGGTGTAACTCTAAATAACTTTTCGATATGGAGTTGACCATATAATTTTTTAACTCTTGCAACCTTGTTAACAATTCTCAGACGATTTGAATTACATAAAAATATAACTACTAAATCTGTTACGTAAATAGACAAATAAAATAAATAAATATTGAATAAGAACTCAGTAGGGACATTCGGTAAATTCGTTCAGATCTAAAGACTGGTCTCTTCCAGAAAAAAAAACTATATACTAATTTTCAAATATTTTAAATATTTGGCACAAACTAAAATCTTATTGTTTTAAACACCGAAGATTATATAAAACGCAATAAGTAAGAATATTTCGCAAAGTAACCGGCTCTTTTACATTTTACCCAAAACTACATTTTTGCAAATTTTAACTGCGATTTGATTATCCAATTTGCATACAAGTCCCAAGAAGGTTTTGTCACTACGTTGAATCTAAATTTGAAATTCCTCGCTCGCTCCAACAACAGGCGTCCTTTTGTCGTGTTCCTTTTCCCAAGACTTTTTCATTCTGATGATGATAACTCCATCCCACCGGCCGCAATTAAAGTGGTGATTGATGACTACGTATGATGATGAGCATATGGCTACGTTTTGTTCTTGTTGATTATGAATTATTATTAAATCACTCTGTAGTGGATGATGATGGTGATGATGATGATGATCTGACAAATCCCTCAAATCTCTGCCAAATTGAGTGGTATTTATTTTATTGGTGATGTGGAATGTCAGAGTCGGTCCAACCTATCAATCTCCTACTTGAGCCAACAAACCACACACCACACTTCCGTTCAATAATAATTCAATCGGTGATTTTATTCATGGGAAGTTTTCTAATGGTCTTTTTTTTAATTTTATTAGCGAAAAACTAAAAATTTAAGTTTATAGTGAAGATTGGCAGGAATCGGTCGGTGTACTGCTGCTGAACCTGATTTGCTGGCAGAATAAAGAACCGACCAGCAAATCCACGAAACGGAGGAATGTAGAAAGTCGTATATGCTGCTGGCTGGTGGTGATGACGATATTGCATAGATTTTTTTATTCCTCTTTCCTATTTTACTTACAATCGCATACGGAACGGACGATGGACGTAGGTAGGTAGCCAAAGCCAGGGTGTATGAGCGAGTAAACCACATCATAATTCAATGTTGAAATGATAAGATGAGACAAAGATACTAAAATTCAAGTTAATGCCAAGGTATTAACCGATTGAAATGGAATGACGATATGGCGAGATGTAAAATCATGAGACTTGTTGATACGTAAACTTCTATGATTTATTTCCCATATTTCTCAAAAATCGTTAATCACACAGGCTATGCATGTCACAAAATGTCTGCCAAGTTTACAGTAGTACAATTTATAATAGTTTTTAAGTACTGTAATACATGTATAATTAAATACAATGACAATTTCCAGTTCATTCAATCATAGGAAAAATATATCAGTCAACGTGTTATACTTATATACATATTAGGTATAACTTACTTATTTATGGTATTCAAAAGATAAGCATTCCTTCTTAATGAATACATCACAACTCTTCACACTTGTCATTCATTGTTATTATAAGTTAACAGCTACATTGTTATCCATTTATGTACTATCTACGGGTATGCCGGGCTTACAATTATATTTATAAAACGTACTTTATACTGTGGATACGTCAAGTTTATTGAAGGCTATATAAATAGTTAAAGTAGTACTGATAGATTTAGCTGTTAAAAAAAGTAAGGTGAGCGGGCTGGTTTTTAACAAAATAAATTATAGATAGTACTGATTTCAAGGGAAAGAATGATGGCTGATTACTACATTAAAGCATTCACGAAATAGCGAAGCTCATTTTTGTAGTCTTGTGGGACTGAAAGGTGAATTAATCCAGACACATTCCCAACTCCGATTTTCTCTTTCAGTTCAGGGTTATTGATGATCAGTTCAGCAACAATTTTCTGGACGAGAACAGCCAACTCGATGCTTACAGCCCTATAAATTATGTTTTCTTTTGAATTATGGAAAATCTATGGAATTGCAATATCAGTAGTAATAAGTACATACCGTTCTTGAGCGTTCATGGGCTTGTATTGAGCAAAGCTCTTTAGAAATAAGGATATAAGTTTGTAAAACTCAGCATCCGTCAAATTGGGTAGAAATTTGGCTCTTCCTCGGTTTTCGTAGGATTTTCTTATTTGCAACAACTCCAGTGTACCCAACATAAACCATCCACGGGTGTTCCAGTTTCGAATTTCATTAGAGAAAGGTTTCATCAGTTTTATTAATTCTAGTAATGAATCCACAATATCTAAATGAGAAAAAATAAAGAGATGCATGTTAAAACAAAACTTATTTATGTATATTATGGCTGAGTGCATGATATGAAGAAATTATAAGAAAATATAGCTTTGTTGTCACCTGAAGATTTCATGATCTCTACATTAAAAAACTTTTCAAGTTCGTCAAATGACTTTTGAACATTTCCGGACTTCAACAAATACCAGATTCCGCCATATTCTCTGAAAGACACAAATTAGTTAATGTTGTTAATAAAGTAAGTAAATTCTATATACATGTACATATTCCCTGTACGTACCTATTGTCCTCCTTTGATTCTCTCGTGACTCTGGAATTGAAGAGAAATTGTGGTTGACGAAGGAGAGAGTTTTCCAAAAGAAACCGTTCATGTTCCACTGTTCCCCAAGTACCAAGATTACGCTCCACCAAAGTGTTGTGGTAAAGTGCACGATCCTGAGTTCTGCTGGTCACAAAAACGGCCCAAGGATACAATCCAACTTGTTCCAATTGATATGAAAATGAGGTCGCAATGCTTGAAAAATGGTCCTCATAAATCTGGAAATTTCTGGGACGAAGATGAACCATAAGCAACCATGCAAGCTTATAATCTAAACAATCCTCCGAGTATGTGTCAGGGTCCAAGATACTTCGTAGCGGGTATCCCTCAAAACAGTAGAGTTTTAACAATTGAACACATAAATTTGGAAGCGACGAGTCACACACGGACGGAAATGCAACACGACTTATTTCTTCTTCAATCCAACCAGTTCGTTGGACGAGTTCATACTTCAAAAGCTGTTGGAATGATGCCAAGGCTTCCTTAATTGACACTTGAGGGGGGCAGCAGTACCAGAGATAGATAGCGAAATGCTGCAACCATTCTGACGTGGTCATTTTCGAAATGTCAATGGAATCCAATAAAATGTCCCCAGCACATAAACGGTAAATGTTGACGGTATTCTTGGATAATAAATCCAAAGCGCCTTCATCCTGCCACACGTCCAGTTGTTCTTTGCAATTTGAGGCTGAAGCCTTTACTAGAGCGGCTTGGCTCATCAACAAAGCCAAATACGGATTTCGATTTTTAACAGCCAGCATACATGCCTCCTCGCGACGTCCCATTTTCAAAAGTCCAAGTACTGATATTTGAGCATTTTTTCCAAGGGTTTGTGAGAAAAGGTCCTCACAGTATTTGGAGAGCCACTTGGACACATTATCCCGGGTTTCGAGAACGGGTGGGAGACCTTCCTCCTCGCTCCTTGGCCACAACATTTGGAATAGTTCCCACATCATTACTTCTCGCTGTGCATCCTTTGCCGTGGGATGAAGTTCATTTTGAAGACAAAAGCTTTGCAGTACATGAATTTGATCTTCAGGTTGAGGTTCAGCACGTGCCATCTGTTTCGAGAGCTGTTTTTCCAACAACTGAATTGTCGTGGCGTCCATACTAAGGTCCATGTACGACTTGATTTTCTTGACATTAACCCATGAACCCATTTTACTTGAATTGGTTACTGTCATAAATGTTCCCAATGGGCCAAAAGTGACTCTTGGTGTTGCGATATAACGGTTTCCATTTGTCGTATGTAAAGATAGTTTAGAAAATAGAATATTTTCAGGGAAACGTTTAGAAACTTCATGACGCCGCGTAATAGACGTTACATGGTCAGTCCCGAAAGGACTGACTACCTCGTCCTGTTCTTTAAGGGTCACCAGAGTTTTAATTGGTGGACCAGGTCTGCGCTGCTTGAGTTCAAGAAGTGATTTTCTTCTATCGGCATCACTAATGTTAATTGCAATAGTTTGGCCAGCCATAGACTTTGATCTGAGCAAAGGCGATCGAAACTTTTTGGTTGGTGGCTGAATTTCGGTATCCTTATCTATAAATACAATAAAATAAAGTTTTCAAGTATTTCAAATATTTTTTTACGAGTAAAGTCAAAAGTGATCAAATAATTTACTAAAAATGAAATAATTTTATACTTATTTACCATGAGCAAGTTCCGTAAACATTAGGGCGGATTTCATCATACGCACAGCAGACGTTTCCGAAGTTCCTTGTAGTACAGATTCATATTGACCTTTTCCACTAAAGAGATCATCCGGCACCCAATCACTTTCGCTATCGTTTGAATCGGTCGGTGTCAGAGGATTGTGTTCCACATTGCTGATAGAATAACCAAAATCATCCGTAGCCATTGGAATCACGGGTGTTGATTGGCGTGCGACTTGGTTTCGAATCAAAGGCAAACAGTCATCTTCTATATCCATTTGCTGAAGCTTCGTTTGTTGTTGCTGTTGCAATTGCTTTCCTTCGTTCAAAAGTGATTCGAACCTAGGACTACTTTGCTGATGGGAGGACAAAGTCTTTGATGTTGGGACGTATTGATTAATTTGCATCAGAACACCACCAAGTCCTTTAATTGGAGGTTGTGATGATTGTACATCAGTAGTATCTGTTTCAGCCTCTTCAACATCACAGGAATATTTAGAAAAGTGTGGCACCTAGATGTATCAAATGTGAAAATTATATTTTAGAAGCAATAATTAATTGCAATACTAAATTGCTAAGATTAAGTACATTTGTATTTAATTATTTGATCACATGAATTTCTAAACCAACCTTAAATGTCCATACGCCAGTCTCTGGAACATACGAGATAAATTCTGCTCCAAGGCGACTACAAGATCGTCGCAGGGAATTTTCATATCCCATGTTTTGTAACTGTAGAGGATATTTGATTGGATCCTTGGTAGCCTTGTCAATTGGCCAAACCCTATCCAAACATACAAACGCAGGGCAGTTTAATCCTGATCCAACTGGTGGCTTATTTGAATCATCAGGATAAACTACGACTTCTTTGTGACGAAAGTGTACTACAAAAATAAACCATAAAAATTATAAATTATTATGTTTTGAGGGATAATTTTCAAATATGCTTACCAATTTCATCAATATTGACACCAGCCACATTGACAACGTCGATATAACGAATTTCTCCATGGCCCAATCTTCCAATGACAAGTCCCTTCACAAAGCAATTCCCCTGATCATCTACACATTTCTCAAGGGTTTCAATTGGGGGTTCAATATAGTATCCGGCACGCGTGTTTACAACGCGACATTTATGTTCCTCATAAGCATTATTATCACCACCACCCATTCCCACTAATAGGGATTCGGTGCCACTGCGTCGCTTCTGAATTAGTTGAACAGGTACTCCGGCTCGTTCGCCGGACAACTCCACGTAATCTTCGTCGCGGTACTTGGTTGGGCTATCGTTTTCCGATGCTGCGCTCTGAGTGTCTGATCCTCCTCGACTTGTGTTTAAGTCTAAGAGAGATGCGTCAGCAGAGTCATTGACGAATCCATTTTCTCCCAAGTGTGGGCTTGTAGAGAATGAAATGCTCTGTCGATGGTTTGGAGTCAAGGAATTTTTTAAAGACTTCAGTGTCAACTTCTTCACCATCGTTTTAGGAGATAAGATATCAATGCTGAACCCTTTGTCTTCTTCATCTTCAAAGCCGTCGAATATTGCGTGCTGTGGGCAAGTAAATATTTAATTGTGTTTAATGTATCATAAAATTTTCCGTGTAATAATTATTAATAGTGTAAAATAACTAGGTGATTTAAACAATGTAATCAATTTACCTTGCTGAATGACTGGGGAGATGGATAGGTTACATTCTTTGAAACCTGCGCCGGAAATGAGAATGAGAGACTAGTCGAAGTCCGTCGTCGGGATGCTTCTTTAATTGCTCGTTGGGCTGCTGCACTTGTTGGTTTCACCATATTGTCAAAATCCCTGTTGGCCTGTAAGTTTAGAGTATGGGGATATTATAGGAAGTCTTAATTTCTCTTAACATTAGTTATTAATCGTAACAAACAAATACGCCGGAATAATTATTTTGTAAACCTACGATAAGATTGTAAAACAGTGGAGAATCCTTGTATGGAGTCGTAGCGAATCCATACGCTCCAGGCTGCGGGGTATTTTGTTGTTGTTGCACTGCTGGCGAGAACATGGTGGCCGGTGTGAAAGAAGAAAAACCAGGAGTGGTTGTCGTATTCTGGCCGAAACCAAACCCGAGGCTTGGTTGTGTAGATCCAAAGGTTGGGGTAGAAAATGAATTCATCGTGTTCCCCAATCCTCCAAATGTACTTGCGGACGTTCCAAATCCCATTGTTGGAGCGGTTGTGGCAGCAGTATTGAACGAGAAACCGGTACTTGGAGCTCCTATAAAGAATGAAGAATAAATAAATCATTAAAATTTGTTCGTATAAATTCAGTTAGTTCATCAAGAATAATTATATGCTCAAGTTCTTTAATTAAAGTAGATTTCTTACCGAAAGTGGGCTGCGTAGGTTGTGCTTGACTCTGGGTAGCAAATGGCGTGGAAAAAGAGAATGGTTTATTTTGAGTTTGATTTTGAAAACCAAACATTCCACCACTGGACGTTCCTGTGCCAAAATTGGTAGTTGTCGTTCCAAACGTTGGTGCTGTACTAGTTCCAAACCCTGAGAAACCTAAAGTCGGCTTATTTGCAGTTGAAGTATTTGTGAAAGCACTGGCTCCAAAGCCCCCTCCAAATGCTGTACTTGGCGCACTTGTCATTGGCTTCTGACCGAATATCCCTGTAGACTGCGTCTGTGCTTGGGGTTGTCCAAAAGTGAATGTTGACGTCTGACCCAAGCCCCCAGTGGAGACTGTAGTATTGTTGGCACCAAAAACTGACGCTGGTTGACTGGTTTGGTTGGTAAATGAAAATGCAGGACTTGCCCCAAAGGTAGTTGACGTTACTGGTGCAGTTGGCTGGGAAAAGAAGCTCCCTGTTTGGGGTTTTGGCTGATTGAGGGAGTTGAACATCCCTATAAATAAAATAGTTAAACAGTTAAATAAAGCAATTAAAATAATTAAAGCCATTAAATAAAGATAAATTGCTTACAGCCACTACTAGGAGTACTGGTTGCCGCAGCACCAAACGTGCTTGTCTGACCAAAGGGCGTTGTCGTAGCACTAGAACCGAAGCTTGAGAACAGTCCAGTGGATTGTTGCTGTTGAGGCTGGGTTGAACCAAACATGACGCCTTGTTGTGGTCCTTTCCTATTTAGTTGGTAATCCTCCAGCCGCAGCTCTTCCAAACTTTTGTTCTCATACTCCTTCATGCACGTAATGCACTGATGTCTAGTACTAATTGGCGAGGCCTGACCATTTTTCATCATGGTGTCACTACCACTGATAGGAGTGAATGGGAAAGATGTCCCGGCAGGAACTTGTGTTTGTCCCATTGTCTGGCCTAGAAAAGTACAGCAGAACAGGATAATAAAATTAGTTAACCTGATAACTTCGCTCTCAGCAGAAATAAATAACGTGCTGAAGTGCTTACCTGTTGCAGAGAAAGGGCTCACAGTGGCAGTCTGACCACTAAACAAACCCCCCGTGGTGGGAGCTGTGAGACGATTTTGTTGTCCAAACATTGTTGACGACTGTGGAGATCCAAAAGTACTTCCAAAAGTAGCTTTAGGCTGATTGAAGCCTCCACCTCCAAATAAGGACGTGGACACTTGCGGCTGTTGTTGAGGCTGACCAAAAACACTCGTGTTGGTCGTAGTGTTTGGAAATGCCCCACCCCCTACAACAAAAATTATTCCATCAATTCTCCCATCCAAAATTTGAAATTCACAATTAAACCAGAAAATAAAAACTTACCAAAGGTGGGAGTGTTACTCCCAAAATTTCCACCACCAAACATTTTATGTCCTCGTTTTCAGTTGTTATTACTTCATCGTAAAAATCACTAGACAAATTTTGAATTAGTTCAGTTCGCACAAGTGCACTATACAAATCACAAAAATTATACTGCACCTGGCACTTTACTACGTTTAATTTTTATACTTGCTAATAAAATAATGAGCAATGTGCTGTTTGTTTATTCGAGTTGATGAGTTGAACGTTTCGTCACAATGCTTTGGCACAAACGTTCCTGTTGTTGTCACGAATTGCAAGTGCTAAAAAAACGTATAATATTAGATGAGAGAGAGGGAAGGAATTTAAGAAATTTATTTATGCGAGCGAATTTATGCAGTCAGTTAATCGAGTCGAGTGGGAATTGAACGAATTTGAGAGCGGTTTTAGTGCAGAACGTGGTTATGAAGAGAAAGGAACGTCCACGACTCACGACCTCGCGCTCCCAACGTTTTTGGCTGGCCGACTTCCTCTGCATGGGGATTTCTGCACTCGTTGCACGCAATTTTTGTTGCGAAGAGGAGCCGCGGGAGGTTTGAAAGTCTCAGTGATTGGGCATTGTGAAAAATTTATCATGGTGGTGACACGGGAAGGTATGAAATAAAAACCTTTGTGCATTCTTATGTAACGTTACTTTGTGATTTTGAAAAAAATAAGGAGAAACCACTTACTCCACTTTGTATTGATCAAAGCATCATGTATTTCAGATTAGTACAATCAGATATTACAGAATTGACAAAAATTTTGTTTTCAGCATTTGTTTAATATAACATGAAATTTGTAAGATGACCATTTTTTATTAATATATTTAATACAATTGTTTATAGAAGGATGTGTGATAGGAATTACTGCTGCTTACACTCTTGAGGTTTTGCTGCATCTCGCTTGCCACGACTTTTTTTGGGCCGACCTGCACCACCCCCACCATCTTCATCTTCGTCACCGTCTTCTTCTTCCTCTTCCTCTTCCTCCTTTTATGGTTAATATATATATTACTAATTTACTCTCATTTAAGAGATCAATATTTAATTTCCAAACTATGCTATGACATTTTTAAAATTACAACACGGGAATATGATAATGAGTATACTGACAAAAAAAAGTTCTAAGAAAATAGGAACGAATTTAACGCATTGGATGGTCAAATCGTTCAGTTTGGTAGTAAAATCAATTGGAATTTGGAGTGTTGTATTTTCTAAAACGTCTGTTTCACAAACTGAAAAATTCCAAACGTGTATTTTGGATGCTTATTAGATGGACAAACCTCTTCATCGTATTCATCATCCTCTTCATCTGCTAACGCTTCTCCAGTATAGTACAAAATTGCCCGTGGGACAATGCTCTCACGAATATACTGTCCCACTTCGAAATCATTTGTAAGTTTTACCTGTGTTTCTTCGTCCATCTCACCTTCGCCATCGTCGGGAACTGTGGGAAATTAGTTTAATGTATTACACTCTTATAAACTATGATCACAAAATTTAAAGATAAGGAGAATAAGTAATGCTTACTTTGAGGTGGAGTGAAAAAGTTAAAGAAGGAAGGTACTTCGACAGTCTTGCTAACAGTTCGAATGCTGCCTCTCTGCTTATGTTTCTGTTTCTTACGAATGGTTTTGACAGTCACATTTTTACCTTTGGCCCAATCAATGGTACATCCCTAAAGAAAATGTTATTTGCACGAATTAGGGAGGTTGATATTTTCCCTTTTTTATTACGATAAATGAATAAATTTCAATTTTCTCTTACGTTGCACTTCACGATTTCGGGACCCTCAAACGCAAACGGATCCTCCATATCGAGATCGCTTTTCAAGAAGTAGGTTTTGGTAAGTATGGTGTTGGAGAAATATTCATTGGGTGAAAAGTGAAAGTGGAGTTTAAATCCCTGCAATAATAAGAAAAGTTTATACATATAAAGTAGATAAAAATCGTGCTTTTATAGTTCATCAACTTAAAATTAAAAGTATTACGTACCATTGGTTCAGGCATCATTTCTACTTGAATATCATTAAGAGATTTAAGAATTGGGAGATCGTATTCCTTAACCATATCAGAGAGAAGTTCGACATTTCGGAATATTTGGATCCAAAATTGAGGAACTCCAACAATGGCCTCTTTTTTCCTAAACAGTCAAATAAAATATTCTCTCATTCTTATCATAAATTGGATGTGACAGATAGTTTTTTTACAATGCTAATGCTTCAACTTACTCGTCATCAACGCTCATTTTATTCAAAGAGTCATCCAGATTTTGAATTCCAATCTCCGTGAGGTCACACTCTTCATCAGTTGGTTCATGTTGTCCCGATATAATCAAAGTTCTCTGCGTTGCAGAAAAAAATCACGAATTAAAATCAATGATGAAAATATGTAATTGAAAATTATGATCAATTATCACTCACCTTATCAAAGAATGGTTTATACATTGGTAGATATTTACACTCCAGCTCGTGCATCTCCTTGTAAAATTGAGCTTCGATTTTAGTGATTCCGAGTTGGTTCTTCTTAAGAGCATTAATTCGTCGATGAACTTCTGGTGGAAGGTCCTCCTGGAAATGGACAAATTCTCGTTAACCAAGTTCCTATCCTAGTAATTTAAATTAATGACTCACCATGACCAAGCCAACATCCTCATCTTCGCCAGCCACGTCTTCACCTTCGACCATCTCGTCATCAACCTCACCGGCAGGGAGATTGGAAAGCTCAGCTTTTTCTGGATCCGCCATTTCAAAAGCAAATCTGTGATTGAATATGAAAAGAACGGATTAAATATTACTTAATGTCCATCAAGTATAACCTCCCACAACGTGACTGGCACAATGTGCTCTTCTCTTTCCTCTTAGTCAGGCTACCGGGGATTTTTTATTCATAACTTGATACTAGTTGCACGATGGGGAAAAAGTAGGAAACTTACATTGATTAGTGCGGACTGGAGACAGAATCCGAGGGGGGAGAGGAACAGGTCACGGTCAGAGTAAAGATAATCGAGGTCCGAAAATATAAGAGCACGTTGTCTGCCTGTGGCCTTCGTCGTCGTCGCTGCTCACTGCTTGCTTGCTTCTGGATTCGCACCGACCGAATGAAAGAATGAAACTGAAACGAGTGAAGAACGTGTGCCTCGCCATCCAGCACTTTTGGCCGCTCAATCTGATTCTCGCAATCTGCTCGAGGTGGCAGTTCTCATTCCAACACCAATTCGTCACCCTCCTTCCGTCCGTCCGTCTTCTGTTCGTTCTTCCATGCATTCAAAATGAGAATGAATGAACAGTGACATGTCCATCCAGTCAGAGTTGTCTCAAGTTGAGACTCACGTTGAGACTCTCAACATGAACCAAAACAATTCACACGCTACAGAAATCTTGATTGGAATCATATTTGTGGCATTGTCTGATGATCTGATCTTTCATACTGGACGCTCATTGTCCTTTATTGAGTACTTCGTATTGCTCTAATATTATTTAATTTACCATTTTTTTAAATAAATTCGAGAGATGTATTATTACGTTCTAAAAGTTATTTGAATGGATTCTTGCCCAGCAATAATTGCGCAGCAGTAACTGCATGTGAATACAATTAATGATTTTTGGCAGATTGACTAAACAAACCCCTTGTCTGGGGTCAGTAACGAACGAATGACTGACTATGTACCCCTTGACATGTCCCCCTCATCTTATACCCTTCCTTTGTATAATGTCCAAGTTTAATGTTCTGTAATGAAAACTTGGCTGGCAAGAACGACCGCTTTTATACCATCTCTCTTGTCCATGAATGACTTTGTTGAACTTGCGTCTCAAGTTAACTAACTAGCGAACGAGGCCGACTTTTGTGTACGTCGTCGTCGGCCGTCCACGATGATCCATGGCCGTGGCTTCAATTTCGGAATCCGACTCAAGGAAAGTTCTAAAAATAGGAGAATCTCCTCCTTCGCCCAGTTGTCTTATTCTCGTGGTCGTCGTCGTCGTCGTGGTTGTCGTCGTCGTCGTCGGCGGCGGCGGCATATGTACATATATACGACTCCAAGTCTACGGTTTTAAACACTGAAAAGTTTATACTGAATTGTGTGTATCCTGTTCGTGGTAGACGAGCGCCAAACTTTTTAACCTCCTCTTTATCTTGAAACGATAAAACAGAAAAACCCCCGATGGAGTGGAAGTTGGTAAGGTGATTCAAGGACAGTGGCTTGAATTTGCTTACATTACTTGTTTATGTCAATATGCTTCCACTTCTAAGAAAAACCGACGCCATTATATTTTTCTCCCGATTTTCCCAACCCTTTGCCACCTATGATCGGGCACGACAAAGAAAACATGTACAAAAACAAAATTGTGAAAAGTGTTGAAGAATGATGATGATGATGATTAGGTGATGGCGATGACTGTGCAAAGCAAAGCAAAGTAACGCATCTCTTCTCCTTCCAATGTTTTTGACTCGGCGGATGATGACCGAGAGTTAAAGTCACTTGCATATCCTCACTGAAACACTTACGAACGAACCACCAACGAGTAAAAAATAAGGATAAAAAACTAATAGGCTTATTGCTTCGTTGCTGACTGGGCTCGTATTTGATACTTTTCTTTATAAATTGCATTTCCGAGCAGGCTCCGTTATTTCATCGCCATGGTCGTCGCAACTGTTCGAGAGTGGTGCTCATGACTGCATGCGATGTAGGCGACGTATGTGTGCATGCATATGAGGGAATATCATCATACTGCTTATTCCCGTCACCATATGAATCACTACCGAATCTAGAACAGTGCATTGCATATGCGCTCAAGCTGAAGATCGTTCTTTTTCTTCCCCTTGTCCGTTATCGTTGGTGATTCATAAAAGTCAAATAAGTTCATTTTTTAGTAAAGTCTAAAATAGTTGACATCATATTTCTTCCGGTACAAGAAAAATTCCAAACAGTTCAGGAAATCTGAGAGAAACAGTCTCAACAGTATTTTGCATAAATTGGTTATCTTTTGGATAAAATCTACGACAAGGCGAAGACAGAAATCAGTTCAAAGAGTTCCTAATACAATAAAAAATTACGGTCATGTCATCCCCGAAAGAGTTTCATATCGACGCAGTGTATCCCGAACCCTTGAGTCGTCTTCGGAGGGGTCACGGAATGTCGCCCAGTGAAACTCCGAGTTCTGCTTCGTATAGAAGAGCGGTGAAAAAGCAGAGGAATCGTGGTTCTGCTGGAACAGGACGATTTAGGACGCAACCTGTGACTTTCCAGGAAATTAAGGTACGTTTTGTACCACATTTTTCATTCTGCTGTTGAAAAACTGTATGATTTCCTAAAATTCCTTAATGCTATTATTATTACAGGAAGTAGACGAGGACAACATCGTAGAGCTGGAAAGTGCTGACAATCTACGTGGAAGTGTGGGAACCGTTGCGTCCTCCTCCTCCTTCAGATCCGAAACTGATCTAAAGGCCAGCTTTCAACTCTTCTACCAGTCGATAAAGGCTGGAAATGATGACGATTCTCTGGACATTCCTGCCAACATTAGTCCCGGAAGTGTCATCTCGCCAACAACGCTGGACAAACAGCAAGGAGGAGATCGTCCTCCACCTTCTTCTCACAATTCCACGCCTCATCAACCCACGTCCCCCATCGTCATTTCTTTAAACACGAGGAGTCGCCAGTCATTTTGAGTCGCGTTTATTTAAATATGTAGACCTAGATTAAACTAAAGTTATCGATAGATAACAACAACAACATTTATTTATTTGCTATGAAAATTATTCATCATACTGCTAGAATTTACTTAACAATTTATGTAGCCAATTATTGTGATTTACGTATTTTTGCCATGCACTTATTTCAAAAATTCTGGTAACAAAGTTTTGTTTATTTATTCAGAAATATTAATGCAACATTATAATTAATTGAGACAATAATAATATATCTATTTAGTAATAATAATAAGCTATAACTGCGCTAATTGTATGCACATCATTCCCAGAACTTACTTGACAAACAACCATACAAAAATGCAAAGAATGTACATAAACAGCGTAACATGTTTCACGGTGAGGTTTAAAATTTAGACTTCAGTATTCGTCGTATAACGTAAATATAAAAAAAAATGTCAACGCCTTGTCGTCGGAGTCGATGTAATTTTTCTCTGCATACTTTAAATTGTTATTAGAGTGCTTCTCCATGCAATAATCTGTGTCCTACATATACTTTTAATAAAATAATGACTAAATATGTACGAGACATGATAATGCAGATTGTGTAGAAGTAGTGGTGACACCTGCAAAAAAAAAGTTTTTTTCGAACTTTACGACGGTATTATAAATATTATGCGCAACATCTCTTGTTTATTTTGATTTGTTTCATAACAATAACTTAAAAATTGGATATGGCATCAAAACTTTCTCCCAGCAATAAAAACATGTGATTATATCGAGGACATTTTATTGTATTGTACATAAAACACTTTTGAAAATCAAGGTGCATAATCTCATCAATTCCTTAATAATTGTAAAGTTTAAACGAGTCAAACTCTTAATTGTCTTAGTTTGCAAAGAAAAAAAAACTTTGCAAAAGTTTATTCACAGTTCACAGAAGAGTTAAAAAAGACTTATTTTTTAGAACATAATGAATTTATTTAGAAAGAAATACTTAACAACCCGGCAGATAAGATAAGAAGAAGTTATCCACCTTAAGTTATAGTACATACATGATGATATCTAATGTCGGATTAATTGGAAATCGTCCAGGTTCGAGACAGATTTGCATGTCATTCTCTCGCCGGTTTCTTGCTTCCTCTTCTTCGAAAAGTTAATTCAATCTCAATCTCACTTAATCTGTGCAGAATTGCTTTTATGTGGACTTGTTACATGTGTATGTATAACGTTGTTGGTGCTTTTATTGCTCACATGTATGTACATACAAATACATACTGCTACCCCATATATTTGGGAGAAGAGGTCTCAAATTGAGTCAGTAAATAACTGCTTGTTTGTATAGTAAATAATTGCAAATAAAGTGAAGAGTGAGTCCTGAGATAAAGTCGAAATGAATTAACAAAGGCTTGTCGTATGCTTGATTCGTTGTGGTAAATAAAAAAAAGTGCATTTTCTTCTACCAGAGTCGGTCCGCACAATGCACACGATAAGAAATGTAGCTTTGTTAGATAGATAGCTCAACTCGCCTCAACTTGGTGCGGTGCACGGGCCTTTCCAACACTTAGCACCAGAGCACGTCCACACAGAAAAGTGTGCATAATAATACAATGATCTGAATTAAAATCTTTCATTGTATGGGGTATAATTTATTCAAAATTACGATATATAGTCAAATTAATCAACCGATTTCAATTTTGTTTTCAATAAAAATAGTTTATAAAATTCAAGGTATAAAACAATCACAGGGACTCCTCTCCGATAGGGAAATGTGATACACCAAAATGAAGGGTTCTTCATACTGCTCAGGAATATATAAAATAACTTATTAAGGCCAGCAAACGTATATTAAGGTCATAAAAAAGGTCAGAGGTTAAAATTTTTATTCTATTTTTGGACGTTTTAGAGAATTTTAAGACCTTGTCTTACTTCCCCCAGGCGGGAAATTTTTGGGGTATTGTAAGATTTGTTGTTTTTCTTGTAGAATAACGAATATACATGTTTTTATGTAAGGCGGTAAATTTTTGGAGCACAAATTAATACTAATTATTAATTATTAGGGTAAAGTTATAATGCTCCATATTGTGGTAGCTAGGTAGGATAGCTAGCTAGTAAAGATATTTAGGATGGCTAGGTAGGATTGCTAGCTAGTAAAGATATTTAGGATGGCTAGGTAGGATTGCTAGCTAGGATGGCTAGCTAGGATTGCTACCTAGGATTGCTACCTAGGATGGCTAGCTAGGATGGCTAGCTAGGATTGCTACCTAGGATGGCTAGCTAGGATTGGTAGCTAGGATGGCTCCCTAGCACTGTGCGAAGCTAACAAAATGATCGACATTCAACATTCGCTAAAAGCTAGAAATCTTACATTACCCCCCAAAAAATTTATGAGTTTAAGTATTTATACATACAGGTACATATGAATTTGCATATATGCTTAATATGCATTAAACATGAGCAAATTTGAAGCAGTTAATCATTGGTCAAAATAGTGGTCATTTTTGAAACCTCTGTCCCAAATACTGTCTAAGCCAGTAAACAAAAATGCAAAAAAAGCAATTGCCCCGACTAGTATTGGAACCCACGACCCCGAAATGGGATAAAACGAATTTAAGCGTGCTCAAAATGTGTTTTTCGCACATTTCAGAGCCACCACCGCGAGCTGAGCTATCTATCCATATATAACTGATCGTGTGCGCACAATGTATGTTGTTTGCACAATTGATACTGTTTTCCCTCATTTACTGGCCATTCATTCATTCGTCGTGTGTCCCTTGTCCTTATTATTGTTGATTTTCTTTTATTTGCATGAGACACACGGAGTGACTGATGTCCAACAAATTAGGCCGAGCTTATATTATTGCCAGCATAAAAAAGAAGAAGCCGATAATAAATAAACACATAAATAATAAGGAACAAAAGCGGGTGACAAAGACCAACCAACGAACCAACCACCACCTGAGAACAAGATGAAGAAGAAGAACAACACGGACCTGATTGCTCTTATACTTCCTGTGGCTTCACGAGAAAGTGTAAAAATAGTCGATTTTTTATCCTTGAAAATATTTGCCACTGCCCACAACGAAAGTTTCTCTCTCTTTCTGCCACGGTTGACGGTGGTGCAACTGCAAAAGACAACACAATGAGTGGTTCTCACGGAAAGTGATCCAAAATGTGCGTTGCGTTTCTTGTCGCAATGCACGTACATAAGTACAACTAGAGCATTTTGTGTGTCGTGTCTGCACAATGTCACAAAATAAATGCGCCTTGTTTGTGTAGCATGTTGGTTTTACAACCAAAATTATTTGAAACTCGGGCAAATATCTTGACAGCACTTACGACTTAAGTAAGTTCTCAACAACGCAAAAGGTTTCACTAAACTAAACATTTTAATTGTATCAACTTTGCTATGAAAATGCAGTAAAATCTGAGATCATGAGTTGCACAGATTTCATACTACGGCACGCGAAAAGCACTTGCAAAATCATGTGAACCGGATTATTGGAAATTTCCCCAACATGTTGCAGCAAATGAATGGGCGTGTGTACTTATTATATAAATGATTGTTTTGCTTGTTAGCAGTCTAACTGAAGCATGCGACTCCCTGAACAAATCAATGCCAACCAAATTTATGTACATGTACATGGAGTGGAATGGGTTGTTTTAGTCACTTTTTCGCCTGCTGCTGCTGGCTGAGTATTCAATAACGGACCCACTTCCGTTCCGGTTTCGATTGGATTGTTCAATAAAATAGGATAGGAATGCATACATAATCCGCTCCAATCTTCATGTTTTTTCTCATGGTGAAACAATCCATTCCTTATTGTTCTAGGCACATTTATGATTTATTCATCTCGATGCATCTAGTTTGTGCTGGTGTAATTCCATCCTGCTATAATTTTCATCATCATTATTATATTAAAATGTACAGGTGATTTGCTCATGGTTGGTGAAATATTACATGAAATGACGATTTTTGCCCATTATTCCGTCCTTCTGTGTGGTGATGAACATTACTCTTTTACTGTGTCCCTGCTGCTGCCAGAGTAGGAAATGGAGGAAGTACGGTAAGGAAGGAATGAGCCGAGGGGTGCAATTCCATTTGTTTGACTACTGTTACCATGGCTGGTACATGTGAGGACGCCTACTCCAAACCTCTCCAGGCTGGCCGATTCGTTATACGGGAGGGAGTTGTAAATTGGTGCTGGACTTGTGTATGTGACCTATTATGATGATGATGACGACGACGAGGACGACGACGGCGACGACGGTGATGATGATAGCTGTTAGTTCAATGGAACATTGATACCGAGAAAGACCTCCTCTGCGGCTACCTGGCTGCTTTCACCATTTTCCGGTACATGCCGTGGTAAACAGAGGGTTTTAATTAGATGTAAATTTCCTAAATTTCGTAAACGAAGCAGAACCAGGTTGGATTTCTGCTCTCTCACGACGTTTGCGTTTAGAATAAGTGCGGTGACGGTGCGTATCTCGAGACGAGAATTATACTATTTTTTTCTACTGTGCATAATAAAAAGTGAGTTTAATTTAGAAAGAATGCATTTATATGTTTGTTTCTTTATTGTGTTGAATGTATTTATTTAATTGATCCTGCATACAAAAGATTATAAACAAACACGAGATGTATTTATCTCATCGTGCAAGGTTACAATAGGATATTGAATTTGGTCCGTATTTATTTTCCATGTAAAACATGAGCTCACCAACTGACCTCATATTGTAAAGAAAGAGATTTATTTTTTGGAGGAATTGGTGCAGAAAAATGGACTTTTTAGCCTTTCAGGTTCATGAACACCTTACTTTATTATTTCAGGCGAGTATGCGTATCATCATAAAACGTAGTTTGGTTGAGAATTGAGGAGGCCATGAGAGATTAATTTAGATAGAAATGCATGGATCCTAAGACTGTCTTACATTCCTCATCGTGTTATTGTTTCTAATTCCTCGATATCTTCTTGTCTTTGTCTGAATGTCCTCAATTTCCCAAGATGAGGAGATGATGATACGTGATTTCATCTCAAATGAGGATCAATCTTCTTCTTGTGTATACTTTTATATAAATAAAAAAGCTTAATCACAACAGAAATTGTCGTAATTTTAGATGATCTTAATTTGAATTTGACTTATTTTATCCCTACCTCAAGCAAGATGACTTGGTTTTAATGTTATTCTCTCTATTTTAGGTAAGGAAGAGGAAAACCCGAAAAACTGAATACGTGCCAAACAATAAGATGGATTGGGCCTACAATACCACGAAAGGGTATAGACCACACTTTATTTAATTAACTTACCACCAAGTAATTCTAATCAGGATGAATATAGATTGATTGTTTTAATTTTAATTAGCTGGCTTCTTTTTAATGAATTGTGCTTTATTTAAGGTGGATAGAGGTGTACGTTATCCATGTAATAATGTCACGAATGTGATTTTTCGACTATAATTCACCATAAAAAGCAAGTAGCGATTGGATTGTAAAAATGCTTGCGACATCCGCAAAAATTTACTCATTTACTTACCCTCCCGAGGTGCATATCAATCATTACCTCTGCGTGTGCGGGGATCACTGATTGAGGGGTTTTGGTTTGTGGACATGGTGGATGACTTTTTAGCTGGCTGACTTTGTTACGATGATGTAGGAATGATAAGACAACACACAACGGCGTATTTCCTCAGTTGGATGGACTTCTACTTAATTTTTCCGCTTTTGTGCTTTCAACGAAAAAAAAACATTGATGTGGCTTTTAGCTTACCCTCCTCCTTCGCATCATCGTTATGTAGAATTTACACATTATTATTTTATATATTGTACACCAAGGTGAGGGAGGAAAGCGAAGTTTTGGCATAAAAACGCATCCTTGTAATGATAAGAAAGCGAGATTTTATTATTTCGTGTTTATCTAGATCGTCCTCTGCATTCAGAAGTTGAGTAGCGTTCGTAGAAGAGACAAGTACTTAAAATATTCAACATTCTCATCATGAGTTTTGTAGTCTCATGCAAATTAAAAGTTGAGACGTTAGTTTATAAAATGTCGTCAGAGGAGTGAGGGAGAGTTTCCAGAGTTAATTTGTTCTGCCAGTTAATTCCACAATTTCTGAATAAAATATTTAGTTTTGTTACCGAGCGTGCGTGTCGTGCGCAAAGTAATTTGTGTGCAAGAAATAATGTGTTTGTGACGAAAATATACTTATACGAAAGTGCGTTTGATTCCAAAAAACATGTCCAGATATCAAAATAACCGGTACGTGTGTTAGTTGTACATATGCAATAATTTGCATGCGCATACTTCTTTATGTGTGTATGTATCATGCAAAAAACGCCAATAGTTGTGCAGCTGTGTTTTATAGATTTATATATTTGAATTGATTTGACTAAACCGTGGTGGTTGCAGTCTCATTAATGTATTAAAAAAACGAGCAGCTTGACATAAAAAACTGCGGTTAGTCGTAAATACGTACATACTTCACCAGAGAAAGTTCCCATTAATAGTTAAAATTACAGAGTTGCTTCCTTCCCAAATGTCAAAAGTGTTGCTGTAAAAAGTAGTCGTTTTTTAAGCTGCTTAGGAAGAACAAGGCCGTGTCTTGTACACGTCCAAACTTTGTAAACTATTTAAGAAGGAGTGGAGGAGTTTTGTAATACCTTTTGTTCTCTTGTTCACCTCCTTGTTCTTGCACAGAATGACAGTGTCTGGAAATGGAGACGACTCCGTTTCAGCCGTCCCAATTCCCATCGCCCGAAAAATGAAATTGGATCAACAAGTAAGTGCCACTGGGAAATGTGTCGAGAATATCTTTCTAGAATTTGGAGAATCTATAAAATTCAGACATAAAAGATTTAGAGAGAGGAAAATAAAGAGAACCTGAGACCAAGAACTAGATGCAGGTGTTTGGTAGATGATATTGGCTTAAAAACAATGCAGCTTAATAAGCTGCTCAGGTAATACATAGAATGCAAAATCAGTTCTTTTCCTTCGACTATTTAAATATTGGAGTCTCGTCGAAATTATTAATGCCCCAATTTTTATCTGCTGTAGAAGCAATGCATTTCGTGGAAAGACTACAAATCATGCTTGCCTAATTCTTTTTCCCGATAAGTATATTTCCAAACATTTGATCTACTTAATAGCTACCCCGTTGTTCTGCTTGCCTGTAAGGATACATATATTGGAAGAGAGATATAATATTTTGAACAAATATTTTACGACAGCAACTTTTCAATAACAATAATAATAATCATATATCAGAGCTGGTTGGTAGCATTGTGGTGAATTTACAGCGTTTAAAGCAACCAGTTTATAAACAAAACTGTAATGAAACAGTTGCATGTCGCATGTAAAAGTAGGTAGGTGTTGGTTTTGGTTAGGCAAGTTTTTAACAAAGGCCAAAACCAACGGATTGGAGGTTTACGCTTGAGGCAGTAGGTCTGATTTTGGCTCCCACTCCCACCACCCTAGTAAATATTCAAACAATCAGAATAGGAGATTGACTGAAATGTGAACCAAGTCATTCTTGATTTGTTCCTGTATTTACATCAGAAAAATCATAAACTGAACAGAGTTTCATGGAATAAGCACCATGTAGTCATAAAGTGATTTATTTGGTTTTTGTGTACATGGTATTTAATTTAGTGTCTAACTGAACATTGCAGAAACAATTAATTGAGAATCGTCAAAAGCAAAAGAGAAAACAGTCCGGAATCCCACACATTTCCGATGCCCGTGAAAATCGCGACATTCTAAACAGAGCAAGTACGAATAGTGCGTCATCCGTTCGCCGTCCTGCTAAAAGTCCTGGCAGTTCAGTTTCTTCACCTACTTCGGGTGACTCTGAAATAGGTATGCGACCCATCGAATAGCAATAATATTACTATGATTGTATCCATTTATCTAAATCTACATCCGCCTCCGCAAGTATTGAATATTTTTTGTATGTGGTAAAAGATTGGATTGCATTATGATCTAAATTCAATCCTGCTCCTTCCCCAAAGTGCCAATCATATCTGACATTTTATTCGAATTCGAATTTCAGTCAAAATCCAATCCCCAGCAGCCAGCTCGGATGGGTCACCGGATAAGGAAAAGAAGCGGAATTTGAACCGACTCTCTGCCACAAATGCGGAAATTGAAGACGGCTTAGAAGTACTGGAGCTGGATGATAAATTGGACCCAAATTCAGCCATTGGTCCCGACAGAAATGAAGGTATGAGACCACCTAGCCTAGCGTTCACCTCACCCAATAAAAATGTAATGGAGGATAACGAGCACAAAACCTCTAGCCAGCAAGCAAGCAAGCCCTCTTTCTGATAACTTTATTTCCACACATTTCTTTTTTTCGGTGCTTTGAACAATATAAAATTTTTAGCAAGTGGTGGGACGACGACATTTTGTTAGCGCACTCACAAACTCATATAAAAATCAACCCACTTTCACTACGTCGTCGTAGACAAATAGAACAGGAAGAACTTTTTCAGTCTGAGAGTCGTGGTGCCACACACAGACAGAAAGAGAGCCCGGAATTCGGGATGAGACCAGAAGACAGGACACGACGGCTCTGTGGCATTGCAAAATTTACGAACACATCACATGTACATCATGTCATGTCATGGAAGGAAAGGAATGTGTGTATAGGCAATAAAATATTTAGAGCCATCATCATCATCATCACGAGAGTGTGCCGTCAACATCCTCCCGTTCGTGTATGAAACCTGAGGAGGAGAGTGTGATGATAATGATGATGATTCAATTTCGAGTAGTCAGAGTTGGGAAAAGTAGAAATGAGAATTCTAAGTGCTCATAAATTGGAGGTGAATGTAATAACGGTTACTACCTTACTGCACACGGATAACGACAACCTGACCACCACACGAGTAGGTGCATGTCATGGGGGAAAATCAAGGTTTATAGAGCAAACGACTCGAACGTCGAGAGAGAGCGAGGATCGAGGAAGGAAAAGGAAAGCGAGGTTGTTGTGTTGCTTCTCTCAAATCAAATCGAAACAGAATCTGATCTTCTTCTGGAGAAAGTGAGTGTGGATTGAAGTCCGGAATGGATGGATGAATGCGACGGGGAGCTACTGCTTGCTACTACCTTTGAGTTTGATAAAAGTGTTGCAACACAGAAGAGAGCTTCATGAGAGGCAGTAGAGAGCCTCTATCCGAAAACTCCTCGTATTTCATCTCCAGCCGTGAGACGGAATTGAAAGTGTAGTCTGTAGTGGAAGGAAAGAGTAGGGAAAGAAATTGAAAATATATTAGAGCCCAGAAGAAGAAAGTTGAGTTCTTCTTAATAGGACTAGGTTTGAAGATTTTGACAAATTTCGGACAGCGAATCGAGGCTGTTCGGTTGGCTGAATTGTAGAAAGATCTCCGAGTTTTAAGAGTCCTGATTTTCGCAGGGCTGCGAATAACGCAGGAGCTTGTTGAATGAGGACTTCTTATTACATGGTTGTTGGAGAAAGACATACTTCCTTGCGGATAATGGGAACAAATTTCTTCTCATTTGAGTAGTACTTCTCGACTCCCGTGCATGCAGCAGACGTAGCTGAGAGGAGATATACATTCATACGTATTTTTGTACGCGTGTGTGCTTGTACAATTGCATGGTGTGAGAATCTGGAGAATGATTAGGTACGGGTTTGAGACAAAGAGCAGAGTTTTGTTATTATTTAAAGTGGTACATATGGATCCACTGACTGTGGACCAAGATCGACTGATAAATTGTGCTGAATTTGAAGCAATAATTTATTAAAACCTTGTAAATGTAATTTCAGAAAACCGTTTGGGAGAGGTTAAACCGTTGCCAACATCTGAATCGTTTGATGGCTCTGCACCTGTTGTTCCGGCTTCGTTTGGGGGAAAGGGCATCAATAACGACGTGAAAAGTTTCCAGTCTTCTGAGAAACTTAATTCGGTAGGATTTTATCGTGCTTAACTGGTTGATTAAAAATGCATGAGGATTTTATCTCGATCTTGTTTTTCTTGTGGAGCAGACAGAGGAAGACGATTCAGCGTCTCAGAAATTTAGCGTGAACGTGGCAGAAGTGATGGACAATATTGAACAGTTTGTGCTGCAACCTGCGGCTCAAGGGTATTTAATAAAATGCCGAATTACCAGAGATCGCAAAGGGATGGATCGAGGAATGTACCCAACTTATTATATGCACTTGGAGAGAGAGGATGGGAGAAAAGTGAGAGGAAATTGGATAGTTTGTCCGATTATTTATCAGGTCATGACAATTAAATTAATTGTTTTCCTTTTCTGTGCCAGGTATTTCTTCTTGCTGGTCGAAAGCGAAAGAAAAGTACAACTAGCAACTATTTGATTTCCACGGACGCCACTGACCTGTCCAGAGGTGGCGATTCGTTTATAGGTAAAGTACGATCCAATCTTCTAGGGACCCAATTTTCCGTCTTTGACAATGGTGAACCACCAAAACGGAATGCACCGAATTCGGACAAAACCTCGCTTCGAGAAGAATTAGCTGCAGTAATTTATGTACGTGACTCACAAGCCTTAAAACCAACCCAACTTGTTTTTTACTCATAAACTAATCACAAAATAATCTTTAACTAATTGACTTCTAATTTATAGGAGGCAAACGTCCTTGGGTTTAAAGGACCAAGAAAAATGACCGTCGTCGTCCCTGGGATGCTAAATGAAAACAAGAGAAAAGAATTCCGTCCAGATTCTGATAACGACGGTATAATAGGTAACTACCTACTGCCCTTTTCATTACCTATTTACACAAAAGCAAACAAAGCTCATTGACACCTGTTGTTGCTTCCTCATTTTTTTTAGAACGGTGGAAATCAAGAAAAATTGATGGCTTAGTCGAACTAAAGAATAAAACACCCGTTTGGAATGAAGAAAGCCAATCCTACGTACTTAATTTTCATGGGCGTGTGACGCAAGCATCCGTAAAAAATTTCCAAGTCATTCACGAATCAGACGGTGAGTCAAGTAGTTGATGAAAAATCTCTACAAATTACTAAATTCTTAAATTTCCTCCCCAGAGGATTACGTCGTTATCCAATTTGGACGCGTGGCCGAGGACGTGTTCACCTTGGACTATCGCTACCCCATGTGTGCCCTCCAAGCATTCGCCATCGCTCTGACCAGTTTCGACAACAAGTTGGCATGCGAATAACCACGCACTCCAGGAACCACGAGAGTTATTTTTCATTTCATTTATGGAACTGAAACGCAAACCTCACGACGGAGCTTGGAATGTCGGGTGGTCGTCGCGTCCTCGGTTAATACGGGCCGGTCCAGCTCCACGACCACAACTACTGCACAAATCAATATTCGAGCTCTATAAGTTTATCGTACCAAGTATATAATGCATACATACATACAGTACCTACTACATACATACTATCACCTACCTAACTAGCGACATAAATAGATTAGCAACAAGAAAATTAATGTGAGCTGCTTCTTTCTCATGGCAGCAGCAACAGAGGACAATCGCTGTACGTGTCTCGATGTTGTAATTGAAATTTATTTATAGCAGAACATATCAGAGAATGAAACTTTACATTTTGTAGTCACAACTGTACTAATTGATTGTCCTTTTCTCACATAGCCTTGGATGTACCTAGAATCATGTAACTTTTAGACGTATGTATGTATAATCCGTTGTTATCGTTATTACTATTTTAAACCCATCCCACCATCATCAAGTAAATGTCAAAAGTGAGAAGTCTTTCCAAAAAAGAGAGCATATTATTATTACTAAAACAGGTAATAAAAGGAGAAGAGAAAGCTGAAATGTTGTGCGTGTGCATGAGACTCTCAGTCATTACATTATTTACGGCATAATCATCCAGCTTAAGGAAAGAGCATTATCATCATCATCCTGCTACTTTTGATGGGATTTATTGCCTCTCGGATATGCAAACAAACACACTCGTTCGTCTCATTATTTATTGGAAGACATTGTTCCATCGTTTATTCCGAATCCTCCCGTTGTTCTTGTTCTCTGTCTGTCTGTCTGTCCAACACGCTGGGTGTTTGCTTTGTGTTTTACGAACTACTACTACTGGGCTTAATTAAGATCTATATAAGGTTTTCTACTCTGCTGGATGGAAGAACAACGGTATTGGGATGATCGAACTCAACCCTTTCTGCACCAAACCAAACCAGCTTCTGCAATCCAATACAACTGCAACGCAACCAACTCCAGGGAACCATATGACATAGAGAAATGCTCCAACTTTGACAGCTTGACTTCCTCTCTCTCGACTAAATAAAAACAAGAGTGCAGAATCAAAATGTGAGACAAAAATTACAACTGGACTAGTAATATTAGCCACATTTTAATGATAGGAACATTAGAGCGACATGGGTTCAAAATTGGGATTGACGACGACTTAAAAAAGCTATAGTTTAAACGCTGTGGTGTGTATATTAGTGCCCAGTAATAATTTAAGACTCTCTGCGACTGAGAGTGAAGAGCAGCTAAATTGTATAGTATTTGATGGAGTTGTGATGGTTGTGAATTTGTATCATGATGTTGTGCATGCAAACTAATAGTGAGTTAAAAAGAGTGACAATCAGTGCCAGACATTGAAATAGTGACGATTCAAAATGTAATAATCAATTATAACCGGAAGGAACTCAATGTCGAGGGATCCCGAGCATAATAAAAATACGTGAGAAGAAATCTCTTTTTAAACGGTGCTAATACATACATATTTATTTCGCAATCTTTTATACACCTAAAGCCTTAAGGGACCGGAGGAAGACAAAAGTAAAATTTACATACAAATATAAAAATCATGTCTTCTCCTTGACTAATTTTAAGGAAAAACATACATATTTACATACCATTTATGCAATCAAGCCTTTTAACAAAATAATCAACAAATTTAATTAACCAAGATTTTATTACTTTAACTAACCTATCGCTTTAAAATTCACACCCTGTTGCACAAAAGACAGTCAGCATGACACCATACACACACCTAGCCAAAAAAGCACTGTTTCAAAGAATTATAGTTTCCACGAGGAATAGTAAGACTACTTAAATTGCACTTATATTATATAAATATACCGTAAATTATTATACACCATACCTAAAACAACTGTGTTCTGCATCGCCAACATGTGATATTTATTATTAGCTAAAATAAATTTCCTGCCAGTAAAGAATAAGTTTTACACGAGATAAATAGATATTCACGTGAAAATCTGATTTCATTCTATTTTACTACTCCAATTGAAATATTATGTGATTTTTATCCATCTTGTTCTCGTCTGCAATAAATAATAATAATGCTAATCTACCTACAGTACAAAGTTGTAAGGGAATAAATAAAAGGTGCTGCGAGCAAGGATTAATTGGTGCTTAACCTCTTTACCGACTGCCTCTTGTCAAGCAACTAAATTATCAACAACGTCCAAGAAGAAGTGAAGATTATTATTATTATAAAACGCTGCTGGCTGCTATTGCTACTTACTCGTAAATACCTGTCCATTACAAGTAATTAGTTATCCAATAATAGTCCTGTCAGCACGTGTCATGTATTCGGACAAGTTGACTCTTCATGAAGAATGAGAGAGTGAAAGGGAAGAAGAGATTCTGGTCCCGAGGGAGGTGAAGGTTCGTGATAAAAGTCATGTTTTTTCGACGAAATCCTGACGAAGGATCGTCATCCTCCGTCCCTGGGGCAAGTCGCAGGAACGACAATACCGACGATATTCAACAACATCACAACGATGATGGGATTTTGGTGGCGGATCGGATTAGTCCAGATTTGCATGAAACTACGAATTTACTCCGGCGTGAGAGGAAGATCGATGTAGTGGACAGTAAGCAGAGGCCACGCTCCATAACCAGTGGTGAGAATGATAAGTCGCGATTTCTTGCCGAAATTAATGGTTAATTGTCACGTTTTTTAGTACATAATCGTTATTTTTTTAGCGGGGGACGATAGGAGAGCCTCTCTGGTGAGTCGGAGCAGTGGGAGTGGTCGGTTTGTTAGTGCGAGTGGGAGCATGGCCGGAAGTCGGGATGGGTCATGGCGTCTAAGCAAAAGTTCCGTTTCCAGTATTTACCACTCGGCCCAAGAGTTGGACCTTATGTCGGACTGCTACTTTTCGGACGAAGGGGAGCCTACGAGTCCTTTTCGAAGTTATAAAAGTCTCTGTTTCGACACGGACCGTGAGGATATTTTTAGTTCGCCGCAAGGATCAATGACACTGCATCCAGGGAGCAGCAGAAAGGTGAGGTTTTTTACATATTTATTTAGAGTTGTACGTCATAGAGGATGGTGTACATCTTGAATTTTTACATACTTCATCTTTCTCCATTTGCCAGACAGATTTTTTGTGGTGATATTATTATTATCAGAAGGTTTTGTGTACCACTAGCGTCTCACAGTCTGCCGTTTCAACAAATGGACACACTCTCACGCGTTTATCTTATCTTTGTTTACTTAGTGTAACGGGTGTGGGTTGATGTCACATTTGATGTGTAGTGTCTCGATTTTGTCACAAACATATTAATCCCAACTTACCTAAAATTGGCACGATTCGATTTGGCTAGTGGCATCATAGAAGCGTAGTTTTGGGGCATTAATGACAGTTTGATGTATTTGCATGGAAAACCTGAGTAATCGAATAAATAAATCAGATTCGTGATAGTATGGAATTGAGACAGTTTTCACGGCGAAATCCGTATGTACATACCACGTGAATTAATGCGAGTTAATCATCCAACTAATAAAATACAAGTCAATTAATTAAACAAGCATTATCGAGTTTAGGTCCAAAACACGCAAGTGAAATGCTCCACCTGACAAGTTAGATTCATTTACATGTATAATTCGATCATGGAATTCGCTCTAACCTCTTTTACAAACCTCGCATAAACCAGCACATACATAAATTTCGCTAGACATGCAATCTCTGTTTATATAATTACCAATATAACCAGAGAGTAGCTAACTTTTAGCTTCGTGTAATTGTTCAACTTTTGTTAAACACAAATTTCCATACAGTCATAATTTAAGCACAAAAAATGCACTCCAGTCTTTTTGGCAATCCATACTTTTGCACGGTATAAATACGTCGGCATACTAAATTTCCTTGGATGCTCTCAAATCAATCTTCAATTAAGCTGCTTATACTTGATCATTGATGTTGATGTGGTTTGTTTTCGTAATGCCATCATCTCAATCACAGCCAGGATACGGCTACCCTTGAATAAGCTAAATAAATGAAAAAAGTTGCATGGCATATCATTATATAAGTATCACTCCTCGTACGTAACGATGCTTGACTTTGTGAGTTCTTATTAGGACGACAATGCAATGCAAAGATTCTTCTTCCAGACTTGTACTATCGATGTGGTTGTCTTATAGATATTACATGAATGCATACCAGTCATCGCTTTTGTGCAGTACATATGCATACAAAATGACATGTCTGTATTAAGAAATGGCTGTACTTTACTTTACTTTTCTTCATTAACTTGCGAGGTGATTACAGTTCACTGTGCAGAAGAGCGTATTCAATAGTTTATGTACAACTGCATGACGAAGAAGACCATGAGTTCTACTGTTGTTTTCCTCCTCTTCGTGTTCCGTCATCTTTCATTATAGTTTTCCAGTTTAGTTGATTAACTGACTTCATGAATGTGAAGGTTGTGATTGTGAAGTTGCTATATTATTGCCTAATATAATAGTACTTATATTTAATGCGCTATTGCACTTTCTGTGATGTAAATATATTATTTATCCCTGCAGTAACAGGGGGTGTACTTATGGAATCTTTGTAATATCTTAATCTATCTCTGGTTTGGATTATTATTGGCGTGATTTTTTTGCGATTCAAAATTCGAGTAGTCTTAGTCATTCCGTTATATGAAAGTTAAATTTGCTAAATCATCAGCCAGCCAGTAGGGGCGATCATATGTAAAAGAACTCGGTGCGTCAACAAGATTATTATTTGCTTCAACATTGCTCAAGTGTCATATTTAAATTCTAGAACAATTCGTCATCGATAATAATAAATAATGGAAATTTTGAATTTATCTTTAATAAAACCCAAAGTGCCTCGGTTTTGAATAGTTTTAAGTAACTCATTGCCATTAACTTTCGTTCCTATAAGTTGCAATTTTTCTAAGTTCTTGTCACACAAAAACTGAAAATGTGATACCTATCGTCAACCGGGGTGACATTGTTTGTGCCAACAAATATACTCATTTGCCACTGTAACAGGTAAAGAAGACATGATTGACTCAATACTTTTATTTGCTAATATATCATTTTATTGGTTGTTTGAACGCGTCCTTATTTTACTCCACATCATGAAAAACATGGCATTTGTACCATTATTAGAACTCTGTAGTATGCAAAGAATGTGGCGTGGCTAGATAACGTTTTATCTTCCGAGGGACGCGCACAGACCAGTTGTCACCAACAAACGACGCTTCCATGCACATTTCCATTTCCAAAACAGCCAACCAAGTGTAAGGTCTCTGCGGATTTCTCAAAAAAACAGCACTACATGTTAGACCACTGAACAGGACGCGTGTCCCATTTATTTTACGGACACACACGGGTTTTATTTCAATCCATCTGTTGATCTCAACACCGCACCGGGTAGAATACTTACAACGATACGGGTAATCTAGCTGACTAAACCGGGAGATGAGATCTCACATCTCACTCTATTTACCACGTTATTAGTATCATAGACGAAGTAGGACACAATCATCAACATTTTCATTCTGTGGTGGATTCGTATAACTTGTCCCAGGTTGCATTTATTTAGTCTTGTTGATTTTGTTGGGTGCGCCCAAAACCCTCTGTAATATCAGTATCCTTTAAAATCACATCGTAAATATTTATAACACAAGTATTTTCACAAATATAAAAAGTAATAGTGATAAAGATATAATAATAGTGTTAGATAATAAGTACTAAAAGTAATGTAATTAAGGTTTATTTTTTTCTCACCCTTTTTCTCAGGGACTGAAGAGCGTAGCATTTCAGGAAGTCATGACCCTGCCCGAGGTGGACTTTGTCCTCGTGTGGGACGGGTCCGAAGATCAGGCCACGACCGACGTGGCGAAGGAACGACGCCGCGTTTTCGAGCGGAACTTGGAGGAGGACGGTTTAAAATTGGAGAGGGAGCGGCTGGAGGCGTGTAACCTCAATTTTGTCAAAATACACGCTCCCATCGAAGTATTGCGACGATATGCGGAAATTCTCAAACTCAGAATGCCAATGAAGCAGGTATCGTAAAAATAATCCAATAAATAATATTGCACTTTTTTCAATACATAGCACAACGCGTAGTAGCGTTTTCAAATCAAAACATTTGACATGAACAAACTCAAAATGGTTTTCTCATTTCTTAAATCACATCTTTTTCTAGAGTTTTTACCCCTTTAAACGCTACGTATGCAATTATGCAAATAGACATTTTCCTTGATAAGTTAACTTTTGCCAAACATTTGTCCTGTCTGTAAATTTTTGGGCTATTTAAAATAGTTGCCTATTTATTATTCAAGATTTGCATTGTAGTTCTAGTCCTGTTTATTCATATATAACGTATATATGAAGCGAGCTCTTATCTTGTGTAATCTGTAAGAGCCCGACGTTGTACCGCTAAACGATCTTCCATCGCGTGAGCTTGATTTTGATGTAATCTAATTAGATTAGAATTGAGACATGCATGAGTATACAACAGTACTTACATATAAATGGAATGATTATTTATTTACTTGATGATGATGACATGAATTATTTAAATATGTAGATGAGTAGAGAAATATCTTCATTTGCTACTTTGATTTTTATAACAGCTACAAGGCGATTTTATGGAGAAACTTTTTGGAGAAAATGAAGAGTTTGGATTTAAGGTTTTAAAATATTTTGTTACATCCTGGTGGAAAATTGGAAAAAGCTTGGGTGCAAAACTATATGCGTAATATGATAAAAATGGCATTAATTTTGTCTCATATAATTATTACCTTAAATGCATTACGATAATGGGTCTTGAGGACTTGAGCTGTTAAGACTGCATTGTTATTATTACTGCTGCTACTGCTGCTGCTGAATAAATAGCTGCCCTAGACAATACTTGGCTTGGAATGAGACGCTTTTATAATTGCGAATCATGCCACCAAGCTATAAATTCATGAGCTTGTACACTAATTGGATTTTCATAACGAGTTTAAAATATCATTATTGTTGCAGATTCCACAAATGCTGGAGATGAGGACTCCCGAGAACACACTTCTGTCCGAAGTCAAGTCGTGGTTTCAGATAGTCACTGACTACTTTCGCGTCGATCCTAGAATATTTCCTCCTGAAGATCAAAAGTTTACTGCAATCTACAGTAGAGATAAGGAATATCTGTGCGTCACTAATTTAAATAGGGGGGAAATTGGCCAAGTAAATTAAATTATATTCAATAATTTTTGTTTGACAGGTTTGACGTTGACGAGAAAGAGTTTTTCACTCCGGCTGGTATGTTGATTTATAGTAAAAAATTATAACTTTTAATAGCAACTGGTTACAATTTCATAGTTTTTTACGTGTTCGAACAGTTCGAGCTCGCATTTTAGATTTCATCCTGAGAAGAAAACGCTACACGGAGGACCCATTGGATGATTTTGCATTTGGAATGGAACGCTTGTTAAATGCTTATACCTACAGTGCGGCGTACCCACTTCACGATGTAAGTAAATTAAAAGCATCTTTATGATTTAATAGCTTGTTGATGAACGGAATTTAATTTGGTATAATGCTATTTGACAATTTTGGCAGGGTGATCTCAGAACTGCTGGAAGCCAGAGACATTTGTTATCCATCGAGTGGGCTTCAGTAAGCAAATGTCTCAAGTACCAACCCGTTGATGCCATCAAGGAATATTTCGGAGTCAAGATTGGCTTGTATTTCGCCTGGTTGGGATTTTACACTCACATGCTCATATTTGCAGCTGGTCTCGGGATTATTTGTTTCCTGTATGGTTGTTTTACGCTGTATAAAAATCAACACAGGTACTTTCACTATAATGAACTATGCATAATAACCGCAATGTTCGTCTTGTTAGAATTACGTCTTAAAAATAAATTATTATTGCCCAATTTGCAGTGAGGACGTCTGCAATCCCCACTTCAACTTCACTATGTGAGATATATGTATAAATATCACTCGAAAAACAATGTCTACTATGTAGTCTTACTGATTGGATTGTTTATTCTAGGTGCCCTTTATGCGACACCGTGTGCGACTATTGGTCGCTCCACGATGTATGTTTCTATACCAGGCTGACATATCTCTTTGATAACGATGCCACTGTGTTCTTTGCAGTGCTAATGTCATTTTGGAGTAAGTTGTATATATTTATGTATGTAGGTACATGTAGGAAACGATTTAATACTATGGTGAGACGTTTCTCACTAATTGTTATATTTATCGCTTGTTGTACAGGTGCGATATTTCTTGAGTGCTGGAAACGATACTCTGCCGAGATTACTCACAGATGGGATTTGACAGGATTCGATATTCAGGAAGAACATCCGAGAGAAGAGTATTTGATTCGATTGAAACATGTCAAGAAACACGAACGCAACACCGTTACAAGCACTACTGAGCCGTATGTTCCCTTCTGGAAAATGAAACTGCCCTACAGGATGTTCTCAATGTCCATGGTTTTACTTCTGGTAAGGAGATTCTTAGAAATTTGCACTTTACATAAAGTTAGAAGAAAACATGTTTTATTCAATGCAACATCTAACTTTAAAACTTATTGTGCAGATAAGTTTAGCGGTAGCTGCAGTTGTAGCAGTTGTGACTTATCGCTTGGCAATCACATTCGCAATCAATAGGACTTGGAGGGATCAACGTGATGGTACGATCCAACAATGTGCATATATTAATTGGGTTAGCTGGTCAAATTAATTGAAAATGCACTTTATATACTTCTCTAGTTCATAGCTGGGGACTGATTCTCGTCAGTACTACTGCTGCTTGCATCAACTTGGTGTTTATCTATTTTTTCAACTGGGTGAGACAACTGATCCTGTGATACTCGTTCATTTATTGAAATAGATTGACATGCAACTAATTAATGTCTTATTTTATTATAGTTATACTCGTTTTTGGCAGAATATCTTACAGAACTTGAGCTCCACCGAACTCAAACAGAATTTGATGACAGCATTACTCTCAAGATGTACATGTTGCAATTCGTGAATTACTACTCGTCCATTTTTTACATAGCATTTTTCAAAGGGAAATTCGTGGGCTCGCCCGCAAAATATACAAAATTCTTAAGGAAGTGGCGACAGGAAGAGGTACATATTTATCCCAATCTTATACACTACTCACCTCTATAGCTATAGGGTTCTTAAATTGTACATACTTTCATATCCAACAATTATTTTAGTGTGGTCCTGGATGCATGACTGAGCTATGCATACAATTAGCCATTATAATGGTCGGAAAGCAAGCTTTGAACACTGTCCTTGAAATGATTTGGCCGTAAGTTTTTGAAAATAAACATCTTGTCTAGAAAAAAAATTACGGAGTAATGAATTTGTGGTTTACAGAATCGCAATCAAATGGTTTAATCAATTTAAACTATTGACCGGAATTACTCATGAGAAACGAACCTTGTAAGATCAATTACATTACATTATCACACATTAATCATCGTTTGACTCATCATTAGACTTTTAACATGATGGTGTCCATGTTTCAGATTTACAACGCAGTGGGCGAGAGATTACAAATTACTGGATTGGGGTCCTCGCTCACTCTTTCCTGAATACCTTGAAATGGGTAATTGTCCTAAAAATAAGTGACTTGTCCTTTCGGGTGACTATTATTAAACTAATTACTTTTATGTTTAGTTTTGCAATACGGATTCGTCACTATATTTGTTGCTGCCTTTCCACTTGCCCCCTTATTTGCCTTGCTCAACAATATTTTAGAAATGCGATTGGATGCTAAAAAATTGTTGGTGTATTATCGACGACCCGTGGGCCAGCGTGTCAAAGACATAGGAGTTTGGTACGGTATCCTGGACGGTGTTGGGAAACTTGCTGTTATTTCAAACGTAATTTTAACTTTAATTTCCAATTATCCCTCGTTTAAGTTTTGTAGTAAAAAACAATAAGAACTTTTTTATGACAATTCCAGGCTTTCATTATTGCATTTACTTCCAACTTCATTCCAAAAATGGTCTATCGATATGGGCTCCACGAACGGGATGATCCTAGATGGGGGACTTTGAACGGTTTTCTGGAACACTCCTTGGCTCAGTTTAACACGTCCAGTCTGGAACTTCCTCCAACAGGTCAATATCTAAGAGTGCCACACGATTTTTGTCGGTGAGTTGTGTATTTTAAAAAGTTTATTGCATAAGAATATGACAGGATTTGGAAATTTTAAGTACGCATAAAAATTTTTTAAATATATTTTCGACAGATATCCAACCTATCGTTACAGCTATGATGCCCCAGAAGAATTGAGGTACAAGAGAACCGACTTTTATTGGAAAGTGTGGATGGCAAGGTTGGCATTTGTCGTTGTCTTTGAGGTAAGACTTTGCTACATTTTCACGATAATTATCCTATAAATTTGCACATGTGATTCTTACCATGAAATGTTTACCTTCACAGAACGTTGTAGCCCTGTGCGTCATGCTTTTAAAGTGGGTCATTCCAGATACACCTCGAAAACTACAGGAGCAAATTCGTCGTGAAAATTATTTGACAAATGAAATAATTATCAAGCAAGAAATGGTCCGAGCCCGAGGAATCTCTGCAGGAGGTGACAGCACCGCGTGGAACCCTGTCGCCGGAGAGAAAGAACTGGAACTAGTCAGATGTCCTTCAAACTCTGCCTCTTCGCGACGCCGAAATGTGGAAGATTTTAATAATGCAAACTCAGGAAAGACAAATGAAGTCATGGTTTAAAATAATAATATGTTTTGTTGCCGTCGTTGTCAGTATTTCTCCGCAATCAATATTATTATTTTGAGTCTGTCCGCAATGTGCTATTACTAAATGTTTGTATAAGTGACAAGCACTTATATACATACACACACATATGAATTTCTGCTGGCTGAACGATATTTAATTAACTGTTGTATACCGAGTTTCCAATACTATGCAACTTTTTGTACCGCTTGTGATAATGTTTAATCTGACTGAAGTCCCAATCCCGATGTTCAGGAAATGTGCTTTACTCTCCCGTGCTTGTAGACTGCTCATATGAAATGGATTTAATTTTCGTATCATAAAATTTTCACATATTTCCGTTTAATAAGTTAATTTGACATTCAGCTGTGCTGTAACTACAATCCATTCAGAAATAAATTAGACTACTAAATGATGTACTAGAAAACCGAATATTACAGACCATGGCATTTATTATCAGCGTCATTCACTCCCTCGCAAAAAAAAGAAGCTTAATCACAATCACTCATAATTTTTAGAAGGAACACAGAAGCAACTGTCGGAAGTGAATTTTATAATTTGATGGCTCTCATCATAACAATGCTGTACTCGACTTCGATGGCGTTGGGTTTGGCAATTGTTGGGGTTAGTCGTACGAGAGGCATGAAACAACGACAAAAGTCAGCTTTGTATTCTTCTTGTAGCTCTTCCGGGATCCGGTGAATGAATGGATTGGCAGCCATGGCAGAGTCTGCATTACAAAGTTTAGTTAAAATTGGGGTCTTATCGGGGAATAAAAATTTGTTGGTTGGTGTGTTGCATTAAAGTAAATACACTTACCAATCATTTCGCCGAAACTGTCAAAGCAAAACTTTCGTCTGCAGTTGAGAGCTTCTTGTGGATGAAAACCGACCGACGACATCAAAATCTGCATGTCAGTGGCCGGGTCAATGCTGAAGTACGATTTTGGAATGAAGTTCTTGACATCCTGGAGACAAATTATTTAACCCAATATTAACACCATAATATTTCAGACACTGATATATCATTGGATTTTAATCTGCTGTTAACTTACAGTCATGAAAGACTGCCATGTCGAGATTTGGCTCATTTTTTCGTACACATTGAACACGGCAGCATTGGAGATGTAGTAGAAAGCAATTTCACCATTTATTTTTAACAGGTTCCACAAACTTTTGAGTGCCTTCCTGCAACACAGAAAATAAAATACGTTAAAAGACCGTAGAATATTTTTTTTATGAGTGTGACTAGACACAAATCATAATAAGTAAATAATCGGCATACCTCTGATCTGAAATCCAGTGGAGAACGTGTAGAGAAAAAATCTTGTCGAATTTGCAGGGAAACTCGCAGTCATCCTTCATCACGTCGGCCACCATGTAGGTCACGTGGGGATGTTCGTACCTCACGGAAGCAAACTCAATCATTTTGTGGGACAGGTCAACTGCGTAGACTTGGGTCGAAGTCGTAGATCCAATCTCTGACAGTGCCGGCAGTATTATGTTCTTGGTGTTGAACCTGAAATGACAATTGTATCAACATCTTTAGCTGTGTTTTTATTGTGAAATATTGGTTCTCAGTTCCTTGGCAGTGATTTCTTACCCAGTCCCGCAACCAAAGTCGAGCACTGTTTCTCCCAATTTCGGCGTCATGCTGGCTACAAGGTAGGGAACAAGTTCTTTGGCGTCGTGGCGTTGGAACTGGCTGTAGTTGTCGTAAGAGTCTGGATCGTACATGTTTGTTTTGGAAAAGAGTAAATTTGAAACAACTTGTAAACTTTGAACGATTTGTAAATTTCGAATAATTTATAAGTCTGGAACAACTTGTAAATTTTATAACTTCAAAACTGAAAGTTTTTTAAAGGTTTGTTAAATGTGCGAGAGAAAAGTAGCTGAGATCTTTTCTGGTTGAGTTGTACTTTGTTAATGTTTTCAGGAAGATCGGAGCGTCTTTTATATCCAGTCAAGATGAACGTTCATTTCTACTCGTCTTCACGAAAAACATTGCATTAAATCTGGAAATCTAAGGTCACATCTTTTGCTGTCATATGTAAATTTGAGCAAATTTGAATGAATGTTATCCAACACGTTTTATTTTTAGACATTCTGAATAACTAAAAATATATTAATACGATTATTAACATGACTTTTATGAATGAATTTTACCACGTCGACGGAAGTGCCAACCTGGAGTCATTCATGCTTTTCCAAGGTTTCAATTCCTAGTTGTACGAAGACATTATTATTATTAGACATATTGCGCAATCATGTTTTAAAAATAAATTTCTTCTTCCAGCTTTAACACTGTCTGGTGCGATTCTTTGTCAGGTATGTATAGATTTCAGATAAGTGTCACCAGACCATCCTCCTCTTTGCATACACATGACATACAACAACCCAGGAATAAATGTACATATATGCATAGTCTATGAGCCAATTTGGTCAACACATTTCGCAATAATGTGTGTATTCTTGGTAAGTTTGTTTTTATTTTGGTCCTTTGTGACGATGGGGATGTTTAACTTGAATACACTTGTATGATACAAGTGATACCTATTAATATCACATCTAGTTAAAGAGCACCTACAAAAATACGTACTATTTACATGCATGCTTATAATGCCACCAACCATCCTTCCGTCTTCCATTGTCATGATAATTGCTTACTTCGTCATCGAGACAATCGTCCAGCCATCCAGCATGACAAAAGTAACACGAGCATGCTGTATTACGCATTTATGTGTTTAGTTGTTACCGTGCTTAGAAATTGATGATGTCTACTTTGCATGCAGAGAACTTCAAACTGTTGGAGTAAATCGAAGAGTAGATGTCAGTATGCCAGGGACAATTTTATTTATTTACGCCTCGTTTAGTTTGATGTCATCCGTTATGGACGGGACAATTAATCAGTCTTATAAATGCGAATCAATAATCATTTATGATGACCATACCCCGGACAAATATTTTTTTATCCTACCCTACTCATGTTGAGCTCAACACGAGTAGGGTAGGATAAAAAAATATTTGTCCGGGGTATGATGATGACAAGACCACTTCTATGAATATGAAAAGTTATGTTTGTATAAGCGACCTACGTATCGCAATTCGATCGATTTATACGGTGGTGATTTTTATTTCATTTCAATATAAAAATGAAATTTTCAACATTTTACATTGACACTGTTTGATTTAAAATATATGCAATACGTTGATATCAAATTGTAAAGAAGTAATCAAGGCCAGAAGTAGCTTCTCTATGGACAATAATATCCGGCAAAGAGCCACATTAATATTCCGATATATATTATTTATATCAAGGCCATTTAAATGACCCATTTCTACAAGAACTTCAAAATAAATAACAAAAAGTATTATATCGAATGCCATTGAGATACACATTGTTCAAAAAGTTGCAACCTACGCATTTAAAAAAGTGAACTTGGACTTAAGTAGATATGACAAACATTGATAAAAACATCACATAACAAACAATCATTCTCAAGATTATTATTCTAAGAACAGAGCAAATATTCCGAAAGAAAACAAAGTATTTCTGTGCCCATAATTAAGAAAATGTCAACCAGTCCTCCCGAAAATGTCACCCTTCGCTATAATCAAGATACAAAAGTTGGGCATTTATTTCTCGAATGACGTACATCTTAAACTTGGCATGAAGAGATAAATTAATGTCAAATATACATAGCTCGTTATAATTCGCCACCGTTTGAACTGAGGATTATTATGGGTCATTTTATCATCATTTGAGTTCTTTGCCCTTGTTCCCAAACTCGGTTTATTTCCTCTTCTCCCAGCCCACCACGGGCTGAGACTGAAATGCAATTCAATAAATTTATCCATTTCACCTTTCCTTTCTCGGTTGAGCAATTGGCTAAACTAATTCTCCCCAAACTTTCAGGGTTCATTTGCTCACTCACTCACTCGTTCCTTCCTTCCTTTATGTATATTTGTAGTTGTACCGCGTTGCCATGACGACAAGGAGCCCACGTCGTCAATCATCTGCCGTTTTTCTGTCAACTCTGCCACGACCGACCGAGGAGCAGTAGCACCAGCAGAAATTTCATTTCACTTCCCTTCGTCATTCTCCCCTCGTCGCAATCGCGGTTCGGTTGTCAGTTTAGTTTCTCTGGGAAGTTGTAATTGTGCTTTCACCACGGCGGCACGAGGGTAGTTTTCTAGTCACTCATTTGCTCAGTAGGAACGAATTCTTTTTCGGTGGTCATCATCACATCGTCATCATCATGTCTGAAGAAACGTCTGATTCCTCCTCCAATCTGAATAATTCCTTTGATGACTCTGCCGACAATTCAGATTTGACTGTGAAAGTGATTTGTCTCGGTGATTCGGCAGTGGGGAAATCAAAGTAAGTTTTTCGTACCAATTTCTGCAATGCGGTCCATTTTAATTATATAATAAGCTGCTGGCCTATTCGTGCTGTTTATTTGCCTGACTGGTTCACTTATAAAATGTAGATCCAATGTCAAATGTGGGCGAGAGTATGGGGCATGACCATACACCAACTAATTTAGTTGTGTTTTTCTTTCAGGCTGCTGGAACGGTTTTTATCGGATAAATACAAACCACAACAAGTGTCAACGTACGCCCTGACGCTGTACCGGTATCGGTCCAAGGTGGAAGGGGAAGTCATCAATGTCGGTACGTTGTTGGATTTATTAAATCGATCACAACCATACATCACGCACCTGCTGCGTCTAATTTACTTTCCCTCTCTTGTATGTATGTATGCATTTTCAATTTATTTTCGTCCAGCATAAGTATGTATGTGTATCTGTCATTGATTTAGTTTCCTGATTCATTCAGTCGCGATGAGTCCATTGAATAATCGTAGTCGTGTCATGTCACGGAGTCACGCACATGAGATGAAACTGATTCAATTCAATCTGGTTATTGGCTACGCTATTTTTAAAAGATAAAAAAAGCTTGTCATGCATATCGGTTTAATTCCATATAATGACATGTATGTAAAATAGTAATTTTGAATTTCAGATTTTTGGGACACAGCGGGTATTGATACATAAATTTTCATGAGAATGATCAATATTTTATTAATTATGGGTGATATCCTAGGTCAAGAACGATTCCAATCCCTCCACCCGTCGTACTATCATCAGGCGGATGCATGCGTCATAGTCTTCGACGCGACGAGAAAGGTCACTTACAAGAATTTGTCCCAGTGGTTTGACGAGTTGAGACAATATCGTCCAGAGATTCCTTGTTTTTGTGCGGCGAACAAGATTGACTGTGAGTAGTAAAAATTCCACATGAAATTATGATGAATATTTTTTTATGTATGCTTATTTTTTTTAGCAAATATGGATATTACCAATCGCACATTTGCTTTTCCGGAGAGCAAAGGTATACCGTTGTACTATGTGTCGGCTGCCACTGGATCAAATGTGGTGAAGGTACAGAAAATATTGATTTTCAATATTTCTTTATTGCATTATTTATTTACTTCGTACACAATTATTTAAAACGACTCTTTAAATTAATAGTTATTTCGCGATGCTATCGAGGGAGCTGTTAAATACAAGAAAAATCCAACACATTGGACTGACCAGATTTTTCGAGAGCTTGACAAGACGTCAATTGACGAGAAAGATGGCGAAGACGACGAGTCCCCAAAAAACTCAGTAACGCCAAGCAAAGATTGAACAGGGCCGAAAAATAACCAAAAAATTCTTGTGATATCTCAATAAAATATTTTAGTTAGAGTGTAGTATCATGAATTTAGGAGAGGAATGTGATACAAAGTTATGATTTTGTATAGGTTTATATACGGTCGATTGTAAAAAAATTACCTGTGAAATCCTGTAGAACCTTAAAAGAACAATTATTCGTTCAAAATGTTACTTTGATCATTTAAATAATTAGAAATCATTTTGTGGGATCAAAATAAAATTATATTCTACATTTTAGTTGATAAATGTGTGAACATTTTGTGTATTGTTAGATTAAGTTCATACATATATCTTTATCTTGTACATCATAGAAGATGTTGGTTTCAACAAGTTATTTTTGTCAATTGTGAGTGAATGATATCGTAGGTGAGAATTAACTATGTATCAACTGCGTTAGAATACGTAGAGTTCGGTCGCGACGTTGGATCGCGGAGGGAAATCCCAGAGTTGCATCGCAAAGTTCGGTGCTGAGGTTGGGTCACGGGGTTGGATCGCGTAGTTGAGTTGCGATGTCAGATCGCGGAGCCCGGTAGTGGGGTTGGATCGCGGAGGTCGGGTTTTGTGCTTGCGAGTGAGTGAAAGGAGGAGAATAAAAGGGCTCCGTCCACCCCACTCAGCATCCACACTTCTGGAGGACCTCGACCGGACAACACCTTCACTGGACCTGCTGCCTGCTCCTGGACTTCTCACTTGGACTTCTGCTCTTGGAATCTCACCTTGCCTCCTCTTCCCGGACCTCCTTGCCTTTGTGGACTGGACCCTCTTGCTGCCTTGAAGACTACAAATTGGGACCCCTGCTACCAGGATGCATCTCAACTTGCCTCTTCTGGACCTGCTCCCCTGCTACTCCACGGATGAAGAACTTTGTTTGGATTCTGGCTACAACACGACCAATGTCTCGCCCTCGGACCCATCTCCGCCGTCGCCGTGGGATGACGAAGTCGTGGACTGGACAAGTCTCTCCTTTGAACTGAACCGCCTCCTGGAAGAATCAACTCCTGTCGACATTGAGGACAACATCAGCCTCAGCCTGCCAGACCAATCCTTCCTGACCTCGGAGGACGCCACGGTATTGCTCACCGCCCAGGATCCAGCCACCCAGGACGATCTCAAACGCCTGACCATCGTCATCGTGGGACCCAACAACAACGTCGCTCTTCCCATTCTCAACTGCATGGACGTCGGCGGAAGCGGGATTCTCTACATCTTTCGACCCGTCATTCCCGGAATTTACACCGTTACGATCTGCCACGACGCCACGCAACCCATTCGAGGCTGCCCCCTCAGGATCCGGTTTTCAAGAAACTATCAGCCGTCCATTCGCCGAATCCTCACATGGAATATTTCGGACATGGAACAATCTTCCGGACTTCGCAACCCGTGGGGAATCTGCTATAACACAAAAACGGAACAACTCTGGGTCGCTGACCGGGTCAACCACACACTTATCGTCTACCAACCGGATGGATCTCTGGACTTCATCATTGGACAATTTGGAGCTGGACCAGGAGAATTCTTCAGACCCGTCGGCCTCGCCTACGATGTCCACTCGGATCGGATCTTTGTTTCCGACAAGGACAACCATCGCATTCAGATCTTAAACGCCAAGGACGGGTCATTTTTGGGCGCCTTTGGGAGACGAGGACATCTGGCTGGACAATTCCTTTACCCGTGGGGAATAGCCATCTCTCCGGACGGATCCACGGTCGCCGTGGCAGACACTCGCAACCACCGAATCCAGTTCTTTGATGCTGCTGGGACTTACCTTCGGGAATTTCGAGTTGGTGGAAACTGGAAAGAACACAAGTCGGTCTTCAACTACCCCCGTGGACTGGCCTTCAACCTGACGGGGGAAGTTCTCTTCGTCTCGGACTTCAACCTCCACCAAGTGAACCAGCTGCGATTCACGGATGCCAAACTGACCCTGCTGCCCTTCATCCCACCCGGAATCCTCTATCGCCCATCCGGACTTCAGGTCGACGAAGCTGGGAACCTGATCGTGGCCGACACGAGAAACAACGTCCTCCGAGTCTTCACCCCCACCGGAATCCTCATCCGAACCATCACCACCATCCACGGTCCCCTCTACGCCAACGCCAACACCAGCCTCTCAGCCCCCACGGACGTCGCCATCCTCCCCAAGACTGGATTCATCGCCGCCCTCGACAACGATGGACGCATTACAGTGTTTTAATGTTAATTAGTCTGTAACCTAGTCTTAAAAATTTATAAATTGTAACAGATTGTATTTAACACAAAAAATTTTGACTGATGATTGTACTTGACAATGTAAAGATTTCATGTGATATATTTGGATAAATGTTTTTTACTTAATAAATTTAATTGCAATTGTATTCAACTGTTTTGGTATAAATTGTTTGTCATAATAATCCTGCATTCATATACCTTAGAATTATACCATCATTACAACTGCATACAAATCATTCCACAAAACTTCTTCACCGCAACGAGCATAAAATCTTCGCATTTTTACATTATAATTTACTGATACATTGCATTCATTAATCGGAACACAATCATATCTAAAGAGTAAAAACAGTTCAATTTTAGACTTGCATATGCCATCAGAACAATCTTATTTTGCATTCTTATTTTGCATTTCTTGTGCAAATGCTTGTGTTTCTTGTTTCTCCTATTACAGTCTACGACTCTAAAACTCATTAACTTTGCAATTAACACAATGACAACTTATCAGCACAGACAATTTTTCTTACACGATGATGACCAACTAATTGAACACCTAAAAACAAATTACTTTAATCGGAGAGAGAAACTCGGATAAGCACCCTCTCTCCGCATATGAATTTGCATTCTTGCACATGCATCAGCATTCCCTAATTTCAGATGAAATTGCACATTTTCTACAAACATGGCAGGTGACAATGAATGAATGAGTCGAGTTAAAACTGTGGACAGCAGTAGTGGTACATGTACATTGTTGAGAATTAACAAATCTAGGTTGCGCATATTCAAGGATAGTTAATAAGCAAATTAGCAAGGAAATGGGCGATTTGTCCGTTACTGCCAGTGTGAAACACTTTTACCCAGCCTGACGAAAAAACCATCCTCACTACGCCACAAAATTGGAGGCGAAGCAGTGATCGACTTTTCTAACTCTCAATTCACTTTCGAAATCCCAGACGAGTTCATCTCCTCCTCCTCCGCCTAGCGTCCAAAAAGTAAGAATCAGAATGGTCTGCCCGTGCTACTTTTCACCTGTGAGAAAAATGAGACTTTTCCTCCTCGTCCTCCTCTTCGTCACAATGACAAAGTCGGAAATCCTGCAAGTTGTCAAGAAAAGTGAACGAATAATGAAACCAATGGGGTTCGAGAGTTTAGTGTCAACTTTTAATTCGACAAGGGAAGCGAGACGGTCGGGTACGTAGTAAAAAAATACAATGCAATAATTCATTCCTATATACGCCATTCCATTCCATTTGTTTCAGTCGTTTCCGGAGGATTATTTAGCATAGTTTCATTCGACAATGTCCCCTGCATGGCAATGTCCGGAGACATTGGGACTTGCTATTCTCAAAGAGAATGCACCAATCTTATGGGAACAGCGTCAGGAGTGTGTGCCGGAAATTTTGGAGTCTGTTGTGTCGGTTTGTGTTACAAAGATAAAAATAAATATCAGATCGAGCACAAGTATTGATCTTGGTGCTATTTTGAGTTTAGTGACGCCAAGTTGTGGAGGCACAGTGACGACGAACAATACGTACTTCATCAACACGGGCTTCCCCGCAACAGTCTCGGGACCATTGATGTGCTCCGTCACTGTGAACAAGTTGGCTGGGGTATAATAAATAAGATAGAAATACAATTAATATGGAAGTATCATTGTCAGTTTGTCTATTAATATGCAAATTAGGCAAGTGAGCTGTATCTGGAATTCACCAATTTCCAAATAGCCGGCCCCACACTCGGCGACTGTACGAATGACACTTTTACAGTGACAATAACCGGAAGTACGTCCAGCATGACGGTGCCCATCTTGTGCGGAAATTTAGGCAATCAAATGTGTAAGTAAAAACATGCGTATTTATTTTAATCATGTTTTTTTCTGTCTGTTATTACTACTATTTTTTGCAATGTCAAGACTACATCGACATTAGTAAAGCCACGGGTCCGTTTACGCTAAAATTTAATTTGGGGAGCACAACTTTCGCGAGGAGTTGGAAGATTAGAATCGTTCAATTTAAAACGGGGGATGCGTGCGCTGCTCCGAGTGGTTGTTCCTTGGTAATTAATCATTTTTATGACAAATGGACTTCTCAAAATGAAAATGTAATTACAATAATAATAAAAAAACGTAATCTTTTTTACAGTATTTTAGGGACCCATCAGGCACGGTGGAGACATTTAATTATAACATGGGTCAAGGAGAGTTAATTAACAATATTTGTATAAACGTATGCTTCCAACTCCAGCCGGGCTTTTGTAGCATAATGTTGACTGAAAATGAGTTCATGCTCAGTGGTACAGTGACCTTCTTCTTCTGAGTCAATATATTGGCCCACAAATAAAGACAAATCGTTACACTTTTTGTTTTGAATAATTCCATAGGAATTGCCCCAAATGACTGTACTGAGGGTGACTACCTCCTCGCAAATGGACAGCGATTCTGCGGGGATACTTTGGGCAATGGAATGCTCGTTGGTATGATAATGCACCCATTTCTAATCTGCCTCGTCCGTCCGTCATTTGCATAATACATTTTATTTTGAACATGAACTTGACCAATGGCTCTCCTTCCTTTCAGTCAATCAGACAATGTCCTCGGGCTTCTTGCAGATTCAAGTGTGTTCCGGGAACACAAACCCAGATATGGACCTCGGTTTCAAATTAAATTATACACAACTTCCTTGCCCGTCTTCCGTCGGGTAGCCAAAACTTCTGACCAAGTTCAACTCTGACATGACTCTGACATCATATTTCATCCTCTTCCTCATCAACTTCGTACATACATATCTTCGAGGATACCACCCGATCTAGTTCTGGTTGGGCATATGTATGTATAAGCTATACATTACGTATTGGTTACTCAGTGATCGAAACCATTCGGTAGTACAGACAACAACAATTTTTAGACTTTGTTCTCCTAATCGCTAATCATTAAGAGTGTTATTTGGGTGTTCGTTCCTTTCTATTCTATCTTGAACCACTTTGTATAAAACTACTCACTTTTTTTGTAACGGTCGCCCCAGCTTTTTACATGTACACGTATTTATTTATTTATGTATTTATTTATATATTCAGGTATTTATTTATTTAACGACTCAAAGAAAGGAGAGCTCTGCGTGATTATGAAAATAAAAACAAAGCCAGGAAGGACAAGAACTGTGATGACTGCATGCTTTGTTGCTTTCTGACTTTCTTTGGCATTATGCAGCATGAAAAGACGGCAGTTTACGTAGTACGACTCTTGGTTGCACAAAGACTGCATAGTTTTCGGTTCGGGTGACCCTGCCTATGACTCAATTGAGTTGATATTTTTCCTGCAACCAAGGCCGGAGAAAGTGTGAATTCGGTTTGGCCAACTGGGTGAAGGTTCGGGGTTTGGCGGGTGAGTACGGGTGAGCTGGCTGCTGCTGCTTTCTCCTCACGTCATCTTCCAAAATTAGCAACTATATTCTATAACCTTAAAATGGTTATAGTTTTAATTCATAATAGGGATATCTGACACTTTGAAAATTAGCGTTGAAACGTTAGACGACATGGCCTAAATTTCAAGCAAAGGTATCGCTTGAGGTTAATGGGGTCAGAACAGAGCTCGCAGGGAGGTGGGAAGAGAAAGGGAAAGAATCCGAAAAGGTCACATTCGGCAGGAGCCGACAAGGACAATGAATTCAGAAGGAATAAATCATATGAAGGTGCATCCTCTCCAAGGCCAAGTATTTGTTCAGACTCGGACATTCCATACGTGTCGTACACAGCAACGAGGCCAATTAGTGAAGGTTTGCAACTTTGAGTACTAAAATAGACACGCATTTAATAATGTATGTAACTTAAAAGTCTATGATTGCTTTGCAGAGATTAGTACCGATCGAAAGTTCAAGTGGACAAGTAGTGACGCCAAACCCAAGACGCGGGACAAAGTCATAAATCGTGAGAGACGTGACAATAAAGCCAAAAGTGTGGGGAGCATTGTGACCGTGAAAGCAGCCTGCGAAATCCCAACGGTGGAGAAGGACCCTCTATATCAACGGCTAGATGTGTGTTTTAAACAGTATTTTTTGCGTCATAAATAATTCCAATAGTTACAATAGCGCATGTCTTGCTTATTTTACAGGACATTCCTCCCTTTACGCCCATCATTCGAGAAAAGCCTGGCGTACCGTGGACGAAAAATCCCGAAATTTCGGAAAAGATCGACCCCTCTTCCCTACTCAAAATCGCCTTTTTATACCAACAACGTCTCGGAAGACATGAACGAACCTTGAAAGCTAAGCAAGACCAACTTTCCCTACAGATTCAGGAGACTGACGCCCAAGTGTATCATATCACGATGATTCTCAATAATAGAGAAAAAACATTTTCACGATACTTAGAAACTTTCAGTAAAATATCAGACTTGACGAAAAACCTATCAGCCTGTCACTACTCTCTAAATAAGACGATCGAAGCAATTGAAACGTTAAATAACATGCTTGCCGTGGACGATCGACTGGAGCCATTTGTTTGGACAACGGGATAATAATTAATTATGATCGCTATCTATCTAGATCGTCATACATTATTCAAAAATAATAAGCCTAGCTAGCCTCTGCATTTGTTCATGATAACTTTATAATATCCAATGAGCCTATCATCAACTGCCCTAATTACACGTTAGGCAAGCAAAAACAAAGTAAATAAAAACGGTGATTATTGAATTTCACAACATTCCCCGATATTTACTCATCGCTCTGGTTAATTATTGAAAATGCGTCGTTTTCCTTATTCAAAACAAGAACTTGCACATTCCAAACTTTGCTATTCTAATCTCACCGCCTACCAAACCAAATATCTGCTGACGATCAAAATGCTGCATCGCAAAATAAACTGGATTGTCAATTCAGCACATATTATTTTGCACTCGGAACCTTATCTCGTTGCTCATCTAGTATGCGGAAAGGGCAAAATCAAACGTTGTCCTACCACTGAAAGACATACATTAAGGTGAACTTGCGCCTTTACCCTGTTATATTTTCCACTTTCTCTGCGTGATGGAGAATATGGCACAAATTTCGATTCAGTTGTTGTATCCCCGAGTTTATTGCATGAATAGATGAGGAGAGATAACGCCACTGTGTTTGCTTGCTAGTGCTCCTCCTCGAGTAGTGGAGTGGAATGTTATGCGAAATAGAGATGAATGAATTTTTTATAAGGCCTTGAAATGAAAGTGTGCTCAGTATCCATCCAGTGCGCCCAACCTTAACATACAATCCAATAAAGCAACTACTTTCTCCAACTACGGAGACATTGATGCTCCACTTACACATTCTTCGGAGGAAAAGGTCTCGACAAATATGGGGAGCAGTCAGTTAACAAATTTATGAAAAGTACTTGTCTCGTGTCGTTCATGCAAATCGTTTCTTTTGTTTGAGAAGAGACTTGTACGAGAAAAAAAACCATCGATAAAGAATATTAAAACGCCCACATTATCGTTTGCTGGTTAAGAATGTTGATGCAGTGAGATTATGCAGGAGGGGATGATTGTTTCTTGTTCTTCTTGATTGGATAGGATATGCGTCATTCATAGTTTTACCACTAATCAGGCCAACCTGATTATCTAAGGAAGAAAGTGGAGGAGCTGTATTGAGAAAGCGTGGTAGTATTTGTCCACCTACGGAAAAGGTCACCATGTCCCACAGCCAGTGACGGAGGCGTCATTATGACTGAATCCGATTGCCAGGCTCGATTTACGTTTCTCGATTTATGTCACATGAGCTGAAATGGACTGGTAAGTAAATAAGTATTCGTTGTATATGGGTTCCTCGATATGAGCCTTTTTCGTAACGTTATCGACAGTATTTTGTGCTAGTTTTTAACCAATTTAATTTCTAAAAATTATTGAAATTTGAACTTGTAATTCTGAAATGCAGATTAAGGTCTTGGATTAATCCTGTAGAAATACAAGTTAGTCCCTTTAATGAAGAACGAAACGTGTATGGATATCTGTTAAATGATGTATATTATTAGTTCACAAATTGTAATTATTATTGCCAAATGTGCAGTCCACTTTACTGAGTTTACGATTAGCCAAATACCTCAATTACACGGAGCAATTGTCAATAATTATTGCTGCACCGATTAGAATTCGCTCATTTTACATTTTGTTACACAACAAACTGTAAATTGCTTTCGTAGCTTGGAAGCTAAGCAGTTTATCGTTGACCAAGTATGGTCGCTGGTCATTAAAGATGGACTTCACCTAATGGGATATGCGTCTAACTTGTGTTGTGCATGCATACGCAATCCATAACAGCACCATGTGATGCAAAGGTTGGAACACTTATAGCTCTGCCTGAGATCCGGATCTATTATTGGGATCGATTTCCTACCCATTTAGCCCCCACAGTCTTCAATGCTCTTCATACCGATAATTGCAACGTACATAAATCTCCAGATGCCAATTACCGGAGAATATGAGAGCAACCTATAAACACGTCAACTCATGCAGCGAGAATATCTTCCTAAAATGAGACCACTTAGGAACGAACAAGTACAGTTGATGGTTGCATGCCACATAATTTATGACTTGGCTGCAAGTGTGTGTAATGGTAATTAATAGATGCCCTGAACTACTTGTTTGTTCCAATTTTAATTAATAAATACCATTCCACAAATATTCTCCCCTGCTGCTTCATTTTGATACGTATATGACAAAGGTCTCGATAAAATGTTATTTTCGCATCCTTGTTAAGAAATTAAATCCACGGGAAGGTCATACCTGTCACATTTCTTGCTTCTTATTCTTATTGTCAAGATGGTTAAAATAAACGTCAATTAATTAGACCGAGAACTATTGCGATTATATTCGGGCAAATTAATGTTTCGACAAAGGGAATAATAGGACAGGAATAGAGCAAACCAAGTGAAAGGTGACGAGGTTGTTGGAGTTTGTCAAGATAATGAAATGTCAACAAAATAGGACACGGTAGATATTTATGCATATGTATGTACCAAGGAAAATATACATTAAAGAAGAAGCAACGTCAGTAATCTCTAATCTACACCTGTGTGGTGCAAAATATATATTTACCGACCTCCTCGACACTGCCACGACGTTATTGTTCAAATACTGGAGAGACAAAGACCTTCGTTTATACGAACAAATGTCCTACTTCAAGTCGTCGTCGTTTTGTTGGGCAGCATGACAAGAGTCGTAAACTATGTTCAATTCCATTATAAAGCAAATACACAAATCTACCACTTGGCAATCCAATGCTCGCCTACTTGCCACTTGTTCCATGTATTTATAAAATAATGGGATCCTTCCCGATTGTCCAATTGATATGGTCAGCTCCGCCAAGGAATTCAAGTTTATGAAACAATACGCCACGAGGTTTGGTTTGGTTGCGAAACAATCGTGAATATTTATTTTGTGTTCAGACTTTCTTTTGAGATTAGAAATCCTTCGAATGAATGGACACGAGGAAATAACAAGTAGTTGTTGGTCGAAGGGAATAATAGTACTTATGTTTCTTCATTAAATGCTGCACGGGGAAGTAAGAAGAACATTAAATATGAATGAATCAGTATTGATCACTATTTTTTCATGCAAGTTCAAACCCAATCAATATGCAATATTCTATCTAATCGTTAAATGCTTTTATTATTATTCCATGGGCTCGTGTCTGCCTAAGTGCAACAATCTAAACATCCGTGGGGAAAGGGCAAATTGATCAATTTTGAAGAAGATTGAGACTTCCTGAACAAACTGGAAGTTGAAATACCTCTTTAATTTAAAGTGCGTGAGTTTGGATGGACTAATTTACAATTGAGCTCAAGTTCACATTTCACGAAAGTAGTAATGCATGCATATGGAGCAGACTTACGTCTGACTATTTTGAACTGAATTGAGACATTTCCTTTGCTGGATTGTGGAACAACCGTTAAGATAATACGACATTGTTCGTTACGACCAAATTAGTAATAAAATCTTGACTTTATTTTTATTTTCTGCGCTTCGACTTAATTAGAACTCTTAATACGTCATACAAATTACGCTGCACAAATGTTTTAAGACGGAATTTGAGGTATTTCCTACATTTGCCTAATTATAATTGCATATTTCAACAGCATAAACATATGCATACATACCTGCACACCCATCCCAACCATATAATACTTATAATAAAGTGCAGACCAATTTTTCCAATTGCACTCCATACTTCCTAACTGAGCATCATTTCGTCGCGGAGAAATCACACGGTGAAAGAAAATGATGTGCGCATTAAATATCTTCAAGTACTCAATTATTGTCTTATTTGATGATGACGACATTAAAAGTAGTGGTGTGGAAGCGGTTTTACTTTGGGAAAAAGGTATGGATGGACATACAAAATACTAACCCGGTTTACATTCATTCCGTGGACTTGACATCTAATTCCGACTGTTGTTGCACCGCCCAACTTTTCCCAACTCGCAAAACTTTCTCCACTCCAGTGTCACCAGTCGCTTCGGCGAGTTCACTGCCAACTCCTGATCACCTCCAGTCTTACTCATCCGTCCGTCCATCTGGTTGGTTGGTTGGTTTTGGTTTTCTCTTCTTCTTGTAGACCAGAGATTAAGGGAAAATGTGACACGTTTTGTCCCCCGTTTCCTCAAACTTATTCGATCTGTTGCAAGGAATGCATATGATGCATGTCAAGAAGTCGGAGGTTGACTCGGTTTCTAATCAGCTACAGGACGCGGATGACTTGGAATCATCCGTGGGAAGTATTGCTTTAGGCGGGGATGCCGTAAACCATCACGGTCCCACGCCGTACATCGTGGTGAGAGAATTTCCTGCCTGGATTGACAGAGGAAGGTCGGCCTACACCTCGGACAACATTCAGCCGCAACCCCACAATCTTCAAAGTGCTCAAAATAACCAGCACAATATTCTTCAAAAGTCGCATTTCAACCGTTTCTCGGCCAAAGACAATAAGGGGCATTATCATCAAAATGGGGACTTGGTGCATACGATCAGCCAACAATTTGTGACCGAGGCCGGACCCGACATTGTCAACGCGGAGAACGCCAAACAGCTTATTAACCAGTTAGGACTTATACAGTACAAAAAACCAGGTGAGCAAATGATTTTTAGTTACAATTTAGACCAAGGAGTTTTTCGGAAGGGTATTTTCGCCATGTTTTTCATCCAATTTAGAACCTTTAGATGTATCTCATCTATAAAAAAATTTGTCTGTCACGAAGCATGTTTCCAACCATTGCACTGATCATGCAGATAGGAGAACTCCCTTTTGATTCAGACATTATTTATGTATAAAGCATAGCAAAGCGCATATCAGCCTCAAATAGCTCGTACTATTCAATTGCTCATGGTCAAAAGCACAAAGGAATTATTCACATCACAACAATCCCCTCCAGTCAAATGAATTTGACTGACATGTTTTCACCACTTGCTGTGTTTGTGAATGTTTGATGATAAATGTTCTTACGTAAAGATGAAAACATGTTTTTCTTCATTTTACGTAAGGATATTTTATGAATATATAAAAATACATTTCCGAACTGCAGGTGCAACTGAATATAAAATTCATCAATTGTCAATGTCTGCTTGAATTGTTAATATTTCACAATTTCGTGTGCATGTCTCTAATTGATGGAAATTTGTGCATGTGCAGGAGTTGAAAAGATTTTGGAAGAACGCGATGAAAATGGGATCGCTCACAATGCCATCATATTCTCAAATAGTGGTGAAAGCGAGTACAGAAAACCAAGCTCGCCACCCAGCAAGGGGAACCGTCCACCTTCTGGACATTCCATTAAGGTACACTAATAATTTAATTGATCGTTAATATACAGCAAGTGTCTATAATCTCACCGATAACGACACGATAACGACTACACATCACGCGTTAAGGGAAATTTGTTTCATTAATTATTCCCGATTGAAGAATGAAACCCGTCGCCACTTAATGCGGGCAAGTAGTTGCGATTTCGTGATTCGCCAATTAAACCAAAATGTGCGCATACCTGACACAAATTGGTGTTGAAGGACGCGTAAATTATAAAACAATTGAACGGGATTGGGAGGATTCCAAGTTTCATGTACACATAAACAAGTTTTACCTTCAGTTTGCCCCTTTTTCATGCCCAGTACTAATGTCCTCAAATGTAGAGCACCCCATACATACATAAAATATTGCATATGTACCATCTATCTACCGTGAAGGTCAATCTTAGAATTAGAAAGTTTTACGATATCAAATTCGACATGAGTTGTCATTAAATTGTGCTAATTTGTCTCTAGCATTATGCAAGGATACTCGTGTACGGATTTATATGCGACTTTATTGCATGCGACATACTTTTTTTAACTTTTATAGGACCTAGAAACCCCACCGGACAGCTTATACTTCAAGGATAAGCAACGTCGCATCGATATGATGCTCGTGTTTGAGGAAGACTTGGACTTCTTAAAAGAACAAAGACGGAAAACATTTCTAAAGAATTTAGTGGACGAAGGCGTCGAAATTGAGATCGAACATCCCGACCCAACAAAAAGAAGGGTAATAATAATTTACATACGTATGTACATAGTTGCATTAAGGCATTGCATGCTATCCTACTTATCGATTGGTTTTAGCAGTGTGAAGGAATAGGTATAAAATACATACATGCAATATATACAAATTAAATGTCCGTTTGTGTCCCTCAAAACCTAAACAAAAGACAAATTGCTTGCGTCAGACGGTTCGTATTTGTATTTTAAAGTATTAAAGTTTTGACAAACATTATGTATGTCCAACGGAAAACTCATGTCACGCAAAGTTTTTTGCTAACCTAAATCATTGGACAGGAAGGGATTGACTATGTCAAAAATATTCAAGGTGTTTTTACATAAATACCTGTTTTTATCTGAAACTTTATGATTGTCTTTTCCAGCTTAACCACGAAACTCACTTTGTGAAAGTTCACGCTCCTTGGACAGTTCTGACCAAATATGCTGAAATCATGAACATGAAGATGCCCATAAAGGTAATCATTCTGTTGTTGAAGATTTCCATTATGATAAAAATTTGAGGGAAAACATTGCTCAATAAGAAAAAAACAGAAAAAATATTTGCGTGCCTAGAAACAATAATTATAAGCCAGGAATACTACTTTGTTAAATAATTTGTTTACAATGTCCATTCTTTTCTTCTTCTTCACCTTCTCCCACAAATCTATCTTTAGCGTTTTTCACAGCATAAATACGTACATTCTAAATGTTCTAAACGTTCCAACACTCAAACTTTATGTACACCAACACCTCATTCTATATATTCCTGTGACGCCTATGTATCAATTTATGAGTAAACCGGATTGCTCCCAGATTGAATATCATCATATTATTCAAATGTTTTTCATTCCATTGTCAGCATGACGATGAGGGGCTCATTGTTGAGAATAATTTCATACACACCCACGCAACACAACAACATCCACACTTTGGAGACCTTTCTACTCCGACAAATTGTGGGGTGCACCCGGTAAACCCAAATATATTCTCACTAGATATCACTAGATACGTACATGTCCAGTATATATACACCCTTTACTTACTTGTTATACCAACCAACCAACCATCAAACCACTCCTATAACTGTACACCTGGCCCACATAATTGCGGAATACCGCAGTATTGATGACCTGTAGACACACAGACACACACAATGCTGACTTATTAATGACTTTCAATTTTCCTTGTGCCGCATTACCAACCAACGAATCAATCCTTCTGGAAATTATTACAGAAACTCATCTCTATATCGTACAAAGCATGGGTATGTTGTTTCTCTCCTGTTGTCTCGCTTGTGATGCATGCCGACTTTCCACCACCACTTTCACCAGCCAAGAAAATTTGCTTACAGCTTAATAATTCTCCCATTTTACTGCAATTTTTGTGTAGCAATCATTATTAAAGATGTTCTTCCTTGATCTACTTCCTACCTGTTTTGTGTACACGGATAGCTAATTACGGGATGGACGGTCGTGTTCCTTTTTATCGAATTTCCCATTTTATTTATTCGCTACGTATGTACACATGTGACGAGGACGTCTTATGAGGACACAATTATGTAATAATAAGGGGAAAATTCCATGTAGCATTTACCTAGGAATTCTTGTTTGCCCAATTCCGAATTGCAGTTTTGGGAGAGGAAGCCAAACGCATGTGTCAATTAGGGAACATCGCCAACCACTTAAAACGCCTACCACGCTCATTACTGTGCAAATTTTCATTGCTTATTAAAGGTCGCATTATTTATTATTGGTATTTGTGACAATGCATGTTTATGTTACCCGTGTAAATCTTCTTCCTTCTTCTTAATTACCTTCTCTACTTTGGATTGGATTTTAGAATATTTTATGAATATTGTTGACGTATTAAGTGCTTGTAATTAAAGTGTCATCTATACATAGAATTATTTACTTATTAGATTGCACGATTTCGGTTCGGCCTTTAGAATAGCTAATTAGACGGAATTATGTAACGTAACCTTTTGTGTAGCAGGCTAATTAGTTAAATACATAATTTGCTGCACAATACTGCTGCTGGCTTCGAGTAGAGAAAGCGAAATGTTGTAAAAATGGTGGATTCAAAGCAGTTTCAAAATATTATGCAAATGTAGAGAAAACTAATAAATAACTCAATTTAGTTGGCCAAGCATGAGAATTGATCACCATATTTTTGTCCCATATTAAATAATTGTTCTACACAAATAGGACAATAAGCCGAGTGGAGAGGACTTTCTAGAGGAGGTGACATGCTGGAAACAAATCCGATCAAAATTCAAAATATTTGATTATAATCATCAGCTCATACCGGCCGAGCCCTCGTTTTTCATGGCGTCCTTCTCCCGACAAAAAGAAGAATGGTACATATAATGGATCGAAGTTATGAAAATGTGAAGAGTGAAATTAAGCTAATTTTTAAAATTTTCAGTTTTATCATAAAAGATCGAGAGACTTTCTTCACTCCTGCTCAAAGAAGTCAAATTGCGTGGAAAATCATGACCAGGGTACGCTTCGATGATGGAGGGGACGAAAAGGTGGGTGTGCAATTGGTAAATTTGTGTGTTGGAGGTGCTTCCTTCATTTTAAATTCGTTATAAAACAGCAATAAAAATGGTTAACTTTATTTTGCAGACTGGAATTCGAAGATTATTAAATGACAAAACATTTAATGCTTCATTTCCATTGCATGAAGGACCGTATAATGAAGATAACGATCCCAACGATCGTCGGGTAATTTTTAAAAGTATTTAGAGTTATGTTACATAACTTATGTAACCTTAAACTAAAAAAATACTCTGTTTACATAGCTTTTGTTCACCGAGTGGGCTCATTTTAGTAACTGGTACAAAAAACAGCCATTATGGCTCATTCGTCGCTATTTCGGGGACAAAGTAGCTCTATATTTTGCATGGCTGGGATTTTATACGTCCATGCTAATCCCAGCGTCTATCGTGGGAATTCTATGCTTCATGTTTGGCGTAGCGACGATAGATACGGATTACAATACGCCGAGGCAAGCAATAATTTTATTTATGTGAAGACCTGATTAATTTAATGCACAATATTTCGATGACCAATTTAGTAAAGAGATCTGCGACGAAGAAATTGGCGGAAATATAATTATGTGTCCGTTATGCGGAAAATGCGAGCTGTGGCAACTCACCGACTCATGCACATTCTCAAAGCTTACTTACTTCTTTGATAACCCGGCTACAGTATTTTTCGCTGTGTTTATGGCATTTTGGGGTAAGGAAAAGTGCCCTAATTTATGAAATATACCTATTTGCATAAAGAAATGACTCCACTACGTCTACTTTTACAGCTACATCCTTCTTGGAATTTTGGAAAAGAAAGCACGCCGTGATCTCGTGGGAATGGGATCTCAGAAACTACGAGTTTGAAGAAGAACCCCGTCCCGAGTTTGAAGCTGCGGTGAAAACTTTCCGAATTAATCCAGTGACCAAAGCTCCCGAGCCATATTTATCATTTTGGAGGAAAGCTGTTCGAATGCTGATCGTGAGCTCGCTCGTTTTCTTGCTCCTCTTCATCGTCGGCTTTGTCGTGGTGGGAATCATCATCTACAGATTGGTCATGATGAGTCTCCTTTACACGGATGACGATGAGAAAGAGGACTTGTCGGACACGCGGAGAGAGTTTTTTCAAGACAATGCCAAAATTATTACTTCAGTGTCGGCCGCAATTATCAATCTGGTCATTGTCGTATTCCTCCACAATGTAAGAATTAGTTTTGACAGTATTTTTATATGTAGAGTTCTTGAAGCTGTAAGTACGAATTTGTGTATCATATTTCAGAGGGTGTACTTCAAAGTGGCAATTTGGCTCACAAACAGCGAATATCCTCGCACTCAAACGGAGTACGAAGACAGCTTTACTTTCAAAATGTTTCTTTTCCAATTCATCAATTACTACTCGTACCTGATCTACATTGCATTCTTCAAGGTAACTATTGTCGTCCTTACGTTACTGCATAACCGCAATAATTTACAATTATGTGTACAGGGAAGATTTTTCCGTCATCCTGGTGACGATTCAAAGAATAGCTTTGAGAAAATTAGGGGCGACATGTGCGATCCTGCAGGCTGTCTTTCAGAGCTATTCATCCAACTTTCCATTATTATGGTGGGGAAACAGTTTTTTAATAATTTCATGGAGATTTTTATGCCGTAAGATTTGATCACATTTTAAGCTCATGTAAAGCGGAAATATACAAATAAAAACGGAAATTTACTTGCAGGAAATTTTCGAATTGGTGCCGTCGTATAAAATATGCTTCCGCAGTGGATCCAGACGCTCCAGTATTTTTTACCAGATGGGAGCAAGATTTCAACCTGAAGAAAGTGGATCAACTCGCCTTATTCCAAGAGTATTTAGAAATGGGTACCTTTCCAAATTAAATATTGTAACTTGCCCTAGAAAATTTTTCTAATGTTTCTCATGACTTCTGATAGTCATCCAATATGGTTTCGTCACCTTATTTGTGGCCGCTTTCCCCCTTGCCCCATTTTTTGCCCTGTTGAACAACGTGGTCGAGATTCGGTTGGATGCTTACAAGTGGATTACACAAATGCGACGACCACTCGCAGAACGTGTGGAGGATATTGGAGCGTGGTATGGAATTTTACAAGGAATCACATACACCTCCGTCGTCACAAATGTAATGATTCAAAGCAAAAATTATCAATTTCGCTTACCAAGCGTCATGAATCGATTTGTTGACGTCATGAATATTTAAACAGGCCTTCGTCATAGCTTACACAAGTGATATCATCCCAAGACTGGTGTATAAATACACGAATGATCATGGTAGCCTTACAGGTTACATTCAGTCCTCTTTGTCTCGTAAGTACAAAAGTATGCAATTTGCAAAATTTCTCGCGTGAACTTCACAAATTGACAATATTTGCATGATTTTCTATCCAAAGAATACCCAACTTCAAACTACACCCTAAGCAGTCAGCGAATGGTCAACAACGTTACAAAGGAGTTTTGTTATTACCGAGGATATTACACAAATGCGAGTGACATCCACCCATTCACACCTTCACCGCGTTACTGGCACATTCAGACTGCCAGACTGGCTTTTGTTGCTGCGTTTGAGGTATGCAATTTAAATTGGAGATATAATTGGAGTGATAATTTATAAGAAAAAACAATTTTCTAATTTCAGCATTTAGCTTTTGCACTAACTGGGATAATGGCTTTCGCAATTCCGGACGTACCAAAAGAAATTAGTGTACAAATTCAGAGAGAGAAACTTCTCGCCACAGAAGCGTTGTATGAGAGCGACCTGGCGAAGTTACGAAGGGGTGAGGAAGCTCAGATAAGTCAGCATGAAATGACTTTGAGTACAACGAAAAATGGGAGAAGAACTTCTATTTTTAATTGATGAATTGCAAATGAGAAAAAATAAAATTTGGGAAATGTGCTTAAAAATTCTCGTTGTTTTTGTTCTTCCACATAAAAATATTTTAATATGACTGCGTCCGATTGGGATTGTCATAGTCTTGAAATCGTCACATGAGATTTTGATTTTGAAGAAACTAATCACTTTGAAAACCATCAAATTTCAACCAATTATGAAAATTGAAACGTCGAATGGTTTGAATGTCATAAATGAGAGATGCCCTTTTAATGCATATAATTGGGGAATTGTTTTATTGTAATACTGACACAGTAATATACACAGCATATACTTTACGGTACAGTTTATTGCAACTTTTAATTAATTCTGGGCATGCATCATTTTTTTATAAACTAAACTTCTAGACCGAATTCTTACACGGTGGACTACCTGCTCCTTCTTATCGCCTTATATCCTACTTACATACACATGTTTATTGTCTATGCTTTCACGCATGCAAAAACAATTCAATTTGCATTTCCGACTTGAGGTACGACACAATCTAAACTTCGCTTGGTCTAAACTTAATTTAATACCATCGCCATAAACTCAAGATGATTATATATTCTTGATTAAGAAACTATGTAATTAAATTGATTCGCCCAACTCAACTCAACCGGGAAGCACTCGTACTTAGATTTCTCCAGGAGTAATATTTATCAAATATAACGAGCACAATCAAGTTACACAATCAATTTGACAAACATACATTCTGAATAATTTAACAAATTTCAAACTTGACTTATCATCATGATTTTATTTTACGTACACTGCACCATATACCAATTTTCATCGTAGGTAGGATCACTACTCACTACACATATTTAGACTTCAACATCTTCGTATTTTATTTTCTATACAGATTTCTCTACCCTGACACGTATTTATGTAATACATTTGGTATTTTTATTATACATATGTTTGCTTAACTCGAATAATAATATCATGATTTATGATTTTATCACATTCTAATAATTAATGGATACATAATAATTTGTTTACAACAACTCTTTTCGCACTTTTTTATCCAGTGCTACCACCTGTAATCATCATCATCTGCATGATGTGCATGCATATTTATACCGTTTTTTTACTACCAACTAGTTAATTGTCACTTTTTGTTGATGGGTTTAGTTACATGTTTTATTGTCGCCAATTCTGGAACGGAAATCAACTGACGCGAGAGTCAGGAAGCCATCAAGATTTTTAAAATCAAATAATACATTTTTTTTCTAAAATGCACGCACACTACATATTTACGTTTTTGGTTTTACTTATCTAGGTTACTTTGCGTGGCAAAATTGTTACAGGTTGGATAACTACATAAATATGTACATAAGTGATTGCAGGATTATCGACTGATTCGCTCTGTTCGATGTAATACTGATGACTGACTGGGTGGAAAAGCAGTCTCATTTTTTTGTAGGATTATCTAATTCTCAGCGAAAATCCTTACGAGAATAAATCTACGTACATACATAAATTCAATAATATCTTTATAATAGTGCGTTGATGGACAAATATCAGTTGTTCTTCGTTGAGAAGAATACGTAATAATAATGGAAATTTCTTGCCAGGTCCCATCCCTTTGAGAAGGTGGATGGCTGGGTCGTGGTGAACCAGGTTTATAATCAATCACCTAATAACAACCGATCTCTCTGATGATCGATAGTACATATTTTTAGCATTTTTTCATATATTACAATTCTACCTTGAAATAAAAGATTTCGAATATTCTTCAAATATTCTCTGAGACAATAAATAAGCTGAATATTTTTGGAAGTTCAAATATCATGAATGAAATTGAGGAGATGAAAAATCGATACTATTTTTTTCACTCGGACAGACAAATTACTGGAAGAAATTACATCCTCCTCCAATAATTGGTTTGTCGTCAGTGGGCGTGTAACACTCTGGGTCAAGGCGGAGTACCAATTGTGACGAGGTTCTGCCACTGACCGCATAAAATTGTCGGCATACGTGTCAATAACGAGAACCCCATGACGAACTGGTGCCTCCCCTTGGGTCAATGTATATTGTCGTCATTCGGCACTGGCTAAGGCACATTTGTTGAGTGTTACAAATCTCTATAACACAATTCATTCTGGGATAAACACGGTAATAGATAACTGACCTAGACTCAAATAAAGCGATAATAAAATATTTCAGCTGCAGGAGCCATAATAATTATAGTATTTAAGTGAGTGAGTATATATGTAGTTGTAGCATTGTAAGGATATATAGTCTATTGTAGAATATTGTCCATGTGGTGGCTGTGACTTTCTTTTGCGTATTTTTTCTTGACCATTTTCTGTCGGCATTATTATTTTTAATCAAGTTTTGTGAGTAAGATGTCACACATGCGGGAAACGATAAAGTATTATTTTTTTAACTAAGTACTGCTTCTGATGTTACTTTTACCTTGATCGTCGCTATTTTTTTGAGACAAGTATTTCGATATGTGGTGGAGTCAACGTGAGAGCTTCCAGTCACTGCTGCCTAAAATGTGTGTGAATCCTTCACATATTGTCACACGAAATCTCAAGTGATTTATTGTACGTTAAGAAGTAATAAAAACAGTTCGAGTGAGTGAGTATTCGTCCTTCGTTAAAATGAAATAATTCAACTTCAGGTCAATATTAAGTCGTGTGCGTGACTTTGGAGGGCCCACAACACTAAAGAAATTATTATCATTATCATGATTTCCTATTATCTTGCAGTCAGATTCCAATGTTTCTCAAAACCTTGCACGATAGTTGCTGAATTAATGAAGGAATGAAAAAGGTGGTGGTGTTTCAAAATGTCGAGCAATCTCTTTCGTTGAATTGTTATATATTTACGAATTTCAGTTACGTCTCTGCAGCCCTTCATTCGGGGCGTCTCCCCAGGCGTTAAAATCTGCATTTCCACCTCCAATTGCGCTGTAGTTTTGCTGTGGAGGACCCTGGACGTGAGCGGATGGAGATTAGTATTCATTTTTAGCTCAAGTTGTGCACTACTTTTGGATGCATTAGTTTTGGTAAATTACCTCATTCAAAGCGGTGGTTTCCATCTGAGCTTCATCCTTCTTGGAATATTCTTCCGTGGGATCTGGAGCAGGTTCTGCCCATGGTTGCAATTCTCCGGATGCAAATACAGCATAGAACGCCACTCCTCCAAAGTGGATCATTGCAGCCAGAACAAAGACTTGCTCCCACTCACTGATTTCCTATAGTTATTTATCAATTATTAAGTGTCTCAACTTACTGAGACACTTAAAATTTTATGAATTTATTAAAAAAATATGCTACCTTTTTCTTTGTCAGTTTCTCCACAACGATAGGACACAAGAGTCCAGACAAGGTTCCAACACCGTTCGAAATGCCCATGAGAATTCCAGCGTATCGTGGCGCAATGTCCAAGTGGTTCACGTTAAACCCTATTGAAACCATACATTATAGAATGGCAACTATCTCGTTTATTAAAAAATAAGGTTCTCAAACCAGAGATGGCAAATCCAGAAAATCCGACGGCTAACGTGAGGGCAAGGATGGCCAGGCCAGAGTTGTCCTTTGCTGCAGCGACCAAGAGCAGAAACACAGCCTCCATTCCAAATCCGCCACAGTTGAAAATTTTCCGTACTTGAGTCGTCGTAAGAATGTTGTTCTTTCTCAAGTGATCTGCCAGAATTCCTCCCACGGGAACAACCATCGTCATTAGCAAGTGAGGTAGTGCTGCCAGAGTTCCGCCCTGCAGGAAAGTTTTTTGAATTGCTAGCTCCAAGTCTAACTTAAGTATGTAGAGAAGTTTCCAAAATTTGTGACTTACAAATCCAACGCCAAACTTGAAAATTTCCGCAAAATACGTTGGTTGTGATATAATGAGAAGATAGAATGTCCAAGAACGGCAAAAGTTGGCGACGATGATGGCATAGACAGGCATTGAGTGGAATATCTCGTACCATGGCGTTGTTTTGAAACTCGGTGGGGTGAGATTTACCGGTCCAATAGATTTTTCTATGTAATGCACCTGTTTCCAAAAAATAAATTATCAAAATATCAACTAACGCTCTTCTAAATACGAATAATAGTTCCAAAAAAGTATTATAGCACATACCTCTTGAGGGGTGATGGTAGGATGCTTACGTGGCCTTTCGAACACCAACCACAGCCAAAATAGGTACCACACGCAGCCAGCCACTCCTACACAAAGCCAGTCAACTTGTACATACTTATACTTGAAGAGATTATTTGAAACTGGTCAAGAAACGTTAGCTGCCGATAAGCGTACCATAAAAGTAAAAGGGTGCAGCCCATCCTATTCCTTCAACCAGCCATCCTGACACCGGCATTCCAACGACAGCCCCACCATACGATCCACAGAAAGCCAACGTTGCGAGTCGTGACCTTTCCAAGGGAGGTGCCCACCATCTCCAAATTCCATGACATGCTGGATATGTAACACCCTCTGCAAGTCCTTGAACAATTCGGAGAAGCATGAGACATCCATATCCAGCCCGTGCTGCTCCAGGAACGAATAGGTTCAATATGGCAGACGCGAATATGGCAGTTCCAAATATCCTAAAAAATCAAGTCATCCATCGTTAAATTCCACACGTCGATATTTAAGTAATTAAATAAACTTACATGTTCGCCTTGTATTTCGCCGCTAAGAACCCTCCCGGAACCTGAGTGATGAAATATCCAATGAAGTAGGAAGAGTCGACCAACCCAATCGTACCCTTGTCCCAGTCGAATTCCGCTTTCTGTCAAAAACATAAATTTACTAATTGCATCTAACCAAATTGGTGTTTAACCTTTTCAATAATAATTTTACCCCTGTTGCATTGTTGACTTCAATCATCTTGACGATAGCAACTCCAATGTTACATCGAATTCCGAAGGATATCAGAAAACCTACAATAATAATTAGAGGGTGCTTGGGTGCTTGTGTCATGTCATCTGAAGTGAGGTCAATCACCAGTACTTACCAATGCTGGCCAGCACAGCCACCGTGAATCGCTTGGTCATATCACAACAGGGACACTCAGGTCGTACGTATTTATCAATGTGACGTAACGGTGGACGTTCTAACGTTGGTGAGTCGAACGATCCCCATTCGCCTCCAGCTCCCGTCATTTGCATGCTAATTAGAAATTAGGTTCCAGTTTACCGATTTATTCAAATTCGTCTACATTTTCTGAAATTTTCTCACCTCTCTTCACCTCCCTTCTCTCCGTTGGATTGTCCCATTCCCAACTCCTCATACTGGACACTACTGCAATATCCAAATAATAAACCGTGAGGACATGAGGTCACACCTTAAAAACTCATTATTGACGTCATACCTCGCCATGAAGGCGGACTTCTTAGCCTTCAGCACGCTGGAGAGCCCCTCCTTCATCTTGACTAATTGGGATTATACCTGACCAAACGGAACAGATGTCGAAACAAAGCTGGACGTGGGCCTTAAATTCGTTCTGGCGTTTCAGTCGTAAGTTTACGAAATTAAGAGTAAAAACTAGAGGTTCATGTGTACGGGTGTGGGCGGTGGGCCTACCGAACAAACATCCAGTGTTCAAAATCAGAGAGTTCTGTTCAAGTGCATGGCGTGCAGGGGACGTTTCTTGATGTGACAACTGATCCTAAAACTGAAGTCCCAATTAGGATGATAATTAAGAGACGAGAGGAGGTGAAGGTGCTGATGGGAGGAGAACGATTAACGTACGGCACAACCTGACTTGGCGGAAGGTGCCCAACCTACTATAGACTGCATATCGATCCAGACAGTAGTGCATGAAGAATCTCAGTCACTACTTTCTCCCGACTTTCTCTTCCTGTCATCGCATGCGTTCATCGATCTACGGCTTAAACATCGGGTGTAAAAGCCATTGCAACGCCTCCAGTGCTTGCTGGATGGAAGACTTTCTCCTCCAAATCTACAGGCTTTTGACTTTCTCCGCTCAAATCACAAGAGGAAATCCAACATGCAATGATAAGTATGCTCTCATTTTTTGGGAGAAAGCTCTCACCACGAATTATTCCATTATTTCGGTGAAAAAGTTTTCTAGTTTGCGAAATAATTAATAGTTAATAGGAAAAAACTGGAGTTGATTATAATCTACTGAAATCCCACAACATCTCTTTTTTCGTGAACTCTTATTTGATTTTGTTCCAAGTTTGTACATCATTTCTCATTTGCCAAGAGTCTGAAAGATTTCTGCTGGTGATGTGAGGAGATAAATGCTGTCGTCTCGTACGTCAAATCAATTGTGTAAAATTAGAAGAAGAGGAAAAGGCGAGGGACTCGATTTCACTTCCCTCAATGTTTTCAATCATGCAACTGCTTACGTAAATACATACGTCCATGGCCTTTTCGTCTGAATAAAACCTAGCATCATGACGGGGTACGTATGTTGAATTAATTAAATTCAATTCAAAATTGAGATCCCAACAAAACAACATCAATCCACCAATGAAAACCTTGGAAATGGATCTCAACCGACTGAATGATCCACTTTCTTTCAAGGTTTTCTGCTCCACGAATTTTGATTTGAAGTTGACAGCCAGTTAGCGTTAGGAGCTTGGAGATGATGACGAAGACCTTGAGCACGTGGACTCGTGGCCTATCCGACTTTTGATTTTTTCCACCATTTTTGTGAACTTATATATGAAAACTAGGAAATTTCATAAAACGCATTTCGCCAAAATAAGAGACTAGACCCCACCCCCTGGATTTGTTAGCTATTATTATATTTATTCCAAACAACACACAATGATCAAATACTACTCGTCATTATTGTATAATACGACAAATACAACGATGCAATTTTATTGGTGTAAATGTAAATACTGTAAATGGTTTTCCAACATCACTGTTACTAAAGCAAAAACGCTTTAAACAATTAAAGTCCTCCTCCTCGTCCTCCTACGTGTAAATTAATTCTCCACAGCTAATGCTCTCTCTCTCAACTAATAATTAACAATATTTAATAATAATAATAATATTCTGTAACGTTGTCATCAATAAATAAGTACAACTAATTCACACCTTTTTGTTATCATACAGCGTTTCAGTTTGGTAATTCACTTTCCACATGTGTAACTATTTCATCGAGTAATAACATTAATTAATTACGAATATGTATGAGTGTAACTAGATACAAAAGATTTTTTAACAGTTCACATAGTTTCGCAGCTAAAATTTAAATACACCAAAAAAATAACACAGTTAACACGAGTAATTACATGAAACTTGATAATATATCTGAGTTCACCGGAATATAATTTAATAGTACTGCAAAAAAATCATCGGCATCATCATGCAACCTTTCGATTTTTTCTCAAATTTAAGACAAAACGCTTAACACGCACGCATACACACACTTCATTCACAATTATATTACTCAATAATCATTCATCTACAACTATTCATTTACACGGTATTTTTTATTTTTAGACGAGAGCACGACTTTGTTGTTCTCAATTTTATTAGAAACTGGGTGGGTTTCAAGAAGTATAATACTACCGAAGCTATTATAGATTCAATAATAATAGAACGTATTTATGTATCCAACCGCGTGTATTTATTTATATGTACAAGTTTCGAGTAATAATTGATTGTGTAATTTAATGTAAACCGGATAATGTAAAGTTTTGGTATGGCAGCAGAAAGAAGATATTTTGAATGAATACCTATGGGATTGCTATGATTGTATAAAATTGACCAACTATCGAATAATAATGCATGATTTCATTCCTCCAAACGACATAACTGCATGAAATATGGTGAAATATGCATTTCGCTCTTATTTAAAGATAGCTGGGCAGCAGGACAACTACAATGGAACGTGAATAATATTATTCTTTAAAAGAGGAGTACAGGAGAATATTCGAAAAAAAGCTTTAGTGGATTAGCACCACGTTTTACATTTGTCGGAACAGTTTTCATGACTGCTCCGCTAAAACTACTACAATCATCATCGGGTTGTTAATTAATATTGTTAATTCATTATGCTTGAATTGAGGTCTGCCCATAACAGTAAGTAAACATTTAAAGGGAACATAGAATAATCTGATGGTAACGAATACGCATTTATCTGTATATAAACTAATTATTTTCGCATTTCATCCTTCATCACTACACAATATGATTGGTTTCGGATTAGTCGTGGTAATGGTAACTCGTCGGACTTGGCAATATCAAAATGGGAATTAAACATGTTGCAAATTTAGTTCGAGATTCTGTGCAGAAATCACAATAATCACTCCCAACATGAGACCGCATTGCGCCACCGACCGTATATTGACATTAATCGAAATTTTGATTGTGGTTGTCCGTCCATTTAATTCCATATTATTCAACAAAACCACGTAATGCCGCATATTTAAGAGTTAATTTTGTGGTCGTACTTCATTCAATAATATGACACACGCCATTTCAATACTTCTTATTCTATCTAGTCGTACTTACTACTATTAAATAATGTAAAAGATTGGGTATGGTTTGCTCATTTGGGTTCTGCGAGCTTGCCAACCTAGCACTTAACTATGTAGCAATTAGAGTTAATTATAGAGACAAAATGACCACTTACATCTACTTGAGTATCAGCAGAATTACATTACTAGTTTTTTGTAATTGACTATTGAAGTAAATAGTATAATCTTATTTCCTTGCTTGATAATAATGTCCCTAAAATCAGTAAGTACTTAAATACTTAATTGTTGTTCGATCCTCCTCCCTCCTGGTGAACTTTAACTGTTTTTACAATTGAAAAGCTAGTAAGAAATATTTTCTTCCTCGTAAATACAGCATACTCCTCGCAATAATTTACAATAAATACATAACCGTAAAACTACTAGTAATAAAATGATTTGGCCTTTATAGTGATTGGCTGACTTTGTCTGCAATACTGTCATTCTCTTCAGTAATAATCATAACGTGGCATAGATACGCACTTCCTTGTCTTCAAAATGTTGGCAACTCTCGTGAATGAATGAATGTGTGCAAAAGTTAAATAAAAGGAGCCGATTTCATACGAATGGCATGAAAATGAGAATACGGCATTTATGAAAGTGATGATGATCAATATCCCACCCGGAGAAAGAAGCCAACGCCTAAACTTTCTCCTGTAGTTACTCTTCTTTTAGTCACTCCTTTGTGCGACAGGAGGCAGAACGGGCTCAAACAATCGAGTAAAAGTTACAGCCGAAATGTGATCTGTTCTGTGGGGTTTGGGTGAAAGTTGGGAATTCGTATCTAAATAGGTACACATTTGTGTGCGTGCCTATTAAGCAAGCAAGTTGATTGAATTAGATTGCAAAAATTGCGAAATTTGACAAATTCAAGCCTTCGACAGTTATAGAACGAATTAAAATGTATGAAGTGAAAGATTAAAAGTCCAGCTGTCGTACTACATGTTATGCATCGTAGATTACAAGTAAGCAATCCGCAGCAAATATCTATGTATTCACTGATGATGAATGAATGAAGGCTGCATTAAAGGAAACGATTACCGAGTCGTCTAATGGCACTCATTAAGCTGAAAGTTGTGCATTTGAGTGTGCACAAGGTATTAGAATTCCATCCATCCTCCACAAACAAATAAACATACGAATTCAGGAATATTATGTGCTTTGCAGTGTTGTTAGACATGTTTGTTTATAAACATTATGCTCCGCATAGAAAGAGAGAGATGCGTTCCGGAACATCATCGAGAAGATCATGGTGAATGAGCACGATGAGTTGACCCAATGTCACCCCAAAATTTGTGTGTTGCAATGCACACAAATACGAAAATACATACGCATCCAACTGTGTGACGATCTGATATTGATGGCCCTGTTTTAAACAAACATTTCGGGATTATTGGAACATCATCCACTTCCACACTCCCCCACCGCACAGATCTCCTTTTCAATTTACGAGCCTCCACAAACAAACACTTCGTTTCAAGCAGTAGTTTTAAATGTGTAATCCTTACACCGAATAAAATATTATCTATTTTCTCAAATTGTGTAGCTACAAATGCAAGGAAAAGCAAACGAGGACTGTTCATCGCCCAATAACCTTGAAAAAAACGCATAAAAGAACATTAATTCAGTCGAGTTGCCAACATTTTTCATTGCAAGTAAGTTTCGCTACCATTTAAAATTACTTTATATCATTCATATAGCACTAGTCGTCGTTATTTCGAAGAAGAAGCGCAGACTGCACAAACATATTTTGTGTATGAGAGAGAAGAGAGAGAGAGATCTGTCGTCGTCCACGTAGATTTATTTATTTTTTTCTTTGGAGCTGACTGTTGTTGCCTGTTTCTTGATTGAACCTCCTCCAAAAGGTGAATAATTACCTATCACTGGACTCCCCTTTGAGAGAGGTGCTGCCATTCGTACACGGAGTCGACTTTCCTCCTCCGGAGGGGTCACTCGCTGGGGGACACTTGTCCCCACCACCAGAAGATTGCTGCTGATCGGCCTTCTCATGTCTGTGCTCTCCACCTCCTCCTCGTGACGACATCAACGGTGAGACTTGTTGCTGATGTGAGTTGTTGTGCTGATTTTGGGAGTACGGAGAGTGAGATTCTGTACTGCGACTCATCGAGGAGCACTGATCACCTTCCAGTCTCTTTCGCATCCGGCGTTCCTTCTTCCAACGCCGCTCAAAATATGCTGTGGAAAATAAGAGAGGTAAATTTAGTTTAAAAATTTGATGAATTGTTTTCAAGAAATTTATATACAAGACAATAAGTTGCTCGTTGTAGTAAAAAAAGGCACACTTTTGGCACAGGTAAATAGGTGAAAATAGAGAGAAAGTCGGGGTTGTAAAAATGAGGTAAAATGAGACATTTCGTAGCTACATAGTTGGATGACAATTGTATCTACAACTGAAGAAGGAGGGTGGCTCGTGTTGGGGTGACAGATGGAAATGGTGGAAAAACATCCGAATCCGAGGGTGGTGAAGATCCACAAGTGGCAAATTCTGGCTCTGTAATTCCTTCCTTTCTCTCTTTCTCTCGCTTCCGTGGGGGCAATAAGTTATTAGGCAACTTAAGAGAGAGAGAGAGAATAATCACTTACTTCTGAGATTCCGTTCGTCAACCAGTTGCTTTTCGAGCTGAACTCTCAACTCTCGTTCTCGCATTATTTCCATCTTGAACTCGGCTGCAAGTCAATAAAAAGATTAGTTTACTGTATTATTTCCCATCCACTCAGGCTCGTTCGTTCGTTAATAACAGAGTTAAATGAATTTTTCTTTCTTTCTTTCTTTCTTCCCTCGTCCTATTCATTATGAACACAAAGTGATCACGGAATCTCGCTCTACCAAACCCCGTCGGCTCATTATTCTGGGTTAAAATGCAAAAAAAGTTTTATAGAAACTCGGAACAATGTGGAATGGGAGAGCTTATTTCCTCATTTTTGAGATATTATTAAAAATAAAAGTCCGCATTTGGCTACAGAAGAAGAATAGGTTTCAAACTTTCTAAACCTCGAGCAGTGTTGTGTTGTGATGTAAATGGATAAACAATTTTGCACTTAAAATATGACCGTTATTGTTGAGATTCATTTGACATTTTCCACATTGCGTGACTGCGTGCGATGAGAGCGTACCTTTCTCCAGACTGATTCGCCTTTCCTGTTGCTTTGCATTTTCCGCCGCTACTTTGAGAAGTCCTTGGATGTTTCGGAGAAGATTTTCCGTTGAGGAAATGGCAGCCTCGGCTGCGGAGACCTCAGTGAATGGGGACGCATTGAGGGGGTCGTGATGATGGTGGTGGTGTTGTTGGTGATGAGGAGGTCCACTCTCCTCCGAAGGGCTCTTTAGCTCATTTGGCTGTGAGGACTTTCGAGAGTGTGACCGTTCCCCGTAATCGTACAGCCCAGTGTCGGATGAAACCCCTGAAATCCAAACAATTTTCGTACTGAAATGCATACTCATCCAATTAAGTCTTTTCTGTTTGTTTATTTTTGTGCATATTAACACGACCCGTTCATTAATGCAGTCGTGGAAAGAAAACTGTGGCAAATAATATGCACTACTAAGGGCCAGGATCGGGAAGGAGGGGATGACTTATGGAGTGAGCGATGGACAAAGTTTGGGCATCGTCACATAAATTTGATTTTCTTATTTGCATTCATATCTTATTTTAATTTTTGATCTCAAATTACCATTTCCATTTGGGGGTTCGTTGTCACTGTCGTAGTCACCGTCCGCAGCATTCTCGTCGCTATCTGATACATCTTCCGGCATATTTTTGGATAGGTTTAACACAGGAGATCCGCCTGCATTGCCTGCGGAAAAGTTTTCATGTTTCAAATGTAAACACATTCAACGGCTCAACACATTTCGGCACTTATTTCGTCCAGCAGCGGAGAAAAGCCACCCTAAAACTTGCTGCTTTTATTCCCCTGCTGCTCTCACTTTTGAGTTCTACGTTCTTGTTTTGTGAGCAAACATTGCTGGTCCACCCATTCTCTCGCCAGTGGTGGATCTATATCTTCCATAACCTGATAGCCTTTCCATAATCTTTCAAAACATTCAAAACTCAAAAATTGTAAAACAATGGAAGCCTAGAAATGTCCACTTTTGATCATCATCATGCATGAGTTGGACAAGTATGTACTCGAATAAAATTATGTCTGACGGAGAGGAAATCGAGAGAAGGACGATGGCATTGACATCAAAAAACGGAATGTATTCAGCGGAAATATTTTGTGGTGGTTGTACCACCACCATAAGTTTTCTGCTCCGTTGACAACAATGATAATCATACGACAGAATAGAACTTGACAAATCACAAATTTCCTTCCTCCCTTTTCCGTATTGGATCAAGTGTATTGGGACGATTAAAATTTAAACAGCTAGAAAACGGGTGGTTTTTGAGAGATGCACTTCATTTGCCTCCCACCAGAACCACCACCGCTTTTTGAATATATTTACACGTATCTCTCGCACTGGAAATGGGATGAATGAGGCATGACATTATACATTTACATTTTCAAATGTATATAACAACCCATCGATTTTCTCTCGGTTTAAATTCAAAGACTCAAAGTTAAAAGTGCAGCGGCGTTAGTTTGTATTTTTACGACACAATAAAAAGCCACTAACCATTTCGAATTAACCCTTCTCCACTTCCTGCTTCATGGGTTGGAGACCTTGGGGATGACTTTTCCGAATCGCTACAGTCTTCCTGATACCTGCTACATTATGGAAACGACAAAACATTATTATATTCACAGATGGTTTACAGAAAAGAAAAATAAATTGGATGAGTGAGTGAGATTGGTATTTTCATTCTTATTACGTACGACCGACCGGTTGAGGTTAATGGTACAGCGAGTACATACATATTGGAGCAATTCTTCACAAGAACACTCATTCGGTTTCGGGTGCATTCAGTTATAAGATTAGTCATCAGTAGGCGATCACGAATCAGCACTTATTCGTGAGCAAGTGTTTGAATTTTAAAATTGCTCAAGTGTTTTTAAACAATTTGTTTGAAATGGAACATGGGTCCATTCCACTCCACAAAACTACTCACAACATGTCTTCTTGCGTTTATTGAAAGGGTTGATATACGTAACAGCATTGGATGGATTACAATACCATTGAGTGGTGGTGTCAGTCTGTGCATGCAAAATAAGTTGGTTGGAGTCAACGCACTGAATATCTTGACCAAGTTATGTATGGACTCGTTTAGGGGAAAGCTTTCATGGGAACATGGTAAATTGTGATCATCTTAAAGTCGACGTCGTGTCGTGAACGAGATCTCAATCATGTTGTGATCTCTATCTCAGGTCTCAAGTTGTGTGAAGTGTCACATTTTCGCAACAGCCAATAATATGAGAAAATATTAAAACTAATCAATAAGTTCACTTTCTAATTTTATGATTTATATCGCACTCTTTGTATTTTTGACAAATTAGTTTGGTAGAAATTCAATTATATTACTTTTCCATTCGAATATGAATAAGCAAACTTATCTATCTGAAAATGTGGATTGTCGAAAGGGCGCCAAGTATTTCCTGTATTTCTTGCTCAAAAATATGACAATCTTGCAACTATTATTTTTATGTGGACGACTACTGCATCACATTGAAAAAGTTTAAACTGCTTTCAAAACATAATGTGAAATTGCTTGGTCTGAGGTTGATCCAGAGATAAGCTTCTCTCGGAGAAAGACGAAAAGCCATCAAATCATTCCTATCATTGAATTGAAAGCAATGTATCGTCGTATGAATGGTTTTTTGGTGGATCAGGTCATAAACTCAAAATACTCATGACACGAATTTTAAAGGAACCCTTTTAGATTGGATCCTCCTGCCTGGACTCGACGTGCAGGCAGTGCTCTTTTTCGTGTTTGGTACTGGATGGAAATCGATTCTACTGAGAATTGATATGAAATTTATATTATTGAATAACAAAAACAGGAGCAAGCAGCATTGTGTAGCGAAGCCCCCTTCGTATTCCTGTTGCCACCAGCCAGCTAGCCTGTGCCGCAGAGATACAGGAAAGTAAAAGGCTCCTCCAGTTCAAACAAATGGGATACAAGACCGGAACAACGGATGATTGTCCCACCATGTCCTGACTTTTATTGGGCTCGCACTACCACCACCACCAGCTACATGCACTCTTCTCACCACCCTTATCTCCGTCCAGATTGAGCGCATCGGCCAGGAAATTATTTACTGCGACATAACTGCGAAACTAAAATCATATTTACTTTCACAATTCAAATCTGAGATTTTTCATATTTTTTTTAACTTTATGGAGTCTACAGATAAATGCAAAATCTCAATTATGTATGTGCCGAGTGGGTGGAAGCTTGGCCTTATTTCACCTTTTGATTTCTGCACCGTCCACAAAATTTGAAATGAAAACGGATCAGTTTCTTATTCCTATTCTTGACACTACTACTTGAGATTTACAACAATCTAAATCTATTCTCAATCCACCTCGGGTGAAGGAGAATCGTCCTCTTATTTTTGGCCGAACAAGAACTAGAGGAGAAAACGCAGCAAAATTCAAGTCTACCATAGAGTTATGTGTAATAGTCTCCATAATAATAATATGGATAAGCATTGAATGCAAGCCATCCTAGCTCACGATTCGCCTTCAGTCCTTCTTCGTCCGTATTACGGTTTAGATTGGATGATCGGGTCCCAGTTTTGAGTATCCATCCATCAGAATCCGAATTGAGATTTGAAACGAGCTTCTGAAAACGTAATATGCAATATATCTGTCCACCCGTGCTGCTGCAAACAACTGCACTGCTTCATCATATCAAATCACTTTTCAGGTCGATGGAGATAATCCAAAATCCAAATTTACAAATCTTCTTCCATTCTTTTATTGTCTTTTCTCCGGATTTGTTTCGCAAAACGTAAACTCGGTCTGTTTTTCCAGATATTATAAAAAAAATCCTCCACTGCTTCACCTCTTTCGGGAGGATTGAGCCATAATAAATATTATCTATTTGCAATATAAATAAATATACTTATTTTTCGGGCGAAAAAACTGAGAACGGGAAAAATTCTCTTTCTATTTATACATACAGAACAACTCTCCGTCACGAAATGCGTATCTGCAAAATTAAAGCAAGTATCCCGATTAATTAAGAATTTGGTAAAAAAAAACATTTTTTTCACGGAAGTGAACAACCGGAAGAGTGAGCTAATTATTAATGACATGAAGTCAAAAGTGGTCTAATTCCCAGAGAATGAAGTAAAAGCGATGACAGTTCAATAATAAATATTCATTCATTGGGTTACGGAGAGAAAGGAAAGTTGACAATATAATGGGAACAATGGGTACGAATGAAGATTGACTGGCGTGTGTGTGTACTGTGTATTTATTACCAGATGAACTCAAATCCATCTGTGTGCGTAAAAGTATAAATATATTTTTGGTGAGGTTGTGGCAAATGGGTTTTAGTTTGATGATGAGACGATCGTGTGGATGTGGATCCGTTCTAAAAAATATATGCCCCTGCTCCCTTTCTTCAAATAGAGCACACACACAAAGAGAGGGACTGGATTAGATTGGTAACAAAACTATGCATATTATTATTTGTACACTTTCATTTCTATTGTCACTCCGCTTTGTGATTTTTCACCCTTCTTCTCCTCCTTCGGTGAGGCATATTCGGTCATATTCTTCTCTCCTCCACGTCCACGTCCACGCCTCGCCCGCTTCATATTTACTTCAAACATGTGAATATTATGTGATGTGTACTTTTACTTTCTACCGTGCAGCAGAACAAACTCCATTTGTGTTCCATATCAAAATATTGAATATTGAATTTCAATCTATTTTCCAACAATATCACTTTCCATGATTCATTTTACATTTTACACTCTTAATGGCGGAAGGGATTGGGAAAGCAGATGAATGCTGACTCATGATTTACAACTTCAACTTTCACAATTTTTCCATTACATGATTTACAATTGGATGGGGAAGGAGAGAGAGAGAAAAAAAGAATGTAAATATGAAAAAATGTGTGTTTTCTTTAGCGTATGTGCATGCAAAAAAGGGAAATTCTAACTGGCTACTAGATAACTAAATATTTACTACTTTTGCCTGCTCATTATCGTCACGTCTTAATAAATGAAATTTAAATTGTAATTTACAAAATACCTCCGTAAAAATCATCATCCCCAAACGGTATAATTGCTCGTTTAAGAAACCAATAAATCCAACCCGAGTCTCTCACACACCCCGAAACAATGCATCTTCTTATACATTAAGTAATATACAATCTAGATTAAGTTTTGATTGTCCAAATGAGATTGAACTAAATCATTTGCGGCATTCATTCAAACAAAGTTAAGTTTTATCGGAATGTTCATCCTCTCCCTTTCAGATACGATATTCACAACAAACACCTCCATCCACCTCGTATGTAACGAAGAAGAATACTTTTCAGTCCACCAAATTACTATTGATCGAATGATGTAGAAATCATTTGTATTGCTTTGCTAATAAGGGTTCCGCTTGGTCGAGCTGTGTATGTGCACTTGTAATTTTGTAATGACAAGAAACCTTGAGATCCATATCAATATCTCACATCAGTGCATTCCTCTCCTTGGTCCGGGATTGAGATCCGCTGGAGGATAAGAAGGTCTCGAAGAAAGATGCGCTCTTTAACCTTAGTAGGAAGGAGGGTGTGTGTCTTGTGGTTTGCACCCACCGCCCCAGCTCTTAATCACAAAGTTAGGTAATCTCTCTCTCAACTTTACAACTAAATGGCTGGTGGAATAGATATATTTCTAATGGGTGAGAACTTGGGACTATTGGGCAAGGATTCTTCTTCTGAAGCCTCAAGCTAATACCCTCAAGTGATGTACTTGTGACAAGCCCTTGATAAATAAATACTAATAATCATTGCATTGAAATTATTAAAAAGTTTTTTTTTCCAAAACAGTCTCAGAAAAAAATGATTAGCAGGTCAATCAATCAATTGATGGGAGATAATCATATTATTTATTTAGTTGGGTGGGTACGTTGACGGGTAACCATTACCATTTACTTAACGCGTATGTGTGTAAATAGTTGGCTGTTGTCTGTACAAAAAAATGGCATCCAATTTTGAATGTTTGAGGCGAAAAAAGGTTCGAGTTTATTGGAATAAGAAACGCTTTTTTGGTTGATCATGGAGGCAAATCCCTTTGGAAATGGAAATTTATTTTCCCTTCCTCCATTCACTTCAAGATTTATTTTGCCAATTGAATTGTGAAACTCGAATCATATCCACCAAGTTCAAGTCAACATTGGCCTTGTACCAAGTATCTAAATGTAATGGATGTCTAAGTGTAGGAGAAGTCAACCAGACGCTTTTTTGGTTATGGGAGCAGAGAGATAGACACACGAAATCGAATGGATGATGGTTCAAAAAATATTATAAATATTGTGTTTCTTTCTTCAATATATGCTCATGAATGTCGGCAACGTGCTGGTGGAGGAATGAATGATGGGATTCGATACAATGCCGAAATGATATGATCCGATGTAAAAATGGGCACAAAATATTATTCTTCACGGACAAAGATGTTTAGACCGATATGAAGTCATATATACGAGCTTAGCTTGTTTACGCTTTAAAATTTAGATGTGAAAATCTATTCAAATATAATATACGCTATACACTACTGAAGCATGAAACACTGTTTGTGCACCCATTATTGCCCATATTTTCTAAAATGGTTAATAAAAATTTATCATTTCAGCAGAAAATTTCAATTCTTCCTTAATTACAGCTTTTTTGATTAGCAGTTAAGCCAGCGTCATCATCCTAGATGTTTACGACATCTGGAAATGAAAGCAACTTACTAATCTAATCCAAGGAGATCATAATTACAATTTCAGGCGTCGGAAATATCTCTCCATAATGAATTAGCATACCCATTTCCTGTGCTTGTGAAGGAAACAACTATCTATTAAACTCTCTCTCTTTCAGCATAAAATGTTGTGTCATCTCGTCAACTTCTTGATTGCCTATTAAATCCGTAATAATTGTGAAAGGGTCTCATAAATAAGTGATAAATACCAATCTCACATTTTACTCAGGAAAGATTACACAATGAGGAAGAAGACGCAGAAAGAATCGTGTGTACTCACCTTTCGAACTGTTTGACAAAGTCTTCATATGCAGATCTGCAAGTCTCCCAGGTGGCGTTCCTGCATCATTTTTAATTAAAATTCAATTACAGGATAAACGTAGATTTTGCACGAGTAAAGAAAAGCAGTTTGGTCTGTTTGTTCGCAACAAGTCGACCCATTATCTTAACTTCCACCTGTGAATCCTACTCATCATTGTTCTTTTTTTAAATAGAAGGTCTACCACGGAACATTCATACAAGTTGATGATTACACATTCTATTTATGTATCTCCTCGCATTATAAAAGCGTTAGCAATCAAACTGAAACTTAAATAGTGATACGAAAACCATTTTGACACTCGTTTTAAAAAGCCGTAAAATCTGAATCTTCTAAATTTGTGAGGAGTCCCACCGCACACAAATAATACGTGCATACATACATACACCTATGTTATTTTACGTTATGTATCCACATATCAAAATAATATCGTCCCTAAAAAAAGGTGAGTTTGTTTTAGAGCAATTTTCTAGGAGGAGAAGAACCTCCACTTGTGAGAGAACATATTAAGTACGTAAATCAGAACTCTCTCATCTTCTCCCCATTCGTGATTTTTACATTGACATACCAGTGTAATTAAGCAGCGTTTAATTAAACTCGGCTCTGTTTTTACTTGCAACTAATATCCTGCGAGAGAAGACATCGTGCCTGCTTACCTCTCCTCTTTTCAAATATATTACGTCTATTACGCGAAAAGGGGGCGGTTATTGCTCAGTCTGCCCAACGTGTAGACATCTCCTTAACTTTGTTCATGGGCATTTTAACTGCTTTTCATTTCATGCTTTAAGTAGCTCCCGTCAACATTCTCTCTCTATTTCTATTACATCACACAATGGGTGCAACAATAGCTCACCCGACCACCGATTTTAGCAACAGTGTGTGCATGTCGACACACGAAAGAAGTTGAGATTAAAAAACAAAGAAAAACCGCAACTAAGTTGTCGCTACTTTACACCGGTCAAAGTGTCTGCTTTTTAAAATAAGTTGATCATTTTGAGCACGAACCAGGTAATGAGTTAATAAATTGGGGAAAAACTACGGCATATTTAAACATGTAATAATATCAGCAGTCTAATAGGTATCCATCCACTACTACAAATATTTAAACTGTGCTTTATTACATGGGCGGTGAGGCTTTTTGTGTAAATTACTGAGCACAATGAGAATCGAATTAAGATCAGTTGTGGTGTACAATTTGTAAAATAAGTGATGCTCCACATTTGTCTTAGAATTTCAAAAAAAGAGACGGGCACGTAATTATGCGCGACATTTATCGAGATGACAATTTACGATGACGGAGACTCAATCGAAACTGTGTGACCTCCACACTTTTGGAAGTGGAATGGGTGCTGGCGTGACGTTATTATTTACCTGGCAGCCACGGCGTCGAGTGTTTGCATGGGGCCAGAGCGCCCATCCCGAGGGTGGTGTCCTGGCGGCATGGGGAGACCAGAGGGCGAGAACAACGCCGCATGAGCTGCCAACGCAGCGGCCGACTGGCCAGCCAAGGAGGGGAGGAGATGCATCGGTGGGAGTTGGGTTGGGGGGTGGTTGTACCCATTCGCCAACAAGGGAGATTTCTCCAGCGACATCAAATCTGAGAAAAAGTGTGCAAAAAAAACATTAAATTTCAGTCAATTCGTCCAAACCTAAAAACAAACAAAAGTTCTCAAAATTCCCCGTCAGGCCTCAACTGGCCTCCATATCATCACTGAGGCCATTCCTACTTCATGCATGATCTTCTTCTTCTTGAGAATGAGACAGAGCGACCAAGTCGTTTATTTAGTGTCAAATTCACGTTGAATGGTTCAATTTTAATGGAATTTGCAATGAGCACATTTGGCTTGGCAGGAGCAATTCAGTTGGTGGTTGGTTGGGGTTGCGTGGCGATTGAGCACGGGCTCCTCTTGGAGGAAAGGAAGACTAGAGTGGAAAGTTTTTATGGGGCAAGTGATGTATTTTTATGATGTGATTCTAGATCCCAGAGAGAATGAATGAGTTCAGAAAAATGTCAGAAGAGAGATCGTGATAGGGGCCAATTTGCGGCGAGAGTGAGAGCAGGTAAGGAGGAAGGAGGGCAAAGATAGAGTCATTTGATGTGAATAAAAGAGAAGGACTCATAAAGAATCCTGCCGCAGGAATCCTTTTTATTAGAATTTTGACACCACGACCATGTATTACAACACCATGCGAGAGAGGAAAGCGATCCACACCGGACGCCACCACACAACTTTCCTCACAAAGTTTGTTTCTCTCACAAATTTGTTTGTTGTTTCGTTGTTTCATCTTCATTCTTAAAGTGTTTAGTTAGAATGCTCCTCGGCAAAACAACCTCCATCACACCGGAGAGCTTTTTTAATCCGCAGTTCACCTCTCCTTGTACACACAATTCTTCCAGTTTTTGGAGGAGCAGAGAGCCACAAAGCAAAGCAGAAGCGATGGGAAACGGTAACAAATAGTCTTAATTTCGGGAATCAGCAGGGTTTCTGAAACACGGCGCCGCTGCATCGTTACTAGTAGACACAAACTACATTATATACGTGAGAAAAAAAACTTTGTATTGTTTTTCACTTGTTTCAATTCCATTTCTTATTATCTTCTCCTGTCCTCTTCTTCACCACAATGAGGAGAGGAGCAGAGCAGAGCAGTAGTAGTAATACCAATATTGTATGAAATAAAACACAAATCCTCAATTTGTTTGAAGTTTGCCCGACAAACTTACACTCGGAAAAGATAATTTGGTCATGAAAAACCTGAGGAACTGATGATGAGTAATATTCATAAGTATATCTCCACTCACAGAGATGAGTACATAGGGTGCGTGCCTAAAGAAATGAAATACAATTCACCTCCTGATCATAATAATCAAGTCAGTTGAGCCTCTAATAAGAAGTAACTCAGCTAAATTGTGTGGATATTCGTTTTGCTTTTGTAAATATGTCTCGCTGCTACTTATTCTAGTGAGAAGAATTTTCTAATTTGTATGAAAAAAAATCTTTTGTATCGCATAATTTTCTGTCTGTTCAGACATCGACCGACTGACACTGGAAAAGAGAAATGAGCGGAATTCTAGCGGGGGGGATGTTCCCATAAAAAGACAAACGACGACGACACTAATAAGGTTGCGACAGGAAATATTTTTAGAATTCTTAATTATAAAAGTGAATAAACATGGATTACTCTCATTGAACGTTAATTACAACATCTGTCGTCTGTCGTGGCCCGAAATGGAACGGAATAAATTTAGGATTGACTTTCTCCCGCATAAATTTCAATATACTTTCTTCCTCCTCCGCAGTGCAGAAAGTGATGCGGGATGCAAATGAGAAGGAGATGAAAGAAAGTAAAGCTACGAAATGGGAGGAGAGACAAGAATAAAAATTAAATGAAAACAACGATTACATGTCTAAGTGCATCCGTTTGCAGCTGTCACCGTCTCAAATGACGTGATGTAGAAGAGGAGAGAGCAAGTCCATAAAACACAAACGACTGGTTGCTTCTTCTTCTTATTCCTAAAAACGGAGCCAACCAAACCGTAATATGGGGAACTGTACAATAGCAAAAGTCAGTGGGCGGAGAGGTAGAATTAGCGGAGAAATTCTGAGATTAAAAGTACACAAAAGTAGGCTTTCCTCGCATAAAGCTCTCTCGCACAGCAAATGGCCATTGTCTAAGCAAGCATCATAAATATTGCGCATTTTAGCTTTTACAGTTTATGATCTACCGTCCTGGGGTTGATGAGGGATGGAAATTAAGAATCTCAAATTATTTCGTGGCAGCAGGGGAAGAAGAAGAAGAAGAAAAAGTTTAACCCGACCAACTCAATTTGAATATGAGGGCTGACTGACTACTGTAAATATGACGGAGGGACATTCATATCTTTTTTTGGGGAATATTTTTTGTCCTCAAAAAGAAAGCAAAATATGACTCCACAGATAAGCCAGCACGACGGTCTGCGTGCCGCTTCCTGACGAGAGATTGAACTTGTCCCGAATGGGAACAGACGGATGGATTGCACACAAAGCGGAAATGTATCCGTTCATTGAACGGGGCGTAAGAAGAAGAAGACGAGTGAAAGTCAAAGACGCAAAGAAGGATGATGCTAACTGTGACTGAATGCGGCGTCGAGGTTGCCGAGGAGAGAAGGTAAAGAAAGAAAGAAAGCGAGTCCCGGGTGGTATTGAAATTAAGAAAAGGCTGAGCGACAGGATATTAGAAGCATGTTGTGTTATGTATATGCTTCTAGATACTCGTTTCCATTACGAAACTTATTTAACCGCTTCTCCCATTCCGACCCAGGAGTAAATCACTCCTGGGTCGGAAATCCAGTTGATCATTTCACAAAGAGGATTAAAATCCAGAAAGAAATGGAGGGAATTTGAAAAATCAAGACTGATTACATAGTAAATGAAGGACGAAGCGGGATAATAATAATCATAATAACAAGCCAATAATAAGGAGAACGTTGCTACTGCTGCTGCTGCTGCTTCTCGAGGAGAAAGGAGAGAATTCGAACATGGCATTTCTTTTCAAATGACAGACAAATGCCACAAAAATCCATTAGATTCTTTACGCTACTACCTTCTTCTCCTTCGTCAAAGTTTTAATCCCCATGACTTTTTAATTACAATGACAGATTCATTATGAATACTTTCCATCAACTGAGCCTTTCCTTGACGGTGGTTGAGATAATTTGTCATTTTCCCTCTGCCACAAAGTAAACCAGATTTGAAAGTTTGGAGGAAGGAAGTAAACCGATCTCTTTGTAATTGATCGCCTTTTTCCGCCCCCTCATGTCAAAACGCGTTTTTTTAAATCTCTCACAAAACCAGTTGACTCAACTGTTTCAGTGGAGATAAAAAGTTCACAATGCAACACATTATTTGCTAAGCAGATTTTTTTCCGCGTATTTTATTCCGTCCCTGCTTATGGTAAAGGTTGAGTGATTAGTCATGCCGGAGAAGAAAAAAAGAGTGGTGGGAATGGGACATGATATCGTTGACAAAAGTAAAGTTTTTTATTATTGTGTGATCCCACGAAAAAGTCCAAACTTTTACTGTATTTAGAATAAGACGGAAATTATAATCAGTGAAATTCAGAATAAATGGAAATAATTCCTTTTTAATCTAGTTCCTGTTACGAACCGACTTGTTTACGTAAGTCTGCGTATATATGCATATTCACGTGTTCCGTATTCCCTTTGTTGCCACTTGTTCCCTACTAATTCCTCCTACATCCATATTAATCCATTAAAAAGGGACAAAGTTATTGCTCCATGTATATTCGTATTTAGTGGCGTCTTTTACTCCAGTCTGATAGCTAGGTTTTGACGGTGGTGGGTTTGTGCCACTGTCAAAAATAGACCATGTCGGCGGTGAATGATTAATTTAAAAGGGTGAACTAAGGAGAAAGAATTGAAGAGAGAGAGAAAGCGAGAAAGAAGAAAATATGAAAATGGAAATAGTAATGAAACTCTAATTTGTGTTGGTTTTCACACTTTGCGGGCAAAATGAAACAGGACATGGGCGAAGCATTAATGCACACACTTTCTCCTCTCTCTAAATAACTAATGGAGTGAAAGGTGCACGGTTTTGGTCGTGAAGTAGGAGCAAAAGGGGCAAAATATGGTGGTGCATGTTATGAAAATAAATTGATCTATTATTCTATGAACGTATTAATTTGGGGGAATAAGCATACCACATGAAAAATTATTATGATTGTGTCATTTCTTTGTGACCAGAGAGAGGAAATTGTGAGTGGGGGATGGGATTTGGCCTGTCAAAGTCAAAAGTCAGGCTATACAGACAAGTTTCTTTTGCAAGACGATGATTGTGCAGAGGTGGTGATGATGGTTTAGGAAACGTATTTTTACTTCCATGCGAAAATAGATGAATGGATTGATGAATGGTTTGCTGGGTGGTGAAACCTTTTATTTTCTACGAATTAGTGTGAATCCATGCACTCGTGAAGTCGGAAAAGGATGGTGATATATATGTACATATAGAATAGCAAAACAACTATGATAATGTTGTGTTTGCTCTACATTATGAAATGCTGAATGCATCATCACTGATTCCACTGTTTGATGAGATAATGGCTGAAAAACACGCGTTTTTTCGTGGATGAGCAGCAGCCAGCGTGTTGCACTGGTAAAAATTGAGACTGGGGGAGATTGGGCATAATACATAAGTAATATTGGCTGGGTATTTGTAATGAATCCGAAAAAAGGTGAGTGACTGAGTGAGTGAGTAAGTAAAAAAAATGGTGAATTAAGATTGATCAGCTTACCAGCAGGGTTGTGATGGCCGTGGTGGTGGGGATAATCATAATCGCCGTTTTCTAGCCGGTGCTTCTTCATCGACAGGAACTGTCCGCCGTGTTGTGAAATGGGAACTAGTGGCACTGAAGTCCGCTTCGGTGGCCGACCTGGCCTGGAACTAACAACATTTTGCTCATTTAATCCGCTCCGAAATGCAACGCCAACTGCACGACCCACTCATATTTGCTCGTCGTCGTCTCTCTGCTACTGATTTATTTACACTAATTGGTACATATATTTTATGTTAAATGCGAAAGAATAACAAGGTCGGGGAATGATCATGTTGTGGGGTTCGCTTTGCCCATCAAAATGAGAAAGAGTAGATTTAGGGACGTGTAATGGCTCTTGTTTATTTTTCATGCATAACAAATTGTGCATGTTCCCCTTTTAATCAACAGTTTCAACTGCTAATTGCTGGATGAGAAGTTGGAAAGTGAATTAACCCGTAATTAAAGAGTGGAGAAAGTCAAACTAAAAGTATTTTTGAGTCATATTGTTTCATGGGAGAGCGAGGAGTGGGGGCAGTCAGTCGGTGGTGGTGGAAGAGAGAGGGAGATCAAAGGACTGAATTGGAAATATCGATGGGCAGGTTGTTGTGATGGCTAATTAAATTTCAGATTTCTGAAACTTTTCCTTTGTGGTTGGTTCTGTTTGTGAGATTCTTTGAGATAAGCAGCAAGAGAATGGAAGGGGTTTCCTGCTGCCTGGACATTCTTTCTTTTCCTCTCACATCATCAGACCCCGTAGGTAGTGGTCTGATATTCAGAAAGAGCAGCAGTAAAGAGGACCCGGAATGGTTGTCATTTGGGTATTGAACACGAGACAAGAAGTAGAGAGCAATTCGGCTCATATTACAAAACTCTGGGAATGAAGATGAAGCCGAGATAGTGGGAGAAGTAGAGGACCAGATATTAATTCGATTTTTAGTTTTAGTAAGAGTCCCCGAGTTGAAAAGTTGAGTTGGTTGGGTGCTCTCTGGGATGATTAGTTCATCGTTCATTTCTTCTCTGGCTGGCTTTTTCCTCCTCCGTGCGAGCGGATGGAGAGATGTGGAAGCTGACATAATTTGGGAATGTTAGCTAGCTGAGAATATAAGTATTGCGGTAAAACCGCTGAAAAATCTATTTTTTCAAAACTAAAGATACTTACAATATTCTACAAAAAGGAGAGAAAAAGTAACAAACAAGGCGTAGAAAACATTTACCTGTATATAATATATTAGGAAAAAAATAGGAGCAATTTTTGGGTATTTCTAAAGATTCCTTATTATCTTAAATATGCTAATAAAAATATAAATTACGTAAACTATATGTTAAGACGAACATGAATAGCTCTGTAGGATTATAAACTTTTATTACTGGTTTTTAATGCATGAATTCCTCAGTTGTAGCTGTGCACATTAGCCACGTATTTGTTCTCATTGTATTTCCTAAACATTACATGGTTGTCAATTAGGACGAGACATTTCCGATATTATTGTTTTTTATTCTTTATTTTACCTATTTTGATTGCCCCTATTTTTTCCCTAATATATTATATACAGGTAAATGTTTTCTACGCCTTGTTTGTTACTTTTTCTCTCCTTTTTGTAGAATATTGTAAGTATCTTTAGTTTTGAAAAAATAGATTTTTCAGCGGTTTTACCGCAATACTTATTTGATGCTTTTCACCTTAATATTAAAAATATGATAATTCAAATAAGTAAAAAAAATACGTTTTAATTGCAACGAGCAGTCCAACTTTAATTCAAGAGATTCAAATTGTTAATATTACAAATCATGACAATATTTTGATACTCTATATATATCTATAAGGCGCGCAGCCGAGCCATCTCCGCTATAAGTTTGTCGGGTGGTTTCGCAGTTAATTTGTTGTCGTCCTGTTCCAATATAGCGACTCCATCCAGTGTCCTGACGCGACTTAAGGCAACGTAGGCTTGCCCATGGGCAAAAATCTCGGCTCCCAAATAGATCACTGCTTTATCTACGGTGATTCCCTGTACCTTGTGCACTGTCACTGCCCAGCAAAGGACAATAGGTAGCATCCATCTTTGAATTTCTTCCTTTGCTTTCCCTGTGTATGTCACATCTGTAGGTTTTAACTCATAGACACCTTCCCGAGTCCCAGCAATGCGCCAATCGTCAAATTTCACCAATACACTTGAAGGGAGATCGCCGTGATGATGTTGTTCCCTTGCAAGTTCTTCCCACTTGAACCCGACGACCGTTCCCATTGAGCCATTGACTAAATAACGGTTTGTCGGCGAATTCCGGATTACCATAATTCTTGATCCAACTGCTAAGTCAATGGAACTTACGAAGCCACCACATTTATTGCTGTCTCTGTGGCTATATGCCAACGGAGCACGGGATCCAGCTTTGGTTCCAGAAAAGAAACTATCCCTCGCTTTGATAGTATAGACTTTTATGTGAGGGTCACTACGAAAAGTCCTGGTCTTGAGTCGGTTGTAAATAGATGCCTGATTTCTTGTAGGAAATATTCTAATAGCATCTTTGAATTTATCTTTCATAGCGGTGCTCGAAGTATCTTCACTAAACTCTCGCATCCGCAACTCATGGAGATCAGTAGTGGTGATGTTTCCTTCTCGTAGGTTGTTACAGATATATAAGAGTGGATCTTGACCCTGTCGCATGTTGACCGTAAGTTCTTTAAAAGCGAAATTCTTCCAAAGGTTTTCTTCCGCTCCTAACTGTCGTGGCTGATCATAGATGCAGTGCCCATTAACAGGCTCCAACTGGAATAGATCTCCCACGACAATAACATTTTTCCCTCCAAATGGCAGCGTGTTGTCGAAACATTCTCCCAAACGTTGGCTTACTTGACGGAATAACTAAACAAAAATATTTTAGTTAACTTATTAAAGATGACTTATAATATTTCCTAAAATTACGTATTAATTTAGTTATTGATAATATACTAACCTCATAAGATATCATTGATACTTCATCCATGATGATCCACTCAACATCCCGAAATTTATCTCGCATTCTCTGCAGCATTATTGCGCCAAGAGGAGCGTAACGTGGAACAGAACCAGATTCTACAGCAAGTTGGAAAGTGCGATGAAGGGTTTGTCCATTTATATTTAAAGCTGCCACTCCAGTTGGGGCGGCCAAAAGTACACCTGCTGGGCCTGGTCCATCTTCCTTCGCACAGATGAGGTTCGTCATCAAGGAAATTAGGAACGACTTTCCTGTTCCACCAGCTCCAGAAATGAAAAGTTGTAGTTGACCTCTGCTAGGATCGCATAAATGTCCTTCAATCATGTCGTATATGAATTTTTGGTCTTGGTTCATTTTTAGCTTCTCAGCCATGAAGCAGGCTTCATTCAGAAGTACAATCCTATATTCTTCTTGAGCTGGAAGCACATTACTTCCGTCATAGACGTCAGGAAGGTATTGATACTCCTCGACCTCATGGATTGCAAGCGTTTCTTGGGGGTCCTGATTAAGATCAGCTAGATGAAGAGCTACTGCTTCAAGATCTTTCTCTATATCAGGACGTATTAAAGGGAAGTCCAAAGTTGTCCTAATATTGGCCTTATTCTTCTCAAATGCATCTGTAACAGATTCCCCGTCCGCCGTGAAATTCTCCTCAATGAATGGAACGTACAGTAGTAGATGGCTGTAGATAAAGTTTTCCGCGTCGGAGTCACTATGAAATGGTGGGCTCTTGATTACGGCGTACTTTGCTCTTTCTCTCCAGAGTCCCATAGACCTATCCTTAAGGTAGAAAGATCGTGGCATCAATCGATTGGCATGTAGTAGTTGGTGTTCTTGTTCCTCTCCTTCATCAAAATCATCATCTACCTGTTGATAATTTCGTACGGGCTGATACTTGGAGGCGAATTCGAATAAACATATATTTCGTAGATCTTCAGGACGATTGCAATATTTGTCAATTATCTTACTAGAATTAAAATAGGCAACTTAAATTTCCTGTTTTATTTATACATTTTTTTCATGCAATTTTACTGTACATACCTTGCAAATTGTACCTCATCCCTTTCTAGATATGCATTTTTCTTCAACAATCTGATGCGATCACCAGGTAGATAGGTCGGGATGTATACAAATGCACGTGACGTATGTCTCATAGGAAGATTTGCCATACGATAGGCAGCTTCTTGGGATCCTACTGTCCTGCGACTTAATAAAAGCCGAGAGACCTATATGAAAATATGAATGATGAATAGTACCTCTTAAAATTTTTTGGAAAACTAAGTAACGAAATCCATACCTTCTCCATTTGTACCCGTATTGGTTGTCGACTTTCACGGAGAGTCTGAAGGGTGTGTCGAATGTCATCACGGAGGGTTTCAGGTTAATTTTTCCCGATATACTTTGCTATATAAAGGGCGACAGCGGCAACGCCTGTTACAATCTGTATATCCATGTTGCATCGAAGAATCTTCAGCAGTGTCGGATGGTAGTTGTTCACCCGCTCTTCCCCTTGACAACGCCTTAGGATTACTCCATGACCATTGTTGGTTTCTTCCAGAGTGGTTTCAGATGCAAGAGGTCGTGGAAACCCAAACCGACACGTGGAACCTTTCTTAAAGCACGTGGTCGTATCTTTGTGCGACTGATATCGCCGTACAATATCCTCCATTCCACTACCTAGAAGTCGGCACGACACGTTGCGGTCGATAAAGTTTATTCCTTCAGGTGTGGAAAGGTTCGGTGCATCCTGAATCCATATAAGTGAATGAAGGTGTGGACTACCTCGGTCTTGGAACTCTACCCGGAATGTATAGTCCACTACTGGCTTTCCAAATATCGTTTGATCCTGGTTCAGTAATTTTATTAATTCATTTGTCCTGAGATTGAAATGGCGGGCGGCGGCGACAGGATTTGAGTTTAATAACTCCCGACGAAAGTCGAATGGCATATCTTGAATATTGTCCGGAGGAGGGTCGTCTTTGGGATGACCGGCCTTCCACATTGCATTGAGCACATCAGCTGAGCCCATGTCGTCGTAGGAAACCGTTAGAAAAAATATTGGCGGACCAAGCCTCATAATCATTGCCATTATGTCCCCCGTATACCTCTTCCAATAAGATCTGGAGCCACGAATTGCGCTCATGTATAGATGTAA